GTGGCTGGTAGCTGGTAAGGGCCGGTAAAGCAGAATGCCGAATTGTCAACCGCCCGCATACTGCCGCTTGCTGCATGGAAACTACAATTGCTACAAACAGCCGGGTTCAGTGAAATTAAGAAAGCGTGAACGGAAGCGCCTGTACTGCCGAAGTTCGACCCGACAAAACAAATCATCATTGAATGCGATGTAAGCGGAGCCGACTTGGCGCGTTGTTTTCCCAGGACGGACACCCGGTTGCCTACGCCAGCCGTGTATTACATGGACGGAAACTTAGCTATGGAGTCACCAAATGGGAATGCTTAGCCGTGGTATGGCAGTGCAGAAATTTATGCACAACATCGACCACGGACCGTTTCCCGTAAGGACGGATTACCGAGCACTGCAGAACATGCTCCGATGCGAGTTGAACCGACCTGGCATCAGCCCTCGACTAACACGGTGGGCCCTGGCTCTACAAGGAAGGGACATACCCATCAAGTATCAGCCGGGAGTGTTCTGCGACAATGCGGACGCCCTATCGAGGTAGGAAATCGAATGAAGAGACGACAAAGATCCACACGACGAACTGGGTCAAGTGCCCAGCTTTGAGGACTTGAAGGATGAAATCAAAGTCTGCACAGTACGGACCATCCGACGACAGAAAGTCAACGCTCGGAAGAAGAGGCTGAGAGACGAGAATGCAACGTCATCTCGGATTGGCATAACTTAAGCACCACAGAAGTACGAGTCATTAACATACCAGCACCGGAGACACCGGAACCGATCATTCGGACCGTCAACACGGTGGAGGAGACGGACTAGTCAGGCCCACTTGGCGAGGCACACGTACCGCCCGCGGAACCGAACATAAAAAACTCCGAAAAGCACAACTGCGAGAGCCGCACCTACAAAAATAATTCACGAACTGGAAAACCACGGCACATTCGACCGTAAGTTGAAGTTACCAGAGCAATACCAAACGGCTCACGGAGTCCGGATCAAAACGATCAACATGAAGCTGGAACGATGCATCGTCGTATCGCCTTTTATGCGGAATAACATTATACGGTCACTCAACAACGGAAAAACCGAAAATCACTTTGGACGTGAGAAGACAGTGGACGCTCTGAAGTTGCGGTACTACTGGGAGTTGATGTCATGCTATGTCAACGAATGGATCGACAAATGCCGACAGTACATCATGGCAAATAAGCTCGGACGACCACCACCGGATAAACTCCAAAAGACGTAGGTTGATGAAGCATGGTATCGCATTCATGCAGAATTCAAAGGACGCTTACCTGGGACGGACACAAAGAGATACCAGTACATCGCAGTGGTCGGTTGCTTACAACACCGCAAAGGAATTTGAAAAATTCTTCGTGGAAGATCTCCTGCTGAAGTGCGCAATGCCGAGCCTGATACACTCGGACAGAGGAACTCACGGCGAAGACGTTCGCCAAGGTCGCACGGATTTTTGGCAGCCAACACACGCTTGAAACAGCCTACCACCCAGAAGGCCAAGGACAAGTTGAACGGCAAATGCGGAAGATATGGGACGGAATACGACAGGACCGACACCGACGTGAAGGACTGCGACGTAAAGAACGGACACCGTTGGCACCGAGCCATACCATACGTCGTCAGTGGGATGAACAGAACAGTCCATGGCCCATGCCTCGACGAAATTTTCGCCATACTACATGTTGTATAGTCGGGAAATGACCATGCTACAGGACGTAGTAACCGGAAGAAATGCACAGGATCACTTCACCGACTAAAAGCACTATATTAGGCGGATAAAAGAACTACTTCAACGGATTCAATAAATAGCCCGCATCAACACTGATGAAGCATTCGAGCGGAACCCCGAATGTTACAACAAAAGGAAGTCAACGCCGACCTTCAGACGTAAGGATAAGGTAACGGTGGACTATCCGACTAAGGATCCCGCCAGGATGGAGCGATCTGACGGAGTTTGGACGGTTGTCGACTATGTTGGCCTAAATCACTTGTTACTCCGATGCGAGGACGGACGTGAAGTCACCGTAGCCGTCGACCGAGTAAAACATTACCAAGCCGAAACTAGCCGACCGGTAACTCGGTCATCTGGTCCGATACAACCGGATAGAGGAACATGATCTTTGAACTGGCCAGATATTTACAGTAAGGTTTTCACTCGAAGTGGAAAATGTACACACGTAATATACCAGTAGTAGCAGTGCTAAAAGTAGAAGTACGAGCCGTAATAGCACGAAGTAAATCGCTGCTGATCACCGCCAGCGAGTATGTACCGGTTACTGAGTCAGGAGACGTAACAAGTGGATAATAATCAGTGATCAGTGGCTGGAAGGCAGATGGGCTGCTTACAGGAGCCGGATTGTATGTGGATCAACCTTGAACTAACAATTATGCGGGCTCCGCGCCGCTGCTGTAACCTTTGTGATCTACAGCCACGAATGACAACAACCGACTTATTAACAGACATAGAGGTCCGTTTTATAGGCGAACACGTGGAAAGCGCTGCCCCGACAGCCGGAGCCAACTTCGCAGGCTTTAATTGCCGGGTGACTGTCGGCACACGCAAATAATTCCGTCAAAAAAATTGCGAATGCGCCTAAAATGTTGGCGATGAATTAAAATGTTATTCTCAATTTGAGGAGAATGTTTGTATAAAGGGATGGCAGTACCTAAACTGGTCAACTGTATCAAAACGTCAGGCACAGATTTAATTTTTTTCCTGCTTCACAGGATTTTGAAACCTTGGCTCAGTGTAATTCACACTTTTTTATGATTGGATGTCTTGGCTTCCTGATAAAATACTTGAAAAAGCGGTTGCGTCGACTAAATATGAATATCCAAAAAATTGTCCATACTTTTCTGCATATTTTAACAAATGCGGGCATAACGTTTTAATTTCTACGAAAAATCGGATAATAAAATTAATATAAGAACATAAGAAAACAAACGGATATCTTGTAACAAAATATCACCATAGTGCTGTACTGCCATACATAGCAGTGTTGCATCCGTATGTGCGTCACAGTCGTCAGAACAAAACTATTGGCTGCATGCTTCCGACTGTCTTTTTTGTAGCGGGGGTACCGCCCAACACAAACATGAAAAAAGTTGCTTTTTTTAAGGTCTTTTTTGTCTTTTGTTATTGTCTTGTGCATTCCTAAACCTCAACTCTCTCTAACAGTTTTTGTTCGTGAGCACAGTCTGCCATTGTGCAACCTACCTTTAAGTGCTTTTCTCAAATTCTGTTCAAAGCAGCTCCGAAACAACATTTATTCTGAGAGCGCCTTAAGTCAAGGCGTACGCAAATACAGTACTTATTACACGCAATTCAAAGAATATTAAATTTTTATCCGTAGCTTTCACTTACGAAAACATGAGAATTCACCCAGAATGCTGTCTGTCGGAACATATGTTGGTCAATTTCGAGCAAATGTTTTCTTATAAGCATAGGTAAATTTAATATATGCTAAGTTGCCCGACTGTAATTCGATAAAACTTAAAATTTTTATTAAATACCAATTTAACATTTATTAGATCATTGCCGTTAAAACGTTAATTGATACAGTACTATCATAAATTTGTTCTTACAGTATTTTTCTAGGTATAGACGTATTCAGTATTACGAATACAGACTGTATACGTACTTCTATGGTTCTACCGGCACCAGCATCCGTCCGTCTGAAACCGTCTTAATTTTCGCCACTAATTTTTTTTTATTTCTGCTGAACTAGAGGACCTTCGCTGCGCTCTGGTCGCAAAACAGTACAAGTAGTACTGATAATGTGGATTTGTATCAAAATGTTGAAAATTCGCCCTAGACAAGAGATGGCACCACAATCGGCGCCTGAAATAAGTGTACTACTTGAGAAAATTGTAAGAAACAAATTTGTACAGCACACTCACGACGTTTATACTGGCGTAGGACGGATTATCATGCATGCAGAAAACTTAACGTCAATACAACACCCGAGAAAACCAGCAATTCCATGCCTCAAGGCTCAAGTGGCCCAGAAGGTGACCATCCTAGGTAATCTCGTGCCACGATCGCTTTTGTCACGTTTCCAAATAGCTTTTCGTCGAAATTGCTTGGGTTAAATTGCTCCCACACGTTAAGCGGTGTATCGTTGTAATCAAACCTAAACAGAAAACTTACTTCGCACGTTTTCGTATGGTCTTACGCTGAAAACGTAAAATCAAAGTAAATAGTTTGCTTTTTTCAATCCTAATTGGCATTTACTAGTAAATTGATTTTGTTTCAACCCTTAACCGTTGGTCCGTTATCCCAGCGTATCCGAATAACTTTGTCTCGATTTACGAAGTACGCGTTAATGCGCCTTTTGTAAGTACTCGTATAATCAAGCACTACAGAATCAGTACTCGTACAGATATAATGTATTAAAAAGGACTGGTAACAACCGTTTGACGTCAACACTGTCGCATACACGGGAGGGCGGCTGCCATAGTGGCAGATACGCGTTTTTGACTGTTTTTTTGCCAGATTTCTCTTCTGTTTTTAGCCCCCCCCTCCCAAATATGAGTTACATAAATATCAACATAAATAAGTTCATAATACCTGCGTAGACTCTAGCGATTTCTTTACGATATTGTAACGGTAGAATTTTTACTATTATTCTATACCAATAACCGTTAACACTATCTGAGTTCTGAATTCTTGACCACCTTGTCGGTTTGGACGTTTCTAGAATTTCGAAAGCGAAATTTTTTTCCTGCATCCTGATACGTTACCTACTTAATAAGGGAACATTAGGTAAGTGACCCGGTACATGGTACCCAATTCGTATAAACGTACGAAACTTCCACTTTCGCGCAGTCCCTAACACTTTCTTGTTTTGTTTTATGACATTCTGTAGCCAGAATCATAGCACAGAAATCATCTGGCTACAGATTGTCATAAAAGAAAACAAAAGATGTTTGGGAGTGCGCAAAAGCGAAAGTTTTTGTGCGTGTATACACGAATTGGCCATTTGGCCATTTGGCGGTTACCCATCACTTCGGCCGTTTTCATTTCGGCCAAAGTTTTTCGGCCGCGATTCAGTTCGGCCGCCGTTCACTTCGGTCGCAGACTCGCAGTAAATTTCGGCCGGCGCTCCCTTCAGCTTCCACATATTTCGGTCGTCAGTCTACGCGCCTAGGCCTATCTGGCCCATTTCGTACCACTCTGTAAAATCGGCCCGTTTTTTTTGTTCACTGTATTTCACGTATTCTTATGTATTCACTATTCACATGTATTTCTGTCTGTATTCACGTCGTATACTCCATTATTTTGCTTTTGCAAGTACGTCTGACTACGTACCCGTACGATCAAATTCCATAACACCGAGTATAAGGAATAAGTCATACATGTTGCGAGATGCCCGGCAAGGGGCAGGCAGCGCCACACCGTCCAGATCTGACAATGCTAGTCGATCGGGCGAATAGTGCCGGATAAGGAGTAATGCAGTACTTCTAGTATGTTGTTCTTAAGGACAAACTGCTGCGCCAATTAGTACGTGACAAACTAACACTGAGGGTGCTTGCGTAACATCACCCTCAAATTAAATTAATTTGAATACCTTCACTCCCCGCAAACGTTGGCCACTAAACAGTTGCGATTTTGCATGAAGAAATAGGTATGTAGTATGTACTTACGCTGTATGTGTTTAGTACTAGTAGTTAAGACAGGCCGATAGACTGCTAGCTGGCTGCCGAAATATACCTTGACGGGCAAGGTAGCGAACAAGGTAATCTGTAGAGAACATTGACAAGGTAGCGGGCAAGGTAGCGAACAAGGTAATCTGTAGAAAACATTGAAAAGGTAGAGAACATTGACAAGGTGATCTGACTATCTATACCACGAGTACTTCATAGAGTTTGACCTTAGATATGCATGAAACAAATTATTTCAACTGATCAAACAGCTAGAACAAAGAAAATCCAATTACCGAGAAATTTAATTTAAAACTTAAAGACCCCATTTAAATTTTATAATTTATTCGAATTTTACAAAAATGGACACCTTTGGCAGCAATAATGGACAAACTATTTTCAATGATGGACACTGTCCATTAATGGACACTATTTCAGTCTTTGCGGCCTCAATGCGACGCACTACAGGCCAACAGCATGTCAGCATCATAAGAAATTTTAATATCAATTTTATTACCCAGGATTGCTATCATTAACCCAGTAACTTACAGCTCTAGCAACGATATAAATCCTCCCCATCGAGCGTCATAAGGCGGAATTGTTCGAAGCCAATTGGCATACAGTTGTCTCAGCTGATTTGCGACCCCAACATCCAAGACGGGACATTGTTCGTTTAAGGCGGCTTTAAAACGTCGTACGATATTCTTTATACCGTCGTGGTAACCGTCTAGTTTTATATAAGGAATGGTTATGAGCAGGCGTACGTTATCATCAGCTTGACAGTAGCCCGGCATACTAAAGGCAAAATGCAGATACCGGCGGTGGGGGATCGTAACGGTGAAATCCAACAATATTAATGTTCTGCAGCGTCTAGCAAACCGAAGCGTCATCGGAGTGGACTGCAAAATTGCTGAAAACGGCAAAGAAACTTTCCGATAATAGTTCTTCACGACGATGATCGAAAAACATCTGCTTTTTATCAGCAGAAAAGTAGAAACAACATTTTCCATTCCTGACATCTCATGATCTTCGACCATGTTGAGCAACGCAAGAACCTTCGTATGGCTTTTGATGCTCTGCTCTAATACGAATCCAGTGTAATATCCTTTTGTGTCCCACCGGACGATTCTTTCAGTGCAGATATAGCGGAAGTCAATTGTAGTAAATGTATTCATGAATGAGAATGCGTCGGTTTCTGCTAATGTGTTCCACAAAACACACACCCTAGATATTGCACAAAATAATGACTAGAAAGCACTTAGCGAATGCCGCAGTTTGATCTGCAGGATGAGTGCCAACTAGTAGCGAATTTCTCATTGTAAAAAATGGCAGAGACACGTGCTCTAAGATATAGTAATTATTTGTAAGTTGATCGTAAACTACACCGCAGTTCTACTGATTTAAGTTTTGCATTAATACGAGAATACTTTTAAGCACTTCAGAAAACTTCAAGAGAATTTAGTAAGCATTAAAAGGGACCAAATTGGTAAATGTACAGGTATGACGCAATCATGCAAAAGTACAGGCAGCGCATATGGTGTAAAATGAGTAGATGGTCGATCTTACCGTCGGCTGTAGGCAAGGGAATGAGCATCCAGAAGCGCCAGAATTTCTGCCATGACATCCAAAGACCGGATACCAAGTGACAGCAGAATACTTTCTGCAAAAAAGAGCAAACTTTCAACATGAACATTTTTACTAGTACATACTCGTATCATGTTCCTGCCACGCACACGTACCGAGTCTACTGTGATGCCGGCAAAAATCGAAACAGCTTAACTATCTTCAGCGCCGAAGTTCAACCAAAAAGGCCATCACAAAAAGCGATTGGGACCATGCAGAAGTAGTTTTACTCCTGGCCTTTATTTGTACTTCAAGTAGCACAGTTAAGTTAAAATCGTTGCGTTAACCCGTTGACGGGCATTGGTGTCTGGAAACGACAAGGTGTTTGGAATTTTTTTCTCATTGATCGGCAACAGTTATTCGTTATCCCATAACGTAATAAGCAATAGGGGACTTTAAAGCATCAATAAAATCACAATTTAAACTTGTGTCTTAAGGTAATTAAGAACAATAGATGCGCAAAAATCGCTAATTTTGAACTTTCTGACCTCTCGTAGGTTTTTCTAATTTACTAATTAGTGGATGAATAATTAAAACCGAGATAAATCAACAAGATACGACTAACGACCCTTTACTCAAAAATGTCTAATACAGAATCTAAAAGTTGAATCATAGATGACCACACTCAGCACAGTCCCTCAAAAACGTGTGTCGCTTGCCAACACCATTGCCCATGAAGGGTTGTGAATACACGGGCGGGCGCACTTTCGACAGGTTATTTTCGTTACGTAAACGGAATAAGTTACTGTGGGTTCGGACGCCAAACGTGCGCCATGTGGTTTTGGTTGTTTAAAGCTGGCAGAAAATGGGGTTGCTGAACAGCACCCCGGGCGGTCGGAATGGTGGTCCTGATGCTTTAGTCCTGATAGTAATTCTACCGCCAGTGTACGTAGCGCTGTAAATGGCTGCACAACCCTGCACTCTGCTGCTCTCTGCCTTCGACACGAGTACCAAATACCGCGCTTGGGCAAGCAAAGCAGCGCAGATTTAAAGAAACATGCGTCACCTTTACAACAACATTACGGATGCGTTGCTACTATGTTTTAACATACTCGTACTACCTATAACACTACAAATTACTGACCTTTATTCAGACCGGAAATTTAGGGAGCACAGCAAATTAACTATGGACCCTAAAATTTTGGGGCGCATAGAAGTGACCTTTATCTATACATTCTGCGTAGCTCGCGAGCAGTGACTTGTGAGCACTTTCAACTTTCGATCGTCATCGCTGAGCGGTTGGTGATAAACCATAAGTTTATTTACAGCAAAGTGCAGCCACAGGTGATACTTACCACTACCAAAGTATTCCCTACATTAAAATCAAAATCAATCATAAAAAAATTACATAAAAATTTTATACATTAACGGTCGTAGAGGAGAAATTTCTGTTACTGTCCCAACTTGGCGTAGCAGGGCTGTACTTATGGTCAATGCTGCGTGCACGGGAAAACACGGGTGTTGGCTGCGTGCACGGTGTTCGGACACGGGCGTTGTCTCTGTGCACGGCATTTTAAATTTGAGTTTTTTAGCTTTATGTGTTGGCTGATTTGATTTTTTTTACGTTTTTCGAATTTTGATCGTGACAACGTTTAATAGTTTTTCACGTTTTATTCAATCAAAGCACGTTTTTCTACGGTAGTTTTTCTATCATATTTTTTCATGTGCTATATACTCTAATTGTAAGGTTAAGAATACTATGGTTAAACGCAAATCCGCGTCGAAAAAACGCGGATTTGCGTTTTTTCGACGCGGCATGATACAGGTGGGAATGGTGACAGTTACATGCTGCCGAAAAACGGCTGACAAGTGTGTTCGCATCGGATTCGGCTCAAAAGTGGCGTTCCAGGATCCATACCGAAAACGAATGCGGTAGCCATGAAGCCCGCTAACCGTTCCCGTTGCTTTTGATATCTCAGTTTTACCACTTCGATTTTCTGGTCAGCATCAATACGGAGAACCACTCTTTACCGGGCTGCCGCGTAAAAAATTAAATTAATAATAAATAAAAATTTAAATAAAATAAATTTCCCGTGTCTTCAGCCAATACCCGTTCCCAAACTCCGTGCACGCAGCCAACCCTCGTGCGGGCCCAAAAAAGGTCACCCGTGCACGCAGCCGACACGCGTGCTTACCCGTGCACGCAGCCATAATGTATGACTAAGTATTTATAAATCATTTAGCTATTAACAGGTTGTAGAACGTCATAAACATTTCAAAAAAGTGTTTTAATTTGGTTTGCGCAAAAGCGAAAGTTTTAGCATATGTATATGAAATTAGTACCAAGTACCGGCACACTTCCTTTAAGACAGTTTCGTCCATTGTACTCCGTTTGTCTTTCCAAAAATGTTAATGAGGTGTGACGGCAAAAAACTACCAGAGAATCCTATGTAGCTTGGTTAACTGTATACCAGAACGGGGCTAAAAATTCAGCCAGAACTGTACAAGACTATTTTATCGCAAATACAGTAATAATGGGACAGAATAGCCACTCTTCAGTCATAATTCACAGTGCATCAAATGGAGTCTTGACAAATGGCAGTTGCAAGTGCTTACCGTTTTTTGTTGCTTTGGCGCAACACAGCTGCATCTCCCAACGGTTGGAACGATATGAATAATACGAGCCCTCACTTTTCAGCAAACAATTTTCGGCAGCTAGCAGTTTTTCGTGAATTCCATCCTCCCACCATGCTTTACCGCGCTGACCTTCCCGGAATGTCGAAATATCTAAAATAGTGATGGTAATCTTTTTGGCACTAAGTCCCACATACAATCGATCGCGGATGTCCGGAAATGGAGTGCTGATCCTCTTCTGATATTTCCCGAATGCGCTGTCCAAGAAATTTGCGACGTTTGATTCATTGATTGCCGGCAGAGTAAGTGAGTCCGTTAAAAGAATGGTATGCTTTCCGAAATGGATCTGATTTCGTTGGTCGCATATTGATGAACAATTTTCGTCCGGCAATTCTTTCACAATCTGCCAGCGATGCACCAGTTGGAATGTAGGCTTCTGTTCCGTACAAGCCTGTCTTTCCGTTGTAATGTAACACATATACAAGTTGTCCCATCCACACTTTCCGACTTTTCTTGCTGGTTGGAATACATACGCACCTTTCCATTGCTCGTTCTCGCTCCGCAGAGCAACTTGGACATCAGGACCACTGCTGTCCTCAATAAGATTATGGAACCACACGAACCGGGTTTGCACCCACGAAGGGCAAATCACGGCACAATCAAAATCAATATAAACATCATCCCCTTGGACATCCTGAAGATATCCTAAGCAGAATACGCCTTCTTCCAGCTTCACCAGTACTGTGTTTGCCAAGTTAAAATGCTTGCCGGAGTATTGTCCTCGCCTAAAGTACCGGCTTTGGGCCATCATGAAAAATAACTTGAACGTTCTCTAGATATCTCGAAAAAATTTTGAACTTATGAAGAACGCAGCATTAGTAGCGATTGCACGGTCCTAAACTACTAATTAAAACGTGGCATGCATAACATAATGTTACCCGTCTTTCATAAATATTCAGCTTAACCGTAGTCTAGCTGAACAGACAGACAGAGAGGTACAGATAGAGAGAGAGGTCCAGCGGCGCATATGTTAAAGCCTTCGCCGATGCGATGACTGTGCAAACAAACCGTTCTATTGTCTTGGGACCCCTTGAGTCATAAACCAAGGGATCCCTTGAAATGGGCAATTTTCATTAGTCGTTGGTTGGCCAATGACAAAGGGTAAAAGCAGTTCCAATATCGTTTTGGAAATACCAACCAAGCACATTTCCAATGAAGTGCAGTGGTTGTGGAATGACATTGTCACAATTCATATGCTGTATACGGCATAATACTACGATTTCAGTAGTGATTGCAAGTTGCTATCTGTACGAGTATTGTACAGGTTTATTTGTAATGATATATATTTCAATAATCTTTTTAACTTAATAGTATTAAGCACGTACTTTCCTGAAATGACTTCCACCCATAAATTTGAATCAAGCCATTGTGATTCATTGTTTGTTTGACGACTGTGAGTCTGTGGCCATGGACGCAGAAACTCCGCTATTATAGTGTTATTATCCTGAATGTATCCCAGATTTCCACTTTTGTAAAATCCCTTGTTTGATTTTTGTTGTTAATGACTGTTGATGTTAACCTGTGATTTTGTTTTGTGGTTATGGAAGCTTTTTTGTTTATGATTTTGGATGTTGATTGTTTTTTGTGATGTGTATTCTGTAATCAATAAAATTCTTAAATTGTATTTCACGTATAAAGATAGTATTATAGTAAACGACCGCCGTAAAATTTGCACTGAAAGATTTGTTAGTTGTTTAAAGTATTATTATGAAGCGGCCGCCAGGAGTAGTCAATATCTTAAAGTATTCCTGTCCAAAAAATGGAATATAAGTTTAACGGTTGCTGTGCATATACTGTACTGTACTTAATGGATGTTTATAACGCGGCGCAGTTCTAATGTTTTTGATTTATTAAATATTTAATTATGCTATATTATAGAAAAACTGTTAAATTATTTTACCGATTGCGAATGTGGTGCGTTGTTGTCGTAGTTAAAAACTGCTAAATGTAAATGGAATGTGAGCCAACTGGAATACGTGAAGCATGCATTAGCCCTCCTCTCTCTAGTCCTAGTCCTGAGGTGGGGCTTGTGCTCTTACAGCGCATCAGGCGAAGCTTCCCTATACAGTGAGAAGACCTGCTATGTAATACAGAGCAGGCCGGTTCAGCTAGACTACGGCTTAACCCGCAGTCAAGCTTAACAAGCGAGTTATATATATCTCTGCCTATCCTTTATTCAGCTTCCCTTAGTTCACAAGAATGCCAGAACTACATTATTATGTTCTGCCAGCTTCAGTTCGACGCCTGCCCCCGATTCATATTACAGGCAATGTCAGGCATTATTGTAGTACAAACAACGCTCGGCGCCAGACTGACTTTCATGGTTTCAGAAAGAAGGTGGCTGTGTTGCGATGACTCTCAAACCGTCACATATCACCGATGCTTATCATCGCAAGTGCTATAAAAATGGCAAGCGGTCTGACTCAGACCCGTTCTTGTGTGATAACCGTTCGCTGTTTAGCTCTGCATCCCTGCCCAATTCGCCTTTTTGAACCGATAGGTCCTGATCACCTGGTCACCTCTCTACTTCCTATCAAAAGACACAGGAGAGGGCAGAGTTGGTCAGACTGGTCAAAATGCATATGATCTAAGTTGCCACATGAATGGGACAGTCTATTTTCCTTTCTTTTACTACCTTTTCTGTATGTGATGGTGCTGATTATATGTGATTTCGTTTCGCAAGGATCTGGTAAAAAGAAGGCCAGAGATGCTTTTTCATATCACGCGGCAGCGGTTGCGATGTAACGGTCGTTCTGTGATATGTAACTTTTAAAGATCGCCGCAACACGGTTAATGTCAGGCATTATTGTAGTACAAACAATGCTCGGCGCCAGACTGACTTTCATGGTTTCAGAAAGAAGGTGGCTTCATATGCACTGTAAAGTCTCTTTCATATGCATATGCACTACGGTTATGCTTGCCCATCGCCCTGCTCAAGATGCTTTCTTGTTTTACGTACATAAGTCTGTCTCAGCCTTTATTGTCCTGTGGTTGGTACAAATCGTCAATACATGTAGTTCACAATTTCACGAAAACAATCAAACAAAGTGCTACGTAACCGACAACAAGGCAACATTTTGGCGCCGCAAAAAGGTCAAGCCGACCTGCACATCACAAAGGGGCCTAAAAAAGAATGAAGTAGCAAAAGCTGATTGGACAACTCCGCCCACTCCAAATGCCGATGGCGAATGGCAATTGCACAGTCTTTGCACAATACATGAAACACAAGAAAGTCGACACACAAATACATGACACACAAGAAACACAAGTAGGGCGATGGCTTGCAATATTGCCAATACACTATTCCTGGTTCTGTCTATTTGCTTTTGGTGGATTTGGGAGAAGTAAACATAGAAATAAATGAAAGATCTAAAGCTAAAAACTGCAACGCACACAGCACTGAGCATACTCGTATGCGTGGATACATGGTTTCCACTTCACGGCATTATTTTAGAGACGGAATTACTGTATTATTACAAACTAGTACCGTACTGAATTTGCATGGCACTTTCGTGTTAAAACTTCAACGAAAACTGCTATAAATTATACGGCAGATATATATTATTATTATTATTACGGCACAAGAGCAGACAACCCCAAAGGGACTCAAGTCTGGTCGAACAAAAAACATTTGAGCGCTAATGTAAGTATTTAAGACCGATCGACAGATTTGAGTAGGAATTTAAAGGCAGGTACAGAACTTGCATCAAGAATTTTAGGGTTAACAGCAGTAATTTTATCAAGCAGACGCTTTAATCGAAATTCCATAGTCGCCTCTCCAATATAACTCTCCTTGCCCGTGCAGCGTCGACTCTTGCCGGTTTTCGTAAATTGTAGTGCATGGTGTTGTCTTTCACTTTGATCATGTCCAGGAGGTAGGCGGGAAGCGAAAATTGACTCTTGTTCCAGATCTTGTACAGCCACACCGCATTGCTCTGACGCCATCGGTCGAATATGTGAGGGATACCCAACTTCTGATACAGTTCCGGAGTAACCGGCATCTTGTAATCAGTGATGGTTTAAAACTATATAATCCTTCTTATCCGCAGTGTTGCGACGGCAGGCTGATTTTGATGTCCAAAAATCTGTACTTGTACTGTACTTTCTCAAAAAGGATACTTGAAGGGTGCTGAATTTCCTAAAAAATTAGTTCATAGGAAACATCAGTGCATGTAGTTTTAAGGCGAGGTTTCCAGCGGTTATTCATTTTGGGGCTTGCAGCTTATTGTAAAGAATTACTGTAAGTCTTCTCTATCAGAATATGGTACTATCGTTCAAGAAAAAAATTTGTTCAATTAAAAAAAGCGACCTTTCGTGACGTGTGTCGAAAGAGGATGCGCATTTCAACAGATAGAACGCGATCAGAGGCGATTCACGAACAATAGTGCGCAATGGGTTTAAAACGAGAATGGCGCATTGTATTTTTCGCTATTCAGTTTACGCAAGTCACCGGTCGATTCACTAACCGGTGGAACATGGGCGATTCACGAACCTTTCCCGTACAACATTATTTTGTATATTTGTTTTACTTACTGCAGTAATCAACCAATACGTTGATGTCGATTTTTATGACTTAGTTAGCGCTGCCAAAGTTATGATCCGAACTGATTCAGAGCTAAAGTGTTGGTCAACTGGAAACAAATTCCCTTTTCCCGGTCAACCTGATACCTTGCAGGGAAAACAGGGCCCGTTCGTCAGGAAATTTAAGCTTAGCATGCATATGGCGTGTATGATAGTATCCTCGATAAGTTATTGCCGGCTGATAACGCTTTGTCGTAATAGTGACGAGCTAAACCATTTTTCATCCACCAACGAAAAGGGTATCGTGTATAATTTATTACTTAAAATTACTTACTTATACATGTACCAGAACTAATCTGTGGTAAAATTAAACGAAAGTGCTATGCGCCCGGAAAAATTCCGGGCGCATAGTTAATTTGCTATGCGCCCGGAAAATTTCCTGGCACGTAGTTAAGTTGGTCCAGTGTCCGAGAAAAAGAAAGACCACCTGGCACCGGCCTCGGGCTTTATCAGACGCAAGGGTCGCAAGCGGCCAAAACACCAACCGAGCCTCCAGTCAAGCATATGTCTAAAAGAAGGAGAACAATCGGTGATTTTCCGCTATCACAGCCCTCATCTAACCAACCAGAAAAGGTGATGCTGCAGGGAGAACATCAGCTGCAAACAGTCAAACGAGTAGGTGAGAAATGGGCAATTTGTCGGGTGGATATACTTGACCTCAGCAAAACTGGCTACCTCTTGGATGTCCGCGTTCTCGATGTCATCTGCTACCTCTGTCGTAGTTTGCTCAAAAATAACAAATTAACTGGCCTCCTTGCACTTGGATGGGTAATGAAGTGCCACCGGCAATATCAAGTTGTGCAGCAAGTACGAGCGGACTTAATGAATGGGGCGACACTAATTCAACCACTTTATGATCCAGGACACCACTTTGCCACCCTAAAGACGTGTTGGGTACCGGAACCGAAGGTTACGATCTTATATAGATTCTCTTGGATGGGAGCCTACAGATTGGACAACGCTGCAAGCTTGATGCTTATGCAGCCAAGGGGAAGAAATGCGAATGATCTTCCATCTTTTCCCCGGCAAGCACCGGGTTCGAACAACTGTGGTGCATACTCGGCGGCATTTACAGTTGATCATGTAATGTCAAAAACACCCGTCGAAACCGCAAACTATGCCGACGAAGTTCAGTTCAGAGGCTGGTTAAACGAAATTATTCAAACCGAAAAATTAACGAAGCCACCCAGGAAACGGGGCCCGAATAGCCACGAGAAAACAGAGCGCCGACAAGCGGTTGTGGTGACCACCAGCGAAAGAGAGAAAATTCGCAAACGACGAAACATACCTCAGATAATGCGATTGGATGAGAAGGATGGAATCCCGATCATAGCCTAAATGTTACAACTAATAATAAATTGTTTTCAAATCCATGAAGCCTTAATTAAACCACGAAATGTGTTCAGCTCAATACGAAATCAACTGTATTGAGAATTGCAAAAGTGCCAATATACTGCTACGAATGTGCGGTTATTTAACTAATAAAATTTGTGAACTTTCGCAAGCGAAAAGCGATGGCAATTAGGGCAAACAAAATTACGCGGACGAATTTCCGGGCGCATAGCAAAATAACTACGCGCCAGGAAATTTTCCGGGCGCATAGCAAATTAACTATGCGCCCGGAATTTTTCCGGGCGCATAGAAACGACCAAAATTAAAAGGTTCGTGAATCGCCCCTACGGGTTAGTGAATTGCCCGGCGATGAACAATGGACACGGATCCAAAGTTGCGCAACCCGGATCCAGCAATGGCTCCGGGTTAGCGAATCGCCCATGATACCTCAACTACCGCTGCGTTAAGACAATCCGGGTTATAAATCCGGTCTTTTATGGTCACCAGCAAAGAAGTGATTCTTATAATATGCACTATCTGAATTTTCCGGTTTATGAGCGCTCATAACCTTTAGAAATCAATTTGTGCTAAGCGATGAATATAACGTCTAGGAGGAATTCTGCCCCCTTTTCTAAATATTAGAATTTGTTGATTTGTATAGACGTAAGTAATAAGCTTTTTGGCAGAACTTTACTGACCCTCTGCGCGATACTCCTGTATTTCTCCGCAGCGGGTCACTTGTGCACCATTTTGTAGAATTGACCATCGGTCCATTAACGATGATGACCATGTCAGCCATGCTTCCGTCCCTTGTTTTCTGCTGTCCCATTCAGTTGCGCTACCTTATACTACCTTGCGCTACCTTATACCTTATACTCGTATAAGGTAGCGCAAGGCTTATAGTATCACCAAGGCAAAACACTACACTACGTGATCGCAGCGCTGTTTAATCAACCGCCTAGAAATGATGACCGCCAGTCGTAATTGGAAGAGCAAACAAAGCTGTCTTCCGCCCGTTTCTGCACATATGCTCAGCCAGCCGCGTGCAGCTGCGCGACTGCTCGATGCCTATTGCCGCTACGTCAAACTTCCTTGGTCAGCGCTGGTGCTGCGCATCGGCCGTTCACAGCTGCACACAGTGAAACGGACGGAAGCAGCGATGTTTACCTACTTCGTTAAGGATTGGACTGCCTGCGCTCCTACTGTTAAAAAGTTAAAAATGAGCAGGAAAAGTAGCTATGTGTCGCACTGTGTAGCCGCCGCCCAGTTCAGCGAGCTGCGGCACAAATCAATGCATGTCCTCCTTAAAAAACTATCGATAAGATATAATTATTGAACCTATTTCGTAAAAAAAAGATATGATCATATACGGTACGTCGGTATCATTAATTAAGGTAGACAATAATGATACTTTAATATTGTGCCATAATTATATTGCTGATTATTCTAAGTTTTAAGTGAGCAAACTTTTGTTGTACTCGTATATACAGTCGCACTCGTGTCGTTAATCGCATAGAACTGATAGAACTGCTAATCTGTAAGTATTTTTAATTTTTTACGATAGAATACGTGCAGTATAGTCAGCTAATTAGTGAGGATACTTCGCGAAGAAAAGTGCGTAGCGGCAGATTTAAGGGAATCGAAGGATTAAAAGTTATCAGTTGCCAGCGAAATCAGTTTTTAATCCACGTCAGGCAGTTATGCAGATGTCGCAATTTCAATTAGACATATCTGTTGTATCAATTCATCCCACGGTTTGATGGTTGGAGAAATGCGTTCTGGATTGCAAGAGCGGTCATACAAACCTGCTGTGCGAGACTGTCGCCTATCCGCTCCACTAAACCGCTTATCGTCTACATATGATTGTATACGTATAGATAATATAATGGAAATACGAGTAACTTGGTAGGTACGTATGTTCCGTTTAAATCCAAATTATAATAAATTTCAGTCTTATTAATCTGCTTCTATACTCGTACCTTGCAAAGTTTTTGCCTACAGCATCTTACGAGTACATATGGCTGCTTCCGATAGTTTCCAGTTTATAAACAGACAAATTCGAAATGGCTTTATCAAACGCGGAATATGCTCGGTGTAGAAAATTAACATCGTGTGGCGTAACCGTTTTCACACAGTCGGCAAACCCGACCCTGTCATTAAAGTACTGCATGCTGACGAAGTTAATGTGTTGCGGCACCACAGGAATTCCGTTGCGCAGTTTTCTTACAATTTCTCTGTAATGGCACAGGATTAGTAAAAGAACATAAAGGTCAATCCAGTTTCGACAATACGACAATATTGCTCGGAAAGCATTTCGCGCAGAAGCTGATCGGCTTTTTCGCGTTCCGTTGTCAGGTGCGATCAGATACGTTGTCTTAATCCAACTTAACGGAATTACGCTCCAGATGCTTGACAATTCGTTCAACAACCGATCCTCGGAAACCCACTGCATCGCTGGTATCGTGGATAATTTTGCTGAATTCACGGAGTTTGTGTACCATTACTGGTACGTACATGTAGATCCTGGCATTGCAAACAGTATGTTTTTGGGTTTTGGGCCTTACCATTACAGTAATAATTATTATTATTATCACTATTAATGTGGTCACCAGCTCACCACACGCTCAGGCTGCATGTACGTATGTACTGGCACGGTACTGCGGTACTACTGTCTTTAACCGCCGTAGAAGTACGCCAGTATTATACAATACTTACGTCTGGGCTACCTGCTTCGGTTTAACGTCCAGCCTGCAGAACTCTCTATGGTACAATGGACTTCAAAAGTGCCTGGTTGCGCGCCGTTTGTAACAAAATTTTGAAGTCCATTGTATGACATTTCCACATGAAATATCAGTTTCTTTGGTTCGTTTACATCCTTGTCTCAGAATTTTGAATTAAAATTAAAGGTTATTTATTTTGTGATCCTGGTTGTTTTTGGTCAGATGATATCCTGTAAAATGTGTAAGAAACAGGTACGTAAGTTTGTGTGTGAACTGGTGATCACCATCATCTGTATCGCCGTGTGGGCCATCAACATCGTCCACTTCAACGATCCCATCCACGGCGGCTCGTGGCTGAAAAGTGCCATCTACTACTTCAAGATCGCCGTCGCGCTGGCTGTGGCCGCCATCCCCGAAGCTCTGCAGGCCGTCATCACCATCTGTCTGGCGCTGGGCACCAGCCGTATGGCCAAGAAGAACGCCATTGTCCGCTCGCTGCCGTCCGTGGAAACGCTGGGCTGCACGTCCGTCATCTGCTCAGATAAGACCGGCACCCTGACCACCAACCAGATGTCCGTCAGCCGGATGTTCTTCATTGAACAGCGCGAGGGCGGTGGAATCGGCCTGCATGAGTTTGAGAGCTCGGGATCAACGTACGAGCCTGTTGGAGAGATTAAGGACAACAGTGGACGCCGCGTGAAGGGAGCGGAGTATGAGAATCTGGTGGAAATGGCCACCATCTGCGCCATGTGTAATGATTCCAGTGTCGATTACAACGAGGTGCGAATAATAATTTTTTTTAACAAACGAAAAATTGATGACAATAATTCTGAAAAATTGTCGTATAATTGCTCAGTATTTCGTGAAAATAATAAAACGGGAAATTGTAGACCAAGCACATCTACGAAAAAGTTGGTGAAGCCACTGAGACGGCGCTGATCGTCTGGGCGGAGCAAATCAACCTCTTCAACACCGAGAAAAACGGCCTGAGCAAACGCGATCTGGGTATTGCCGCCAACCGCAGCATTCAGGCCATGTGGAAAAAGGATTACACGCTAGAGTTCTCGCGCGACCGCAGGTCCATGAGCTCATACTGCTCGCCCACGAAGGGAAGCAAATTCCTCGGTGGAGGTGGCGCCAAGATGTTTTGCAATGTAAAAACCGCTTTATTGCCTATATTTATTTTTCTATCTTATTAATTTATTCAATTTTTCTTATTAATTTGTTATTTTTATTTTGTTTACAGGGTGCTCCGGAAGGTGTCCTAGATCGATGCACACACGTCCGTGTCGGTAACACCAAGATCCCCCTGACTCCGCAGCTGAAGGCCAAGATCTTCGAGAAGACCCGCGAATATGGTACCGGACGCGACACCCTGCGTTGTCTGGCCCTGGCCACCGTGGATGAGCCCATGAATCCCAGCCAGATGAATTTGGAAAACTCAACCCTCTTCTACAAGTACGAGACCAACATGACGCTGGTCGGTGTCGTGGGCATGTTGGATCCGCCCCGCAGGGAAGTCTTCGATGCCATCCAGAAGTGCCGTGGTGCCGGTATCCGTGTGATTGTCATTACGGGTGATAACAAGGGAACGGCTGAGGCTATCTGCCGACGCATCGGTGTCTTCGGCGAGAACGAATCCACTGAAGGTAATATATTAATAAATTCGTAGAAGAATGTGCATTGTTAAATTTGAGTAAAATTGGAAGTTAACAGAAATAATGCTGCTGAATAATTTTGTTTGTTAAATATAATTTTCCGAAAATTGGTGATGGCATTGCATTTATTGAAATAATATTAAAGCGAATTAAAGGCACTGAGTGGTAACAAAATGAATGGTCAAATTTTATACATTTTTTGGAAGTTGTTGTATAACGTGTGCATTTGTAGGAATGTCATACACCGGTCGTGAATTCGATGATTTGAGCGTCCATGAACAGCAGAATGCCGTCCTCCGTGCCCGATTATTCTCCCGTGTGGAACCGGCCCATAAAAGTAAGATCGTGGAATTCCTGCAGGCGGCTGGCGAAATCACGGCTATGGTATGTTTATTGACTCTGTAGCTGTCGTTTAATTGCAAGCGCTTGGTAGTGACATGGTTTTACAGACGGATGATGGTGTGAACGATGAGCCCGCGTTGAAGAAGGCCGAAATCGGTATTGCCATGGGTTCGGGAACGGCGGTGGCCAAGAGCGCTTCAGAGAGGGTGTTCGCCGACGACAACTTTTCGTCCACTGTATCCGCTGTGGAAGAGGGCCGTGCTATCTACAATAACATGAAGCAGTTCATTCGGTATCTGATCTCCTCCAACATCGGTGAAGTCGTCAGGTAAATTTGCATTTTACCTATTTTTAGCAGAATAAAATGTTGTTTTAACGGTTTACCACAGTAAATGCGTAATTGTACTAAATTATGGCAAATTAATTTTTATTATTAATTATTCTTATTAATTTCTGCAAATGTTTTTGTGACAGTATCGTCCCATAATTTTTAGATTGACTTTTTCGGGTCTGGAAATTATTTTTCGTGTTTGTAGTATTTTCTTGACGGCCGCTTTGGGTATGCCGGAAGCGTTGATTCCCGTGCAGCTTCTGTGGGTCAACCTGGTGACGGACGGTCTCCCTGCCACCGCCCTGGGCTTCAACGCTCCGGATCTGTTTCAAAATTTTAAAAATATCTAGAAATCTGAGTATCTCAATATCGCACGGCTTAAATTGTCTGATTTATTTGTAATTTCTAAATATCTAAAAGCCGGCCCGCGGCCCGTTTACCGTATTCACTCACGTAGCGGCTATGTAATTCTGGTGGTAGCTTAGGCATTCGCTAACCTACGTTCCTCTGTAATACTGAGTACTGGCGGTAGCTTCGGTATTCACTAAGCTCGAAATCTAATATAATATATGTATTTATTTTATTTTAATGATTACTGAAGAGCTTGACTGAATGGCTGAAATTCTTACAATCTTATCCTGCAATGTACGAGTAAACTTACTGTGTGTACACTTACCGCTGCCAGGATAGTTAATCGCATAACTAATTGTAAGAAGCAAGGTCGCATTTTTTACACAAACTTGAGGAGGTTATACCGTAAATAGAAAATATCTATATACAATACAGTACATATAAACTGAACCTGTAAACTGATCGAGTGCAAAGCTTCCTGTGGAAAATGCTAGCGCAGTACAAAGCAGTGTGTCGGTTAAGAAAACGCGAAATTCTTTACTTCATCTGAACTGAACGTTGTATACTTACCTTTTAGATCTTTAGGCTACGAGTAAAAATTAAGTGTCGTAGCAAGTACCTGGTAAACTGCTTCGGTACCAGAAATAAGTACAATTAACTGACTGTGATCAAACGCACTTGTGAGCCTCCAAATTAAAGGAAAATGACATGTCATTTTGTTTTGAAAAAATAACTGCTTGAATGCGCTTTTGAGAAAGATATTTCTGGGTTCCACATTGGTCAACCTGATATATAGTGTCCAAGTTTAATTTACCATTTATAAACAACAGGAAGAAGAACTGTTATTCATAAGTTGTTGAGGTTATCAGGCACTGCACTATTGAAAATCGAGTTTTCAAGTAAAACCGTTGTCCCCATTGAATAAATACCACTACATCGCATCCAAAAACGGTTTCACCGCTGCGAATAGAAGGTAATCTGTGCGAGTATTCCTGCGCACAACGCAGTAAAGGCATCATGTCACAATTAGAAAAAAAGCATACAGTATCGCAAGAATAAAAGAATAAAATTAATTACATAACTGAACGTAAAAGTAATTTTAATGTCTTCGCTGATTCAGGCATTCATAGCAGCAAGGCGTAAGTAAATGTTGGCTCAGTATTTAGTGATGCCTTGGCAGCAGATATAACATACTAAGCAGGACTCCTGAGGTTTACGATAGGGCGTGGGCACACGAAATGTTTGGATACACAATGGTATCCGGACGGCAGTGGGACAAGTTCAGTCGTATTGCACCGGCAGCGTAGCTCCTGCGCTCCTGTGCATTGTCAGTGCGATCGATAACAAAGGTCACGTAGCCAACTACGCACACTATCAGCTGTGAAAACAAAAAAACTTCAGTAGTATGTAGTTGTGTATGCATTGACCGTTTTGCATGCCGCAGAATTTGTTCTAGTTCTAAGTTTGTCAAGCAGTACATGCCAGAAGCAAAATAATACAAAAACAACCGACACCTGTAGTTCTGCGTAGTACTTCGGACTTCCTGAATGATGAAGCTTTCTCAAAATATTATATGAAGTAGAATTTCAAATATTTTGTATACAATTACGTAATGTAATTCATAAGTCAGTATCAAGAACAACAGGATAAGCCATAGCTGCAAATTTTAGAATTCTTAATTCACACACCAGGAGAATAGCTTGTGGATTTATATCGACCAATCTTCCAGCGCAAAAACCGCGTGGGCGATCGGATTTTCTGAGCATGTGGATGACTTTCACAAGGTGGTCTTGTCTGATATCGATGGCTCCTTGCTGTGGTGCCGCTTCAGCTAAATCACTCAGTAACAATAATTCTAAATCGGAGCGAATAAACACTAGCAATAACTGACTGTCATGTATATAAAGGATCGGTAGTGTATGTATTTTGCGTAATCACAGCACTAAGATGAATATGTGGGTGTATGCAGCAATTATTTGCAAATGAAAAAACGATTCCTTTCCCAAAAGTACAGTATTCATTTTTTAAAAGCGTGCGAGTAAGTGCTGATGTACACAGCACACACTGACCACGATTTTAGATACTGAGCTTACTTGTGCCGCGTGCATACATTTTTGTGGTTTGCACAAATCCGATCTTGTCCATTTTATCTAAAATTTCTTCGTGCTGCCATAAAGATATGCTTATAAATGTTATTATTCAGATTGCAATTAAAGTTGAATAAATTTGGACAAATATTTCGGCAAACCGTTTTTTACCTGGTAGTAGACTTTAGTAGCTACTCCAAAGATCATAGACATTTCGTATAAAACTATCACAACAGTCCATGCACCCCGCACGATCCAGTGGATATTGCCCAGATTTAAACTCATGCTGGCGTCTTCGTCGGTGGCATATCCAAAAGTAGCGTACCATCGTGACACAGCCGCCATCGATTCCAGAACGCTTCCGGTGATTTGAATAATTAGAGCCGTGCAAAAAGCCTTTCGCTTTCGGCAAAGGTCATTGGCGAATAGCAGAGCATTCGTAACTGCATTGTGCGCGTAGATGGATGATTATTGATGTCACCGGGAAAGCTGTTGCGAAGCATGTGATCGATGAATTTTGAAAGTCGAACACCTTTGCACAGGCTTAAATTAGCGCAAAATACAAAAAGAGAATCTAGAATGTAAATCATTAACGGACCGATAAAGCGAATAACAGGATAAAGTGTTCCGCGTACAAAATAACCGCTCAACGTGATCGTGGCAATAGTTTCTGAAAGTGGTGTTGGTAAATTGTAGGCGTTTATTCCAATTTCGCAGGCGAAACGACAACAGCACAAGACCGTCAAGCATACAAATTTTTTACCGGTAATAATTTTGCACTTGGATATAGTGGAGCTGTCTTCGCTGGCTAGGCATTCGGTCAGGAAATTGCAGAAAAAAATAAACTTTGCAATAATGAGAATCGACAAGCAGAACAGTCGGCCTAGTATAGTCTGCGACTGGAAGAATGCCACAATTTGCACAAACGGATTTGCATACTCGATCACGTCAAGAGTTGCATATGACACCAAATCGCCGAGGTCGAACGCAAAAAGTATGGTTATAAGGGTGCTGGCTAAAATCAACGCTATCCGCCCTTTCAACACCATACTTGTACTGATAAATGATAATACAAGTTCCAAGCATATGTACAATATAGTAATCGTATCAGTCTATAGTTGCTATGTGTATTTTAAATGTAAATGAAAGGTTTCACTTATTGCGCGTAGGTACAGTAGGAAATGCTAAAATAATTATTAATTGTGTGCAAATAGCAAGACGATACTTGCAGTTATTTAAATTATCCACAATGTTACTATACCTCGATCTTGTGCAGTAAAATGCATCATCCTCGCTTTTCTCTTGTTTGATTTTGCTGTATTTGTTTTTCAAAAACGATATGGCTGCAAGCCTGCAGAAACATCATCCAAGAGTTCGCTAGCGTAAGCGAAAACCTTCGCTACGGCGTACAACGCAAATCCCATCTGCCAGAAGGTTTACATTCATTTACTGTACTTTCGCGTTATCAGATTCTACGAAAACGACTAATATGTGCTTTCGGCCTAATTAATTAATATTGCTACTTAAAGTAGTCCGATAATTTAGAGAATTATCTTGCGAGTTACGACACATCAAAGCAGCAACGTTTCACACCTCTACCTTCAGTAACCGTAGGTAGCACTTTAGTATTCCCCAGAAAATCCCGGAATTGAGAATACTTACTGTACGTATACTGTACTCATTCGTACTGTTCTGTACATGTGCACTTTAATTCTGCCTTGCATCCCTGTCAAGCTAGCAGTTTTACTGTACGATAATCTCGTACTTAGTTTTTCTATGGAATACAGGGATCATACTATTACTCACATTATTATTACCGCCATAAGAATTAAACTATTACACACTTTATACCGTACATTTTGCAAGATGCAAAGAACACTTTTTGATACTGCAAAGTATTTGCTCACTTCCGGTACTACAAAATTAATGCATAACAAAGTGAATTCACCAAAAATGCGACCGCCTTCGGGAGCAGGCTAGTGACTCCAAATCTTGTGGTCCAAGGGTCCAAGCAGAAATCGTGACAGTTTCAGACAGGATAACAAATTTTTTGTTGCTTTCACATTACGTTTTGTAAGTTTTCTTCAACTAAAATTATTACCCTTTTATTCTCGTAGTTATAATTTGGGCTCTGATTTTTGTCTGATTTATTGGCTTGCTGAACGGAATGGCTCTTCGCGGGCTGCGGGTGCTTGAGATGGCAGGCTTAGCACCGGGACCCTTTTGTGGATTAATTTTATCGGACTTCGGTGCTCGTGTTATTCGCGTTGAACGTCCCAACAGCGCGACGTTTCACATGGATAAACTAGCGCGCGGAAAGGAGAGCATGGCCCTCAATCTGCGCCATGCGCAGGGACAAGCCGTCTTCCTTGATCTGTGCTCGAAATCGGACGTTGTAATTGGTAACTACACATTTACAATCCGTGAAATGCTGGTGAGGTAAAACCCCGCAAAAGCTTCGACATTTGACAAATGACTTGTAAACAGTGCAATCCTGACAATACAGAATCACATGGGTGAATATTCGCTCGTTCTGCATAATGCAGAATTTGAAATAGCATTGATTTGATTTTTAATTTATTTCGTGAATTCCAGATACATACCGCCCAGGAGCGATGGAGCAGATGAAACTGGGCCCAGAACAAGTCTTATCCGTTAATCCATCGTTGATTTTCGCGCGTCTGAGTGGATTTGGACAAACTGGACCGTTCAGCGAAAAAGCTGGGCATGATATTAATTTTCTCGCTTTATCGGGTAAGATTCTGCAGGTTTTGGGTGTAAAAGTTAAATCTGATTTTGAGTGAATTTTGTTAGCTGACAATTGGCACTTGATAAAAATTATTGTTAACTAAATTAGTAATTTAAATTACTACAAAATTCAAAAACTAAGTGATTTCCATCTTCAGGTGTTCTGTCAAAGCTCGGACCGAAGCAGGGAAATCCACGTCCTCCGCTGATGCTTTTGGGCGATATCGGTGCTGGAGGATTGTTGTGTGCATTCGGAATTCTGTCCGCTGTAATTGAACGTATTACGACCGGAAAGGGAAAAGTTCTCGACGCAAAGTGAGCGCCACTTTGTTGAATTTGCTTTATTTACGAATTTAATATTTGTAATTAAACATTTTAATTGTGGCATTAATCGAGGCGCTATGCGTGGCAGTATGTTGTAAGAATTTTATTATGAATTCTATGGGCGCAGTTTAGAATACGGTAATTTTAGTTTAATACCACGTTGCCAGCTTGATTACTCAAATGACGGTATTCATTGTGACAGTATTACAGATGGCGCGGCGTACTTTTCGACTTTGCTGTGGCGGGCCGCGGATTTGCCAGTGTGGGGCAGAGGACGAGGGGATTCGTGGTTTGATGGCGGACTGGCGTATTATGACACATACCGGTGTCGCGATGGAAAGTATGTGGCGGTCGGGTGTCTGGAAAAACCGTTTTTCGATCAGCTGCTGAAAGGTATTTGATTGTTGTCAATGATATAGAGAGAAAATCGATAGTGCTGTTTACTATTGCATAACCAAGCTGTACACAATAAACATTTGAGCCATTTAGAGTTTCTAATATTGTTCAGTAAGAAGCTATAAATTATTAAGCTGTACTATTACTTAGCGCTATAATATTATCACGCAATCATTGCGGAGAACAGTAGTGTCCATTCATTAATTTTTGAAGTGTGGTATGTGCATAAGTTTCTCATTTGTTTGTGTTGTGCTGACAATTGTATGCATTGCACTACTGTTCTCCGCAATGATTGCGTGATAATATTATAGCGCTAAGTGATAGTACAGCTTAATAATTTATAGCAAGTGCCTGACTATACATGCTTTTTTTAAGAGCGGCTTAATGTGTTCCAGGATTGCAGTTGGAAGGGAAGTTTGATCAGACCGATAATCAGGATTCCCTTGGAACAATATTTACCGATTGCTTCGCACAACGAGATCGAGATGACTGGATACAGCATTTTAATAGTTTTGATGCCTGCGTCACGCCGGTGCTTACAACGGAAGAAGCTCCACTTTATCCTCACCAAAAAGAGCGGGGCACGTTTATGAAAAATGATTCCGGTCTCGGGAATGAACCGGCACCGTTCCCTAAGAGTTTAGCCTTTGGTAACTCGTACGATTCTCCACAGCCCAAGAGAAGAGAAGTGCTGCATCCCGGCCAAGATACGATTAAGATTCTTAAAGAAATGGGATATGCTGATGAAAAAATTGATAAATTACGAGCGGACGGTGTTGTGGAAGCGGATATGTGATTTGTGACTTGGCTTTTGATTAATGGACTAATAATTTATTTTTTATTTTCACATGTATGCTAGAACATGTGAGTAAGTATTGGTTTTTTCTTACTCGTAACGATGAATTATTAACAAGGGATTTGGGCTTATATCTGTACTGAATGTCTATAATATTAGACGCAGTCATTTATGATTTGGAGAATAGATTTTCGTTCACTTTGACTTCACAGGTCAGTTTAATTTATCTCGGCTTCTCACATGCACCTCACGAAAACTGCACATTTAATTGGTCACTGACTTATTAGTGAACGCAAATGCAGTGGGAGGAATATTACTGCTCTTTGCAGTTGTGAAATTGCCATGTATTTGTTTATTTATTAAATTAATTTGGACTCTGAAAGTTATATTTTTAAGGACCTTAAAAATGTAACTTTCAGAGGTTTTCTGTCTGTGGATGCATACGATAGTGCAATAAGTGCATACGTCGGAAATTTCAAATACCAACTGAACAAGGCAGCAACAATCGGTAATTTATTGTTAGTAATTAATCGGTAATTGACTAAATGTGTGTAATAAGGTGTGTGTTTTTCTAATTGCCCCATTAAATATTATATGCTTTACTGTTTTTACAATAAATAATTAGTGTACTCGTACTGTATTCATAAACCATAGTACGCGTCCTGTCATTTCTCTGCTGGTACTGTACAGAAGTACCGCGTACAGAAAAGGACAGACTGTACGTAGTACTGTACTTGTGCAGCACTTGTGGACGCAGTGTCGACACCAGCTCTGACCGTGATTTCCGATCAGCGATCACTCTTGTTCGTTTCTGGTTGCAGACGACTTGTTGCAGTGCAGGTCAGCTGGAAGCTGTATTGATAAATTTGATATCATCCTATTTTTCGAACTCCTGCAGCTTTATCTTTTACCTTTTTTTGACGCCATTTTTGCATTTTAATCTGATGGGGATTGGGAAGTTTTTGTCAACTCCGTGATCACTTCCAGTTCCAGCGTAATTCCTACCCTAGGGTTTGTGGTGGTGTTCTAAACAGGAAGGTTATCGACTGGTGGCCATTTGCTCTGTCGTTTTCATTTGTGGACTTTTCTTGCTGTCTGCTGCCAACATAATCTCCTTAGCATGGGATCCCGAACTTCCCCCACTGCTAACGGTGGCCGATCCCCTGCTTCCTCAGCAGCAGGATACAAAGTTTTCTTCGGCATTATCAACAAACAGGTAAGTACAGGTTGATTCTCGATGTTGTTTTTAAAGATGGAGGCCTGTTTGTTCACGTTTGCAGATGAAGGATGCGCTGTGCATTTCGAACCGTCTGTCTGTCTGATGTGTTTTTCATTTTCTTTTGCTTCCTACTTTATAGAATGATCCAGATATGAGGCGTATTGGGACACAATTCTTGAGGCGCTGTGGTTTGCAGCCGGACGCCTACACCGACTTGAAGGCGCACTTACAGTAAAAAGAAACAGTGCGGATGTGGTAGTGTTCCCTGTTGCATCCTAGCTTTGTTTGCACCTTTGCAGGGGATTCGTAGTGACCTTTCGAACGAAGAGCGATGCCTTGAATGCCGTTGACTGTTGCGATGAAGGCACGCTGGGCGATGCGTGGAAAGGTTCGGTGACCGCGCGGCTGTATCAGATTAACGAAGAAGCGGATTCTGTCGTCAGTCGCATGCAGAGGGAGCTCTGGATCTTCCCGGACAAATCCATCGGGGAAGAGGCGCGCATGGAGGACGTATTGAAGATCGTAGAGTTTTGGCAGAAGGCAGGCATATGTCCGCGCCTGGACGATAAAGCCAAACCAACCCCCGAAGAAGAGGACGCGTTCCGTCGCAGTTTGCTGGATATTCCTACGTTGAAGAATCAGTAAGAACGAGATGAATTCTTCTGATCATTCGATAATCATTAATTTGTTTATATTTTATGATTATATCATCATAGCCATTTTTTAATCGGTGATTATGCTTAGTAAGTTTCTCTTTATCCGAATTCGAATTTTTGATCATTTATTGCTTTTGTTGTCATATTTTGTGCAGCTTACGGTCTGATTGTTGTAATTGTTGGTGTTAGCTATATATATGTATTTGTTATTAATGTGAACGTAATTATAAATTCACTGTCTGTTTTCCTGCAAGCAGTAAAATCAATCCTGATTTATTTCATTATTTTTATTTGTGGGTTATTATCATATCATTCTGCTTATTGAAGGAACGTTATGCCGAATTATGGTTTTAAGACGGTGGTGCGGACCGTATCCTCGGAAGCCGCGATTGCAGCGTCTGTGAATCCGCTGCCCGATGAATTATCCGGTGTATTCGACGGGAGGGGATTCGTTATTACATGCTCCCGCCCGTGCGAGTTCAGACACCGCCACGATGGTGAGTCCGTCGTTCTCCACCTTCCGACCAAGTGGCGCACCTCTTTCGATGAGGTAATATCTGTAGAGTAACGGAATACAGAATGAGAGCAAAGGAATACTGAATAAGAGTAAAGGAATATAGAATACGATATATATCTGGCCTTTCCGTATACGTATGCATTTCTTATGCCATCTTTAGGTTATTAAACGTTATTTCAAATTACAATTAATTTCCTTGAATTTTTATCTTTTAAGATTGAACTTCCGAAGTGGGTGGAAGAGCTGAAGGTCAAAAGTGGATTTGAGGGAGAGAAGCTTCAAGAGAAGGTCAAAAATCCGTAAGTTAATCTGGGTGCATTGCCCTGCTGTGTTTGCTTTCTTTTTCTTTAGCATTATCTGGAAAATTGGTTGAATTAGAAAAATGCATCAATTCCTCGGCTTTCGCGATGGGAAGGAGCGAGAACGTTTTATTAAGGCGGTGGAGAAGCATATGCCGACTTATCACGGCGTCCCGGTCCGTGCGCTCCGTTGGTCGGATTCCATTTTGTACGATTTTATAGGAGTTCTGAGCGAGCAGGATCGGGCTGATTTGGTCGACGTCGTCCAGGGTAGTCCGGAAATGTTGCAGAAACTGCAGGAGCGCCCCGTTTCTCGAAATGGATGTGGCGACGGTGACTCAGCGAGGATTAATTGTAAGTCTTTAGTGCAACGGAATGTCATTTAAAATGTTTGCCTTTTCGTTTTGTTAACTGCAAAGGCTTTTTTGACCAATCATTCGTGTTAATTTCAATGTAAAAACTGTAATTTGTAACTGATGGGAGAAGGGCTAGTTGTTCGGGGATTGTTTGGATTAGTTTAATTTAACTGTGTAATTACTTACTGTAACCGAATGTTTATCAAGCTTGTAAGTTATTAACGACGCAAAGTTTTGTAGCAGACCGGCACTTTTTCGTGACTTTCGACAAATGACGTATCTGATATATTTTCAAAAACAGTTTGAAATTTAAATTTGCGCATATACATATACTCGTACAGCGTAATTTATTAAAAGCCCAGCCCTTATTGTTGACAGTATTTTTCAAGATATGATTCTGCTGGTGGCGTAATCCTGGTTAATTATCGAAATTATGTTTACGGTAATATGAGTATCCCTGGTTTTTGCAGCGTCCGATGAGCTCGCGGAAATGTCCTGGTGGAGCTGCTACTTACAGGTGAATGCCTGCGCCAACCAGGACATCTTGTTCACGGTGGAGCGTCCAAATGGGGGCAATATGGACAGAATTACAGTGGATTTTTCGGTCTTGCTGGTATTCACCGAAGGGTACCACCAGGCTGCGTTGAAACGTGCTGAGACCATCCGGAAATTTGAGCCCCAGCTGGAGGACATGATTGTTCGCTTTAAAGCTAGCGGCGGAATGATCATGAATGAGCATTTGTCCTTCGATTCACTGGGCGGGTATTGACACTGAAACCGGTACAGTTGTATTAATTGCGCACGTTACAGTTTTTGTTTGCAGAATCATGTTCTACTTGTGGTTTCCGAAATTGGAGGATGCGGTAGCGGCGTACCGAATGATTACACCAAAGGACGCCAATACCAAAGCGCGCTTCAGCGTTTACGATGTTATTCAGCAGCACGAGGGTGAAAAAGTCCGTACATGCGCTTCCCTGGATACTGGCTTTTCGGTCACATTCCCAAAAGGCGAATGGGAAGTCAAAATGGATCTCAAGCAGATCGCCCGTAAAGCCGAAGCGCGGTAAAAGAATCTGTATTTTTGGTGCCAATGATGATTCAAGTTAGATGTTATTTTTGTACTTTTGTCTATGTTATTTTTGTCTACGTGTTCTTTCTTTTGTTTCCCGAATTGCTTAACCGAACAGTTTCTTATTAGTGGCACTGGCCTTATCGACTGTTGTGATTCGGTAGCATTCGGAATTATTTGACTTCTGTTGTCGTTTGAGTCTGTCGTAAGAACAACGATGACCTCTCGTTGGCTGACAAACTGGAAAATGCCGGAAAAGAAATAAACACCGTTCGCTTAATGAACATTAAATCATAGGCACCGCGATACTGAACACTACGGCAATTGACATAAAACCACAACATCTCATCTAACACTGGAAACTGCTAACACTGGAAACTGTACAGCGATAAAATAAAAATCAGCAAAACCATTCATAAAAGTGTAACATCAGCACTTACATGAAATTACGTACATCAGGACATTTACAGTTAAAGCCCGAAGGAACCGATAAAATTATTCTGGTTTATAATCCATCGTACGTGATACTGCACTGCGGAAGCTGAGATTTAAGATGCTTGACGCATTCGGCCGGATTCTTGACGCCGGGCAGATCGCCCAGGTGGAGCTCCTTTAAATTCTTAAACCTGGCCAGTTCCTTCAGTCCCCAGTCACCGACGTTGCCGCAGCTCGTCACCTCCAAAGTGACCAGGCCACTGCCGAGGTAATCAGCCAGCAGCGACAGCGCCTTATTATCGATGTGGGCTGTCTTGTGGAATTTCACCATGCGTACATCCTTCAGACCCTCTGTAAATACCCAAAACCCAATAGAAAACGCCCCTCTTTTGTAAATGCCGTTTTGTTCTGGTGCATAGTTTGTACTCGTACTATGATACTTATTAAAGGTTGTGTACAATAGAAAACATTTCATTTATATATCATTTCTTTAATAAACAACTTCCAATATAAAAATAACAATTATCTACTAAAGTAAAAAATAAACAAAATTAAATTCTACGAACTGAATGGGAAGTAGTCGATAAATTAATTCGTGCAAAATACGCGGTACTTACTACTTACCTAAATAGGCAAATCCATCGGAATTAATGCAGGCATTGCTGGCATCAATGGCCTCGATCTTCGTGTTGGGACCCGATCCCATGCCCAGCTGATTGTAGTCGGTTACCCATTTGGCATGATTACTCCATTTGACACTGCCGCCGCAGCGCATAATCCATTCAGCCGCGGCCACTTCCGCTCCGACTTCCGCGATACGCTTCTTATCCACCCTGCGAAAACAACAGTCCACATCAATCACCAAAACAATACGAAATAATATAATATCATATCAACGAGAGCATTCGATCAAATATCCTATAATCAATGATTCAGGGTCTGTATATAGAACATACATATGTAATGAACACACCATGCTATAATGCACCCAACTATGGCAGATCGCAAGCTCCATCGTCGAATACAAATTCATCGTCAACGACAAAATTAGGATCGAAAAGCACAACCTGCAATTATTGGTCATACGGGAGCTTACTTATTCCATGCACCGTCCAGGAAGGAGCCAAACAAACTCATATTTCTGGATTGTATCATCGCCAGGATCGGACAATAATAATGGTGCAATCTGACGGTTCGCGCAGCACACTCCGACGTAAGCTGCCATCTTCCTGCGTTCATCCACACGGCCGCAGCTCGATCACGGGAAAAGGTCCGACGTGCACCCTGCACGACGGGACGAGACATCGTCCGCAACATTACTGCGGAATATCGCGGCAGCATCTTCTCAGGACAAAAATGCGGATAGGATCTACAACTACGGTTCACGCACAGGAGCGATCGATATACTGCAAAACAGCAAAAGCACCACGCACTTCGCTCAGATTGCAATTAATTTGACAGAGAAACTAAAACCAGTGCGGAGCGAAAAAAACTAAATTGTTCCAGTGTGAGTCTACGCGATCAACACAATCAAAAGTTTAGTGCTAAATGCAGTCTGTCAGAAAACAAAAATCTGTACAAATTACAAATAACAAATTTTTAGGATGAGAAAATGATGAAAATCACAAACAAATGCGACAAAGCAGCAGCTGATTCTCCATGCACAGTGAAAGGAATTTCACCAGAGCGTAACGCGCCGAGAGTAGTGGTTTAGTAACTTTGGTTAGGTGTCGTCACTTTGTCCGTACGGACCGTACCGTACTCGCACAGAGCATCGTATGTACAGTACTTAAAAACTTCCGGTTATTTTCAATTGTTATTAAATTTTATACTAATTTTGCTAACGGCAAGATAAAGTATGTAGTGTGCAGTGGTTTCGGAAGATTTTATAGGTAGCAGCTGTGTGATTAGTGACTACTTGTTATAATTACTGTATTCGTGAAAAATTACTACACACTACACAGTTTTTACTTTTTAGTGTAAAATGATGAATGCGAAGTTTGCAAATTCTACATAATCGTTCTACGATTGATATTAAATGATGATTGTTATACAACTACGAGTACGCATCGCTGGCGCGCAATGTATCTTCTAACTTTATTCTTTCCATTTCAACCGTTTAACAAACCAACAAATCAAACCAACATAGGCCGCACAGCACAGAAGTTCAGCAGCTGTAAGTTAATGGCATCTCTAAACCAGCAATCTTCAAATGGTATTTTACGAAAAGACGAACAACTAATCAAGATCGCCTCCGATGTCAGTATAATCCACCGTTTCGGGAGTTTTGTTGTCGACATCCATGGGCTCCGATTCGTTCGCGTTCTTTGATTTGGCATCACTTCGTAAACCCTTCATTTTCTTAACGTTTAATCGCGTGAAATCCTGTGTCTCCATATGGATACGACCCAGTTTAGAACCGAACACGTCCTGGGATACGTTCTTCGTTTTCTTGATCTGCAAGTCGCAACCATAATCCACAATCAATTCATTACGGTATTCGCACACATGTCATTCATGTATGACAAGTAAAGAGATAATGCTTCAGCGATACCGCGCAGCAAAAAAAATTGTATTGAACTACGAAGTATTATGTATGATCTGCTTTGCATATGCAGAAAAAGACGACAACAGAACTATCGTATTGTCGGCGGCAGTCTCGGCACCCCAATAAAGCAATCAACGACAGCGAAAAATTTATTACAATAACTGTATAAAGCGCAAAATACTCTATACTTATTTTTAATTTATCCGGACAACCAAATGAACAATCACAAGAAATAAATATCTCACTGCAGTTAATTATTTTCTCACCTTGGTCTCTCTGGGTACACGACAAGCCGCTTTCCACAGATCCTCTGAGGCCACTTTACTTCGGTTTGGAACAAAATCCATGCTCGGACCCATTGGCGTCAAAGTGGTTTCTTTCGGTTTCGTGCTAGTTTCATCACTTTCTTCCGTTCCGTTCAACCTGAAGTCAAACCAGCATTTTTTCTCAAATAAGTTTTCGACGTCTACAGTATTCCCACAAATATTCAATGTTTGGAGTACGGCATATTATACGCAACACACACATGAATGTTCGCATGAAAATCCGTTCTCCGTTGGTAACAAATGTGATCGCGTGTGAAACACCCGCCGGACGAATTTTGTCCACAATCGGGCCTCGGAAGTAATCTGCAAGCCGTTCCACAAGTTCAACAACCAGCCTGAATTATGACTGTGCAGCAAAGTTACCGATAAAAACAGATTTTATGGCACGGAAAACGGGATCATGCTCAAAAGCTTCACCACGGAATATCAAGAGAGGTTTATTTCCTAATGGAGGTGAAATACCCTGAAAACAAAAATTTCAAACTCAGTTTTCATGAGTAATGCCACATAAATACTGTACCGAAGGACAGACAGAACTGAAACCTACCGGAAAATCAGCGATGCCTTTGTAGTTTTCCACGGAAAACTCAAACATGTCCAAAATATGGTGGTCAAACGTTCGAACTGTAACGGACATAACACTATACATGCAGAACCAATTGCGAGGTATGAGTACTACAAGGAAATAAGACCGGATCTCACACTGCTGACAGCTAACCAGAATGCTCACCGAACGTAACGCAAGTCGGTCTTTTTTTGTTGTGGGATCCGGTGATCAGCAGTGAAGCATCATGCTGGGATGAAAATTTTTCCTAAAACACAGGAATATCTATCTAATTGCGGTTGAGGCTGGAGACGATGCAAGAAATACAGATACTGTATCTACAAAGGGACCAAAGACTTTAGAAAGCATATCCGAAATGTGCATGGTCGAAATCTGATCAAACTGGAAGTGCCAAAAGCAGCAGATTCTTAATATTCAAGCTTTAAGCAGTCACCCAATGAACAGTATATTTTTCAATTTTTCGAAATAAAATCAAGCCTGCAAAAATTTTTACCGCAGTTTAATTATAAACAAAATATGCATATGGTAACTTGCTCACTTTTATTTTGTAACAGTTCAGAAAAACCGCGGTACACATTTTACAGTACACTAGTACAAATAACGTAATTTTGATGGAAGGTTCAGCAAACGCTAAATTGATACTAAAAATTAAAACAGCAAAACAGAAGTAGACTTGACAGTAGTAATGATAAAAATCATAAAATATAAATAAAACTGGCCAAGATTGCGAAAGGACTAGCAGCTTACCAGTAGTTGCTCATTTTCAAACGGGCGGAGCTCATGTTTCCTGCCAGAACAAATTAACTATGAGTAAAAGTGCTGTAAAACATATGAGACAATAAACAGCGAGAGCGATAATCAAGCATTCGAGTTTTACCTTCCAAGGAAAGAGGAATCGGGTTTCTTGAGAGCACTCTGTCAAAAACATCCGTCAACAAACTTAACTCTTGAGTTTTCCACAAAACTTTGTATCACTCACCAGATCTTTAAGGATTCTGACGACCAGCTCACTTGCGGTATTGGTGCGGATGGCCAGAACAGATTTCGTATTCTCAAACAGCTTGGGTTCTCGGTTCTTCAGGAAGCGCTTGCCGCGCTGAGATCGCGGTTTTCTACAACCAGAGATGACTCGATGCTATCCGAACTGAGGTTTTGAACACATTAAATGGAAGTTTTACTTACTGGACTTTACGTTGAAGACTCATACTGAAACAGAAAACTATCAAACTCCACGAACTCCTAAAACAACTACTTATAACTTTTGTGGAATTTTGCTTTGAAAGCAAGCATGTTGAAAAGAAGCACCGGAAGTCGAAGACTTGTTGAACGATCCAGCCACCTTGCGACGGCAGGTACTTATCCTATCGTAGCAAACTGTGGCTAGTCTTTCTGCGAAAAAGGAAAACAGAATCGGAGTTCTCAGTTCGTTTTATTGTTTTCAGTTCTGTGAGGATTTTCCTTTTTGCTTTTTTAATTAATTTGTAGCAGTTATCTGGTTTGTGATCCTTTTCTCTCGTTCGTTATGGATAGTAGTGGTGGTAACGGACATCCCTCATCCAGCACTTGCGCTCCCCTGTTTATTCTGTCGCGTTCAGATTTCGAACTTCGCGTTTGGGAAGAAGATGAAGTCCAGTCAGCAGTTTATCGAACAACATTAATCGCCGACATTGGAACGCTGAAACTTATAAGATCAGACGACCAGCAGCATGTTGTCATCGTATTTTCGAAAACTACTCTCGTCGACAAGGCTGGACGTCAAAGTGGCAGTGATGTAAGGATATCCGTGCACCGTGACAGATGGAATGTATCTGCAGCAGAAATCGGAATATCTTCTATTTCATCACGCGATGTGCTGATGAGTTGCCGCGGTACCGTTCCCCTTAACCTTGATTCTTACACCTTGATGGATGAAAAAATTGCGGAGAATTCGGAGGAGAAGATGCATTCGTTTTTGATACGATTTGACAATTGTCTGCGTCGCGTCGAATTTCTTCGATGTCTGAGAAACGCGCTTCACGGTCTAGGGAAAAATTCGTTTATTCCCAGTGATAACAATGGAAATATCGCAACCACTCTGGAACTTAATAGCCATGATTCCGTCTCGGACATGGCTAATCCGACGAGTGGAACTTGTGCTACAGCGCCGGATCCAGTTACAACCAGTGCAAACGGAGTTCAGAACGCATCGGAGATTGTGCTAACGCGGAAAAGGAAACGCAAGCAAAATGTTGTTGGATCTCGCAAGGATCGTCGGGTGAAATTAAAAGACTCCGCTTCCGGAATTTCCAGTTGTGAACATTTGAATGTAAGCAAAAGATGCGTTTTGTTATACTTCATTTATGTTTACTGTGTTTTATTGTTTATTGATTTTCCATTTTTGTATCTGTGATATTTTGTTGTTTATTGAATAGATTAACTTTTTGTTAAGGATGATGTGTTTTGCATTGCAGAATGATGTGATTCGATATGCTCAACTTCACGGCTGCCAGCAAGCCTGTGATAAATTCGGAATGGACACCAGAGATCTGCGCGATCGTGTTTTCGAATTGTTCAGCAAAACCGGCCGATACAGCGCTGTTAATCGTGATCATTCTCCGTCTCATATTACCCAACCATTGCTGACTTGTTTCGCTGCCGATGAAGTTTTCTTGCTTCAGAAGCTTATGGAGAAAGCATCGGAACTGGCAAAAGCTAAAAAACCACGCAGGCCCTTTGAGCCGACGCTCAAATGGGCCGCTCGTTTTGTTCTGTATCATAATTTGCGGAATGTGGAATGCAATGATACGGAGGATATTTTACGCTTGGCGGAATTCCCGTTGATCCCACCAAGTGATGCCTTTAAAATCCTAAGCGGTGGGGCGGCAGATGCGCCGGCAACCAAATGGGAATTGCGCCGATATTTTGTGGATTTTGCCGATAAGACGTCGCTGCGGGTTGCCGCTGAGCTGTTCAACATACCGAAATCGACGCTGTCCGAGTGGTGCAATAAATTAAATGGTGCTGATGGGAAAAGTTTACCTTCTGGTTCGGGGAGGGCGATCACATATTCAAAGGTGCGATCTAGGTGACTTTCTCTCTGGGGCGCTAAATGCAGTGCATCGACACAGTAGTTTTTTTCGGTGAAAATAATAAGATATTTGATCTGTTTATGAGAGAGTCGTCCTGACTACGCCGCGTAACTGTTTTTCGCTTTACAGGATGCGGACAATAGGCTTGTTACGTGGATGTTGCAGGAATGTCGGCGCGGAAATAAAGTAACCGTTAGCGATTTGCAAAGAAAAGCAAAAGAAGTGATTGGAGAAGAAATTCCTGACTTCCGTGCTAGCCGTGGCTGGGTTCATTCGTTCTGTCGGCGACATAAAGTGAAGTTTCCCATAATTAATGGCGGCTCGATAGACGGTGTGACATCGCAGTGCTCGCCACATGATAATGTAATGGACAACGAAGATCTGGAATTGTTTAGCAGTGTTCTCAATGAATTGCTTTGTGATCATTTCTGGTCAGATGCCACTGATTGATCGGAACGTTTGTGATATGCGTGCGTAGTGACACCATGACAATATTGGATCTTTTCATTTTGCTTAGCTAGAATTTTGTTGCTTTTGTATATAGCTTGAAGGTGACCGTACATACAAATTTTTAATATTTTCTTCTCTTATATTGTTTGAATTGAACTATGCCGTAGTGGTTCTTTAAAGGGGGATCGCATCGAAGCACTGACATTCGAATATTTGTCAACAAATCACTTATTAGTGGAGAAAAAGGCAGACAAAGGATTGCACTGCTGACAGTAACGCATTAACACTGCTAACGCTAACAGTGACACGATTATGAAATTGAAACTACATGTATAGCAAAAGCCGCCCAAAGCTAACAAATAGAAAATGGTAAAGCAACAGTGCATTATTTACATTAAGCAAAAACATGGACAGCAGTAAAAAGGAGACCTTTTTTACTGCTGCTTTATCACGGAGGTTAGGCTGTGCTCAGGATCATGAAAATCTAGAATTTTCGTGATCCCGAGCATAGCCTCACCTCCGTGGTCCAATAGGTCACTGCATTTCATGGTGCGCATGCGCTCCAGGTCTTCGATCCGTAAATCCCTTTAGTAAGTTTAACTGTTTATAAGTAACCACAGTATACAATGTCAGTATAAAGGTTCTGACCTTCATACTGATACTGCTTATACTGTGGTTACTTATATACACCCAGAGAGCAGCCGATGATGATCGTTATGGTTATTTAATCGCGCGCTCAAGTTGTTCAACGAAATCGCCGTTCAGTTGTATATTAAAGACCGTAAACGTTGACACATTTTGTGCTAGTGCTTGTACCTGCCACTTTTGTGGTCGATGACCGATGAGTAGTGGAATAAACAGTGATCGATCACTGTTTATGTTCCAGTACCCATCGGTATATCCAGATATATATAAAAAAACAGACGATAACCAATATCGACAGATTCATTGCTGCGGAAGTGCAACTTCCTTCCTTGCACTTCCTAACATGAATCTCCTTCAGGAAAAAAAGCCAATCGGCTAAACAAGCCCGAACTTGCATTGTATATATTATTATAGTCTGATGATGCCGCCTCCCATCTTTTATATGAACTAAGTAAGAACCACGCAACGGTAGTGTAACATCCGGCCGGGGTATTGTATTGTACTAATCTATAGAATCAGTTAGTTACAGTCTAGTTAGCTAAGTATTGTACAATATAACTATATTTGCACTGCTGTGGGAATTGGGAATCTTGAATCCGTTGTTCAACCGGACAGTTCTGAATGGAACGTGGTTCTGGTTAGTGGTTACACTGAGAACTCCGTGCTAAGCATAAACTAGCTTTGTAATCATCTTTACTACTTTATGCATTCGAGCGTAAATGTCGCTGTTGACTCTGCAGTATGTTGATCAGCGGATTGTGTTATATTGAAACTTATTTGACAAATTATTGGCAAAATAAACATCAACAAATGAGCAACACTCAGTTCTTTTCTCCTATGCATCAGCATTTTTTGCGGTGACCTTTTTTTGTCTTAGTTAATGTTAATTAGTGGATGTAAATAAGACTTTCGAGCTGGCACTTCTTGCAGTATGTACTGCCAAGGAATCACAGCATTTATGTAGTCGCGCAGTGTTACGTCAATCTCACAACCGGGAACACACGAATAATCACCGGAATTATTTAGTTTTTATTTTTCTTTCATCCTGGGATCAAGAGAATTGTCCCGGTACATGATGGTACCAAATACGCGTACAAAGGACGCGGAACTTCCGTTTTCCCGAATTTTAAAACATTCTTTGAAATTTTTTAGGACAAAGTGCAGCCAGATGACTTGTATATAGTGGCATAAAAACCGTTTGTGTGCGCAACATCCGGTTTTAGATGGCTGTAACTTGTAAGCGTAAGTATTTAAAATACGAGCGTAAGCATATTTAATTTAATATTAATTTCGTGATATAAACGCATTCACGTTTACGGTGCACCAAAAGTATAGTATACGAGTACTTGGACAGTTGGACCGATCTTCCAGATTTACATAAAATCGCTTATGAACATGAGATTTATCATACACCGCACTACAACTAGCTTTTTTTAAAAAGGAATATTTGATGTTTTGAAGTTTCGCAACTCTGGTTGGGTGAAAGAAAGAACGATCTTCATATTTTATGTGCGTTTACATCCGAAAATGTGAAGTAGACCGGTCCGTAATGAGATCTTTGGTTCAATACACTGCTTACTTATTAAGTAGACGAGTTTTAAGTTAAAAATTTTAAACTCTTCGGAATTTCGTTCGACTGAACATGGCCGCCAGCCTGATGTCAGGCGCTTGAGACGCCATAACCACCGTATACAGAACGTTTATCCACACAACGCAAAAAAGTGTTTTGGACTGCATGAAAAGGAAAGCTCTCGCGCATGTACACATTCGGTACACATTTTTCGGGTCACCTCCCTTACATATCTATATTTGTAATAACTCAAGAAGGTCGTGGGCGTCTGAGACGATTTGCTAACCAGAGTAAAACAGTTTGAGAAAAAACGTTAGATGTTTAACTGAACTCGTAACTAGCGCAAAGTGAACCGAGGTGTTCGAATTTTGGCTAACGGTTTAGCTAACGGTTTTTTCACAAACTTGCAGTTTTAGCGGTTTAAGCATGTCTCCTTCCAGATTTAGTCTTTATCCAGAATTTATTACGTTTCCTGCATAAAAGCGTTACAACAACACGAGAACACGAAGCAGCAGCTGAAAACTTAAAGAAACACAACACGGATAAAGAACACCATCTAAATTTAGCAACATAATGATATAAATGCCTAATAATTATTTAGCGTTTAAATTCATGGAGTTATCGGATGAAGAAAAATCGCAACACGAATAAGCAAATAAGGCCAATAAGAACATATGGCTGCAATGCCGCTGTGTACAGGTGGAAATTAAAAAGAATGTAATGAACAGTGTCGCCCTAATAAGCGCCCGTCACATTCCATTTCAACTGGCATCTCTTGAGCACTTCCAAATTACACACGTCTTTCTCAGAATCACAATCAAACTGATATTCCATGATATGCCAGCGAAGATCATAGGGCGCTCTACAAAATTCACTATCTCACATATCCTCTTCGTCCTTCGGTTCGTTTTTGATTTCGTATTCCACATCTCCATTCCAACCTGCAGCATTCCGACCATTCACCATTTCCATCTCCTGATCTTCCACCTTAACATGAATATCCTCGGGTAGTTCTTGTTTAATTTTGACATCATCCTCATCACTATCCGACTGCGATGTACTGCCATGGGAATTCGATAAATGCGAATGCTGCTCCTCCGCTTTCACAACGGGACTGATCTGCGATACAGTGCTAGCAGCATCAGGCGATTTTCGACTGCCTGATGTTCCAGCCGCATCACCAGCGACATCCGCAGCAGGCCTCTCCGGCATAGGCACACCCGTCCGCTGGCAATAAACCGCAATGCGCGGATCATTTTCCAATGCTTCCCGCTCCAGCCAACTCAGATCCACCTGCCCAAACCGCGAGTACACTGCGCTGCGCACCCCCGCCGGAATCAGACTCCAACCAGGTGGATTATTATTGGCATGAGTGGCATCAATCTCCAGATTCCCGGTTTTATTGGCCGTCGCCCGTCGTTCCGTCTTCTTAAAAGTAGTGATGGTCCGCGGCATATCGGAAACTCTGGAAGCAACGGCAAATTCACTAGTACCCGCTGCTTCCCGTCCATTGGTGCTGCTCGAAGCGGAACCGGGTTCCAGGGGACTGGCGCGCCCCGCTCCATCCGTGTTGGGCGACGTCGCCGTTAATGCAATCGGTTTCAAATTAGACGGTGGCGGTTTCAGACGAATCTGCTGCAATTTGACGGGATTCGACGGAACAGATGATTGTAATGGTGCTTGGTTCAGCTTAGAAGATGGTTTTACGGTTTCCTGCATCTTATCAGCTTCTTTCGTTGGAGCAACGCGTGCTGGGGCAACCGGCGGCTTGATGCGAGTGCCAGCTGGCGCTTGCATGACGGGAGCAGTCAGTTGTTTAACATTCTGCATTTGTTGTTTCTTCTGCTGCTGTTGTTGTTGCTGCTGCTGGTGTTTTTGATTCTGATGGTGCTGATGAAACACGGCAAGCTGCTGATGGATTTCATGCGGCGTCACACTGATCATGGGAGGCATCATGCGCGGCACAGACAGTGGCAGAGATGCTAGACCACCTACTGAAAAAGAACCCGGCAACGACATTAGTGGCATATTCATACTCATGCGATATGCGGAAAACTGTGGCAGTCCCATGGGCATAGGAGGAAAGCTAGGCAGCGACAATCCTCCTAGCCCTGACAGTCCCGATTGCATCGTATCATTGCGGACATAATCATTACCAGCATTATGCTCAATCTGCGCTCCGCGTACAGTCGTCTCCGCAACCGGGGTACGGACATGGTCCGTGGCCTGTCCGCGTTTTCCCCCGGCTGCGACGTCGCGCCGACCGCGATGTTCTCCGGCATTCATTTCATAATGATCAATCTCCTCATCCGATTCCTCCTCCGGTGTCGCTGGTCCACGTCGTCGCTGTTTCTTATCATCCGTTCGTCCATCTTCCTCATCTTCATCCTCATTCTCCTCGTCCTCATCGCCATCATCATCATCCCAATCTTCGTCGTCCGGTGAAACATTATCGAAAGCTTCCTCCATTCGTGAATCCTCCTGTTCATCCGATCCCGATTCAACGTTGTCGTATTCCGTCTCCCGCCGTTTAACACGACTACGCTCATACTCATCGTCAGATGCGTAGCGCTGTCGTTTCACCGGTCTTTCCGGCGAAACGTCCGACACATTCTCAGTCTGGTCCAGATAATCACCGCTCACAGCCGACAGGCTACGATCGTCTCGTTCCAGGTCGCTTCCGGCCGACGACACGTACGACGGCGACGAGACTTTATCGTAAACAATTGGATTTTTCTGTCGAGCACGTTCTTTACGACGTGGCGGTGAGGCTATCTGGCGCTTCTCCTTGCGCACAGTCTCTCGAATGCGGCTGGTGGATGGCTGAGCGGTCCGAGCAGATGAAGATGCTTGCACGCGGACGCGATCAGAAACTGATCGGGAAGGTTTCAATACCGGACGCCGTGTGCGTTTAATATTGGAAGCCTCTTCGTCGGAATCATGTGAGCGCGAACGGATGTCTTTACGGCGCGTGTACGGAGACACTCTGGCACGCCGCAATGGAGCGGAAGTGAGTGACCGTTCGCGCTTTACTTCCGGTGTAGCAGAACGTTCGCGGCGTCGACCAATATCTTTACGGACCATATCCCGTTTTTCTTCGTAGCGGTTGGCTTTCCGTTCCCCACTGAATCGCTTGCGCGGCTGCTCGCGATCCGAACTCGGTGGAGAGATTTTGTGCTTGCGGCGATTCTTGTCAATAGGAATGCGAGTTGCACGAGGTGGCGATTTGTCAACGGGAACGCGCGTTTGACGGGCCGGACGCGGTGGCGACGGCTCATCGGATCTTGGTGGTGAAATAATTCGTTTGCGGACCGGCGGGCGTGGCCGCACCTTTTCCACCGGTGAAGGCGGTCGCGGCCGCGATGTCTCAGCACGTCCATTCCGCAGTTCGGCGGGCGGCCGTAAAACGGGCGTAAAACCAACGGCTTCGGGTGATTTAGCAGTGTGTCGCTTCCATCCTCCCGGAGCGGGAGGACTGCTCGGTGCGTAGGACGTGGAAGCGTTGGGTACGGGTCCCAGCCGGTTGATCATGGTCGACTTCATCGTCTGCTTCGCGGCCTTCCCCATGTCGATACTAGCCGGGGAATCCGGATTACCCTGGATCCGGATGTGACGCTCCTCATCCGAGAACGCCACGTTAATTTTTAAGGGACGAAAGCCGTGGCTGTTTGCTGGCTCATCTGGCAGTGGTGCGTTGGCGATGTCGGCATACACCCGGCGCATCGCCGTCGCGGGATCCTCCAGCGGAACATCTGCATTCTCATGGCGCATGTGGTTCAGATGGCTACGCAGATCGTCCGGTTTATGTCGGGCATTGATTTTATGACGAAGATCTGTCAAGCAGAAAAAGCACGCATGGGAACTGCTATCAGTGGAATGTCAACTTTGATTTCACTATGATATGGTTTGTCACGTTTATAATCAGCATTTCAATGCATCTAGGTAAATAAATGCTCGAAGCAACGTGTCGGCATAGCAGACCTAGGTAAGAACTGGTTTGACAGCCAAATTAGGAAAACTGCGCATACAGAGTACACGAAATAAACAACCATTACTAAAGCAGAACTGCTGTACTGTTATTGCAAATTTGTAAATTATAGGTATTACCAGGAACCTTCTATATTCTATAGAAAGTACTTGGTACTATAAAAAAGCATACTTCTATACAAAACACTTTCTACACTATAGAAAGTACTTGGTATTACTGTACACTTGCAGATGATATTAAGCAACTTCAATATTATTATTTTTCTCCCATTAATTTTATTGACGATGAATTATCAAAACTGCAAATCCCTAACGCCGCAGCAGTGACTGCCCTCACTCGTGCCGAAACAGAAAAATAAAGTGCAAAACAAAATCATGAACAAGCACAAATGTTACAGTTCATCCAGAGTAAATGCAAATACTCGTACGAGTATTAAAAATGTCTGTAAACTGTAATCAATAGCGTATTCGTACGGATAACGGTGACGATAACCGATAAAACGAGAATAAAAACAGAAGAAAACTGCACTGAAATTGATGATAATTTCGCTTTTTATGGCGACTGCAATTTAGTGATTACAAAGAACTCAAAGAAGCAACACAAATGTAACAACAAATTATTAAATTATTTCAGTACTTATATACCGTAAATTAGTGCCTTAATGCTGAACAGCGAATATTAAATCAGCAGGGCGATTTGGAAAATGTTGTGTATGACGCGCACTCCTTGGTAAAACACTTCTCACCTGTGGGCGCTGGCTGGCCAAAACCATTGCCAGCATCATCGCCAAAGCGCACCGATCGTCCATTCCGCTGGCGGACAGTGACATCCAGCACGTTGTCCGCATCGTCCGGAAATCGAGCATCCCGGCTGCGTGGATGAAAACCCAGACGATCGGTGACACGCATTCGGAAGGGGGCATTCTGATTGTTGGACGGCGCGGCCTCCCAGTCATCATCCCCGTACTGATCAAAGCCATCATCTTGATTGTCTAGTGGGAAATTTCTCGGATGGCCCAGTCTATCAGCCAGCTTACGGGGTCGATTGGGAAGAGCATTGTTCTGATTTGGCCGTGGCCGCTGAAATCCCAGCCGTGATTTGACATCGAGGGGGCGATTACGATTCGGTGGCATTTTTATAAGTTGCAGATGGTTCACTAGTTCGTCAAGATTACGATCATTCAAATTATCAAAAAGAAATCAATCAAATATTATCCATTCCGGATCTCCATGGTTCGCAACTTCGCATAGAGAAAATGGGAGTTAGCATCGACAGAACGAGCGACGTCCGTATTGAGTGTCCTCTATTAACTTTGCTAATAATCCAGGATCAATGAATGACACTTTACACCAACGAGCTATGCAAAAGCAGCAACTGCAAGCGGAAAGGAAAAACTGACAAAGGGGTTAAATGCAAAAAGCGAATAAAGCCACAGGGATACCAAACTGCAGTCCAGTACTCGAGAAAGTTCAGTTAGACAATTGAAATTTACTGCACCATACTATGCTATACTTAACCTTCTTAAATATAAACTACAAAACCGAAAAGATTATAGGAAAACGAAGACAGAAGAGAATTATGCAGGAGTTCTTCGTTGCAGTCTTGCAGGTTGCCAACTCAAACGTTCCCGAAATAAAACGAAGAAACGGCAGAACTGACAAGCAAAAATCAGGTTTAAGGCTAACGGCTAGATTAGAACACCCTGTTCGTGGTGCACGGTGCACCTGTGCGAAAGGTTTTTCACGTAGTCGTCACCTTGTCTGGGTGCAAATATGCCGCCCTACTGAGCAAGTGCCGGGTGCGAAGTTGTGTGCATCGTGCACAATATGCACTTACTCAGCCAATGTGCACCACAAAACAGGCTGATGGTGCAAAGTGTGAACTGATGTAAAGTCAAAGACCATTAAACGCTAACGGGACCGAAAAATCAGCTGTAAATTGAAATATAGAAATTTTTGTTTTTCAGTAGTAGTGTAAGATCCGCTTTTAGTTTTGTTCCTTTTCATCGTATTTCCCGCAACTTGAACATCATAGTTTTAAAATCTTTCTTAATTGTGATTTTGAATTCTGATTTGGTTTACTCGACTTCTGGTGTTTGGTTGGACTCGGACAGTCGGATTGTTGTTTCCTCTCTGCCAGGAGAGTTATCAACCAGGCTTTAAGCTTATCACGCAACTAGGTAGTCGAAATTGTTGGTAGTGGGACCATCTCAAGAAAAATGAGTTCGCGAAAGAAATCTGGTAAGGTTTTATGCTTGTCCGTGTCTGGGTTTCATTTGTGGCATTTGACAAATCATAAGTGCCACTTATCTGGAAATGATGCAGACCAACGTATTGCAGCACGAGCGAAGGCGCTCACGGAAAGCAAACTTTCAACTCTGCAGCAGTTCTTCCCTGACATCGCAGCGGATGTTATTCAGCTGACGCTTGAAGAGTAAGTTTTAAAATGAGATAAACGTCTTGACAGGTGTACCATGGTTCATGATAGATGATATTACTATTTTTAAAAAATTGTTTTATAATTCGTACCAGCCATGCAGCTCTTAGCAGACCGTAACAGGTATAATAACAGTAATTGACGATTACAGGTGCTAGTAACAGATTGCATACATTTCGTCATTTTTTCCTTTCATTTTGTATTAGCTGCAAAGGCGACATGGAGAAAACGATGATCATCCTGAAGGAAATGGATGAAGAGCTGCGCAAAACTCTGGTGAAAACCCCGGAAGTTTTGTCATCTGAATTGAGCGAAACAGGCACAGACGTGGAGAGAAATCGTCTTTCTGATCCGAACGAAACGATCGTCCTAGGGGATGGATATAATTGTCTGCCTAACATGCCACAGGCACAAGAGATTACATTATTGGTAGATACGACAGTACCCGACGAAATCCGCTCCACATCGAGCGAACGCAGTGCGCAGTCCGTGAAATTCCACGCACCTCTGTGGCAGTCGGATAGCAGTTCGTGCGACAAATCGCAGGTAAAATCTTCAGTCTAAAAGAACTATAAACATTTGTAACTTAATAATATTGAGTACTTCTGGAAATTATTAGTATTGGCTATTGTTTTTTAGTTTTTTCTGAAGAGAACGGGCTAGATTTAATAAATATTTGTTGTTGTTTATAAGCTGTTAAAAATTTTTTAATCTCGGTGCTATGCTGATTGATACTCATTTCTGCGTTTATTAACATCCGTGCAAAGGTAATGGTTTTTGTGTTATGGAAGTGCTTCGTTTTTTTGCTTTAGAGCACGGATATTGATTATTTGGAGTCGACATCATCTTCGGCGCTGGAAGATTCATCTTCCAGTGGAAGTCGTATGATGGACAAGGAGAACCGTCGTTCGCCGTTCGCATGGCCGGCCGATGCGAATCCGACCGGCGAGAATGATGGGTTTACGAGCGAAATCAACCAGCTGAACGACACTGTTTTGGGCGACGAGGCTAGCGATAACAATCTTGCCGGAAACGGTGAAAGCGCATTTTACTCAGCGCCCATGAGTCTGCAGCTTGACAAGGATTTGGCTTGTCGATTGATGATGACTTTTGGACTTATGCAGGTGTCTATCGACACGAACGACAGCAGTAAGTTATTTCCACCGATACGTACTGTCTTATTGTTAGCTGGAAGTGGAAAGATAAGATTTGGGTCGCTACTCGAAAGTGATAAGAATGAAATTAATTATTGATATCGGTGCCGCAGTTCAATTCTGAAATATATATGGGCTTCTAATTTCGACTATTGTTGCGTTGAAATATTAAGTTGTTGTACGTTTAATTGGGCATTTGTTGATAATCTGGACTTTGCTGTATCGCTTATCAATGGATAATCTGTTTTATCAATAGATAATCTTACAATCAACTTGGACATGGAAACTGCGTACAGACTGTATCAGGCGTGGAAAAACACACAGGAAGCTAACGCGATGCAGGCGGAGATCACAGACAATTCGGGTATGGCGGAATTATTGGATATTCAGAGAGTCAAGGTTTCACTGTTACGTTTTTGTTTTTAAGATGAACATTTGGCGAAAGCTCTGCAGGTGCGTATCTGCACTTCAGTCGTAGCATATTCTGTATTTAAATCTGCCGCCTGGGTCATGCTTTATGCAGCGTTTAATTGACCGATTCACACAATTTAAGGAGCACGAATTAGTTTTAGCTATGCAATGTCTTTAGTCTGATTTTCAGATATTCTTATTCAATATCCCTTTTTGTTTCTTTTGATAAATTCAATGTGTTGGCTTTATTTCTGTAAGTTTTGTTTGCCTGCTAGATGCAAGTTTAGTTTGGTACTTTCATGCGCTATTTTTAATTTTTTAGTTTTAAGACTTGCACTGTGACTTTCATTCAGATGAAGTTGTCCGTTCTTGTAAAATTTGATTTCCCATGGACATTCTTGCAAAATCTGTTTTTGCAGGATTTGGAGCACGAGACGTATGCAGAGCAAGATTTGAAAAACCGGACTATGAAAGAAATCATGGATGAGACGCTGGCGCTGCAGCTAATGGAGAAGGAATCGGTAATGCTATGCCAAAACATTTCCAGAGAAGCATGTATGTAGACTTATGCGAACAGGAGTACCGGGGATTGGATGTGGCTTCTGCGTTGATGTACCAGTCGGATGATGGACTGCAGTCGAGATATGCCGGTGTTCTGCTCAAATCTTACAAGTTAGTGAATTCCAGTTCATATTCGACTGCTTCTTTGACTGAGCTTGTCGGTTGTATTTGATAGCATATCGTCTGACTCCGCCTTTCCACCGCTGGATCCCAGACCAAAGAACGTCTTTGCCAATAATTTTCCACAGCGCAGTAAGGATTTGGGAGTTTTGCAAGTATGTAAAAACTAAGCTGATCATGTCGAGATACGGTTTATGGACGAATGTCATGTTTTGTGAAAAACGAAGGAATGTGCTAAAGTTTTGCAGAAGCAAAACATGAAATGTACATAAATGTGCTTTTATTGCAGAAATCACTGGATGATCCGCCGGATGGATCTCCTACACGATTTCCCCGACCGAGCAGTGCCGGGAAGGTCATTAACGTGAAGCCGATCGGTAGTAACTCGGCGGAAAATGTTACAAATAAAGGTCCCAAAACTGATCCAGTTGATTACTATGGAAAGCGACAAAAAGCGCTGGAACTGCAGCAAAAAGCTCTGGAGTACGGTGCTAGAGCCGGGAATGCTTACAAAGATCAGAAGCTGGGTGGTGGGGCTGCAGCGTACTATCTGCAAAAGGTACCGCAGTGCCTACTAATTTTTTAATACCTTCCACTCTTTTTAAATCAAATAGTCGGCGCCGTTTTTTCAGTTGTCTGAATTGGACCTGTTTTGATTCACTTCCCACGATTTTGTTATATAATAATATGATATTTGCATCACAGGCGCATGAACACAAAGCTTTATCGAAACAAGCGCATTTCCAAGCGTCACTGGATATTTTAGCGGACCGGAACAGTAATGTTAGCGATGGCGAGATCGATCTGCACGGATTACGCATGGATGAAGTGGGCACGGCACTGGAAGACTTTTTTGCTCGTAAACATAAAAGTAAAGAACTGAAGATCATCGCGGGGCGTGGCATGCATAGCCGGCATGGTGTGTCGGAAGTACGACGGGCTGTGGAAATTTATTTGAAGAAACATGACTTGACGTAAGTACCTCGTATTATTTTATTCTTCTAACTTCTCACTACTTACTGTTTGATTAAGACAGTAGTATCGTTATGATGAACACGTGCATTTAGTTGGTTTCTTATTTTAAAATCTGTTGAGTTCATTGTGCTCCAAGGGAGACGTTGAAAAGCCTCCGGCAACGAATTTCAGTATTTCTATTCGCTTCTTGATTAATTTGTAAATTAATCTGTAAGAAAATTGTGTCATATTAGTGATCGCCTTTCCTTAATTCCAGATATGTCGAAGGACCGCCAAGTGGTACGTTCTACGTGGATAAAGTGCAAAAATTGCACGCAAGACCACCGTAGCATATTCCGTGGAGCAATGATAATATTTCATAACTCAAATAAAAATTTTGATTATTGTTGAACGTGTTATTTTTAGATAGTATCTTTCTAATTCTGCTATCTACATAAGAGAGCTAAGAGAAATCTATTTTGCTGTATAAGTCTGAAAGTCCCGTTAGTATTCTACTTTGTGCACACGAGATGCGTTTAGTATTACGAGTACTTCCTTACCTCTACAACCGCGTTGTTTTGGTTTGAAGAGAGTTGTTTATTTTTATGCGAATTGTTAATGATACTCGTACCGTACTAAACGTTCGTTGTCAACCTGTACTTTCATGCTCTTATTAGATGTTGTTTATCTTTGCTGATGTTTGACATCTCTAGATTCAACAAAAATAAATATGCACTAGGTGAGATGATGGCGATGATCACCTTACGGTTTAGACCATGAAAACATTACAGTATTAGGTAGTAAGCGTATTTGCTCTTCCCGGTTGTAATGGTAAATTTCAATCCCCTTTAATCCGCGTCTGAGCATTAGAGGAGAACTGAGGATGTGTATTTTAATTTCGTTTCTTTCAGCTCGTAGCGAATCAGATAGCGCAACATCTTGACAAAATTACATTTCAGCTTCAGCACCTATCTGTACATGTACCTTCATGATCACAATCATCACATATTTATATTAGTGTTATACATAAATAAAATTTGGCTACTTCGGAATGATATATCCAACAGGAATACACATATTCTGTCCGCAAATAAAGATCATCTTGGAAGCTCATTGAATGATTGAAGAGTCTTTGGTTGCTTTGAAATTATTAGAGAAAAGTTAGACGGGCAGCAGTACATTCTTCACAAAAATATTTTTTAAGATCTTTGGCAAGAGATTTTTTTTATATTTCCCAAGGCTGAGTTTTAAATGTGCGATGGTCTCCGATCATAGGAATAGTCTATGGATTCTCTGTATCCGATTCGTCCTTCATAAGGATTTCCGGCATGACTAATGCTCAGTCGCGGCGATGAAGTGACGCTTTTTCGATGAATTGACTAGAAAATGGCAAATATACCATCAGTGATTTTCTTTTTTTTGCAGAATTTAGTAGTAAATAAATTTCTTTGGGATAATTTATCACTGCACCAAATAAACCGGTAAGTTACACAGGCAGGCAGGCATTATTTACGTTTATGGCGGGTAAACCGGTACCGTTGTAGGTCTGTACACAAAAATTTACATTACATATACAATACAGCGACTGACTACTACAATACGATTTATGTTATGTAGGATATATTCAAGCAGGTTTGCAAGTATCTGCATATTTGCGTTTTTACTATAACACCATAATCTTTCTAAATCACCGAGCTTACCGAACGACGTCGCTTATCCTGTTGACCCGGCTTCGTGGCATTCTTATTCTTGGCCAATCCCAGACTCGGCTGATTGCCCAGCACTTTCTCCATGACAGCCAACACTTCCGGTGTCAGCTTATCCAGCACCGACAGCGCCAGCAGATGATCCCGCAGCTGCTCCAACGAACTGGGACTGATCAGCACCGACTGTACCAGTTCGGTGCGCAGACACCAGGCAATCGCCAACTGGCTGAGGGAACAACCGATCTGATCGGCGATGGGGCGCAGGTATTTGATTTTATGCAGGTGTAAGGTCACTTCGCTGTTGCGACGTTCCCGCTCGATGATGGAGGTGTCGCGTTCCAGTAAGGCCCAGCGCTGCATGGCCAGTGAACTGGATGTATTGTCGTCCATCTCGTAATCTCCCACAATTAGACCGTTGGCCAATGGGGAATATGTAATACTGCCGCATCCTACAATTATTATTTGCATTATGTGTTATATAACCAACCGTTCCTCTTTATATTGCAATAACTTGTTTCTTTGTTAAATTTAATCCCATTCTCAATTTAATCACCAATTGTTTATAAGGTCAAATGCAGCGTGACAGTCGACATTTTGTATGTAATACATAATTACATAAAGATATTATGTGCGAAGGGTTTGCGCGCCGCGATGGCATAATTGAAGGTTTATAGGAATTAGGATGCTATCCTGACAATCTCTTCCACTGTTTCTTACCTATTCCGCATAAAAGCTCCGGGATCACCAATTCCACTGGCTCCCGGCGAAACACATTATATTCGCACTGGTCAGCCAGCGGCGGTGTGAGATTAAGCACTTTGGCAACGGTGTAGGCTTCCATGATTTCCGCTTGGCTCCAGTTGGCTGTCGCCCAGTAAAAGGCCCACCCTTTCTCGATCACCCATGAAAAAGCGCGCACAATTTCTGAAAAAATAGCGGCAGTATCGGTCACTAAAATCCAACAAGCATACAAATAAAATATTAAACATTATATGTCGCTTTATTATATTGAGTTAAAATAATTTGTGTCCGAGCATGTAAAGTGTATGTTGTCAGTTGCAAACTTATCTAAATTGTGCAGAAGCGGCATTATAAATCATAAACAGAAGCGTCATTATGCCAGTTAGTGTAATTAAATAAATTTTATATTGGATTATAACTTATACCTTCCATGGGAGTGCAGTTATCGCGACAGCAAGCGAATACGACATCTACATACGCTAACCCAAGCCGTTCCAGGCTAGCTTGCAAGGATTCCACCACGTGTTTCCGGGAAAGTCCTTTCTCGGTTTCCGCCGTTCCCGTGCGGCAGATTTTTGTCGTAATGACGTAACTCGAGCGTCTGCAAAAAAATGCTAATTGAATTCTTCAGCTAAATACATGTACAAGTACAGCAAAAACTGACTGAACCATACTTAACCATCAGTATCTTAAAATATTTGAACGATGTCGGTAACAACGTGTCTGCGTATAATGATTTGCTCAGATAAGTAACTCGCTAGATAAACAATATTTGTATTTAACTTTCAACCAACTACAGGCTGTACTGTATGTGCTATGTAGTATGTATTGTAAAACATAATAATTATGCAAAATAATATAACAATACTACAGAATATTATCTTATGCACTGCAATCATTTGTAAATCATGGAAACATTATTTGAATTACCACAAGCATATTAATACCTCCATTTCTTCTTTTTGAGGACTTTTCCCAAAAGAGTTTCCGTTCTGCAACATAAAACGCCCAGTGCATTCAGTTTAGCCGTCTCCGTATACTATATGACAACACTATGCGCGGTACTGAACATACAGCTTAAAATTACAATTAAAATCAGTCTTTCAAGGAAATGTGTAAAGTGTAGTTACATGATGCAGATACTACGTACATTTCTTATCTATTGAATTATTGGTTTATTTTTGTATTCTAAGCAACTACCGTATAATCCGAAGATGACGCATTCGTGCAGTAAACTAATAATTAAACTAATCCGTAAATAACCGCTGAAATGCATTTATATATGTGCCCTCCAGCAACCACGTATCATGTCCATTGGACTCGTATTACCTGCCAACCGGAAGTGCAGTCGGCACACCCGGCGTTCCATTGGTCTGACTGTCGGCTGCGTCAAAGTAGTTGACCCCGCACTCATAGGCCAGACTGACGATCTGCTCCACAATCTCCTCCGCAGCGGCCGTACAGTGCTTGGATGCCGGTGCGGGTGGTGTTGGCGCGGCAACGGTTATTGTTGTTGTTGTCAGCGGAGTAGCGCTTGACGGAACGAGATTACTCTGGCTGATGGCGTTGACTAATGATACGCCGGTACTGGTGTTGGATGGGGATTGCGGCTGCGACAGCTGCAGCTGCAGTCCGATCATATTGGCCCCGCCGGGAGCGTTGCCGGGCATCGTGATGGTGGAGGATGATGAGCGCGGTACGACCGGCGCCAGGGTTCCGGTCTGTAAGGACTGCATCTGCGCGTACTGCAGCGCCAATCCCAATCCCGGCCCCATGCCCAGGCTAATACGGGAAATCCGTAAACCGGAATTTCCCAGACTCCTGTACAACGGATGTAGTCAGCGCGAAAGGCAGCTTAAGGGCTTGAGTTAGAGATTATCATTTAATTACGCTCGAAATAAATCATTAAACTCATTGTTAGTTCCTTGTACGTCAATGCTTCGTTATTATATAATTTGCAGATATTATATCGTGGACCTTGTACGCGGATAGTGTCGTCAGAAAATGTTTTCTGTAGTAGTATTTATTAAAAACTACTCTAGAGTTGTGTCAACATTACGCTTATTTTCTATTTTGTATGTACTCTACAGAGACGACTGAAAGCGGTGTTACCACAGTGCAGTATAACTATAAAGGATGGAAAAGAGTGAAGAAAAGTAGATAATAAAATATTGAATAAGTGTATATAAACTTAGAAAGATTCGGACGACGTCAGCGCGGGCAACTACGAGTATATAAGGTCATAGGTACGCTACCGTACGCATATTCCATCCTAATTATGTGTGTCATAATATTGTTTGACGATAAAAAACAGACTGACTTTTCGGATTGCGACTATGGAACTCACAAGTCAGGTCATGGTCATTTAATCAATAATTTCTGTCTGCTGGGTGGATTTTGCCAAGCTGCACGGCCGTTTCTGGGATCTAATGTAAAGCTCTACATGTGCAAGTTTCAAGTAAACAGTGGGATAAAACTTACGCTAACCAAGTGGAAGCGGAAGTTAGATCCTTTCCCTTGATAGAAATAAAATCGATAGACTTTTTAAGTGTGCGTAAGAAAATGTTTACGGAATCCAGCATCCTTTTGTAGGCGGCCTATATGTGTCGGCAGCGCGATCAGTAGTTATAAAAGTTTCCCTTTACAATCGCCGAGCGTCGTCTATTACATAAGCTTATAAATTGCTTGGGTAATTTTTCACTAATAACAAACCTATTGACGACAGGAAATCGAGCTTTAACACCCGGTTAACGCTTGGCTTAATCATTGTGTAATAAATGCCAGAGCCGGTATCCATGCATATGGAGGTCACGGAATGGCCGAGTTATTTTTAAAAACGATCCCTGCCGTGACAGAAAACAATTCCGGCGTCTCACATATTTTGAACTGTGCTGATTTGTTTGTATGCATACACGGCTATGATACGTAGTAATTACGTACCGATACTAGTAACGGTTTTTGACGGGATTCTGCTCATCGGGTCATTTATCATTTGCATATTTTCCGGTGTTGCACACAAATTGCGCTGCACTTATGCGACAATTAAAAACAAAGGCATCAGAGCAGATTTACACGTTACACTTATATAACTGGATTAAAACTGCACTTTCGAAGTAGGTCAAATTTCGTATTCACTGGCGGAAGTCCCAAAAGACAGCTACGGATGCATGGCATAAAGATCCAAAGCGCGATACGTGCATGCAAATTGATGTAATACATACAATTCGTGCACCACTTTGGAAAATCGGTTTATTTGCATGTGAGCAGTATGTAGAGTATCGAACATATGTATGGTTACACGGCAAATAAAGACACGTTTACTTAATACTGTAATATGAATTCATGTAAATAAGCTGATATTCAAACCCGTTGCATCAAACTTAGAAACTTACTAGTTAGGCACAAAGAATTAAACGATGAATTAAAAGGTTATAACTAGGGCTCTCGTAACGTTGCTGTAATTAAAATAATTTGACACAGCTAACAATGATTGGTCAAATGGATTTGGACTGGTACGTTAAAAAGTGTTCAAGTAATTAAGTCTGCATCTTTTCACGATACTAATAATTTTGTGATCATTTCGCAAACTGGATAGGAGGATCGGTGAGACATTTTAATTCCGGTGTAATTAATAGACGTGCGGGTTATTAAATGCACCGGGTAGCGTGCATAAAAATATGATAATTCGATAGTAATCAAAATATTTTAAAACTGCTCTAGCTGTTCACAATAAAAGTTGTAGTGGTCTTTTAAAATACTCGTGCCCGCAGTTTTCACAAGCCACAGGTGCACCAAAAGTACATATTTGTACTTCCATTTGCGGTATACGATAAAATCCAATTTGAAATTTGAATTAAATTCAAGAACAAAATACTAGCTTATACCAAAATAATTTAATACTTTATCTGTCAGTAGAATTAACGCACTGCTGGTAGCAGTTTTTAGAAAAATGAAATTTTTATTTCTTGAAAGATTCAATATAAATTTTAGCAGATATGTTTCAAACATATTTTAGCATTTGCGGTTCAAATTTACCGGTATTGCATGGACTGCTTTTCCAGCATGGATCTAGAGAGAAACGCCCGTGAAACCGATCCCGATGAATTTTGCCGCGTTGGGTGCAGCGTAGCCAGACGGAGACGGGAACGGGCGCGCCGCCACCGATTCGCGGATACAGTCGAAGGTGCAGGCAACTGCAAAAACGTACGGAGAATTAGGGAAAAAGAAATAAAATCTACACACGGGGACAAGAAAACAGACCGGGCATATATATTGAGCTTAAACAAGGATAACATCCGGCACCAGCACATCCCACAAGCGCCGGCACTCTGTCTAATTGCGATCATTTAACCCAACAACATCCCATTCATCCGGCTGCGCATATATGTATACAATAATAATACAAACACGATCCCATGGACCGCTTGCCGCGGTTGACACATGAGAGAGTGTATGTACCAAATGGTCACTCATTCCCGGGTTAGGAATACATTTGCTACATAAGCGCACGACCCTATTTAAACAACACTCACCTCAAGTGTTATCACAATAAAAATCCATGACAAATAGCAATGTTTTCCCACTGTGCCATTTACACATCACACGCTATTTGTATCATTCATAATAATAAAAACGCTAGATAATTGTACATCCTACGCATCTCTCTGTAATCACAATCTGCCGGTTGCGCGAGTGTGTGTAGATCACGCACACGCTTACACATGACAAATAAATCTGCGCGCCGCAACGGGAGATTCAGCATTCATAAATACATGCAGCCGGCAAGTTTTTATTATCTATTTCAAGATCAACGTCCACACAATTTATATGTATGCATGTATATATGGGGGAAAATCGATCGCGGGAGCGTAGCCAGCAACTGACAAATCACCGTCTAGCGATTGTTTTTGAGGGTTATGTGTATACGGACTGTCGTCGGGGATTATTTTGTCAGCTTCCTCCTTTTTGTTGGAGTGGGATGTTTGTATTCCCAACGTTAAACATGACCATGGAGCCATGGTTAATCAACCGACAGTGTACACACGCGCTCAGCAGTAGTGATCTGATTTACGAAGATTCTACACTTCATTCGCGGCACTACATGCAAATTATATCAGGCACTGGCTAGATCATGAGCCACGAACAAGCATATTCTGTAGATGGTTTTACAGCAGGCAGCTTCCGATCGGGATGCATGTAGTACCGCAACCACAAGTATGTGTGAATATAATAATAATAAGTATACCCAAACTCTCGAATGGACGATCGTGTGAATTTGTGAACACATTGAGCCGGTTATCTTTTGTACGCTTTCAGCTTCGCTCTTATGAGATGGTGCATTGTGTTGGAAGAAATGTACAGTATCTGAGAATTGCACATACTCGTTTATATAGATACAGCATATTGCACGGTGTAATACACTGTGCAGTATCGCTCCCCAGTACATAATATTACAACGGACTTTGAGAAAGAGCTATTAATTAACGCTAGCCGAGATAGCCAGTTGCGCAACTGGTCCTTTCCGGTGCGCGGTAGCTCGTTTTCGAAATCCATTGTATATGTGGCATAATATCATATCGATATCTTTCACGCATTGTACAAATGTTGCCGGCATCATGCGTCGTGGTCCGTGGCAGATATGCATACACCATTTGCGCAACGGGCATGACCATATGTTGTCGGGAGGATCATCCATGATTCGCATCAGAGTTAGCCGCCGTGGTTGTCTCTCAGCGCATGCAGTGCTTTTCAGGATAATAGGTCCATCAGTGTTTTATGTGAAATCTTATGTTACACATGATCAGGTTTTTTTCCGGCCTGTAGTGACGTCAGTGTTAATTGTCACATCAAGTTTTTCACGCAGAACAAAAAGGGTTTTGTATATGTATATATTTGTTCAGGAATAATGGTGTTACGTGGGAATGGTCTCATATTTCCATTACTTACGCGAATAATTGCTGTAGAGGTTTTATCCAGCTTTAGATAGTTTTTATTATGGAAGCATGGCTAATGATAAAGCTAATTTGATTATTTATTATAAATAGCAAATTTGCTCCCGTCAGAAATCGCTTGTTGCGGCACTGAATTGTCAAAAGGTACACTACCACTTTTCGAACAGTTTGCCTAGCAGTGCGCACCATACGAGTAGTACTGTAACGTAAGATATTATCTAATTATTGTACGTATATACTAAAACATAATAGCTCCCAATACGCAGCCTGCAGTATGAAGCTGTGATAATACTTGTATAGATATTCCGTTATTGTATACCTCGATAACAAATACGCTGGTAAGCGCACTAATATTCTAGCTTAGTAAGTTCGTTAAGCAAACATTATTTCTTAAATACTTGCACGCGTGTGGGTTTGGGAGATTATTTTGCCATCCGATCAATTAGTCAATGCAAAAAAAACTGAAGGCTTCGGCTTAATTATTCTGACACTTTGGATAATTACTAATTTTGGGACAAAACGTCTTTCTGCCTATCGATGAGAAGGAATATTTTTTTGCAAGCGCAAATCAGCACTACATTTAACGACGGAATTAAAGCTAACAAAAACCTTTTTCAACGCATCGTCAACCTAATATCGTATCATCGTAATCGTGTGTAAACTTAAAATAATTGTAGCCAACTATCGGTGGATTATACCACGAGTATTAGTTAAAAGTTTAGCCTTTCGGTATTTTTTATCATTTGTGCAAAAGTTTCGCTATCCACTGCGCAACTCGATTTAGACAAAAAAGTTTACAAATGCAGTGCATTTATGTTGCACATACGTACTTTTCTACTTTGTTTGCAATTCTGCAAACGCTGTATATTTAAAAAGCGCAACTGCATGTACATGGATACGATGATGCCCGTACGTAACTGCATTAAATGACCCTAAAAACTTAAATCTACAGCTAATATAAATATAAGATTACGAGTACGCGTTATACTGCACATGATGTACATTGCTCATTACTGTGCCACAAATCCGATCGAAAAGACGTGAAGATACTGTCAGTACGATGATTTTAATAGACATCTGCAAATTTTGGAATATTTTGCGATGGATCGAACAATAATTAAATCGCAAAGAAAATTGATCAACCTATAACTATGAAGCATAACATTCTGCCATTATTTTCGGAAAATGTGGGTGCTGCTGCTGGGCATGTACAATATGTGACCACTAACACATCTTTTCAGGAAAATTTCTAATACCGACTGGTTTTAGAACAGAACATTCTGTTTCTAAACCTAATATATGTAATTTGTAAGAACAGCTAATACCAGTGCCAGTGCCAGTGCCTGCTTCTTTTGTGCCAGTTTATTGTCTGCTTAGTGTGTAGATTAGTTGGATTGTCCATGATGTCGGGACATGCGGGCGTTATATTAATATGGAGCGCAGTACTATAGATAAAATGTATGAAACTTGTTATATACAGTGTTCAGCAGCTTGTATGTATACAACGTATGGCAGTGCAGGCAAAACAAATCTGCTGTGCATAATTTTATTGTTACAAAAAGTACTGTACGCTGGCGGATGCATGTAAGACAGTATTACGCCAAGATCAATCACGTATATACTGGAAACATTATCCCAAAAGTAATGTAGTTGCGTATTTTCTCGCAGTAATATGAATTTACTATAAAATATATCCTGCAAATTGATTACTTCAATTTATCAAACCTCACTGAATAAAAAACCTTGTTCCTTTATTATGGCTTTATATTGAATATGTAATACTACTTTCCGCGACATGCATATTACGCGCGGAGCGATGTAACTTTAAATAAACCTGTGCAGATGCGCTCGAGCGTGAATTTGTTCTGAAAGTGGCCATCATTTGTAAAGAAACGGAGGCCACACATACATGTCGTGAAACATACCAGTTGGTTACCTTTTAACCACGTATAAAATTATGGATAAACTACTGTATCCACGAAAAAGGTATCTTCAGATACTTTCGTACAAGAATTTCGTAGGACGCACTCGGTAGGCAATAATAGCGCAGTGCCTTGGGGCTGCAGCATAAAATACACACTGGAAATGGCGCGCAGTAATAGTCTGCAGACTGCAACTATCCCGCACAAGCATTCCCGGGTCCATGCAATTCACGTTGCATTAATATTTGAAAAGCCATCTACTACGCCGACATGAGCGTTCGGCGTATTGTACAGCGCTTACCATTTGACCGGTAATCCGTGTAAATGCCTTTTCTCGACGATCCGCCACAGTCAGTAAACACATCCGAACAGGACAAAGACGTCTTTATGGATAAATAAACTGAAAAGCCCCCATGTCTACACGGCTGCCGGTACTAGGGACTGGCGTGTGTGTATGTGCGGAACGCGTTTCCGGGCATTTCCGTGAATGTGCGTCAGCAAAGGTCTACAAAGCAGACAGGAAATAAAACCACCGAACGCGAAAACGCAATGCCGGCTTACACGACTAGCAAAGTGTTCAGATCTGCATAAGGTTACGTTGTTAAGAAACAATATGCCGAAATTCTCTGAAGCATACATATTTTGTTTTTTAGACGGGGATCGCATTGCGATGATATACACGCAGTGCACAGGGATGCGAAGATGAAATGTCACATCCGAGTGTACGGACAGGATGTCACATTTGCAAACAGATACGGCTCTTAAACTAATTTGCTGTCTGCGACCGAAGTTTCGGGCAACCAACTGTATATACAATATATATCCACCACAGCGGACACCCGGGGGCGGCGCACTCGTCGATGGCCTGGAGGTCAAGAGCGGGGAATGCTGGAGCGGGTTCGTGTTTAATCTAATTTTCGGCGGATAACGGGCGTTTTTGCTGCACCGCTGTTCCCACGCTGTCATATACATGGGAAGCATGCATGATGTATATTCCGTGTTCTGCTCGACTGCGTTTTGCGCAGACGGAGACCGCGGCGCATATATACCGCACGATCGGACGACAACAATACACTGATGCCTTAAACGAGTGATCCCACTTAAATTATTGACTTTGATGTTCTGACGAGGCCACTTAAGGAAATTTATTATGGGATAGATTTCTTCAAGTAGCGGTTCGTGGTGGAGCAATGTAATTTCGAGCTAATGAAAATTAAGATGACGTACGGAGTAAAGTAAGCACTTTCTGGCTGTTTAAATGCTTCCCTCCAAATGAAAAAAATGATGAAATATTCTTGGGCAATAAATTAGGGCTCGCAAAGATCGAGGTTACGTGGATTCCGTGGAAAGCAAAATCGGTAAAATGCTGGCGACGGTTGGGACTGTGCCGGTTGGAGAATCAGGACATTTGCTGCAAATGCATTTTAACCGCCGCATTTAAATCCATGTGCTAGTCTAGCACTTGTATGCAAAGGGGTTCCGGAAGTAATTGCAATTTGCAGAAACGGAAGAAGATTGTTAAATGCCTCTCGCTAAACCGACACCGTTTTCGTGATCGATATTAAAATGCCCTGTAAACCTACGCTTTCGGGGCAGGCCTTCGCTTAGCGCGCGCAGTCCGTTTAGTACGCTTTTCACCACATTTACATCTGCCGTTCACAAATCAACAGTTTTCGAATTCAAAGCTTACAGTATACGCACATCAGAGATTTTGTTGTGCGTCTGTTGATAAAAAATCTGAAGCCGAAGATTTTTGCAGTGTGTCGTTAACTGAATTCAGTAAATGTAACACATCAGGACTCAGGAGACGGGACGCCAAAATTTTGTATACTCGTATTGATAAAAAAATTTTAGCAGTGCTACATCTGTGAGTACGCAAAAAATGCAACTTAGAGTTTTTCACTGAAGAGCTGCCGATGCTTACCCGATCGGTACTAATAAGTACGATAAAATATTGCGATCCAATATAATCCTAAAATGGTCAGTTCGTTGCTGAATGCCGATATCACATGGGGACTATCCTCCGATATCAGAATGCGATGATAAGGCGGCACCTGTAGACTACACGCACTCGAGCAAAAGGAGAGTTACATGAACGAAGCTGACCATGAGACGCGACGCTTTGCTTGCAAACAGCGCTGATAGTAAACCAGTAATTATATTTCAAATATACCTGTACTAGCCAGTAATCACGAAAGACCCTATGTACTGTATATAATTGAGGGGCATCATGATCATATTGCTGATTAAAAATGAAAAATGATTTGCTCGTATCAAAACTGGCATGTCTGTTCTGTTAAAAAATTATAACAAAACAGAACTATTCTCTTCAGTCATACTGTAAATTTGATTATGTGGCAATATGCGTTGCGTAATTAAAATACCTACCTGATAATGAAGATTATCGACGACAATGCAGCTATATTTACAAGCAGGATCTTACACTATATACAAAATTAAATTATGAAATGCACCGTGAGCATAAATCGGATGATGCTGTAGATGGCAAACCGCAGCTCATGAATACCAAAACGTAATCCGATAAATTATTAGTACAATATTAATGACATGCAGTAGCATTAATTTGTTTACAAATCAGAAATCCGTCATACCACTTACAAAGCGCGCCAACAGCAAATCGACCGGCAAACACTTACGTACAGGCACCGATACATTCACTCTCGCTCATGAATAAGCAATCTACGCATGTAAAGGGTACAATAGCCGTGGAAAACCGTCGGTTGGGATAAAAACCTTCTAATGTTTGGCCCCCAATTGCCACCCTGGCATAGTGCACTATGCTCGGATAATGCAGCCAGGTCGTCCATCGAGGGATTTCGGGCATCAGCGGGATTGGCTGTATTATTGTTATCAATGCGCGCTATACTGCACGTATAACAGGAGAGAGCACAAGCTGCGCGTAATCCGACGCTTTTCCCAACGGTTGCTTGCCATTTAAGGGGGCGCACTGCGTTCCGGCTGGCGGCATTGTGAGCGCAGGGTTAACAAGACAGCTTCCTGCGGAGCGGCAAACTAACTCTGACTGATGGGGACGTATTAATGGAATGACAACTGCCCGGGCGCCCGGCGTCGATTACCCTGCCACAGACAACTTCCGGTCACACCAATCATGTGACCGGCCACTTCCGGTTATGTATGGAGGAAAAGTGCGTCTGCCGAAAATTTTACAACGTGATCAGTGATGCAATACAACACAAACGTAAATCGCGTATCCATGATAAACGGTTACATCAATTGTTGCCTGAAGAGCGAAAGATAAATGTGACCTAGCTATAATTATGCTGCGCAAAACTTGTGCATTGTACATATAATTCAACAGTGTGTACCAGTAGCCACATAAGGAAATACATTATAAGGAGTATCTATGTTTTCTTTGCATGAGTTATACATCTGCAATACGCGATGTGATACTCTACCAAGAATTATGCGGTGCTTAAGCAGTATCAAGTGCGCATTAGTTTAGACTCCTGGGAAATTAGAGTTTGGAAAATTAGGAGCGTGAAATATTGATCTTTTGGGCACGCAGTTTGATTGCTTATCAACAGGGGCACCGGCGCGGATGGCCATCATTAGTAAATCAAATACAGTACGTTATTGCCGCACTGCGAGCTATATCACCCCACCCCAACCATTGGCAACTTCCGCTCCATAATTGCCTAATAGCAGTGAATTCGACCAACGGCACCATGAAGTTCAAATTTCGTTTAATTTATCAAGGCCCAGCAAAAAAGAACAGTATCTCTAGTGCCGGGTTTCGATGACAAAGATAAACTATAGACTGAGAATATGCTGTATTATTAGAATGATTTAAATAATTAAAAATAAAGTGTACACATAACTCTTCCGCTCGTTAGTCGTTACTGGTCTCTATCGTCAGAGTACGGTACAGTTATTAACGCACTACAGCACTTGGATAAATTTCGTTAATATAAGTAATTTTTTACGTGCGACCAGTACAAAAAAGCGGGGCACACGGTACGCTTTATTAAGTAGTTGTGACTTGTAACCATGTTACAAACCAGAGTATAATCACTTTTGCAGATATTCCAACATTCTTTAATACTTCTGTAGTACTCATCAATCATCCGAATTCGGCATTTTTATACAGCCAAATCACAGAATCCATGTGGCTTCATTTCAGTACCTTACGATTGACATATGATTCGATTGCCCGATAGAAAACCTTATTTGAATTATCATAGGTCAGTACAATTTACAGAAACTGTCGTCGATTCGTAACCGAAAATTCAAGTTACGCTGCAATTTCCCTCTAAACCAGTTAATATTGCTGGACTATCAAATAAATTTCGAAAAAACTCCCGCGACAGGCAGATATTGTACTGCGGACGTCTACTGGTACTCCCAAATATGTCAGAAAGAAAAACTACGAAGTACAGTCTACCGACTCTATCTATCGCTTCATGTTTGGAAATGTTAAACACTGGTTGATCACATCCAGCAGCTGGCCATTCTCCAAAGCGGCGGCCACTCGCTCTTTATCGGCCAGTTGCTTATTCACAGCCAACTCCGACACGTGACTGCCCGGGGAGATTCGCACATCCACCTGCAAACCAGAAATGAACGAGCGCCAGAAAAAAAGGGAGAAAACACCGTATACTTGCCTTGAATCGTTCAGGAAGAGAGCGCAGCAGCTTCACACGGATGGCTAATCCGATGAGCGTAGCCATGGAACAGTGGGGAATGGTTGGTGTGTAGAACACATTTACGCGATTATTGTCATCGTCTACCTGGAGAAAAAATTGAATCAACCGTGGGAAAACATTCAACCTCCGCAAAAAAATTCTTTCCCAAGCTGTCACATAGCAGCACAACAAGTATGTCGCATCGCTAGCCGCCTCGTACGGTCATCACATGGCTATCGTTCAGGGTTTACCCATTTTTGGTTTAATTATCGTCGTTAAGCTATTTTAAGTTTTTTTAAAACTTTTAAGTTATTGTTTATAGTTATTAAAAGTTGCTTACTTCGCAATGATCAATCTGGACCACGTTAAGTTCTTCCAATGTCAAAGGATGCTCCGGATCGTTAATCCGTCGAATCATGTCTACAATCAGAAACTCAGTCAGCGTCGTGCGTCCGCGTATGGAACGTTTGTTGTTTACCAAAGATTTCGCGATCATCGAATTTATCCGCGATGTTCTCGTCCTCTTCTTCTGCCGTGACAGTTCGTTTGTCAGATTTCTGGAAAACCTGTGGATTAACGTTTTCCAGTCCCCCGGGTCCATTCATTGTCTCGTCTGGATTTCGCAGTTGTGGCTCGAAAAGGTACTTATTACAGAATGTGGCGGTCGTGACAATCCGATGAGCGCGGCTGACCGTCAATCACTCCTAAAAAGCACTAGTAAGAAATTAGAAACTTATCGGACAAGCTTTCTTTACGATTGTACAAAAAGGGAAACAATGTCGGATTTAGAACTGTGAAAAATAAATGAAGTGCTTAACGTAGAAAAACGTAAAATTTTAAACTTTTCTGCGGAATCAAAACGTTTGATACGATCATACCAGTGGCAGAGTGCGTTAATTATTTTTTGCGAGTGCGAGTAGTACAGGCGGAAGCCGAAGACGAGCACACCGTAACATACTCGTAATAATCGTACTGTACCTCGTATGATGAGTCGTATCTACTTTGTATCTATAGATATATTAAAATTAATCATAAATGAACAAAAGGCTGCAGTGTTTGATCGCTAACAGTAACTTCACTTACTTGTATACAGTATAAGTAAAACGAAAAATTAACATTTGCCGTTATTATTAGCATTTCCTTGCTGCTGTTATAGAAGTATAAATATTTGCAACTTCTGAGTCTGACCTTACATTTTTAACTTTGGTGTGCGACTGTGCGGTACGTAGTACTGCCGTTAACGTAGAAGTGTACCAGATAATCTGGATAAATAATTTTAATGATTCGTATCAAGTTAAATGATAAAATTTAGCGCACGCATTCGTAAAATGACGGGCACTTCACGTCCATACGAGGGTTGGTAGTTATGTTCTGTCGTATTATTTTCCCTCGTATTATTTTCCCTCGTATTATTTTCCCTCTTTTCCGCAGCAATCAGAAGTTAGTTCGGTCAGAGAAGACATTTACAATAATGTTCTAGCTGGCTTCTGTGTTTTATGACATCTTGTATAAGCATATATGCCATTGGTTTGAATTTCGCTTTTCCTTACCGAAAAGGAAACGTTCTGCGCATTAGGCTGTACATAGTTACAAATATTACAGCATTGCAGGTATTAATTGGATCGGTATTCGTTATGGCCGTTCATCTTACCATGGGTTGTTCGCTGCTCCTTCTGGTCGCAATGTTTTTTTCGACTGCAGTCGGTAACCGTGTTTAGCCAAAAACGAATGATCAAAATTCTGTTTTTGTTTCTGTATTTGGATGTTAAACTGATAGTTGCGTTTAATTATTCCAGAATCGATACCGGTCGTTAATTCATCTCGCTGCAACGACCAGCTAGCTTCAGACTGCAGAGTGTATGGAAATTCGAAATGCTACCGCTCAGGTACGACAAGTAATAGAACTGGTCAAATATTTTGCTATACACTTCGTGGACTAAGTACACCCTACAATTTCCGTATCTTTTAACGAAAATTTTCATTAGATCTCTATCTTATTTACCCGGGAATGATTTCCCGTTATTAGTAGAGTAATGTGTCTGTTCTACTTTACCGACTACAAAGTATCAAACAGCTATGATTGTTGTATACCTGATGAAAATATCGTGCGGACGAGAACATAATACATAATTTTGAATATAAAACATAGTTTAAAACAGACATAATCTACATTTTCTGAATCCCCAGTGTACTGCAGACAGCTTTGATAGTGCTACGTTACTGTAGGCTTTAATATTTCTGTTTGTGTGATACTAATTGTAAGTGTTGACTTTTTTTTGGATAGGATCAACCCAGCCAGCGTCTTCCGGACAGTATAACATCACACTGTATAGTATGCGTTTTTGCCCTTACTCGGAACGCGCCCGTTTGATTCTTAATGCCAAAAATACACGGTACGGAATACGGATAACTCACATTGTCTCACAATCAGTACGAATGTGTGTTTACATACCAGCATCATCTTGCATGCAATCTGGTTTTGTAAAAGAGCTCAGCATATATGTCTGTACTGCGTTAGCATGTTAATATTTGTAGAAAATTATGGAAGGTGGACGTTGTAATGATATTTTACATGTTCACTGTTTTATGCAGATACAATATTATCAACATCGATCCCTACAATCAACCAGCCTGGTTTGCCGGTATAAATCCCAAGAAGCAAGTGCCATCCCTGGAATTAGAGAACGGCACGCGGATTCATGGATCACTGGACATCTCTGTGTACGTCAACGAAAACTTTCCCGGGATACGCTACGAGCACGACCTGGCAAAGGATTATATTATCACCTTTGTTACTGAAAACGTCAGTACGAGTATGAAAACCTATACCGCCAAAGAATTTTTCGTTGTTTCACTTGTGTAAACCTTACCAGTTGCCGATAGAACATACTTACATGTTTCTCATAGCCCAGACGAACTGCGCTTGATTCATGGAAAAAGACACCGCATACTATTTATTTTTACTTTGCGCTTTGTTCAGATATCCAAGTCCATGAAAATTCTGACAAACCGCACGATTCCGGTCAACGCCAGTCTTGTGGACCATTTGATCGATAGTATGTTTAAGCTGGATGGCATGTTGGATGAACTGCGAACGGAATATTTCAACGGTAATAATATCTATATTTTGTTAGAAATACAGTCATGCAGTGCGTATGACAGTATAGTTCTACGGCGCGGTAATGACTCAAGTGAGGTAAGATATGCTACAACTAGGAGCAAATCAAATATTGGTGAGTAGATTAATTAACATTGCTGTGTGTACCGGATATATATGTCTGTCATCTGCTCCAGGAGCGGTTTTTGGAATGACCGACCTGATGATATGGCCGTGGTTTGAGCGTTCGAGTGCAGTCTTCAAACGACCGGAAATCGAGCGGGTGCTGGATAAAAACATGGCAGAAAACAAGTATCGAAACGGCTTACTGCCGCAGAACTTGGTGAACTGGCATCGAAAGATGTCGGAAGAGGGAGTTGTTTCCATTACGAAGTACGGTGAACTGGCACACGAGCGTAATTACGAAACGCACGACTGTGATTCTGGTTTATGTGATTGTCACGACTAATAACTTATACTTTATTGTCACCTTCAGTAATACAGTAATAAGAACTTCCATAAAATGCTTTGGTGGTACACTTATTATTACCAGATCCTTGTAAACAATTTCCAACCGTATTGCTGTAAGAATTTGGATTTGTTTGTTGTTGAACCGGAGTCGACCGATTTTTTGGAAAGGTCATTTGCAGTTCTTGGTGACACTGTGTGTAAAAGGTGAATAAAACACAAACTTTGGTAAACACTTGCTCTGTAAGCTAATGGAAGTTATTTTACCAAAACTGAAAATTTCGCATTTAAGTCTATTTCGCTTTTACTTATGTCCACGTTTCCACAATATATAAACAGCGGCATCTTTGCGGTTTCTTTGGCATCAAAGGCACCGCTCCGCTGCGCGGAGCCGGTTAAAACACTTTGTTACTGTACTTCCGTAGAAAGGGCGCTAATGGGATCGGTTTAAGGGACATCCATATAACTAATTACGTTATTATTACCGCGAAAATCAGCTCTTTTTATTTGACTACTCATAACGTTAGTAAATCTTTAAAACTATAATTTTGTTCTGTAGTGGACCAAGACTGAATCAAATAAATTAATTATAAAGAAGATATGCGGTATGTACATACAACATCGCTGTTTGTGTTGTACTAGAGTAGGCGGTCGGTACTGTAAGTACTGCTCTGGACTTCCTGTGTGTGTGATGATCTGTGATCTGCATTTCTGCACGTACCTCCTATGTTTACGCCATTCCTGTCCAATCAGAACTGTGGGGTTATACCCGCGGCGATGACTCGTTGGCCCGTGTTGGTATTTGTCATAATTTATGACATCATTCTCTTGGACACCGGCTTGGCATTTTATTTACTAGCCTCGTTAATTTTACAAAATTAGTAACAAGTAACTACAAGCGTGCATGTTCTTGTCTATGACGAAGTGTTTGCTTTCTCTAATCTTCTAACAACACATCCTGTTGTTCTAACAACACCTCCTGTTGTAAAATCTTGGCTGAAACTACAGTAAATACGCGGTACCAAATTTGCATTTTGGCCGTCAACTTTTGCAGTGGGATGATGGCAAACGTAGATACTAAAATATTTATTGGTTTTGCCAGTCTGTCGTACTTGTTGACCTTTGATCGCTTAGTACGTAGAGTGGCATTTTACAATGTGATCTGTGGATTTTGTTGCAAAACCGCAATTTTTGTATACCGTATATATCTATATATCTGTGAGTGCAATTAATTGCATTATCCTAGAAAATGGACAAAGCCGCACAAGATAACCGAGCGAACCAGCTAAATCCGAACCATCCTTCTTCCGGCCCGGGACGTTCTGCTGGGTACGCAGGGAGCGGAGACCAAGCGGATCTGGATAATCATTCCAACCAGCTGAATCCCAATAATGACCAGTACGGCGGGGGAAAGCCTGGAGAAACGGCGGAGACTGCAGCCGAAACAAGTGGCCATGACGGTAAGCATCGTAGCACATACAGATACTGTTACAATAATTATATTAATTTCACTATTCCTAATAATAATTATTAAATAATAAATTAAGTAAATTGATCATTATCGTATTATTGCTAACTAATAAAGGCTGAAACTGTCAGAGTATAATGCTTCACTACGCTACTGAATATGTACGCGCCTTCTGTGTTTAGACGGTCGAGGTGATGCACAAAGTGTTCCCGACGACATCAACAGTCTGGATGATGCCGAGGATGAGGAAGCTGATGCGGAAAATGCTGACGAAAACGATGGCGGCGATGGGGATGACCAGGGCGCAGAAAATGGCGACGACGCCGGGGATGGCGATGACGGTGGAGATGATGCCGGGGATGATGATGGCGATGACGGCGTCGACGAATAGAACCGTCAAGTGTCCTGTTGTTAATGGACGATATTGAAATTGTTATTGGTTTGCAAATTTCCGGACTGTAGTAATTACACGGATTTTAGGAAATTTTCGATGAGGGAATATGGTTGTGCTGTGCCCTAACGGTGTACTTCCATCGTTCTTTTGTTTGCATTTTTTTGGTTTACATGTTACGCAAGATTAGGTTGAATGATGACTTCGGATTTGCACAATAAATATTTTGTGTTTCCAGTCCGTTTATTCAGATAGTCAGGCATAGATATTAATTTTTAGTTTTCATTCGTTCGGTTCGATTAAGAAAAGCTGTATTCCATGCAAAAACATAACAGCTTTACAGTTCATGGGTAACAACAAAACAAAACTACACAGAAACAGCTTTCATGAAGGCACGGCTTCCACACGTTTTTCTTCCGGCTTAGAGGACATTCGTTCAAAACAAACACCATTTCCACGTTCTTCGTGAGCGGGAACAAATCGACAGGCAGACATTTAACAGGATAAAACGGATCTTCTCCATCCTCAAGATTCCTTGCTTTACTCCGGCACAACCTGCAAGAACGTAAAAATTAATAATTTCCCGATCATCGTAACAAAAGTTACTGTCTACGATATAGTAACCGTACTTAACCAATAATCAAGACTGCGTTCTGAGTAACGAAACATTTTAAAAAAATCTCCGCATCGCTACGAAGCTGCCGGCAGGATGTGCGGCATTTACCAAAGTTGCTGCCGAAACCATTTTAAATAATAAACCAATCTTAATTCTTAATAACACGTATGCCCCATCGAATATTGCTGTGATCTGTATTACAATTTGTCGCTGTATCGGTCTGAATACAGATTCTATTCAACTGACCGATATAATTACCGGCATTCCATTGATTCTGCAGTAAATGCAACACACTCAGAAAAGAACTATGAGAATACAATTACTGATGAACAGTGGTAACTACTAAGTACTAACCATTCATAAACTAAACAATTTCATATCCTCTGCAATTACAAGTGTTTCGCTTACGAGTATAAGTTTCCCACGGTGTACTCATTATCCGCCGCGCAAGCCACAAAGATAACCCGCTGTATACGCCTAGCTTTCCGGAGAGACTCAATCACAGAATTGTGAACTCCTGACCGAGGCGGATCCAACACCACCACCACCTGATCATCCCGCTGAATTTTCTCGCGGAGTATCTTCTCGAGAACATCCTCCACTTTGGCGCAGTGAAATTCAATGTTGTCCACATTATTGACACGGGCATTCTGTTCAGCATCGCGGACCGCCGCTTCCCCTAATTCCACGCCAATAACCCGCTTAACATGGCGGGCCATGACGATCCCGATAGTTCCTGTGCCGCAGCATAAATCCAGTACGACGGTCTGAGGTGTTACGGAGGACAGCTCAATCAGTGAAGAATATAATACTTCGGCAGCGGGGGTATTAACTGCAACAAAAGAGAACAATACACATCCCAAAGTTAAAACAATAATACGTCCCAAGAATTACCAATATATCGAGAACAGAAATTCGTTCGCAACTTCTAAGCTCACTCTAACCAACAGCGCAATAAAATATTAAGTTCAGATTGCGTACCTTGGAAAAAAGCATCCGGCGAGATTTTGAACTTGCATCCGAGAAGAGTTTCTCCAAACTCAGACGCCTAAAGAGCATAACACTCTTGCACCACCTGTTGCGCGGCTATCGTAAGTAAGTGTAACCAAGTAAGAAATAAGTAATTTCTAATGTAGCGGTGCATTCGAATTATCGAAACTAACCTTATCTCCGTAAATAAGCTCTTCGTTCATGCTTTCCGCTCTCCTTTGACCACCACCTCTGCAATATGATAAATATGTGATCTTGTTTTAATACCAAATTCGCTAAGTAAGTACGTACAGACAAGTTTGAAATTTTTACACTCACTGTTTATCGTCCGACACCCAGTAGACAAATGTAGGTGCAGACGATTTGTCAAGAGTGCTGCAGTAATACGAGAGGCGATCTTTCTCCGCAGCAACTGACTCCTGATCCAACTTTTGTGGATGGAAATGAATGCAAACAAGCGACAGACCGGCGGAATTTGTTCTCACTGTCAGCTGATGCCAATAATTTGTGCGGGTACGTTCATCAAATGGAGGATAGGCGGAAGTGTTAATAAACGTCGTAAAACTCTAGAGCGATCACAAAAATCAACTGAAGTCTCACGGTGAGAGAATTACAATAAGTAGCAGGGTTCTCACTTGAACAATTTTCTTCATTGTGTCGTTGATATGCCGGCAGCCATACGGTGGAATAACAACGATCACTCCTTCTTTATACTTTCCTAATTTGAATCCGATTGTTTTCTCTACAGCGCACAACGCCGCAAATATTAACAGTGACGCATTTAAAACGTAAAATCAATCTTACCATTTGAAGGCGAATATCCAATGGAGAATTCGCACTTGTTACGATACTTTTCCGTGATCGGCTGCAAATAACCAGCATCTCAAAAAACTGAAGATAAGCACCGTATAAGATGAATCAACTAACCGATGGCCGAATGACATCCAGCGGGCAGAAATTTCCTTTACGCTCTTTCAACCAAGGTATGGAACCCTGACTCTTGAACTGGAATTTCTTATCGACTTTTCGCAACAATTCGCGGGCATGATTCTGCTTAGTGACCAGCTGATCTTCGTAAGATAGCTTGTGAAGATTCGTAACGATGTCCAAGATCCTAAAAGCAGTACACATTAAAAATGCAGCCAACGATCTGTTGCTAATAAAAAGCGCAAAACATGCAATGTTGTAAGTGTCCGTGGAATTCTTACTCAGCTTCCGGATCGCGGGTCGACTCATTGCTTTCCCGTTCGTTATTCAAGCGATCGCCCCTTTTCTGATTACGGTTTCGATCGCCACGCTCTGCGTAGGGATCCGGAGCCATATCCGCCACCTATCAACAAATCAAAACCTATTTAATCATAACAAGTTACCAACCAATATTTCACTGCTTGAACAGCCTTTCAGTTTACCACGGAATGCACGGACATCCTTACTGTTCTTTTTTATAAGTTCCATTTTAAAATCACCTGCGTAACTGAAAAAGCTTTTCAATATTCAGCAACTGTAATAATCTTATTTGTTTTAAATACACGGGTGATTTTCGTTTGTCTTATATTATTTATAAGTAAATCATAAACCGTAAATTACTAGTTTTTCTTAACGTAATTTTCCGGTAAATTTGATTTCTGTAATCAATAAAATAATAAAAATAGAAATCAAGTCGGCTCATTAAAATATAGCAGATTACACTGCAGTCTAGCGGAGACTAACATACCTTGGCCGATAAAACTGTTCCATTGAATGTACTGGTGGCGATAACGCGGATCGCTGCATCTCGTTCTTCCTCCGATCTGCGTGTTTTTCGGTTGAAACCCATTCACAAAAAATATAAACATTTGCGCATCCTACCGAAAATTCAGAAAACATGCAGAAGCTGTTCCACGCCGTCCGCGGCCTTGCGTCGGCTTGATTTTGATCGGATCGAGTCCAATTTTAGTAAACCAGGTTTTCAATTGCTAGAAAAAGCAATTATCGTGTCAACATCGGTTATTGTCCGCATCCCCGACGCTGTCAGTGAATGCACGCTGCACCTTGAATCCGAAATATTTCGGGAGTTTCTGCACCATTACGCGAAACTGCGTATCCGCAGTGGCTTGCGGACACGATGTCGATTCTGCAGGGGATTCTTTTTCTGACGCGGTGGAACCATTAGATACTGGCTGGTCCGCGACCGGTTCAGGCCGATCATCATTCTGCTCCATCCCAACATCCATTTCTGAAGGAGAATGAAATCAGGATCATATAATCAGTGATGCTGCCGGTGGTCGTTGCATTCACATGCAAAGCATTCAGCGACCAAGGTACTGCGATAAAATAATTGCACCGGACGAAGCAGCAAAACACTGGAAGACTGAAAGACTACCGATTAACTTACGCGAATCAATTTGGCCGAATCCTGCAATCAGTAAGATTTACAACATCTATACGCAAACAACTGTTGCTCAATTTAGAATAGAAACGCGTCCAATTTGTCATTCTTAACGATAAATCAAACTTACAACAAACCAAAACATTATTATGAAAATGGAAATTCTGGATAATTAAACTAACCATAAGCTCACTGTGACTCTGTGAGTAGAGACTACTGCACAGTACAGTGCACACAGATGTATTTATTGTACTCTGTACATTGCATCGTGTCAGTGCGTACTGTGGTGCAAAAAAACAGCTGTCAACTCATGTCAGCCAGTTACAAAAACTACTCTACATTTTATTACTTCTCTTCCAAAGAATGATCCAGAAGCTTGTGAGCTGATGTGATGGGATTTTTTTAGTCACTGAATATTTTTGCTTTTCAATAGCGGCTTTTTTGAAGAGTTTTATGTTTTCATAGAGTAGCGGCTTAGTACCGTCTTGATATGTGTGCTGAAGATGCCTGACAGCCGTTTTGCTTTTTAATTGTCTCCGCGGCCTAGCGCAAATGTTTTCTATGGTGGTTAATAAACCGAAGCATTCTGAAGAAAGTATGTACTATGTAGTATTCGTGCAGATACATATTATAATTTTGCAGTTTTACTTTTACATTAGTGTAGATTTACAGGAATTTGAATTTCATACGGGTGTTCGCAATTAATTTCTTAACTAACAAGCGTAATAATTTTACATAAGCGATTATCCGGTTTTGACAAACAAGTTCACAGCGCACCGAGGATCTAGCAATACAAACTATCACAAAATTCGTCGAGAAGGGAAAACGATTAAATCCTGTCGGATGGTCGAGAAAACTTAGAACTTATTTATAAAATAAAATATAATTAAAGACAATTTTCCTGTCGTCATGGGGCCACCTTCCCTATAAATCCGCAAGTAGCACGTGCACGGCATCACTTGATTCCCGTGGGAAGTTCAGGCCACTTCGATTTGTAAACGCAAAGAGAAATCATTCGGGTTAACATAACCTTTCACAGGATTCAGCAATTCCTGTAAAGCATATAAACCTTACATGAAAAATACATGAGGAGGATTTCAGCGCAAAAAATTCTCACTTTCATAGAGATATAAGCCGAATATCCCCAGCTGCAACTACTTTTATCGTCGAACAGTCTGGAAGTCTCTACAAAGATACAGGACACGAGTACTGTACATATGTCAGCCAATATCAAAATCTGGATGTCGCGAGGTTACAATAACTGTAACTTTACAATCATACCTTTCTTAACTGGTGCAGTTCCTGTTTTCCAGGGCAGCAGGCGCAGTTTGGCTTTAACTTTACAGGACCACGGAGTCGATTTCGGATAGCCAGAACAGATCAGGTAGAATCCCAGATTAGCAGACTCACCGTCAGTTACTTTGTAAACCATTATCTTCCTGCAAAATCATGAATATTAATATATCGACTATGTAGCTCTCGATTTCCGGTTTCCCTACATCGATCCACTAACCATTGCAGCTTTCTGATTGTTACGGGATCACTGTACACGAAAGTCTCCTGCAGCATCCTCACATCCGGAATCGTATGGTAAACGATACGTTCTAGAAATGCCAAAACAATTTCAAAATGTTACAACAACTCAGGCAGCACTTTTCACTAAGCGCGCTCACTTAGCCGGGGCTCCGCACAGAATGCAAGCTGTGGTTTGTCTGCGCCATGCTTATACCTGAAGATGTCGCACAGCTCCGATTGCAGCAATAAACCAGTCTGAAAAAAAGCCGGCATTGCATTGGATTATAATTACTACATGCCATAATTATTAGAAAATAATAGAATTAAATCATGCCTCCAGGCATGGACTATATATTTTTAGCTCGCGCGAGGCAATCGATCACCGGGCACTGGTTATAACTTATAAGGTGCGCAGTACCTTAGCAGGGCCATCCACCAGCTGCGCATCGGTCAGAAGTGGGAAACGGATGAGGTGATATGCCGCACCCAGAGCTCTGCGTCGATGAACAGCAGAAGCCTCCACATTCCACCGATTACAGACGCTTGTAGCCCAACTGTCAACAACAAGACCGTAAATAATACCAGGCGGGATACATAGTGATTAACAGAAGCGCGCGATTCTGGCCAACGGATATTCGACAGCACATATAACAACAACATATTCACACAACACAAATTCACTAAACGACAACACACAACAGAATTTTCGACAGCTACCTACACCGTACCTCTCCAGGGACGCACAGATGGTATGTTCCTCAGCAGCCAATGTATCTCGTTCGAGAATCATCAGTAACGTCTCTAGTTTGAGGGACAAGAAACGATCAGACTGCCAGACACCTTCCACTGACTCATCAATTAAACGTAGACACTCCTCCATTACCATGGGCGACGGGAATTTATAATGAATGGCCTAAAGAATGCATTACGTAATATTCAAAGTACTGAATCTAACGCAAACAAAGCCAAGCACCAGCAAGCAGCCAAAGGAAGTTGTGAAACCAACCTTCTCCAGAATTTCAAGGCAGCTGTTCGTGTTGAGATCATCCAGAATAAAGCGGGTGCACAAGCCAACCAGCGATAACAAATCATATTTATCAGCGCAGTTGACTGTCTGGAACAGGATATCCTCGCTGAGAATCTCAATCGTGTCCGTGTAGATGAAGCTGCAATCAGTCAGAATTTCTAAATTTTTTCGCTTTTGATTTTCCATTCAACACAGTAACGAATAATCGGAATAGTTCTTATTTCCTACTGGCTTGTACAACACTACAACTGAACTAATAAAACTATAAATTCCAATTTTTCTCTCTTTTATTAAATACATAAAATACAGTTAAACTCTTATAAAAATGAAAGAAACAGAACCCTCTCAGTAAGAAACTGCGTTATGGCGGTTATGCAGGATCATGTACGTTTACAACGAACGAGCAGACAGACCTCAGCATATTAGCGAAAGCATCTGGATGGATATCTGGGATATCAATTGGACCAGAGCATTTCTCTGGTAGATTTCCGAAAAACATTGCATGGAACACATCACTGCGCGCGCCCATGATGACTCTGAAACCACAATTAGCGAACGTAATCATCACCATGTACCAAAGGCGACTCAGAACAGTCGATCAGACGTGCACAAGATATAAAGCACCTGTGAGCTGGAAAGGTCCGCTCGGCGCCATACTGGCGTCCCACCGTGAATTGACAATCACTCATTTCGCCATTGCCTAACACCTCCCGCATACATTCAGCAATCTTTCCCACATCCCCGCGATTAACTGGGTTGGACGAAACAGCGGAATTTATAGGCATGGTTGAATTGTTGCAAATGAGGTGTATGAAAAGTGCCAGAAATTAAGCAAAGTAGGATTGCAATTCTCTTCGACAAAGTTAAAATTTAAAAGTCAAGAAAATGTTGAGTGATACCAGCGTATATGTATTATTATTATTTGTAATATAAGCTCGCTGGTGATACTTCTGATGATGGGTCGTTATTCGTGGAACCAGGAAGTGCTGTATGACTATGAGCCGTATCGTTCTGTAAGCAGTAAGCGCCAACCTTTTCGCTGACGAAGCAGTTTCCGCATCCACCTGATGGTTACCTGAATAACGTTTAAGCCAGGGTTTTTCTGCAAAATTCCAGTCTGATTAAACCTTGTGAATTTTGTCATCTACTTACTCTAGATTAAAACCATTGAGAGATCAAAACTTCTTTTCATAATATTGATAATCGGTTTTTAGAGGTGATGTTTTGTGTTTCTGTAGTACTGGGCTTTGATGTCGGGATTCGGTGGACTGTGTACCCGTATGCCCTGATGCCAATGGGCCGTATCGTCTGATCTGAATCCAGAATTCTCCGGGAAGATCTGTTTTCAATTCGCATTCCCAGACCGTTCCCGTTCCCGCTGTGAACCGTGATCTTATTTTGCGCGATTGGAATTGAAAATTCTGTCGGTTACGTCAACGATCAGCACAATGATAGATCTGGAAGCAGGTGGCGACGGGCCACACAACATTCCAAATGCCAGCAACCAATTAACCAAGCCACTGCAATCCCATTTCCGCACTGATCATCCCTTTCTCCGCGCGGAACCCTTCACAACAACTCCCGCATCCAGCAGCGGCAGTATCATCGCTCGCTCCTCGATAACCACAGACTCCCTGCACGATCCCAACAGTCTGGAGCGTCTCCCGGCGCATATGCGCGTGCAGAAGCGATTGGATTTCTCGCCATCTCCACCACAGCCTTCCACGCCACAACCCCTGTCCGACACTGTTTACGTTCGCGATAACATCCACGAGGGATTCGCCCGCCGTTTCTCGGAAGATAATGGCGAAACTGTCTCGCTGTTGTCTAATGAAGACCGTGAACCGAAAGTCCTGCCCGAAGTACGCACGCGCGAACAAGAGCACCAGCTGCTGCTGGAAGCGATGCAGAAGCGGTTTGTCTGCCCTAATTTCGCTGCTCCACCGGTGGTTAACGTGGGCAGCCATCGGCGAACATCACAAGACGCGAAAGCTTCGAAAACTCGCTCCGGTGTGACGGGGCACACGTCGGTGTTGGCCAGTGATAAAGTGGCGGAAATTGACGGGGTGGTGAGTCGATTGGATGAGGCGTTCCATGAGAAGAAAGCGCCGTTTGATCCGCAGGATAATCTGTTGGAAAAGCTGGGTGATGTGCAGAGGAAGCAGCTTTTACTGAATTCCGCGAATCTGGAAATGTCCTGGTCCAAAAATGTCCTCAATACGCCGGATCATGAGCGTGGGACGAGATTTCGAGAGAATTTAGCGGCTTTCCATGAAATGGTGAGGACAAAATTAATTATGAAAAATATCTGATAATGGCTTCGCAAAACAATTCTTTTTAATAATTATTCCTTCTTGAATGATAATCGGATTACGATTCATTACGATTGATTCACTGCGATTGATTGATATTATTGTTAAGTGTACTGCCAGCAGCTTGCATGAAAAAACTTTTTCTTGTGCAGACGTGAATATCTGTACTTACTTTTGGAGTAGTTAGAATCACAAGCGCTTTTTTTCGTTTTCGTCAAATCTGTCATAAAGATACGTATGCATTTGTACAACGTTTTTGAAAATTCGCTTATTTGAAGCGAGATGGGCCGTAATCGTTCTGAACAGAATTTAACTGAACTTTGGTAAAAAATGGATAACAGTTTACTACAAAGTACAGTACTGTCTAACGGTTTACTACGGCTAAAATAGTACTGAAACTGCTGTGGTATTTTATTGCACTGTAATTAATTCTTTATAAAAATTGCATTCCTGATTCTTGCGAAGATTTTGAGAAGGAATTTGGTTGACAGTTGTAAGTTTTTAACATTGTAGATGGATGAACTGTCGCGGGAGGTGTTGATTCTGCAGAACATCGATCCGGCCGACGCCTCCGACACACTGCCCCGACGGCGTCAGTCCGATCTCCCAGATCTCGTTGGTCTCCATGCCCAGCTGTTTCGTAGTCATGATATAGCCGAGGTGGCGAACGATCTGCAGTCCTATGTATCCGACACCTCCACTGTGAATGGCACGGATGCCGGGCGAACGGTGCGTCCATTTCCCACCCGCAGTTTCCCCGTTCCTCATCCGCAGGTGGTTCCGAACAATCTGCGTCAACCTCCGCCTTATCCACCACCTCCTGTTCCTTCCGTTATTAATTCTACCTGATGTGTAACTGGATAGGTGTTGCACAGGCTTTGACTGCTTTGCATGTACTCTAACGAACAGTGAAATTTTACTGCTGATTTGCAAATCTTATTGTGATTTGGGTGCGTGGTCAAAATGTATTTGTACTGAACGGTATCGGTAATTAATTTTTGCGTTGTTGGAAACTTTTATAAGGTTTAGTGCGAACTGCTAATAAACAAGTGAGGCTGAAATCGAAAAAAATCATTTTTGCTGTGCTGACATACTACATGCAGACAGATAATACTTGCAACTCTTATGCACGGTAATAAATTTCTGGCCATTTATTTACGAGTATTAGCACAAAATCGAAAAGTGACTTCGTACTTTCCCCGCGGCATTCTCACAATACAATACCGTGGAAAGTTCCGAAATGAAATTGAAACAGTTCCTAAAGAAACAAAGTGTGTGGTGGTTAAACAATTGAACGCCAAATGAAATTATTGTAAAGGATTTGTCTTTAATGTTCAAATCAAGACAGCTGACAGGTCTGCAAGTACTGCATATCTATATACAGTATCTATCTATAGATATATTGCTGAAGCAAATGGTTAAAATAATGCGCGCAGTAAATCTGGTGATTGTCGCATCCGTTATTAGCGCTGGTAAGTCTCGTGCAATTGAACCTATGATCCGATGATGCGAGTCGATTGGCGTCGTTTTTTATGCGTCGGAATCTAGGATAATAACGATTGTTTAGGCAGGTGCGACACCACTATCGCCAGGCCCACAGTCACAAGGAACATCGGTGATAAAGCCGCATAAGTCTGGGTTGACCGCATCCGGCAACGGATTGCCAAAGGACGAAGGAAAGCCATTTGCCAAACCCTATAACTGCAAAGGCCCTTGTAATCCCAATCAACTCTTCAGTAAGTTAATGTAATAAGCTAAGTTTTAAGAACAGTACTATTTTTTCGACTAGTTGCTTAATAATAATTGTGCGGTACAGTACTTAATACTAAGTCCACTTTTGCTATAGTTTTTATATGCGCTTTAACCTATGCATACTGTATATATCTACATAGAGCTTTTATATACATTTCTTATTTGTATATACACAAATGGCTTCGAAATTCTACAGACATTGGCCGTGGACCAGATTCTCTAACGTCGCATGCAAACGGTCGCTTTACGCAAGACGCACTTGCCAATGTTATGGCTGGAGCCCCTGTAATGAACATTCGAATCCCCATCCGAAAACCCAACCAACACTCGACATCCGCTACCGTACCACCGGCAAATAACACAACAACAAAATCCGTCGTCAATTTGTCCAATGCCAATCCCCCAGCGGCTGCAATGCTAAAGCGGATATTTAATTGGTCCTGACAATGTTCCTCCAATTTTTAGTGGTATTTACTCTATTACAGTAAAATTTACGAATTTGAATGTTTTCGCTTTGTTTGGACTTGGTTTGACGTGCAGTTGTTCCCGGAGAATAATTTACCAAAACCCATGGAAAATAATTAAGCCGACACATGACCTGCAGGCAAAACAGCTTTACATTTACAGTAGACTCGCGGTGTCGTAACACTTTTAACGAATTGCTTACTTCTTATCGGTCAAAATACAAAGTTTCTCGAATTATATTTACCCATTACTGTATTTGCTTTTTGCTGCGCTTTTAGCACGTACCGACTTCAAATAACCTCACTATTTAACCGACCACAGAAAAACAATACACATTACGTACGGAAACTGCGTTCTGCCTTCACATAACACACCTGCTGTTTTTACATGAACAGAGCAAAAGAATCCACAACACGATTTTGTAGACACTTGAAATATTATAATTTTTTTCTTGACCGCCATGTGTGATACCAAGTTAAGTATGCTTACACGATATATAAACATCGTGTAATTAACTTTCGCGTGTTTCTATTATGGTGCACATTACATCAAATAATACCTTCGTGAAATTTAATTATACGGCTGCATTCTCGATTACGGATGTGGTAATTGATAAAAGTAAAGTATGACTAACGAGTAACTGTTAAGTTTGCGAGCATGGAAAGTTTTCATAGTCTCCGATCTGAATATCTGTTATGTGCGGATGTGCATTTACACTTGATCCTTGTAATGCTGCTGCTTGCCAATCATGGAGCTTGGACGAAAACGCCGAATCCCGGGCACCATGATCACCGGACAGCCATGATCTTTCAAAAGTACCAACCGTTAAAACTTCGCCCCGGACCAGGAACAAGCTTTGCCAATGACTTCAGCGCTTTTGCCAGACCGTTTGCTTGCTTGCAGTGTTTGCGACCACCTCAGTTTAATGGCGCGTTTTCTGCAGAAAATCCGGAATACGGTAAGTACTATGTAATATACGGAATCTCGTCAATCATCAGTAAACTGCAGAAAGCTATATCATTAAGGAATTACAGGGAGTTCAGCTGGTAACCGCGGTTCCGATTTTCTCACCAATGCCAACACCCGGTACAGTCAGTTTTCAGCTGCAATGCCGTATGCCGGTCCTGGAACATTTAGCGTCAGGATTGCTCGCAACCGTCCAGAAGCCAATCCCACGTTGGCGCCCCGTTTTACTATTGCCACAACATTTGCATCAACGTTAACATCGGTGTCAAAAACCCCACACGTCGCGTCCGCGGCAACCGATGATGTAAAGGTCAACAAACGTGTATCCGTACCAAACACCGTAATAAATTTATCGCAGTCGGCTCCGCTAACCGCAGCCAGTCTTAAAGAGTTGTTTGGATGGTAGCTCCCTGGATTATGTCGTACTTCCGCACAAATCGCCATTTTTAAAGATTTCTACAGAGGTAATTGAAATTTTTGCTTTTCTTTTACTTCAGTGAAAAATATGTCAGTATTGGTTAACAGCTTTGGTCCTGTTTTTGCAATAAAGGAAAGAATTAAACACATCAAATACAGAAGTCAAATGCATAATTGACATGTTTTATTTGCCATAACGTCACAAGCATGCACGAAAAGCTGCCGGCTCGATGAGTTATCATACGAATACCTCGATTTCACACAACATTAATTTTAAAGCTGCTTCATAAGTACACTTGGCCAAAAGCTTAGTAAGTCCGATACAGAATGAAAAAGAGAAAGAAAAGGAAACTTCGATGCACTCTAGATCAGCCGAATCCTGCAAAACCATCTCAACCACATCCCGCTACACAAAAAACGGACTTCTAACAGAACACATCGACGGATTAGCTCGACGCCAGCCCAACATCCACCCAATAATTCACACAATTAAAAACGCTCAACGGCATAACACTATTGCGAGCCTTATTCACAACCGATCACATTCCACCTGTACGCCTATGCATTTCTCCGCCAATGTAACTCAACGGGATAAAGATAGATGCGTTCAGTAAACAGATAAACTGGCAGTCTACTGGAGTTTCCGGTCAGCCGCTAACTGGGCCTCCGCGGTACGCTTCTTTAGTACAACATCGGTTAACTGGTGCTGCAAGTCAGCATTCTGTGCGGTTAAACCTTCAATGGCTATCTTCATGCGCTGCACCAGTTCTACAACTTCCGCGCCGGACATCCTCTCACTACGCAGCAAAAAAATGCATCATTAGACCATACTTTCAGAGTAAAAATATTTTTCTTACGAAACTTTTTTTCCGGCAAAAATATAACTGTACACTCAACAACTTAACCATTAACAATCTTTCGAATACCAAATAACTCAGCGCTATATGAATACTGATATAAAATTAATTCTGCTGCCACTTGCAAGTGACATAAGGACTTACACATCCGCAACTGTGGGAATATTTGCGGCGGCAAATTCCCAGTTGGGTGCGACCGCGAAGTCCAAACCAATGTTTACGCTGTCGTGTGTCAAATTAGCTCCGTTCCATGCAGGTGCAAAGGACACATTCTATAACACAATTCGCGTAAATCTGCTGTCTCACAAGCAGAAAAGAAAAGTGTCCCGTTAAATTTTCCTAATTAGCATACCTTTGCAGGCGTTTTTATTACTCGCGGAGGCTTTTCCGGTTTTACGTCAACCGGCGGGACATGCGATGCAGGGTGCCGGGACTCGTTTTCGGATTCACTAGTTGCACTGTCCAACCGTCGGGACAACTATAATGGTCAATCTTTCTCAATATTCCTTAACTACAGAGAGCATTTTTAACTTTTAAGGCAAAAGTTTACTCACAATCGGCGAGCTTCGAGGAGGCAGCTGGGGCGGCGGATTGCCTCCCGTGACGAGGGATGTTTGGTGCAGCAGTCCGCCGGGAGAATGTTTCGCCGCCGAATTCGGCTGCGGCTGGCCTTGAAGATCCAGCGAAGCGCTGCGGGAATGCCAGGAACGTGGAGGCGGAGGAGGAGCGATAACAGAGTTAGTGGCGGCCGGCTGGGCTTGCACGGTGCCACTAGTAACGATGCTGTTCGCGGCGGATGTGGGCGCCATAAGGCTGAGACTATTGGGCATGGCCACGGTGCCGGCAGAGAATGAACGTGCATCCCGAACAGCGGCTTTCGTATTGGAAGTCGTCAGAGTCGATCGTGGGGATGGTTTCACGGCCACGGGATGGGGAAGATTTTTGTCCTGTACACCAAATGCGCAAGCAATTAACAATCTTGACGGAAAGCTACAGTAGCAACATCAATAACAAGCTGATACTACGTAATATTTCGTACAAGATTTCACAGATATCTTCTCCACAGCAATGCTATAGAAGAATGAAAGACAGCAAAAACAGAACGAAATAAAATATCAAGTCTAATTTAAACTTTAAAAAGAATAATGAAATCGAAAATCTAACAAACGGTTTCAGTAAGTACTGTAGCAATGTCGTAGCAATATGTCACCAGACAAGCTTTTGTTCTTACCGTATCGAGCGAGGCTCGAAACTGCACTGGACCACGATTATGATTCCGGGGCGATTCACTAAATTTGGTCCACTAGAAATTAAACGAAGACGCTGACGTTCAGTTTCAAATAATACAAGTGGGTAACGGAAGAAAGCAACGAACCTCAGGTTGGTGCAAATTGTCACCAGCTGGAATGGAAGAGGGCGCCGACTGTTGTGATGCCTTAACCACCAATTTGGTCGACGCTCGCAATGACACTGGCAGATGCGGCGGCAAACTCATCCCATGACGACGAGCCACGCTCAGATGCATGGCGTAACAGAACTCCGACAATGTCAAGCGGCCATCGCGATCCACATCACTAATATTCCTGTAAAGAAAACGCAATTCTATACACGCTCATTATTCAGTCACAAAACGTACGCATGCCCGTACCAAATCTCTCCTAAATCCTGTAAAGGCAACTGCGAATTTTCGAAGAAAACGCGCGCATCTTTCCCTGCACAAAATTCAAAAAATAAATAATAAAAATCCCAAAACATACTGAAACTTAAATCGTATCCAGAGCGAATTATCCAAAGCGATAATTACCTTCGACGTATCCGCGCACATCTGGTTGCAATCGCAAAAACAAACTCAAATACCACGCCCGCTGCTCCGGCTGAATACGCCAGGGATCTTCCGGATCCTCATTCTCCGAATCCTCCGACACTTCTTCATTATTATCCAGTAAACCATGACTTTCCTCTTCATAACCCGGCCACTGGTGTATCGTTGCGCCTGCAACATGCATACCCCATAATCATCGCTTCCCGCACCAGCGCTAATCTCCGAGGTCGAACGTACTTAAGACCGATGGCGAGCTCCTGTTGGACACCTTGGAGATGGCCGACTGCGTCTCCCCCACATCGTGCTCGTCGGCCTCTGAGTCTTTTTCGTCGGACGATGACTCCTCGGAATCACTATGCGATTTCGCATCGGATTCCTCCGCATGCTCCTGGCTGCTTTCCATTACAGCCGGCTCCGTGCCGCGGAAGCTGCTGCTGTCCTTGTCGTGCGGTCCCACCCCGCTGGTCGACGGGATCATCGTTATGGATGATGTGAAGCTGCCGTCCGGATGCGGCACCTGTTAGGAGAATTAAAATTCAACGGAACACATAAAAAATTAAAAACAGAAAATGATTTACTATTAATATTATGGATTAATATTATCTGTTATCATTCGCAGCTGCCGCAACTTAACGAAGATAGTGGGGGATCACGGTGCACTATTGCATCGCCAGCGTAAATTATGAGCAACAAAGGTGTTGCAATTTAGGGATGACAAATTGTCAATGAGTTTTAATCAGCCCGATAACCGTCTAGTGTGACTGTCCTGATCAAAGTTAAGAGTCCCAGCGGTAAAACACAAGTGCGCTAATTGCAGGAAGCAGTAGTCATGTGTATTACGTAAGCCTGGCTGATGATTCTGATCTAACAGTCACAAAAAGCACAACAAAATCTGCCCACTGTTTTGATATCGGAATATTGTCGCAGTTTATTGAACTGTTCATAAGTTTCTTAACAAGATTAAAATAAACTATGTCCTCACTAAAATAAACTATCCTTCTTTTATAAAAATTGATTCTGATAGAAATTCGCTTTCCTAAAAAGCAAGTCCAAAATCACAAAAAATCAAAAGGAGGCACATGCCAACGTCGATAGCAAAAACAGAAAACCGCTGATATTTTCAATCTCTGCGAATTTTTTTCCCAATCAAACTTCAAACCTTTTTGGGGAAAAAATAACGCCATTAATTAGAAAATTTACCGTGCAAATTTATATTCTAGCAAAACTGATGTGAAGTGGGAAAACATACCGCAGATGACGAGGTGACGCGTGTCTGCGACGACGGCATCGCGTACGGCGCTTGTGCTCCACTGGAAATGGGGAATGCGGAGCCAGCGGCGCGGGGCTCCACACTGCTGGCTGCCACTGGCCCCAATGCAGGGGCAGGATAATGAGGATGATCATTATGTGCCGCAGCGGCCGCCATGAGAGGCTGGGTGGGGAAGGAACCATTGGCATTGTGAATGGCAGCCATTTGGCGTCCCGCGACGGGCGGTTTGTAGCCAGGTGAAGCTGTGCTGCTGCCTGCTGCGCTGCTTAGCTGGGGTGTTAGATTCAGCGAGGCTGACGCGGATCCCGAAGAGGACATTGTGGATGGAACGATGGATAGCGCCAGCAGGACCTTGGAGGTTCAGTACCCCCTGGATATCATCAAGAATCACGAGATCGGTAGGATTTAACCGTAAAAACAGGTTTACACTGTTAACGCAAACAGCGTAACAGAACCATTCCCGATTAAATGATTCCGCTGCAAAACGAGATATAACATCCAGCTATAAAATGCAAACAACAATCTAAGTATTATAATTACTGTAAATGTAAATCAGTAGCTGTAAACAGTAAATATGGATTTGACAAAGTTTTAAAAGCAACAAGGCTGCAGCGACTCAGTGGCAAGTCTGGAGTCTCTTAATAAATTCTTCGGCCCACAAGGTGACAAGCTGCGTGTCTCGTGTATACAGTACCGAATACTACCGATCACTGCTGTGCCATGTACATGTATGTACCGATGTACAATGCACTGTAGTGGCTGCACACTGCACAGTACATTTTTAACACCGCATGTAAGTACTGTACAATAAATTATTATGGGCCAGTATGCCTGAAAAATAGGCGAAACATGTCGACATTACAACCACCGTGCTGTCGGTAACGTTAATCCCGACAACATTTCGAGGTATCTCGCTATAATCAGCACCCACTTCCGGTTCTCCTGTTCTGCATTGTTTTCTTCTTCTCGTATTCAATGTTTTTCTGGATTTTAATAAATGCCGTGTACATATCGTATTCTAGAAACGTCATCTGCGACTGTGAGTAACGGTGCGGAGTGCGGACCTTTAGTACAACACAGCAGACATCGTACAATTTCCGGTGAAATATATTGTAGATAAGTGATACCTTAATGATCCTGCGATGAATCCTACTGGCTTTCTCAGAATAATATTTTATAAACTTCAAAATGCTTCACTGATACGTGGACATAAGACTTAATACTGGTTAGTGTAATTGTGATCACCTTTTGGCAGTTGCTGCTGTTACAAAGACCGGCAGATCATATGTGATCGCGATTCGGTACAGATTGTACGAGTATAACCCACAACGAAGCACAATTTACTACATGTGGATGTATTTACTACATGCATTTCACAAACCATCATTACAAAAAAAACTAAGATAGTAAAATTTACAAGCGCAAGTTCAAGAAGTGCAGTAATGTTATGGTGCTACATAAAGAACAGTTTCGAAGAAATAAAAAACGCTCAATCTAATCAAACCAACAATTCAGCTCATGCCTGATTCTACATACTTAGTGCGCTTAAAAACACTTAAACAAGCAGTCATTTACACAGAAGCTAAACAACAGATCGAGAAAAAACTTGAGCGACCAGGGCAGTCATTCCCTGTTGAACAAAATACTGGCCAATCTGGCAAACTCCTCCGGCCATTTTCGGGGCTGATCACCCATCAATTCCCGAATCCCCCACGTGTCTAATGTATCGTACAGATTCATCTGTCGCATTCTTTTAACGCAACCTTCCCGGACCACGCGCTTACAGCGACGCGACAGCACATTCCCACTCACTTCGCTTCCGAGCACTTGTGCCCACGCAATCCACGCCAGACCCTCCACTCGGAACTCAAGGAGCAATCCCATCGCTTCCTGCGGCATCAACTGTCGCAAAATCGACTTGATCAACGCAGTGCTCACATTGTCCAACAGCAGGCCCACTTGGCGCCGACTGCGGGCAATTCGCCGCATGCGTTTCCAATAGGCCAACATCCGCATTCCCGCTAGCAGAAACATATAATAAATGTTCTGCACGATGCACGCTCGCGGGGAACTGGCCAAGTCCAGCATGATCGGACAGTATTTGCCCCGCACTGACGACACGATGGTTTCGTGGACCCGATCGCAGTACGTCTCCAAGACCGGCACGGTGTAACTGAGATTCACGGCCACGAAACGTTCCATGTCGACGCTGATGCCCATAGCGGCCAAATCAAACAGCCAACCATACCACGACATTGTGGTCTGACCTATTAAATTACAGCTGAAGAATTAATCCACAAAATAAATTGTAATTTCAGGAAAAAATGTTCGGTACGTACCTTCATGGTTATTTCCGCCATGTAGCAGAGCTGACGCTTCCAGACTGGAATGGTTAGATATCGGCAGCGGAATGTTTCTGTGCGTTTTCCGTGGTGCTATCGTAAGGCCGTATTTTTTGTAAAAGATAGTGTACGCTCGCGCAAATAACTTCAGACGATCCGGATAAGGCGTAATAAACAAAATGTCATCGAAGAAGCGCACCAGCATCTCATCCTCCTGGACGTGGAAATCCATGTCCCTTTCCAAAATACTCAAATACAGATTCAACAGCCAACCAGATGCGGGAGCGCCTTGTGGAACGCCGAGGTTGAACTCATACCTGCAAAGATCAACCCAAAAGATAATGCAAAAAACTTATCAAGTTATAAAATTAATCATTTTAACGAAAAACAGGAGAAAATTCTTCAATGCTTTAAGGGATTTGGCCCGGTACATAGCACCAAATTCGTGTACATACACGGGAATATTCGCTTACGCGCACTTCCAAACACTTTTTTCGGTTGCTTTTTGACATTGTGTAGGAAAATGGTTTGTGTACACAGGCGTGAAATCCGTTTCTGCGCGCAACATCCGGTTCGGGAGTTATGGCTGTTAGAAAATTCCAAAAAGTTTAAATGCATTCAGGTGTACCAAAAGTCTCATTATGGACCAATCCCTTTCAAATTTTGCACGTAAATGCACATAACCATGAAGATCATTCTTACACGGATCCAGACGTGCACGATTTTTTTCGAATTTTAAAATGAATTCTAAAATTTTTGAAATTCATTTTAAAACTTGGAAAGCATGCTAGAACAGTGGATCGCTGTAAGAACGATCTTCATGATCATGCGCATTTACCTGGAAAATTTGAAAGGGATCGGTCCATAATGAGACTTTTGGTACACCTGAATGCATTTAAACTTTTTGGAATTTTCCAACAGCCATATCTCCCGTACCGGATGTTGCGCGCAGAAACGGATTTCACGCCTATTTATACAAATCTTTTGGCTACAAAATACCTTAAAGCAATGGAAAAACATGTTCGAGAGTGCGCGACAGCGAAAGTTCCCATGTATGTACACGAATTTGGTGCTATGTACCGGGCCAAATCCCTTAACTGTTAGTGCAGTTCAGACTAGCAAATTTAAGAGCGTCACAGTAATCACACGACCACAAAATCTGCTTATTCTTACCAATTTCCCTTGTACTTAAAAATGGGTATTTTCATATAGTGGAACACAGAACTTAAAACTCTCTCCAGTGGCAGTATTTGTGGCTTTAAACCCCGACAGCAGTCATCAACCGGTTCTCCCTGAATAACCACACGAAATCGCGGGGACGATTTGCGGTATTCTTCTCCCGCAGCAGCATTTGCACGGAACAAGTCATACACCGCGACGGCTTTTATTCCATCCTTCTCGCATTTATCATACAATTGTTCGAAGAAGGTCTTTATTGCACCGGTGTTCACTGACTCATAAGCCCGTGAAATATCGAAAGCAAGGAACAGCAGAGGCCGGGTGTCCTGTTTTTGCAGTCGTTCAGCGCGAAATTTCTGCCAAACAGCCTGGATGTCTTTGTCACTCTGACAACCAAAGCCTTTCTCGAAATATCGCGCCGCCAAGCAGTCGGTTGCAAGTTTCACTTTTTTCAACGCAAGACATTTCGTCTCGTCTTCGGCTAGTTGTGGGAATGACGAATCAAGCACCATAAGAGGTCGGATCCCATTTGGCCTGGGCAAATAAAAAAAATAAAATTAAACCCGTTCCGCAGAAGTCGCACGAGTAGACTTACCAATAACGTTTATTTTACTATTTTTCTATTGGTAAACTAACAATAAATACGTACTTTAGGCAACACACCAAATTAACCACAAAAACCTTAGAAGTCTCAAAAATAATCACATAATGGTATTTTACTTGGGTACAAATCGCGGTCGATAAACTGCCGAACGGCGCATCAGGAAAAGCTCCTCGTCACTGTGCTGACTGGGCATGTCTAGTTTCACCCAAAAATTCTTATCAATTCTTTCTCGCACCGCCGCACGCACTAACTCATCCCAAATCTCCCGTCGATAAAAAACATATTCATTCCTCCGGAAATTGGTCAACGTCACGTAATACAGTCGATTGACCAACGGATTCACCAGGCGATCATAAACCCAGAAAATAAATCCCGCATAAAACAACTGACTCCGCTCTGCATCCGTCTGTTTCAGCCACGGGATATCGCTAAATCGCGTCCCAGCGATCACATGCAACACGGAAATAAATTCCCCGCGGCCGACCGCCAGGTAGTCATGGAGGCCGCGGCAAAATATCTTCCAGTTGTAATTACCGCCAAAAATCTTCTTATACGGCAGAACCTCGTACAGATACGCCTGTACGTATACGCGCACATCATTGGTCGGTGTGGCAAGCCGGTAGACATTGACGTCGTCCAGCGGCTTGCTTCTCACGAATTCCCTGAACTGTTTTAGCAACGCAGCTTCACGACGCAAGGCTTTCTCGAGAGTGAAGCTTGCAGACGCTGGTTGTGGGTTTTCTTCTTTGCCAACTTCTTCGGCTTTTGACTTATGGGGTGTTTTGTTCTCCGAAAATTCAAGCGACTCGTCTGCAACAAAGCAAGTTAAAAATAGCCGACAGTGCCGCGACACTATTGCAGACATGCGCACTGCGCAGAATGGCCAAGTTATGTTAACAATAATTTAGGGTTTTTTAAATTTTAAAAAAACAGTTTCACAAAGAAAATTGTCCGACCCAGATCAGCGCAGAAACAACACCGGCGACGTATTCGGGGCTCCTTTGTCGTCAAAGGCGCCGCAAAGCATTGGAAACATGGTGGGACAATGAATAAAACAAAGCGAAATATGCAATAAAATTCACCAAAAGTTGGAAAGATCACTACGAGTATGGAAACAGAATAAAAATACAGTAACACTGTAACAGCGCAGATTGTAAAATTCATTTTGAAAGATAAACTGCAATTTTGTTAATGCGTTCCGTATTGTGATTTTTAGCTTCTATCCGAGTACGTGTTACAGTTGTCCCAAAAGTCCAAAACGTTACATACAATGATACAATAATAATAGTAACAATATCCGTAAAGAAAATGAACTAGGGAACTGCACTACCGGTGCCATGCAGTCATAACACTCCAGGTTTTACATGCAAATGATTTGCGATGCTGTGAATGGTACAAAAATAAAAAAAAACTTACCCACTGTCCGTCCAGCTGCCTGCGGATCTTCCTGCACGAGGCCATTGTCCCAGCAGGCGTCGATGTAGTGCAGGGGGGCCCATTTGGCTTGCACCTTGTAGGGAGGAGTCCGGTCAACGCTCTGGATGATCTTGGCCATCATGCTGCTCAATTCCCGCTGCAGCTGCGGCTTACGCTGGATCTCATCAAACAAGCCCTTCCATCCAAACGGCCCGCTGGCTTTGCTGGCCTGGTCCTCGCTGGGAAGCAGCTGCACACGCAGAGGACGCAGCGGTTCATGGACCAGCTGGTTGTGGGGCAGATATACCGTTGCCAGTCCTGGATGGTTGATATTACCCCATGGAGGTCGCGGATTCTTTCGCTTTTCTGGGTTTTCTCCACCGTCCTTTTTGTCGATATTGGGCTGCGTCGGAATCGTGCGCTGGTTTTTCGGAGTATCTTCGTCGTCTGTTATCAAGCTGCTGCTCAGCTGTTCAACGTCCATATCCATTGTTTCACAATTAATTGGCAAACGGGAATAAAATATTGAATAAAGGGAATGTTATCAGTTATCACGAATGGAGACGCAAGCTGTAATAAGGACCAACAATCCTGCGAGTTCCGGAGTTCGCAAGTCGCAACTTTTACGCCAGTTTCAGACTGCAGAGTGAAAAATAAAGGCTGGAGCGGCTGTTCCGTACAAGTGAACAAAAGTTTGTTCACTTGTTGAGCGCGTTGTATTATGTATATTGCAATACGCAGCAACCGGCCAATAGAAGTTTCGCGGACCGCCTTATAACCGGAAGCTACCTAAAGTGGCCGTTAAAAGCCTGAAACTCTCGAAATAATTTCAATAAGCATTAAAAAATAAATAATAATAATAGCATTATTTAAATGCAAATGTAGGAATTCGGCAAAATTATGCGATCAAACTACTGTAGATACAATGATACATGGTCCGCACAAGACTGTTTTTCACAGCAGTGTGCTAGCAAAGAAGCTGTTATGTACGTCCACTAAATTTTGGATTTGAGTCTTTGGCTACGGGAAAGTCATAGATAGGAAAGTCGGGATAAGTACTTAACTACCGAATACGCAGTAGGAACTCCCTGCCAGGGAGGCAACGTTTCAAAAACCAGAGGACGAGTGCGAATTTCGTGGCCTGAGTCATACCATTAATTTCCTTAAGACAAAATAACAAAAAGAAGTATATGATTTTACTTGATCGATCTAATAAGTATAGACTAAAGAACATCTGCATGTCTTGTTAAATGTCGGAACGTAAAGGTGATACAGTATCAATTCTTATTGCTAGTTCTCTGTTATCTTACATCACTCGTATCGTCTAAATCCGTAAATTATGAAAATTTAAACTGAAAATCATAAATGCATTCATGTGTTTGTGAACATTTAGCAGTGTGATTCTACACAAAAATGGTAATTCGTTCGTCATTGAAAACCTTTACACAACAGCCTCTTGAGAGTCGTCATAATAGGGTCCAAAATCGTATACATCCTTTCCACCACCGCCGCGATTGTTCCGTAAGGAATTACTGTACTCGTGACCTTTATCCCTCCTCCACTGTCCGGCATGTTCGCGCTCCCTCCCGGAATCACGGAACGACCGCGACGAATAATCCCGCTGCTCACGGTAATCATTGCGATTATAATCGTACGCGGAACGCTGTCCGCGGTCGTCCCGGTTCAGTGTGTGATACTGCCGGCCGTCCGAGGGGTTTTTCCCATGCGAATGCGGTAGGGTCATCGAGGTGGATGTGGTGTGCTGGGGACCGTTGTCCTGTTCGTAGGTGTTGCCGGTGATGGGCAGGTCGGTACGGGAATGCTTGATGAACTTCGCCTCGGTACCGGTGCGGTCACGTGAGGGCGGTTGGTCGGTGCTGGCGGGACGGAGGGTGTCGGTGGTGGTGTTCAGGGGCAGGGTGAGCTGGTGAAGAGGCTTCGGTTTGGGTTTGGATTGCGGTCGGTCGTCGGGAGCGGGTGTAGCAGTGGGGGCGCTGCTGGTTGGATTGGCGGGCGCTGTTGTTACTTGCTTTGGTTCTTCCGGTTTTTGAGACTGTAAAGAACAGCAAAAGACAAACTCTGATTAATATGCAAAACTTGTGTGCATGAAGACACTGAATTAACGAATATAGTCTTCGAAATAGAAAACTGTTCAGCTTTACAACCACATATATAAAGGTCACAAGCTCTATTGAGATAACTGCACGATATCATAGAGTTAGAACGATTTCCATTGTTCAAACGGAAGTATACGTGACGGGACACACCTGCGCACAGCGGTAAGTAGTGGTAATAAACCTGCACGTTTGTGAGGATTTCCAGGAATTAAGAAAAATACTCGAGTAGAAAATACAGAATTGCAGGTACAGATGGAGGCTATTAGAAATCGTTAGCCAAACAGACACCGCTTTAGCGATTTGTACTACAAATACTACTTACATAGAAATATCGATAATATTTTATTTGATTATCATCCATCTATCGACACGAAGATTCACTACTCGCAACTACGTCTCATACCGGCTTATGCGAACAAGTACGCTGTCGGGGCCTTCATCGGAAGCGGCGACTATATCTTGGCGGCTACTCAATCTTATTCAACACGGTCCAATACGATACTTCTTGACATGCCGCACACCATTGTAACCAATTCAAGCGTTTTCCCTGTGTCCCATTATAGAGTTGCTGTGTGCGTATTTTGGTGGGGGGAATTTAGGTTAAGCAGAATATAAAATAGTTAAAGATCGATATGATTGTATGAGCGGCGGGAAGAGTGCTTGAGTGGCATGTATAGGCAAACATTTCCATCGGGTGTAATATGTATTACGCACATTACAATCTAACGGACACAGACCACTGTTATCCTGCTGCACGGAAGTTCGATAGTCATTGATAAATTGGACAAGCATTGCCCATTACGTCATTATTATCCAGTGCAGCGTTGTTCATGAAAATTGCCATGTGCCAAACATTAGGCAGAATCTATGTACCTCTTCATCACAGCAGCAGTCAGACCGATTTCCGGTAGATTTTCTCCTGCCAGCAGCGCAGCGGTATGCTTCTACTATGCGCTCATAAAAGTATCCATCCTTAGTATGTATGCGGTACATATAACGGCGTTCAAAAAATAAAATTCTTTCGCAAATTTTCTTACGTTTACTATTTAATTTCGGTTTCGTGGCATACTATAAAATAAGGGCTACAAATTTTAATGATGTCTTATGATTCTATGAACATATAGATTTTATACGTAGAATCAGTAAGATTGTGTTTTACCGCAGTGACGTAAACGTTTCATTCATAAGAAAATGCATATTAACGTTGTAAATAAGAGTGTTCTTGGCACTTAAAATAAATGTAGATGCTGTTATTGGATTTGAGAAATCAGTGAAGAGACATCGCGTCAGATTGTATATAGGTCAAAAAGCAATTGTCTGAATCGGTAAGTTAACGGACTGCTACACGCGGCTAAATTACGTCGGTATGCATGGCTGGCTTTAAGTGGTCTCGTTTAAGTTTCAATGGGATGAAAGGGATACCTGAGAATGAGCAGCTGAACGCAAGGAAGCTTTGTTTCCGGTGGCGCTTGTGGATGTCGCACTGGCATTCAGCACTAGGCCGGATCCGGAAGCGGGCAGACTGCTGGAGCGCTCAATAATGCGCACGCCGTACTGATAAGCTGCTAACGCCGCACTGTAACCATTGACAAACAAAATCATATCTATAACAATACAACATCTGCAGGTAAATTAAATTTCTAGGAACATGAGTGCTTTATTAAGACAAGTTTTACGTTTGGTAATGCAAAAGACTGGATAGATTAATTTCACAAGAACTGCATTTCATTAGACAATTAATCAAACTTCATTAGACACTTCATACAAAGAATTTTATAGATAACAAAAATAAATTTAACTTAAGCATTGCATTAACACGTACATAGATTTTTGTGATTCTCCGTTCTGTTTGATAAGCTATAGTAGATTAAATGATTTATAATGATATCATGGAAGTGCATATTACTGAAGACGGAAAGTATAAACACGTCTTGTTTAAAGGTTATTTACGATTCAACTTCCAAAAGGATAAGCTAATCGGTAAGCGTCAAACGTTCTACGGCATACATATAATACTTTGTAGAATAATGTGGATTGCGAGATAATAGGCACAGTAAAATATTAGTGCATGTGCATTGTGCATGAGCTAAAACAGCGTTTACTTACATAGATTACTTACTAAAAAAATCATAAAAATAAAATATTTGTAAACATTTGTCTGTTATGGCATTATCTCATACTCATAAGTACTGGTACCTAAAAAGATACAGCGCTGATCCGGCAACAACTATGCAGATGGACACAATGTAGGCCGCCCAGTGCTTTTGCGAAGTGATTAAATCCATCTCATACAAGAAACTGTAGGCATAGATAGAGGACGGCCGGATTAGTAAGTACAACAATTCGAACCTAGAATTGGAAATTGTGGATTATCAGATGAAGGATTATAATCGAGCTGAATCAACAAGGAATGCATTTTGGGGTTATGTTTGTGTTTGTGATGCAGTACAACTACAGTGTACTGACATGAGTGGGGCCCAGGCAATGCAAATCAAGGCAAGGACGGTGTGCAGCAGCGGGATAATGCGGTCCCTTTCTTGTCCGACGATAATCGCCAGGAAGCCGGTTAATGTGTATAAGATGGCCAGCCAAATTCCCGGTTCTGTTTAAATACAGACCATGTTAAATTATTTACATTATGCAATCTTTAAACAAATTAAATGATTAGGGTAACAAATTAAATACATCGGACACCATAGTATAATGTAGCTGCTTCTGGGTCGTTTTTTAATAAAATTACGCACGATATTTCGTTAAATGCCGCACGACAAAAAACTGGACACAGATCACAAATGTTTACTTCCAGTACGTTCCGGCATACAGCCCACATGCAAGTATATATATTCTATCTTTCACAAATTTCAAAATCTGAAAGTTCTAGTCTTTATACATGAGTATGTATGTAAGTTTTATTATGTACACAATAGCAGATTCATACTGTGCAAAGTTGCAAACTGAAACAATAAACAGTTTCATAAATTGCGCTCTGAAATCATTGTTATAACCCTACCGATTTACCAACAAAGATATCCAGAAAAATGATTTAGAAAACAACACTGCTGTCAAAAATATTAACATCGAGTCTGTCCATTGCACTAGTACTGCCAGTCAAATATTTGTTATCCTTAATTCGGCATGCTTCGAATATGGATAGGTACATTATATTCACTCGATTCTTTCATAACATTCGATGTTAATATTAGGACATTGTTATACTGTTGTCTTGCTCGATATGCAGCAAAAGTTTTTTCCAAGCACGGTTTGATGCTGTTGTAACAGAAAGTAAAAATTAATATTTTTAGTATAAACAATAGACAACTGTAACCTGCCTGCAGCATCCTTCCGGGTGGTGGATGCAGTAACAAAGGAGTTGTCGCGTCTAACAGGTTGCCGGTCCTGCACGGTGTGCGGGGACTGATCCGCCAGTAGTTCATTGATCTGCCAATGGGGCATATTGGACAGATGGCTGGAGGAGGCTGCCCCGGCACCACCGCCAAACACCTGACTATTAACACCGTTCTCCGTGCCGGTGCCGGCCGCGGCGGCCAGATACTGGCAGGCCACGCCCATGCAAACAAATGTTAATCCATATAGCACCTCCAGAATGCCGGCTGTCAGTAAGCAGGTTCGCGATTTGCCCAGCGGCATATTGGCTCATCCAGTTGCAGCATCCACGCTATAACCCACAATTACACCTGATGCACTCGTATATATATGCAGTGCCGGGATTTTGGTGCATTAGGCAGATTATCGCAACAGATCGTTAGATGCAACTGTGCATATAACCTTCTAACAGGAAGGAATGCCGGAGAATTGTCAAGCTGCTGTTCTTCAGCACTTCCGGTTGGATTAAGCCAAAATGCTAATGGATATGGCTGGAAAACAGAGGAAAGACTGCACGCAAGCAAAAAGCATGTTAAGGCAGTTAAGCAGCTAAATCGGCATTATCAATTACCATGAATATCTATATGTGTACGTGTGGCTACATTAATCTTAGAGAAATATTACACGTTAAGTCATCAAAACTGTATTTCGTGTTGACATGCTACCAAACAGGGTCTTTCTGATAGCATTGTTATCGAAAAAGAAAGCGTTGTTGACATTTCTGGTAAGGACCAATCGCACATTATCAATCACGCTGGTATCAGATAATCAGTCTTGCGTAAAGGCGAATTAACGATAACTTCATCTTTTATATCCAACTCAGTAATCAGAAAGTTACATTTTTTCAGATATTTTGCAAATTATACGCGCATTTAGTAAGGGGTGTAATTAATGACAAATGGCTGCAAAAATGTATGCTAAAATGGCACAATTCAGCTCCGTGAAAACATTGGGCTTGGTTAAAGCTATAAATTCAACATAATAAACATATATTATTAAGTGCTAAAAGTTTTACTCCAGGTTATTTAATTACGACTTTTTTTCGAAGTACAAAATTTAATACGCACGACGCATGTGGCAGATATTGTTATAATTGTGGATATGCCGCACGAAATGCGTCCTAAGAACAGAATTTGATGACAAAGGCTGTAAACATTTGCGGGGCGTATTAAATACGAGTATCGCACTGTTTTACACCCGTAAAATGTTACTGCGTAATCGCAGTTTACAGGTCTTATTACTCATATAATACACGATCGATTTTCCTTTATTTTCGTTCCAGATTTGAGAGACCTTCTACTTATCATAAAACAAATCAGTTGAACAAAACGCTTTCTCAGAATTAAAATTTAGTTCATATTTTGTAATATTTCTACATGCACAATAAATGGGAAATGTTCTTGCGATACATGTAAGCGAACATAATTTCATCAAAAATCCTACATCATGTCAGCGGTTAGTCAGATGGATATCGTCAATCCCGCTTCTGTGTAACAGCGATCATCCAACAAAGACGACGGATATCCTGTCTAAAGCGGCGTATTAGAGCCGGTCGGATTTAGTCAGCGTATTCCCTAACATACAGCAGCCGGCGTTCGGGCGTCATTATGGGACAATTAGGCTAATCTATTTTATCACACCAGTTGGACGATTGACTGGGCGTGGCCTCAGCGGCGGCATCGATGGGTTTTTTTTACTGGTCATATTACAAACGATGCACGACGTGCGTCGTCCAAAAACATTTAAGGATGTATTCATAAAAAGCAAATGCAGCACTTATATTACCTGTCGGATTCCATCACCTTTAATGCACCGGGCAAATGAAAACAGGCTATTAATTCCCCAGGGAGCGCCGCATACAAGTCATAACCATTGACCATAAAATGTTGTTGATCAGATGAAATGTTCCCGCAATACTACCGCCGCCGACACTTAAGGTTACTGTTGATGTTCGACGCTATATAACCGAATTGAAGCACGCGTGGTGCGCAATGGAGTGATAATTGTTAAAGAAAGCACTGCGCCATCGTGAGACGACTGGGGAAAAGGGGGACAGTGAAATGGCTAGTTAGCGGATAAGTGGCCTCTTGTAGCCGGGCCAAATCGGATGGGACCGATGGGAATCTGCATGTAGATACATATATGTCTATCCCATCCAGTGTGCAGTGTGTACGGATCTTTGGCCAACTTGAGCCCACCATGAGAGTTCTTCCCTCCGCGTCGCTGTATACGATTGTTCACAACCGGCTACGTAGATGCCGACACATGCACTGTATTATATACTATGCCCGCATATACTCGCCCAGGCATCAATGCACAATTACACATCAGAGGAATTGTTGAGCCGATGATTGTACTACAACCCCGCGCCGCGGATATATATACAGTATACCGGCGAACGGCCGAATCGATTGTCCCATTTTTCCTTATTTGCGATTTAGCTTCACATATGGACATATGCTCCAGACGATGTATGTGCGTGTGTATTCTTTGTATGCGATTATGATATGAAACGGAAAACGCTGCATACAGGTAATTGTTGTTAAGTGTATGCGATTATACTGTAAACGCTGCGGAATGACCTTTGCGTAATTGCAGCAATCAGCACATATTCGCAGCTATACCGGATCGCGTTTAACGATTACCGTAATTTCACCGGCCAAACTGGGCACTACTGCTTAATTCACGTCTCGTGTCCATCTTTATTTACCATCCGAATTTAGTTGAAATCATCGATTTAGAAAGTTTTCCGCATCAACAAACCCATCAATCAAATACAAACCAAAATCAACAGAATCTGTGTCGTACAAAAAAATCAACTACATGGTAATATTGACCGGAACGGTTTAGGGTATTGGGGAATAAGTTCGAACTGAAACAAACAGAAAGCAGTAAGGTATTTGTGAATACAGTAAAATCTGGTAAATGGGTACTAATTCCAGTGTACCTTTCTTAAAGTATCGACATTCGGTAATCGTGGTCCTGGCCACGCCGGCCGGACTGCTACTCGTAGCCGGTAGACCATAGTGGGACGGCCCATAATAAAATACACATCCGAGCCTTCGGTAAAGGCGGCATCGATTTTCACTCCAGCCGGCAGCTGGTCAGCATTCTCGCTACTCCGCAGATCAAATGGACCGCGAAACGGCGGGAAACGTTTATGATTGAACGCTGAGTAGGTTCCTCCTGTAATACGAATATAATTACGATAATTGCTTCACCACTCAGCTCCAGTAGGCGTCTCCAAGACACTTGGGTTTCCTTTCCGCTGCTTTTACCAACCGCATGGTCAAATGAGCCTTACTATTAACCTTTTGCAGACCTTTAGTTATACTAAAAAATTTAGAAGTTCTTTATACCATCAACAAAATTTAAGTCGCCGGAAAGCGGGTCATGGTAAACGGTATCAAACCGCTTTGCTCCCAGGAAATCCGGCATCGAGGTGTTTTGGTGAGTCACTGGCCATCTGATAATTTTGGTCAAACTTCCAGTATTTTCCATCCTGTAAGCAACAAAATAATCAACTACATGCAAATCGGTAGTCTGGACAGTAATTAAATTTTGTTACTGTTACCCGTTTGTTTAGCCGGTAAACGTAAATACATACTTCGCAGGTAGGTTAAGATTGTTTGATCAGGAGTGTAAACGTATGATTATATGAGTAATTAATAAATAATCATGGAGCGAAAACCTTTTTGTTTAAGATCGATAAGAAACCGAAGCAGCAAATATACCAACGTTCTATTTAAAATTGCTCGCTTTATACCAACGCTAATGGTGAATTGGTAAATTGACCCATTTCAAGAATAGTGGTTTTTTTGCTTACCGAAAAAAGAAATGTTGTCCCGTCAGCCCTCGTTGCCGCTGCAGTTATTCTTCCCGTTACATCTCCCTCTTTGATGCCTGGCCAGGCTTGATGAAGTAGCTGAACTTGAGCGTTAATATTGGCGGCATCGTTTGGCTCGGACACGACCCGGTTGATCTTGAGTACCTTATCGCCTACAGAAAAACGTCGATTATTGTACTGTATAAAAACCCTGAACAGAATTCTTATAAAATATTTTTTTATAATATGTTAATAGTACGTGCTTAAGTGGTCCATAACTACGCAGCACTTGCAGCAGTAGTGCGTGCACTCTAATGACCCACCTGTAAAAATAATCACCTTTAACTAAACATACCAGTAAATATATGCAATAATCCATCATTGGTAAGCGTAGCGGCATCCGGCAAAATTCAGCATTGTTGCAGATTGCCTGCAGGAACTCATTTGCATCAGTAGAAGTAGACGGAAGCACTGCATCTAGCGCCCGATTGGTCATCCCACTGGTGCTGGCATTATTTAGCAGTAAAGATTGCGACATGCCGTCTCGGGAGGCAACAATATTGTTGTCCATTCTGTTCTGTGTCGCCGATGGGAACGTATAATAGGGTACTGGCTGCACCATTGCCTGAACGTAGCCATTACCATTCGGTGACGGAATGTATGCCGGGAAGGATATGGACGACGCGGCTAGTCGTACTGGAACGGCGGGTGGAGCTGCGGCATAAGCGGATGGCGGTCTGACTGCGTACGGATATCCATTATAACCTAAGGTAGACATTAATTTCTATAAAAAATACTGCGAGCTTGTATATGGATAAAGGTCACTAATTTTGAGGTTCCCTTATATGGATGGCAGCTGTTGTGTATACGGCTTGCACAAAAATTCACTGACTGCCCATAAACATAGATAAATGTCACGGGACGTACGTATGTGTTATACCGTAAAGTAGTGTTTAATACATACCCTGGTTTGCGTTGGCATAATTATTTGCTGCTGGAGCTGGGTATACAGGTGCTAGTGTGACCTGGGCCCGCACTGGCGGCACAGTAGCCATGGTAGTGACAACAGCAACAGGTGGAACGGTCACCGCAGGGGCTACAGTTCCAGGATTATTAACCGTCTCGGATTGTTGCGGTTGCATAACCGGAAAGGGATTGGCGTTGGATGGAGAAGGTGCCACCACACCGCCTTCCACGCGGACCACCGGACCAGCTGGCGCTACCGGGACCATCTGGGTGGTGGTAGCCTGCGCTACAGCCGGGAAGACACCGTACGATCCAGCACCGTACGGTCCCAGGGTGGCATAATAAGACGGCGGCATGGCCGTGGTGGCGGGAAGCAAAACAGGTGGATTGGTCACGAGAGCGTGTGGTAACGGAGTGGCGGCTGGTGCCACCGCCCCTGGGTTGATGGTAACAATCGGTATTAGTTCTTCATTAACCACGGTTTCGCTGCCCACGTTACCGCCTTCCGAATTCACTGCCGGACCCGGCGGAGGGTTTTGCGGTGGTAACTGCGGTGGCGGCGTGGGTGACGGTGTGATGGTTGCCCGTGGTGGTACCGCCGGCTGTTCCGACTTAGGCATGGTTATTGACGACACCCCCAGATTAGCAGCAGCAGCTAGCAGTTGAGCAATTAATTCGTTAGGAATGGAAAAACAGAGCACTTGGGTTCCACTATTACCACCGGTGGCGCCGGATGATGGTGGCATTTGTGGGTTATTTGGTTGAGTAGCCGATGCAGCAGGCATTGTGGTGGCCATTGAAGCCGGCGCAAGCGTTGTGGCTAGTGGCGCAGGAGCGGTGGTAACTGAAATCGGCACGTTATTATTCCCTGCGCCCCCACTTCCAGGTGGTGCCGATACCGAAGCGTTACTAACATTGGTACCACTGGCATTGGTCGGCCCTCCTAAATTAATGTTGATATCGATGTTGATCGACGGCCGTGTGCTTGTTGTACCAGCGCCAGTGGTAGCTGTTGTAGCCAGTGGCATTTGTGTGGTTACTTCGGCCTGCCCACCCCCGCCGGCGCCGGTAACGGGTATTTGCGGCGCCATCGATGGGAGTGGTGTACTGGTTTCGCCAAGAAGCTGCATAATTGTAGTAAAGAATGTGGACACCGGCACCGTGGCCACACTAGGTGGAGCCGGGGCGAAGTTACCACCGTTCTGCTGGATTTGCGGCTGACCTCCGCCGTTCACCGGTACAAACGCCCGCAGGCGGAGCTTGCGTAACACTATGCTGTCCAAACCAAGTGGAAAATGTGCCAGGTACTGGAGTAGTTATTTCTTGGCCGGGAAACTGGGTGAACGCACTCGCGATCGGTGATGGCTGATTGCCATTTCCGGTTGGTTGCGAAGGCTGCGATGGTTGCGATGGCTGCGACGGTTGCGACGGCACACTCTGTCCCATTGGGACGGGATTGGCCGGGTTGCCTGCCGTTTGGTGGGAATTGACCTTGTGGCTGACCACCCGGAGCCGGTTGATTAATATTACCGATGTTGGGCGTAGACTCCTGCTGAAACTGCCCTTGAGGAATATTCGAGAAATTTGGCGCGTTGGTTATTTGATTGTTCGGCTGGTTCCCAGTATTCTGATTCGTGGGAAAATTATTGTTAAACTGTGTCTTGGGATGGAAACTGGTTGCCTGGAAGATTATTATTAGATGGCTGACCGGATGGAAACTGGTTGGGTTGGTTTCCGTTTGGATTCTGATTGGTTGGGAAATTGTTATTAGGCTGTGTACCTCCTGGCGTCTGGTTGGCCGGCACCGTGTTGACCGGTACATTTCCGGATGGAACCTGGTTATTGTTCTGTGATGGAACCTGATTGTTCGGAAACGTATTCGGTGAATTGTTATTAAAGGGCACGTTCGGTTGGTTTCCCGCATTCTGATTGGTTCCCGTCGGGACCTGATTATTCCCTGGACTTCCGGTAGAAGCGCTGTTACCTGGCTGGTTTCCAGAGAACGGTTGGTTATTGGGCTGCGTTCCCGAAGGAAATTGGTTGGTCGGCATAGTGGTGATGGGATTATTGTTAAAGGGCACATTTGGCTGATTCCCTGGAACTTGATTGGCTGATCCAGCCGGAATTTGGTTATTCCCTGGACTTCCTGTTACACCTGGCTGATTTCCAGACGGCGGATTAGTCGTCTGTGCTCCGGTCGGAAGTTGATTGGTGGGCATGGTATTTGTTGGCTGGAACTGCATGCCGGATGATGGTTGATTGTTCTGCTGTCCCGCCGCTACCGGATTCGTCGATTGGATTCCTGTTGGCGGTAAAGTGAATCTCTGGGTTGTCCCTTGTGGAGACTGGCTCGATAGATTGGTGTTCAAAGGTGACGCCGTTGTGGGAAGCTGATTAGGGTTACCACCTGGAACTGTCGGTCTTGTAGTTGTGGCTACGGTGGTAAATGCCGGTACACCGGGAGCAGTCGTTGGTGACCCTCCAGAAATCCCAACGTTTCCCGGGCGGGTTGTAGGTGCGGTCGTCACTGAGTTTATTCCGCTACTGCCCGACGTTGTGCCGGCAGTCACGGCGTTACTACTGGTAACGGCTGCTCCTGGTGCGGTGGTAGCGCCGGTCACGCTGCCTATAGTTGTACCTCCGCTGGTAGCAACGCTGGAAGCTGAACTAGCAGCGCTAGGTCGCCAGGCAGTAATGCCATTTGGCAATACAGTGGCCCCAGAAACTGTGGTGACCCCTCCAGCAATAGCGGTAACTCCAGCGCCGGCAGTGGGCGTTGCAACGGAAGCAACGGTAGTTGCCCCCGCCCCCGAGGTGGTTGCAGCACCCGCAGCAGTGGTACTAACCGATGCAGACAACCCACCGGCTGTCGTACTTGAGGTCACTCCGGATACGGTGGTCGCACCCGATGCAGTGGTAGCAGTCCCGCTGGTGGTAGGACCGGAAACAGTGGTAGCGCTAGATGCGGTGGTTACTCCAGCTGCGCCGGAAACAGTGGTGGCGGTAGTTGTGACGCCAGACGCCGTAGTAATTCCAGATGCACCGGAGGCGGTGGTCGCAACGGTGGTGGTGACTCCGGATACGGTAGTACCGGCGGAACCCGTGGTAACTCCGGAGACTGTCGTTGCAGAAGTGCCGCTGGTACTGGCAGGGGAGGTTGTGCCAGCCGCACCGGGAGGAGCGGTGTTGTTAACAACGATCTCGATTGACCCCGCTTTCGTGGTTGCTATAGGTATTTTGCTATCGCTGGCGTTAATTGCTGCTTGTCTCTGCTGCAAAACTATTTCTAAAAACGACAGAACAGTAAAACCCATTAATATCTCTGGAAAAAAAGATGTTGCTGCCCTGTCGCCTTTTCGGATGGGCAAAATCGAGCAGCAATCAATTAACCATTCGAGATGCATATATGAGAAGTCAGTCGTCACTCGTCGGTAGCGGTACAAGAATGAAAAAACTTACGCAAAATACCTCGACAATTTTTTTACGAGTACCAACATTGAATACGGTCGAAAATCAGAAACAAACAACTGTGTCTTACTGTAAAAATTAATGCGCTTTAAAATTGATTTATACAAATGTCTTGTGTTATGCCGTTATGTGTTGCTGTACGTACCGCCTGTATATACGTGCTGTAGTACCTATGTTAAATCTGTACAAGCAGAATATCAAATCCTAAAAAGATATGATAATTATTCTATAATTCCTAACAAGACATATTTCCATTATAAGACAATTATAGCAAACATGTTAACACGTTCCTTCTCAAAAGCTGAACTACTGTACATGAGAGAGTGGCAGAGAGACTGTATCTGTACGGTTACCTGATTCTGATGCTTCAATAGTAGATTCGGCAAAGGTCGTCGGGAGGTCGCTTTCGGTAACCGTATCTTGGGCATATATCCGAGGTGCACTTATCATTAATAAAAAGGCAATACAAAAAAATTCAAAATATATCCAACATAAACGGTGCCGACTTTGTCCAAACGATAACAAATTCCCATGATTTCTATGTATTCCCGTATTTCCCATGATATTGCAGTAATATGTGTACTCGGAATACAATCACAACAAAGAGTCAAAATTCATAAAATAACTGTAACAAAAAAATTTAAATTTACATCCAAAGAAGAAAACAATTTTACGATTCGTTGTTAAGTGCAGCGTATAATTGTGCCACTGTGCATATAGGACCATTGTAATAATAGCAATTATTAATAACCATTTGCATAATGCCACTCCAGATGTACACGAAAAATGCACAGATCATGGAAACAAAAGTATCGGCAAATTTTCTCCTTATTCGCGCTAAAGTGGTGTCAAAATCCTGTTGAAACATATTGTCCCGAGATATGAAGTATCATGCGACAAAAGTTCCAAGTGCCGCAAAGAAGTGCAGCAAAGACAAGTGCAAAGTGGCCACCCGGCTTCCCCGTTAGAGCGAGTCATAGCTTTTTTTGATGAGTTTGATATTATGCAAATTTTTGTCCAACTCGGTCAGACTGTGTTAAGCGAAATCCTATCCGGTTTTCATACGTACGTTAAATTAGCTGGCTCTTTATCAACCGGTAACAGCTTATGCTTATAGAGACGGAACAAGTGCGACAATGAACCGCAATATTTTGACTATCATAACAAAATTATTACGTTTTCAACAATATCATATTCCATACGGTATAAGAACTGTCGCACATATGCATATGTCATACTGTACAAATATGCCGTGTTCGTTATGCTGTACTGTAGACGTAATCAGAATAAAGGTGTCAGAATAAACGACATACATAATTATTGCTCATACGGTAATCATTATAAACAGTAATTATTAATAATTTATACGGTAATTATTACAATACAATTACGAAATACTCGGATCAGAATGGTAATCAAAACTATAAGCGCTTATAATAGCTGCACTCTGCAGTATCTATTTATATTATAGAAAATAATGAAAATTTGACGAAAGCTATAATTAAAATTAATATCTGCACTGTAACACTGTTTGCTTGTATGTATTGTGCTGGTACGCACTATCTATATACTGTACAACTGTACATCGATTTGCTCCTACGTACATCAATCTGCAGTTTCACACTTTATACTGTAGAAGTATAGTTATTTCGGTTTCTGCATCGCCTAATAAGCCGACATGCAGTTCCGTTGCCGTCTTCGCTCGCCTTGACCAAAGGATCTCCATGGTTCAAAACATTTTAAAGTTTCTCAGCATGCCAAATTCGGATCATCTTAACAAATTTAATACGCTTTCATCAACAGATTTTGCAACTCTTGAGCACAGCGAAAGGAAAAATAACGATAAAACTGCACTTTAAGTAGACGCTTTTGGAAGCAACCGGCGATATTACATTGTCGCTCAGTCCACAAAAACCTCAACAATTTTAACCCGTCCTTATATACTGGAAATTAATTATCATAGTATGCGGAAGCTACATAGAACACCTTGGGGTCACGCGTATCCCAGCGATGCGTTATCGCCGATACAGGAGTGCCGCCCATGCGCAGCTGACAGTCGCCATTGGGTACCGCCAGAAAACACACCGTCATCATGGCCAACGACATGGATGGACTTTCCCCGATGGCAATTGTACTCTTGATTTTCATGTGTCCATTCCATGTAAATTCCAATCCAAACACATCAGGCTATAACAAAAAATATCAGTAGTAATTACCATATGCACAACATATTTTAATAGAAAACTATAAAAACAGATCACACGCATAATATTATCTTGTATCTGCCTTTTTACAGACTACAAAATTGCTCTTTTTGTCCAAACCATCCAAAACAAAGCCAAGCCCATAGCGTATAACACAACATACTGTATATAATGGTTGCATAATTTCGAAACCGAAATATTTTTTTTGTATAATTACCTCGGTTTGCCCTTTCCATCGCCGGTACACCGCTCGTCCGGCTTTTTCTTCCAAGTAATACCGGACCCAGTTGTGAAACCCGCTTACTGGAGCATCCACACCGTTTCCATCGATCTCCCGACAAAAATATGCTCAAACCTGTATTACAAAAATAAGATTCTCCTGATCAAAGTTTGCACCCGATTAAAAAGCCAGGAAAATCATAGTTATCCCAATTACATAATGTTTTCCTATGATGTAAGCTAAAACATTTTAGACGTACATACAGTAAGTAAAAATTATTACAATACAAATCCAGTTTACCCGGAAGTGTCCGGCTGTCCGCGGCGTTTGTACACGGTAAACCATATTTGATTCAGGAAATTTTTAAAATCCGCTTTGGACGTGGGTACCAGTCCTGCTCACGAAAGCATCATTATCAATTTTTATGGTGTCTTTTTCAGTGAAGGTACGCGATAACGTACTGCGGCTAATAAGAAAATCCCAGGCTTTCCTCATTACTGCACTGCGCAGTACTTCATCCAGAAAGTCGGATTGTTCCGCCCGCTCCTTGGCGGTCACCACTTCCGCGCGTCCCATGGTTGTTTCGTAGTTGTCAAATAGAGCGATTAATTTCGCATAGACCGGCACATTGAACACCGTTTCATTCATTTTCGTAAACAGCCTAACAACATTATTTAATCGGCAACACATAAGAGGCATTGCCAAATATAAAAAATGCTTATGATATAGACCACTTTATAGATGTCAGGAAACATTCATTTACCTACTTGCCAGTGCGACTGCGTGTGTTAACTGCCCAGTGCACATTCTCCCGGGCGGCATCATTCGACTGGTCCAGTCGGTAAAGATCTTCGCTGTGAAAATAATCGGAAGATTATCCCTTCCCGAATCAAAACTAGGGTATAATCGGAGTACTGTACAGTGTGTCAAAAGTACACTGCGAGTATTTTACCTTAATTGTATTAAATCAGGGTCCACGGGTGCTGGTTTCTTTCCCGAATTGCTTCCGCGCCATGAATTGGAGCCGGATCCTTGGGAGCGCTGCTGGGAACCACCTGTTGCTGTGATTTAAATACACTTGATGCTATTGTAAACTTAACAATACACTTAATATCAATATTAGTAAATCAGATATGGACGCAGTAATTTCGAATACCAACTTTACTTATTTGTTGTGAGACTTGTATTCTCCAATACGCCTATGTACGCGAGCTCAAGGTGAACAATATGATTAATTTAGGTTACCGTTTAGCAGTCACACGTTTTCGTAAATCGGTAATTAATATTGCAACAGGAATGTAAAACACATGTCTAGAAGGATGGTAAAACTGGATGCGAGATTTCGTTGTTTGATTCTACGGAATAAGCGGCTCTAGCTAGCTACAGACTTGTACAACATAATTAATCGATCCCAATATTTTTAGATCACACTGTAAAAAATGTACAAATATTCACCACGAGATAACGCGGATCCTCCATCGGCACTTTGGAAGAAGTAACAGATACTCCCGATTGCTAACAGTAGGAAGCACACATTCCGGATAAAACTTTTCAGTGTGTATGGCGTACAGTTTATTGTGATCATGTCTACTATGGGTAGATTTACGGCGTGAGGCAAATATCCACCAGTAACAATATTCAGTAAACGTTAATAACTTAAGAGTTATTACGGTTATTCAGATACCTCAAAATGCCAACAATCCTGGTTGATCATTAGCAGTTTGCAGCAAACGGTACCACAAAAAGAGTAAATAAAATTTCGCTACATTAAAGTGGTGAAAGTGATTCAATTTTGAGCGTACAACTGAGCATGCTGCTGCAATAAAATACGAAATAAACCTACGAGCGCCGACCCGTAGTAACATACGCCGGCACCGGAACAGGTTTGCTGTTCGAGGTGGGAATGTCCACGCCACACTGCTACAGTTGTTACGAGCATATCGAGACTTGCGTAAAATGTGCACCAAAGAATTTTCATTCTGACATTCACTATTCTCAATCACTATCTCAATCACTGCATTGTACGACACAACGAGCACCTTCAATACAGCGCGCAGATCTTATTGCAACATGCACGTAAAACTCTGGGGTCCCTGTTAATCGGTGTTATCGCTATCAGATCGACCGATCACCGTATTTGGCTGATGGTGTGTGTTTTGGAAAATAATTTAAACCTGCAGATGGATACTACGGAGCACAGTCCTGCTTAACTACAGATTATACAGATACAAATAAAAACAACAAGCGTGTCAAGTTGCATATATAATTTCTTAAACCTTTTGTATATGACACCAAAGATCTCGGATTCATATACGATGACAATCGATTCACGCGCACGGAAGCCACTACATGCTTTAATGTATATTCACAATTACACATTTCTTTATGTTTCAGTATTTCTTCAAGTCTTCAACGCTAGTATATACAGTCCAATGCATACAGTATTATTTTGATAAATTATACCCGTGAGCGTTTGACCCCGCCATGATACACCCTGGATACGGTCACTGCCGGAAATACTCCAGTAGTCCGCCACGAGCCTATTGACTGTCTTGCGTGCATACGATCTGCACACGGCGTTACCCTAGATGTTTTATGGATAAGTTTATTTTACGGCCGTGAAAACACCGCAAATGCTCACGCGGGTTCATCCAATAATATTCCCTGCAAGTATACTGGCACCGGGGCTGCTGTATCTTTTACACCGGATAAACATCATGAAGTTTCTGGGAAGCACTAAATCTACGCGTAACAGTAAAACTGCATGTATTACAGTACCGGTCGGCGTTGTGTATACACCGTACTGCATACACCGAGAGTGTTCTCTGTAAGCGGCGACGTTTTCCGCCGGTGCGGCTTGTTACCGTGCGATTAACACGTACAGTAACATCCTTAATCATCCAGCAGCACGGAGATCCACAACCGTCAGCCACGATCACACAACATGCAGCGCCAGCGCCGTCCGCGTCTGATCGCGGCCGGCACGAAGTATAAACACGCAAGCCGTGTCGATTTAGCTCTTCCTCCTCCCAATCAAACTTCCGGCCATATGTGAACTTCTGTATATGCATATATATATCTCGTGTGCCTAAGCGGCACATGCAAGCGCTTTTTCTGTACGCATTGCCCCATCCATCGGGCATGCCCAGTACGTCAGCGCTGTACGCCGGCGAGAGGCTGGAGTGGACTGAGAAAGGGAAGAGATGCTCATACTGCCGTGTACGACGGTCGATACGCGCTGCAGGCAATGCAGCTGGCGTTGTGTGGCACTGGCTACGGATTTCTCATGCTTAACCCAAAACGACACATACACACCAGCAGCGCACCATTTTATCGTTTTGCTCTCCTATGTGTTTTTTTTATCACGAACCACCGCTATGCATCGTTTGGCACTATCCGATTCCACAATTAACCATGTCATGCGCGCGCTACCTTCGCGATCGTGTTCGTAATCGTTATACGTAGTTCTGACCAAGAATAGTCTTTTCTCGGCCATTTTTTAAATCGGAAGTCTTCAGAGAAATGTTTAACCATTGAAAATTTCAAGCTCGCTTTTCTTCTTTGCTGTGGCGATTTATAATTGTGATTGACATGTTAGAATCCCGGAGAATATTGCCATGATGTTAATGACATGATGAACTGCCGTCGGCGCCACTTATTTTTATAACAGCTTAACAACAGCCTATTCTGGAATTCATAAAAATGCATGAAAAGGAACGCGATATGTAGCCTTTTTTGTGTGTCTAGAAATTTTTCATAAAGAAACTGAGCTTTTCCTTTGTTGCCTCTTCCGGATAATCGTCGTCAGTAACAATACATACGCACGTTGTACTCATCTTTGGGCCACTACATATGCCATTAGCATCTCCGATTGGCTAATTTTACTGAATGGAATGCCTGGCGCGGGCGTCGATGATGGGCCAACATCGGCACCAACAGCACCGTCAGCCACCACCCCGCCGGGCGGGTCCGTTAACAACGGTCAAGCCAGCCGCGGTCCACAGCCGGTGATCACCGCGGGGCGTGCCCCGGGTCCCCTGTACACGGCCCCGCCCAAGACCTACATCTACACCGGCCATTCCCACGGTAATCACCATCACCCTACCCACATCCCGCTGCATCCCCATGGCCAGAACAGTGCCGGACATCATCCGCATCATCATCTGCCCGGCCAGGGTAGTCATGGGCATGATCTGTCTTTCGAACGCAAGTGCCTCTTGGCGGCCACATCGGCCACGGTAATTGGACTAATCCTCATGATTGTGGCGGTAAGTGTGTCGGATATATATGTGTGTCAGTGCTCGGTACACATACACATATGTCAGTAAAAATAGAGTAGAGGAGCAGTCGCAGCCGTTGCAACGGAAGCCGGGGTTTCGGCATATTTTAACGGTAATCCTTAATATGGATGTCTTATATTGATGGGCTCGACTATTTTTAAAACCCTGTCGCGACATCGAATTTTTCCCTTCCCCGGGCCCTATATATGGGAAAAAAATCGTTCGCTGAGTTGGAAAAAAAGAGCGATTTTGCCTGATGGTTTTTGACGATCTAATCCACGAGGAATTAGAATGGGGCTTTAATACAGATGAAAAGCGAGACGCTTGGGTTAATAACAATATATTTTAACAACAAGGGAACGCGGCAACCCTGTATGTGTACTTCTTTTATGACGCGTTAATGGGATTGCCAATAGGTTGGAAAGTACCTTGGGGACCGCAACTAACAGCTTGTAAATGACACTTAATGGTGCCATTGAAGGAATCTCTTAAAACCATACGGTGGCACAAGAACTGCGCGGGTCTATAACTCATAAGACCGCAACTTGTCGCTCCTTGTTATTCGGCATTGTTTAAGCCGGTTCATATTACAGCACTTGCAAGTTGCAATTAAATATCATATTCACCGGATTATCGCTCTAAATATAGTGGGATATATTATTGTCACGTGAAAAAATTGAACCACGCCCGAATTTGCTACAGTTGTGTGGAGAATATAATATATTGTTTCGCCAATTTCCTTAGCGCCATGTTGGCTTTTTCTGTAAATTGATACTCGATAATCTTCACCATGCGCCGTAAACGCACCGATTGATCCCTGCAGCGCACTGCTGACGTCACACTAGTCGATATGAAATATTGATGGATATGTAATAGGTAAAAGCGTTCATTAATCGCCGCCGGTGAATATATGCAGATTTCTTATTCACATAATGCGATGTTTCTTGCGCGGCGTCTGTTGGTGTATGGTAAATATAACTGTACAGCGCCCGGCGTACGTTTTTACAGTTGGAAGTAGATGCGATTCCATCCTCGCCGCTCGTCGCTGGCACTCTCTCTCGCTCTCTCCCGATAATTGTCATACCTTTTCCCCGGCTTCCGGTCCCTTGGCGTTTGATGGGGGAAAATTGGTTGTATACAGACGATGGTACAGTTGAGGGAATTGTGTATTGGTCTCTGCGCCGACTGCGCGCTGTTGCACACAGTGTGATCTTGTGTTGAGCAAGGACAGAGAGGAGACCGAACACTGAACAGCATATAGCTGCGCGCGCCGGTCACCAAAGCGGAAAGTTATCCTGACAGAGACTCCTGCTGGAGAACGATCGACTGCCGGCGGTTGCGGGTCGATTGCACTGTCAACAAGCATCAGTTGTTGCTTTTGTTAAAATGTGCTCAACCGGTTGCTGGTAAACGCGCAGGGGCGCCCTTGTTTCGCCCGAAACGGCGCACTGTTCAATGCCATGCGATGCAGTCCCGCAGCGGCCATAAATGGCCCAGTGATAGCCCGATAAAAAGCGAATATTCTCGGCAGCAGGGGCCGCAGGGCTGCGGTGTCTATAGGAATGATAGACTCTCCTTTTTTTCTCCGGGAACATAAGACTACTGTTATTCATCCATTCACACTGTGCCGCGCGATCGCCAACGACGGCAAGCAGGGCACTTTGTACACGCTCGATACATCGACCGTTCGTGTGACGATGGCCCATTGTGGACATTATATTCTGTACAGCTAATTATCCGCTTACAATGGTAAACAGGCGTGTTCCGGTCGTCCGTATAGGCTCAGAAAACTGCCTGTATGTTTACTCTGCACTAATGTCCATTTTTCATAGTGCGCAGGACACTTTTTTGGGAGTTTCCAACTTTCCCGCACGACGAGCAAAGTGACGACTCGGCTCGCGCAGCCTGCGCGAGCCGAGAGATGCAGGCTGTAGATTATCCAGCAGATGTCGGAAACGCAGGAGTGGGTGGTGACAGTACGATTATCGCCGCCTGTTATAGGCCATTTACGAGTACCACATGCTGGTGCTGGACATTACAGACTTTCAGTGTGTCATGCCCAAAATAACCTGGCGATAGCGTAAATACTGGGAGAAAAATATTTTTTGGTAGAAAGAGACGATTCTATGAGCGTTAATTAGTGGTAAGCGCGCGCTCTTCTTTGAGTAGGTGACGACCGACTATTGGCTGATTGTGACGAATCCTGGCGGAGCCTATCTGTCGCACGATAAGTATGGCACTTCTTTTGTTGAAGAGCGTTTGTCAAGTTTGTTGATTTTGTGCATCCTTTTCCGGTTAGGCTCTTTCGAATGTCCAGTCATTCCGGTATTTGGAGAATGTAAGTATAACGACGTCCTGTATCTGTCTTTTGTTCCGCGTCCCAGCCAGAAGAGTATTGAAAACCAATCCAATGCCTATCACCGATGCGTTGAACAAGGGTCACACCTTTCTGTGCCGTTTCTTGATTAGTCATGTTTTTCCAATAAAACAGTGCCCAGATAAGAGATTCACCAAATACAATGCGCAATCCGTGCGTAAATAAAAAAACTTATTTTATCACAAATGCACTCGTTACGCGGTAAAAATGGTGTTTTTGAGTGTCAATATCGGAGTCATGCCGGCAAGGAGACTTACAAGCTGGATACATGTATTTTGATGTATCACTTACATACACATGCGCAACTTCGTGAGGGCACATATTTTCGCTCTATCAAACCTGCGAGTTATATTTCCGGTCAGTTGCAAACGTTTCCGAATGGGAACATGTTGTCAGGATGAATTTGAACTGCAAATTTCCCAATGTTGACATATCGACTGTATACTTAGTCGCTGCGGCATTCAGAATGGTTGGCATTTTTTTACATTTGCATCAGGATGCTGGCACCGTGAATGACATTTAGTGCGTGCCATCGCTGGCCGCATTAATCTTTGTACTCGCTTAACCATTTGACTATTTGCAGATGCAATATCGACTTTCGTAATGAAACGTATCCCTATCGTATTGACAGTAAGTACGCAACAGCTGCATGGAAACTGATAGATTTGCTTAATAATTATAGTCGCGTAATATTTCTACAAGCAAAAGATATTTAGTCGCGTCGCGATAAACCACAAAACTTTGTAAACTTACACAGTAAGAGACTTTATAGAGATATACGCTACCGTAAGCACAACATTTTGCATTTTGCATGTTAAAAATAATAATGTCCATTTTTAAAATAATTACACAGCGGTTTAGCTGGAAAATGCATCAGTATAAGTAAATTCATACTGATTACAAGATTTACAAGAGGTTATCAATCCTAAAGTGCTTGTACATGTTTAGCCCAGTGCAAGCGGCATATGCTTTTTCCATCCGAATTGGAAGCAATGCAGAACCAACATGAATTTGACACAAACAGTTTAGGTACGTACTTAAATATAATTGCTTCAAATTAAGTTTATGATGTTGAATTAGACAGTATATCGAGGTCAGCGAGTTAATAAAGATGCAGCATTATTTTGTTTGTGATCTTGCAGATTACACGCGCAGTGAAGTGGCCTTCTCCACAATCGCACTGATATTAATGATCTTCGGTCAGGGATTTGCTTTCTACAGTTTCAAAGAGCGGCGTTACATGTTTAAACGCTTAACCGGCTTCCTGCATATCCTGTCCGCTGTGTGTTGTCTGATTTGCATTGAAGTCCTTGTGAGTTCCGTAACGTACGAGAAGCAGCATCTTCCAACCAGGTACACAAGTTATCAAAACAAAAGCAGCTGACAGGCACCCGTGACCTCGCGGTTGTTTTGCAATATTTGCAGACATCCGGCAACCGCTGTATCGCACTTTGGTTTCTCCTTCGTGTTGGCCTGTGTCGCGTGTGCGGCATATTTTGCTGCCGGCATTATTTTTCTGGTGTTTTCCCGTAAAAAGAAAGCCGATAAGAGTGTGACGGAAATGAAGACATTAGCCGATGATGAACTGGACCAGATTGATGCGGATGCCCCGATGACATTAGGACGATGATGGAATTATGCTACCGGTGAAAATCTATAAACGACAGCGCGTATAACCGGGCACAGACAACACAGAGCTCAGCCGACAACCGGAAATCAGTCGGCTAACCTTTCCTGAAAATCCTGACCAGTTGGTCGCCAAAGTTCCTCCATAACGCTATCTTTCGTGATAGAGACAACCAATCGTTTCTTTTTTCGAGCCTTTCCGTACCAATTTGTCGTAATATGAACAAAATACTCGGTAATCTGTGCACTTTATAGGGTTGACTGATTATTACTTTTTGTTCTGTATACATTTATTATGATATATATGTAGCAGATTTTCCTAGTAGTGACGGTTATTTTTGGTCCTATGAGAAACTATGGTTAATTTTATTACTTCACAATGATGATTCATCTACTGAAATGCTTCCTTAATTAGCGTACACTTAATAAAGTTACTGTATAGTGCGACCACAAGCAGTTTTGAAATGAGTTTATTTGTAGGTTGATTAACGTACTTAACGTATACACAATTGCTTCAACGATGCACTCGGAATATTCCATATTATATTTCGGCATTTATTATATTGTATACAGTATTACTACGAAATACGTTGGTACTATAGTTGCAACGCTTTGTATGCTACAAAAGTCGTGCAGACAATGATCAACAAAATAACAAAATGCAAAAGGTCACTGAGATATGCACATTAAGTTTTATTATAACTGAGATGGCACACGCGAGAAATGATTGCGCGCCGTTTGTTCCTTTTTTCCCATTTACGACATAATCCATGGCGTAATCTTTGGCGCGACTGCGAGTGAAACGCGACCGACTGAAGGTCTCCACATTATCCAATGGTTTTGTCCAAGGAGCTGTTTTGGTAGTCGCCTCGGACGGTTTAGCTGCTGCGCTCTGTCCTAAAGTCGGTACAGCCGACGGTAGACGCATACTCCACTCTTCCTGACGCTTAAGCACGTCCCGTTCCAGCGTATGAGGATTGTCGTTTACCACATCGGCGGTAGCGATCCCGTTGGTGTACGTCAGTTTAACCGTGCCTTCCGGTCGAAATAAGGTTTCATAGCTGTACAAAGCAGACGTTAAACCCGGTTAACAGAGACATATTTTGTTTTGCTTCCTGTGTAAAATTTGTATACAGTCTGTACTTCATATTGTATATAAGAAGACTGGGCTTTCATAACTACTTCAAGTACCTGACGAGTTGCTCCATAAAACTAGGATTGGGTTCCACCAATGTACGACATCGCTTCATCTTTTGGAATGCATCTCTTAAGGACAATCCATGATGGCTCATCATGTAGGCTAACAAACAGGTTGCTGATCTGGAAACACCTGTAATCCGTTCGTAACAACTGCATTAGCTGTACCATGGTTAGCCGTAGTATTGCCTTGGCTGGACACATATAAAAAAGGTCACCATCGCGCTGATGTTATTTTATTTCATATTGCTTTACCATTTTGACAGTCGATTTAAACATAAAACAGCAGTTAAATTTTAATCTTTAACGCTTTATACTAACCAGCTTGGCAATGGATGAGAACAGGATGACCTTTCATGACAAAGCCTTCAATTATGGCAGCAACAGGTTCGAAATATGATGAAATCATTTCTACCAGGGAGTCTTCGATGGGAACTCTGTAGTATGCTACTCCTGGTCTGCAATCAGAAAGTGTACAGATATGTTCACTCGGAATTATCGTCATACTAATGAATGATGAATTTTCGAATGCCAGCCAAAAACTGTGATCCAATATGACGGCAGCTTCGCCAAATTCTTACACAACACAGCGAGTATGCTAATATTTCAAATCTTACACGTTGCTGTGTGGCAGGTTAGTTGTACAATTGATGACGGCCTTAATGTTGAGTCTGCGAATAGCGTCCTCGTTGGCACCTTCGTGGGATGTCAGATATACATTGTAGACGATTTGCTGGGCTCCCCGATAAATGGCTAACAAATCCGCCTGGCTCAGCACGCTGCCATTCATAAACGCTGTGCGACTCATAATGAATATTTAATTCTGGAAATTAATTCTTAAACGATCCCACTAAATAATTCATTCACGGTCAAATTGCGACGAATTGTACTACAGTTTCGAATTGTTCTTGTTAAAATTTTTTGAAATTTTGATCATTTAAACTAAACATCAAAAAAAGGTAAACTTGATCTTGAAAATTTTCAACACTTTTGACTTGTGAACGGCAGAACTGAAATGGAATTGTGGAGTAAGAATAGGATGGCTATTTTATTGCCTGCATGATATCATTCATATCCGGTGCTGTAAGCGCTGTAGTATAACAAACACATAGGCAGTATTAACGTTATGGATGATGCCTCTGCACAAATAATGTGTAGGCAGATTATTGTTTATTGTATCATTAGCATAAGTGTATTACAAACAATGTGTCATGTTGTGATACAGTACATCGATTCTGTTGGTGTACTGCATGAAAGCGGCTGCCATGGTTTTTATAAGCACTTTACATGTGGAAGACGCACTTCAACCATCCAAAAATCATAATACTATCATCATTATGTAATATTGACTAATTGCTTACTGTCGCAGTTTGTCTGCGTTATTCATTATTTATTAATACTTTCCCTACTTAGTGAGTCTAGTCGACTCTCGAGTCACGATCGACCAGATGCTTGCGCACCGTAGGACGAAGGCCGTTTCAGAAGTCCAAAGTACAATTATTTTAAAATAGAACTACGTTAATATAAAATCTGTAAGTCGATGTTGTTACTGAAGTAGTATGAAATAAGGAAGTGCTTAATGCGAAACTTAAGTGCTAGTCTGTGTTAGGCAATATTTTTTCGCTGCAGTATTGTCAGTACAAATGTTAAAGGCCAGAAAACTCTTATCAATCCAAAAATATCCCAAATTCTGGCACGATTGCACGCCACGAACTACGAAGATCATTCAACTTTAATTCAGATATTATATCTGCATTTTAGTAAATCGCCTGATTCTACTTGAGATAAATTCCGAAATCATACAAAAGTAAAAAATAAAAGCAAACAGCAATACTTTCCCGAAGAATTTCCATTAAAATCTCATTAACCAATTATGTAATATCAGTTTCCAACATCATAAAACAGACTGGCACCAGGGTAGCGAATACACAAAGCCAAACATGAGCAAACAATCTGCAGGATCAACAGGCGTTTGGTCAGTGTTCTCTCGTGCGTCGGACCAAAGACAAGCAAAGCCAGATTAATAAGTGTAAAATTATTACACTCCACCATCCCGTCTTCTTCCTTCACAATTCTGATCACCCGAAACATCCGGAAGACGTGGTACATCAGGCGTCCTAAGAAGGACAACTGCGCCGGTTTAAATGTTGTCGTACTGATACTGACGGTGTCGGTTTCCGGTGAGTACCGCGGTAATCGATGCCGCGGGCAGGGGATAAAACGAAAGAGCTGGGGTACGGAATAGAGGAAGTTAAAAATCTGCGGGATAAAGAAGAGCAGCATGGTTTTGCTGAAATGTCCCAGGACGGCCACAACGGCGAAGGTCATACCGGAGAAATAACAGAATGTGTCGCCAACGAAGACCTGCGATGGATACCAGTTATGCCTTAATAACGCGCCGGTTGTTGCGATGTAGGGGAGGATGAAGTACAAGGAGAAGGTGTAAGCTTCGTGGTAAATACCTGCAAAATACGATGCCGAGATTTTCTACAAATGTAATGCAATACAAGCTTACTCAAACAAAACCTAAAAAACTTAAACGCCCACTTCACCAAAACAATGCGTTTTAATACTGAAAAGTGCAGAAGCCCTCCATAAAACCTGTGCCCAATGGAACTGGCGGTATTACTAATCGGATAATAAACACGAAATAATAACCTAAGAGTTAACAATCTGGCACATGGGTACCTCGGAGTTCAATGATGTTGAAAACTGCCACCGATACAGCAATTATAAAAGACTGTCCGGCTTCCAAACCGTTAATTCCAGCAAGGATATTGATGGCATTCGTGCAGAAAACAGCCAGCATCCCCATAAAAACGTAATACAGCAACCCTGAAAGTGCCAGAAATTAATGCACAAAGCACTGCAGATACAATTAAAACCAACTTCATCTATTTGATGTGTATAGATATTTTACAAAACGGTACAGATAGAAGTACTGCATTAAACTGAATCCGAAAACTGAAACCATACCTAAATTTATGCTATAGCCAACAAGTTCCCGAAGCGGTTTTGGCACGATGATGGTTGTGGAGTTGCAATTAACGTAGTACACCATCAGAAGAGGAAGAGTGGCAATTGTTGGCAGGAACAGCTTATCCCTCCATCGAAGATTCAGCGCATCATCCGCAAATCCCAAAAACAGCATGCAACATATGCACAGAATGGCTGTGATGAATTCCACAAACTGAAAAAGTGCAGAAGTCAGATTGCGTAGCCAAAATATTTAATTTCGCTGATAAGGTTAGTGTAAGCGTTTGCAGGCTGCATCACCACAGTACATAATAATTTTAAAAAAATATTACTACACTAGCACAGACAGAAGGACCAACAGCACAACCAGTTTCTTGAAAAAATTACAATATAATTAGTATTGTTATTTACGATAATTAATACTGGAAAAAGTATTTTTCATTAAAAAAGGTGTCTTTTGGTTCTGCGACAAACCTCGGAGTGGGGAAAAACGCTGTCCGCGTGGACGCGAACGGACTGATTGGCGAACACCACATCGTTGTGGGATACGCTGGCAAGATTCCACGCAAACGGCACAGGAATGAACAAAAACATCGTGATGAGAAAAATGGCTCCGGACACGACACCCATGGCTTCCGGCCTGCAAAATAAAATATATTGCGACCGCTCCTGACATGAAAACGCGAAATCTGCATCCACACTGGCTTTACTCTTCTGGCAGTACCAAATCATGGTCTGTGTATATATACACAGACCATGACCAAATATCAAATACAAGCTGAAGCACGCAACAATGCTGCAGTACGCACACTCAACCGTTCTTTGCCAGCAAGCCATGCATTTCGACAACGGAACGTATTCGAATGGCGCTCAAAAAGTGCCCTTCTCCGCTGCAGCATCAGAGCGAAACAGCAGAAATTAAAACAACGTCGAGCAGGATAAAGGCGGGTCTTCCTTCGAATTTACTGGTAACAACAGCAGCATGCTCACTTGCGACGCACTTACACTTTATGACGGTCTTTCTTGCTCATGTCGACCCCCGCAAAGCCCGCACTGACAAACATTTCCTTCACTTTCGGGATGATCTTGAAGGTGGCATAATAAGCCACCAAGGAGAAGAGTGCATTGCACAGCAGTGGCCACAAACTGCCAGGCGAGATCACCTGCGTCGTAGGAATATCGTCTCGCACACTCTGCGCGGATCCCACAGATCCCATGTCAACTGTCACACTGTGATTGTCCATGGACGCTGTTCACGATAAACACAACGGGAACATGCAGTTTTGCACAGTCGGATAGTGCACCCAGAACAACCACAGCGGCTGAAAATAGCGAAGTCCTGACTTCAAGCTTTTCCGCAGACTGCGCGTCGCTGCATTATAAAAATTCAACCGAAACGGCTGTCAAGCACGTTGGCAAACTGCCTGTAAAATCACAGACTGCAAGAATAAAAAAGCTAGCTTAAATAAGTAACAAAACGTCCCACAAACGCCAGACAACTAGCACTGATTTTATTTTAATTCTGAATTTGTATGCAGATAAAATGTTCGACGGAAATGGTTGTAAATAATGCTCAAGTACATTTTGTACGAGTACTTCTATAAATCTTGGCAGCAGTCCACGTCACCATGGTTGACGCAATCGCACTTCCAAAACTGCAAAACGCAAGTGCAATATTGCACTGCCAAGTGCCAGTGATCTTGAGAATTTTAAGATAACGTTTGCTCTCACCATCAGTGTTCTGCATGATGATGACGTGTTGATCAGCTGTTCATCATGTTCCATAATTACAAGATTCACTGACTTGTGGATACGATAATTTCAGAACTGCCCATTCACTTGGTTATTATCATAAAGTTACTATATTTCCATAGATCTAGATATAAATAATAACGCGAGTTTACTGAGTTCATGTTTTTTGTTTATAAAGTAATCATAATGCTTTACATAAAAGGAAGCGCATTACTTCTTAAAGACTTCCTACAAATTTTTCGCATATATATACTTCCCACATATATATGTCCTACATGTTAGTCAATATTCTGCATAGATCCTCCGACGTCCAAGCATATGTTGAATGATGACAACCATGAACTGCGGTCATGCAGACAACTGGTTGTGAGACAATACAATAATTATCATCTAGAAATTGTGAATATTATTGCTGGATGAACGTCACCGACTGCAGTATTTATTTTTCAAAATATTAAGTACACGAAGAACTAAACGTACCCGAAAAGCGAAACGCCACATGTTTAAAAGTAGCTAATACACTGGCTCACAACATAAACCGCACTTGTGTACGCACTAGTTTCCAAATAAAAAGCAATAAATAAAATCCTTTTGGACAAAAATCAACGGATGAAGAGACTTTTAACACAAAAGCGAAACCTTTGAGCTGGAAAATCGTCAACTTATACTCCAATAGCCAGGGAATGATACTGTCAGGATCAAGAAGTGCTATGCAGCAGCTTCAGTAAAGCACTATAGCCACTTTCGAGATCGAAAATCATCTGTCGGATCTGCCCATCATCAAATTCTTCAGATGCGTTCATTGAGGACATCACGTGCAACCTAAAAAATGTCGTGCTTGTATCAATGCTCAATAATTATTATTTACTGCCAAGGTATACTTTAAACATTGAGAAAAAAACGGTTTTCAGTGTACCATTTAGAAACAGCCGCGCGGCCTTCGTAATCAGCCGGAAGGATGCTCAAGCGGTTAATCGTATCCATCAGATCTCTCATTTCCGGTTGTATCTGCAGCAAAAGATTGATGAATCACTTATGCTACTGTTCCCTTTAGTTTTCAAATGTAGCAACGTAGCAGTTCAAATGTGAAATGTAGTAACGAGTTTTAATTATAAGGCAAAAGAACAAGCATTTAATAATGCGAAAGCCAACAGTATTAGCGTTCAGTTAGACTGTTAATACCACTACAACAAGGAAAAATTTTGGTTACAAAACCGTAGAAAACACTCGAACTACTGTTTAAATGCATGATAATGCAGCAATAGCACGGATACTGGAAACGAAACAATTTGATCCCTGTATGTTGGATGTTGCCGTAAGAAAATTACTGACCTCATCGACAGCTTTCATTTGCAGCCGAAGCTTATCCATCACCGTTATGAACAGCTGAAAATAGTATGCAAAATTAACGAAACAACCATTGTAGCGAACCAGTTTTCCCGCTGATACAGCTAGCAAAACATACCGCCACGATATCCGCAATGCATTTACTGGTGTTCCCTTTATCATCACGGATGGTAATAGGACTGTCATCTCTGATGCGTTCCATGGCGGCTGGGCAATCAAACTGTAGCATACACAAACCCAGCGTCTCACAGTGAACACAGCGGCGGAAACACCCGCACTTAAACCATGAACGTACTCGAAACTTTTCCATAAACGCTTCTATCGTGGGAAACTCCTCCGATTTAATTAATTTAAAGGCAGATTTCACTTGTACGAGCAGTTTCGAGCATGCCGCGGTGTACCTATAAAAACACAAACGCAACACTTCAAATATCTCATTAAAACAATATGCACAATTGCACATCAGGTTCATGCAGGAGAAACATGTAGTTATACCATAGTAAATCGATTGCATTTGTATACGACTTACTCCTTTGATGTTATGCAATCCCGAATGTAAGCCTTTTCCAGCTGCTCAATGGAATTGATGACTGCATACAAATCACTCATATTTTCATACCTGCAACGAAAAAATTGGCGCAAATCTGAATTTGGAAATTTACAAAGATATCGATCAGATAAAACACCAACACCAGGCACTGCAATTGTAAAAATGGCAAAAGGCAATTATTTTCCATTCTGTGCGATCAAATACTACAATACGTATGTCTGATTGTCGACTTGCAATTAAACTGCAGCCAAAAATAAATTATTGCTAGTGATTGATGAATGGTAAGTACTGCAAAATTAAAACACATTAAAAACAAATTAAAACCCAACACCTATCATCCTAACATCACGAAACCGCTACAAAATTCCTTTCAATGATGAGTGTTTAGTCACTGCCCAAAACCTTTAAAGCTATCCCCTTGATGTAGGCTCAGACTTACCAATCGCGTTCCTTGCTGTTCTTGTACAACCGGACAGTCTGAAATACACACAAACACAAGGTTTTTAAATACAGTGCAATGAGTGCATTACATGATAAATAGTTATTGATAATAACTGCAAAAATCTCTAAATCCGAACAAACCTCCATGAGTGCAGGATTATTATTCCCACTGCCCATATCATAGCCAGGAGGTGACTGCAAATTGGTAAACAGCGCCATTCTGCTTTTCTTCCCCACTGACTGGGCTGTCCTATGTAGAAGGTCAATCTCGAGCCCCTTCCGAGTACTGTCACGGGGAACAGCGCGAAATCGAAGAGGCTGCTGGCTGAGTCAGAGGCTTTCCTGTTCTCCCACCAGAGCGTGCGCGAAAGACCAGAACGCCGCAACAATCTCCGATCGAGAAGCTACACAGTTGAAGGTTTGGTTCAGGTTGTTTTACAGGGCCCGATAATGCGAACAAAAGACATCCACGCGAATCGGAATGGCACAAGAAGGGGTACAGGCTCAATAACAACTCACTTATCTGGACTGCTCCACTTCAAGAATCACACGAAGAAGCAGCCAAACTTGAGTGAAGGAAGAAGCAAATCCAGTTGACAGACTTTAACGTGGCTTTTATAGGAATAAACACGGAAAAGTACTGAAAAATACACAAAAAAGGGGTCCTGTCAATTTGTCGTGCAAAATTACTTTTCACGGTTTACCAAAGTTCAGAGAAAGCAAAACAAATCGTTACGAAAGGCACAAGTGACAAGGGGAAGAACTGCTTTAGCAGTTTAGCCTACGATATCGCACAGAATTTCGAACAATGCGCCAGTGGGAGGAGCAAAATCGCGGTCAGACTTATCATTAACCAATCGTCTGCTGACGATAGAACTTCCGGTTCGACGTCATAAAATTTAATCTGGATGCTAACATATGGGCTATCAGGCTGCACTTTACTGTGAACAACCATTAATTTTTATGATTTTTATCAAAATCTTTGCTGTTTCGATTGTGCAAGAGACTCACTGTGAGTGAAGACTACTGACTAACTTACAGAATACAGAGTATCAAGTTTGACTTTAATTACCAGTTTACTGTAATTTTTATAAAATTTCCTCTTCAGTTATTTATGCAACTAAAACTATGGCGTATAAACTGATAAACAATTGAAATGTAACAAGGGATGGTTCAAAATTCATTCGCTTCTAACATGCTGCTTGCTATCAGGAGCAATTGGAGCGGTATCAATTTAAAAGTCAACAATGCAACCGTATCTCTCGCATACCCTTTACGTATATCACGATAATCAAGTGATTCAAAATGCGAAACTGTGCTTATCGACTGCGTTTGTTAGATTGGGCTCAATGGAATCAACTGCAATTTTATGCTTTTATGATGCACCATAATCGAACATCAACATGTAATGTCATTGCGTCGATCACGATTTTGTCGGAACAGGTGAACAACGCAGCCGCGGCCGAAAGTCGATCGAATATTTTGGACTTGACGGTTTGAACAAGAAAGAAATCATTGTTGATATTTGGAAACAGCAGCGGCCGGCTGTTGTTAAAACAAAAACGATTCCCATAAAGGATTAGGCATGGGAAATTCGGCTACCAAGCTCCCGGCCCAGGACCTCCGGGACTACCAGGATCTTACGTATTTGTCCAAGAATGAAATTGTCAGGTACGCGGGTCGAATGGAATCTGATAGTATGGATCAAGAGAAAGTCCAAATAAAATATTTCGTTTATAAACTTTTACTTTTGTTCTTTGGCACCTTTGTTTGGATGATCCGGCAATGAAAATTCCCCGTGCTGATATTCACGTGCAGCAAGTGCAAAAGAATACTGATTTTAATCACTTTAACGTTAATTGTTATGGATAAACGATAATTTCACGTAACCGATAATTATGCAGAAATATACAACTTATTATCAGACGTACCGAATAAGTTAATAATGATATTCCTGTTAGATGGCGAGTGACATGAAGTGTAAACACAAACAATATCATGGTCAATGCATGAAGTTTATAAAAGATTGTCGGTAGCCTCGTTCCCGCAGTCGTGTACATAGATCTATACATGTATGTACTTAATTTGCGGGATCGAAAGCAATTATAGGGCACCACTACTTCACCGGTAGTTTTAGTATTTGTCGCATATGTTGCAGAATTAATAATCTGATGCTATAATTCACCGTGATAAATGAAAGAATGTTTGCAGAGCATTCCGTAGGATGCAAAGGGAGGTCAAACTCGCTGGACGTAATCCACAGCAGCCTTCCGAAATGTTTCTGCGCTTTGAAGATCTCGAACGGATGCCAGAGTTTATGGTAAAATCAGATAGCAGTATAGTTTGTACTTCTATAAAAGGTTTATATCATTATGGTAAGGCTACAGCATTGATTTTTACCAATAAGTGCTACTCGTAGTAATTTTTTCCATAACCAGATACTTACGAGTATACAGTCAGTCGAGCAAATTAAAATTACACGTGCGAATTTTCATAGTGCTACGAGTACGTACTATTGTTTGTGAAGTTATTATTTGAATGGCTGATATTTCTGTTATACAGTGCACCGTTAAAAATTATTGCGAAAGTATTAAAACAATTTTGCGCGAGTGCTAATTGTAAGAATCAGTTAACGAACACGTTCCTTGTACGGTTACATTCCTGTTTTGTTATTCCACAGTTCAACCCCTTCAGAGATCGAATCTGCTCGGTATTCAGTTCCCGCAAGGACAACACTCTGACCTTTGAAGACTTTCTCGATGTACTTTCGGTGTTCAGTGAATCTGCGCCGAAGTCTGTAAAGACAGCGTATGCATTTAAAATTTATGGTGTGTGTTTATGCAGTTCAATACGTAACTGACAGTGAGTGTAATTATACTACAATAACGTTTCTTTTCTTCAGATTTCAATGAAGACAGTCTTCTTGACCAAAATGATCTGGCCGAATTGATCCGCCGTTTAACTAATCCGGAACAGCTGGGCGGCCTGCACGACGAAGAAATTCAGAAAATTTGCAAATACGTATGTTTTTATCTAGGCCAGTGTGCTTCTGCGGCAATTGTTTAATTAATGCATCGCGCGGTTTTTCAGATCATGCAGGAAGCCGATTTGGATGAAAACGGTTACATCTCCTTGACAGAGTTTGAGCTGGTTGTGTCAAAGTCGCCCGACTTTGTGAAGTTAGTTTGCCACAATAATACAATTCATGCCTGTTCGTAGTTTAAGCAAAATTTGGTGTTTCCTTTTAGGACGTTCTGCATTCGATTTTGAGTTTGTCCAGACGCTCCTATCGTCTACATGATACATTCTGTGCTTTCGCATGTATAATGGGATGGATAATCAGCCATATTTTTAGCATTTTAACATTTTATGTACAGTGCCCACAGTACTTGCAGATTTTAAAGTCAATCAGATTTTCTCGCAACAATTGCAAATAATTTATTACTGTAAATGGAGATAACACAACACAGTATTTCGGTTAGTATCTGGACAGTTTTTTCGATTGAATTTAACGCTGCAAGTGAAAACCATGTGTTGTTGTCGAATTATTATACAGTACTCCTATATTCACTAACAATTAAAAAAAAGACAAACCATATTAAAGAGTGCGCGAGGAAAACTCTGTTTCTGCTTCCGATGTTGGTTCGGAGTAAGGGCCGAAAGTGGAAGTTGACTGCCATTCGGAATGATCTCCTGGATACAAATCCGGCTCGTCAACATCATACAAACCATTTGTATCGTCTTCCTGTAAAAAGATTTCAATGAACGGTAATTTTCATCGACAAAAATCAGCGATAATAATATTACTACAGCAATTTTTGATTAAGTATATGACCTTCAAAATAGCTTTGGGACGACAATATGAGCGGTACAATATGAGCGGTATAAGATATGTACTCATCTTATACAGTACCACAAAAGATTTATTACACACTTCAAATAAATTACCAAGTAAGCATACTCGTACGCAGTGATACACGCGACAAGAGGGTCCGTGTTTTTCTAAAGTGCACAATCGACTCACCAACAGTTGCGTGCGGTCACCTTTGCGCCGCGCCCTGCCACTTTTACTCCGCAGGGTCAAACTGGCCGTACCGGCATGGAACAAAGGATTTTGGAAGTCAGCTCCCTCCATTTCCAGAGTATCGCGGTTGGCATCGGATTCCAGACTGCGAAATCCAAATCCCAGTCCACGCCTGCCAAAAATCCCTCTCACTTATAGCCAAATCGCTGAAGCCGATAATGCCCTGCACGTAATTACTCACCTTTTCCGCCAAAGCACAAAAAGTGCAGTAAGAATTATGGCGATGACGATCACCACCGTTGCTACAACAGCCGCTACAATCCCGCTTTTGGACGCTAAAAAAGGAACACTCAAGGATCCCTACAGCGCTGGCAAAGTTCAGTTTGGACACCTGCCTGATGCTGTGTGCGCTTGTGATACGGAGGCAGATGCCTTGGGAGTGTCGGATACCACTAAAACTAAAGTGTTCTCATCCACAAAACTGACTTCGCCGGGTTCAGTGCCTGCAACAGTGTGTTTGTCAGCCAGAACTGTCATGCTGCAACAATGCCAGTGTAATTTACGACACAAATTACTGGGTCTGGAAGCATCGACTTCCTGAATTATGCTCTCTTCCTGTATATGAATTAGGAAGTTATACCATTCTTGAGTTTGTCAAAGAAAGAATAGGCAGCTGCCGCTGCCGTATAGGTGGGTTCATTGTCTTCCCAGTCGATCAGTCGAGAGTGCATAAATACCGTCTGGATCGATAAATCGTCCATCACCGTCGTGTGGATGTCCAGTGAATTCTGTGATGGTAAATAATTAAGATCTCGAGACTAAAAACTGAGTACTTGTATGGAATAATATATTACACGTATACAAACAGTGTCAAATTAAACCGTCATTTATTATAATGGCAGCAAGGAGCAATACTGCTGAGGTATTCAAGAAAACTGAAAGCGTTGTATTAAGTACTTTTTATAGACACTATAGAAAGTGCTTGGTTGTATATATACAATACCCGTGTTGTACAATTACGTGCACTGTACATGTTGTACAATAAACAAACAATATATATACACGTATTTTAAATATAATTTTTACCGTACTTTGTATCCGGATGGTAACTGCCGCAGAATGTTGTCCACTTGGTGGAGCGCTGGATACATCTGTTTCGGTAAAAATGTCACCACTGCACCTGCAAATAAAGATGAAAACTTTTTTGAAGTTGCACCGTTTTTCGCCGTTTCCCCGTTTGTGAAGTTTGTGAAGAATTTTGCATTTCACCGTTTACCCTGAACAGTTGTGATGCTTGAGCAAAATGATTTGCTGTGTAGAGAATCAAAACATGGACTTGTTTAAGTTGGTATTATGTTGATCAAACAACTTACCGCAAAATGGCTGGCATTTTCCTACAGCGTAGACTGGTTTAGCACAAGAGATGTGGGCTGTTTTGTTGGTTTCCTCGTGCAGAAATGGACAAATCTTTTCCATAATCTACGTACCATAAATAAAAATGTTGATAAATATCAAGTACAGCTAGCAAGCGGAGCTTCATCGGCATTAATATTTTTGCAAGATGTCAAGAAAGATTTGATGGCTTACATACATACATAGTACTGCACAATACTACGTACATGTACAATATATATATGCGGTTATTTACTTCAGTGACCTGGGAGCCGAATAATTACTACAAAACCGACAAACCTCTCGTCTATCGTTCCCACATTTGCATCCGTATTCCACATCACAGACCGGCGCCAGTTCATCTTCACCAATCTTCATGAACGGTACTCCCATTTTCTCCGTATCCGAATCTTTCGCCAGAGCGGCCGCAATGGACCGATTGCTCTCGTTGTCGGTGGAAAACATGAGAGAAACTTCCGGTTTGGAAAAATACTCCCCCATAGTGTCCTGATTAATCGACTATATAATAACACAGTTACTATTAAGTTACGTATAACTGATGGTGAACATAAACATATGCAAGGAGATGCAGATATCAATTTTTATATGGAAGGTCACAGATACTGTTTGCAGCTAGGTTTATTAATTAGATACCAAGGATCCAATTTTGAATGTTCGCAGATATATGGGCTTCAGCAATGTTGACGGCATCGTAATTTGGATGGTATGACCAGATGGGAAGTACACGTCGTCGCCATTGCAAGGAATGCGCTCCGAATCCAGCACACTGTACGATCCGCTGGCGATGCTTTCGTCTTCATCCAGTTTCCAGTTTTTCGGATCATACCTAAAATTTCCTTCATGGTTAACGATAACCGTATAGATTCGTAACAATCAGTTTAAGTACATTAGTTTCTTTTTAGAAATTTCGTGGCTGTTTGTTCTTTGCACTGGGTCTGGGTCCATTCCATACGTGACTTTCATTTTTGCTAATGGTACTTTGTAGATTACACTTTTATAAGCACAGAAGTTTCGTAAATTTTGTCTTTTTTTTGTCCCACCCTTTTCATCTTCCCCCATCTTTTGTTTTCGATGGCCCAGTCAGGACCTAAGCATTTTTTTAATTTTACATTTTATTAATCCCTGAGTGCAGTATGAGATGCATGCCGGCAAATTAAAAGTTAGTAAAAAGGTAAAAAGCAAACCGCAGCTGGCAGCCGACCGACCATGCAGCCTCGGAATCGGCCGGGGAAGAGTCGGATGACTGTCCGAACGCACAATTGTGGAATGCTGGATGGTCCTTTCTCCAGCAATTTCATTACAGTCACTTCGACATTCTTCTGGCTGCCGCAATGAAATGTAAACTTATATACCGACAGTCCCTACGTGCACGTTTCACAGCGCTACAATTTATCGCTATAATTTTCAAATCGGTGGATACTTGCGCATTTAAATTTTCTCCCTCTCAGATTGTGATAACTTTCGATAAGGCGAGGAGGTCAGTTATAATTATGAAATTATGAAACAGCAATATTAAGCAAATTTAATGTATATACGCGTACAGTGGGTAAACCCAAATTAATATAGATATTTGCGGTACTTGTTAAATCGGAAGTTGGGCCAGTTCCATAATTTGTGTATTCGTGGGTTAAGTATAGTGCTGTGTACAAACGGGCTTACCAGCTGTTGCTTGTGACCATGGACGAAACCTTCTTCGGACCCGAATTTTGCCTACCTGTAGGGAGTTAAGACCTGTTATAACTTAATGATATGCAAATGAAATCTGACCTTCGCATAGTGCAGTAAACGTAAAATTATTTGTTGTATAGTATAGTGGGCAGTTCGTGACATTTCGATGTTGGATACAGTAGAGTAGGCTTCATTTTTACGCACAGGAAGCTGGTGGAGCCGGATCAGCTTGTCGCGCCAGATATTTGTCTCGTTGCTGTGTAAACGACGCAACGTCGACAATCTCCAAAACGCTTCCTTCGGCCATAATCAATTCACCTTCAGCTGGCAGATTCTAGAAAATAACGGGAAAGGACTAATACAAGCACGGCCAGTTTTCGATGTTTTGGTTCAAGTTTTACTTGTATTGTAGAAATGCTTCTGTATCTGTAGATAGAAAGATAAAAATATATTAATACAAAGTATTACGTACCAGTGTCGATAAGGCGTGATACTTCTCCAGCAGCATGACACTGTTTTCCGCCAGCGTTGCTTCGTCTCCAAAACATGGAGATTGTCCGTTACTCCATGATCTCACGCTGTCGAAATCATTGCGTGGCTTCCATATTCGCTTTACCCCGTGTACTGCAAATTAACGTAAATCAAATTTACATTCAGTTCTGGAACAAGGAACATTTGAAACAAGGAACATTTGGTGAAACAAGGTCCGATTTTAATGTTCCAACCATATTGTACGAGTAACATCAACACTGGCTGTCACACAAACCAATGAGTGAAAATTAAGCGAGGCAGTGCAAAATTTTTAACCAAAACGCTGCAAATCTGGGAAACTGCAGGTTGTAAATGGATACGTTTTGAAACAATTACCAATGCTGCCGCTTATACTATATATATCTGTATATGCATATTCCATGCATAAATATTAGATCGTTACACGCCAAGAGTTTCGTGCGTATTCATGAAAGGTGAATTGTACTGCCAACTGACATGATTTACACATCCCTCTAAATTTGTCTGAAAAAAGCTTTAAACTAAACAAAATGTGACACAGAAGTGGAATACGTAAGTACCTTGCGTTAATATCGTAAAAACAACAGATCCATAAAACATATAAGGCAGTGACCTTTTCATGATGTCGGATCGGACTGAGAAAACGTTATAGTACTGCGTAATTAAATGAAACTTGAGTTCATGTCGTTTAAACTGGATGATAAACGATTAATTTTTATAGCCACAATTCATTTCCAAATTAAAATGAAAAACCGCATCAAACGTGAGGCTACATTCTGTGTACATATACTGGAAAGCACCAACATGTGGGCGCATCCGATAGCGGTCTGCGTTAACGATAAGATCTAGCGGCACTTTACCCTTATGGTTAGCATAGTTGCCCTGCTATATTCTCAGCACTTAATTAATTTTTGTAGAATTCTGTGTAATCTTTCAAACGTTGTGAAATTTGCGCTTAAGCGCGAAAATTATTTAACGATAAATCACTGCATTTTATTCGCGAAAGAAGCTGTAAGTACTACCCTAGTATCTCAGCCTTTACCTGCCTAATCGCAGTGCAAATAAGTATACTTAATATACTTGAATAATTTTAGCGATAGATGTTTTACGATGGATAACTTACTTTCTCGATCATCAATTACATATCTTTTTTCCTTTTCCCGCTAGCGCAAATTGTTTCTGTTTTACACAGATAATTATTGTGCTCTTGCCTCTTGGCGTATTTGATCTTGTGGCTGCGGTCTAGAGTAGGCTTTGACACATAGTAGACTGTAATAACGCACACAAATTCCCTAATTTCCCTCCAACCGCCCCCGCTCGCGTGCGCAATCAAGAAACTAGTGAGAATGACATCACCACTTTCTCCTGTGCTCATTTGAATTAAAGTCAGTTTTCACTTTTCAGTTTTGAGTTCTGATCTGAATTTCTAAACTCTGAAATATATTTTTACAGTTTCAGTGACGGTACAGACTAGTTTGTTTTAAACTCTTAACGTCCGAAATTTTGACTGTATTCTGTAGAAAGAACGCCCAAAAATGTTGTGTTGAGTCATTCATACGTCGTTGTTAACTGACGCGAATAGCAGACGTTTCTAACATGCCCGAAGCTTCTCCTCGTCGTCCATTAGATAACTCGCCCAATTCCAAAGGCGATGGCTTCCCGTTGGGTAAGAAGACCAAAACGGACGAAGAGCCATCCCGTATGTCGTTTGATTCGGATGGCGACGCCAGTGCCTCCCTGCTAGCACATCCCGCAGGTGCAGCAGCAGCGTTGCACAGTGTGGAGAATGCAGAGAACCAGGCGCCTGCCAGCAACGGTGTCGCATCCCCACTGCTGCAGACAATCCAGGATCATGACGTATCCACTGTAGAATTGGTCGCGAAAGAAGAACAGAGTGCCTATTTCCCATCGGGTATGGAAGCGATCCCTCCTCTCGACACGGCGGGGGAAACTGAGCCTGAACACAGTACCGAGGCGATGGCGAAGCTCTCTAGTCAAGCACCACCCGCGCATGTTGATCTGTCGGAGTTGATGGATGAGAATTTATCCATGAACTCCCCGAAACCCCTGCAGACCGCCCAAGAACCGGCGGAACCCCGGCCGGATCTCGCGCAGGAGCCCGTTGCGGTGTTCATTAGAAACGATTGGGAGGAGCTGCCTGAGGTATGTTGACAGTTTCGCTGATTTTTGGAGGCTGGATTTCTGCATTTTGTCTAAACTGTTTATTTTATTTTTCTGTTTTCACTTTCTAAATTTTTTTTATTAATTTTAATTTTTTTTTGTCATGTGCTACATACATTCACCAACATTGTGTAGATTTTTTAGTACTTATAACTTATTATTATTGTTTTAATAATCATGTGTCTTCATATTTTGTGGAAAAATTATGGCGCATTGTAAAATTTGTGTTCATTGGGTAGGCTAAAAAGAAATTCGTATACTGGATGTTCTTTTGCAATAACGTCACATGGGCCGAGGCGAAGTTTTCCCCGCGAAAGTTCTCGCTGTATTTTACCTGCAGGTTCGTCAGATCGCATGCACAGTATATTGTACAATGATTTTGCCAATAAATTCGGTATTTGTTTGGCTAGCGATGAAGAGTTTTTGGCAAAGCAACAGCAGAAGAATCCCCACCGAAGGATTGATAAGAATACCGTTTTTTGTTATGAATCGGGAGCGCTGTGGTGAGTTGCAACTGATTTTCGATTAGAGACATACAATTTTACTCTTGTTTATCGTTGTATTATGTAGGGATCGAGTTATTCCGGAGAAGTGCAGCATGACACTGAATCCTGCACGGAAGGGCATCGAAATTCAGCTGGTAAAAGCCAAGGAAGCATTTTGGGTGTCTATTTACGGAAAATCGGTTTCCCAGCAGGGTACGTAATGCAAAGTAAATGCGCTGAATGAATACATACATTTAGCTATGAGCCTATGGCTGAAATGAGCAAATTTCCTAGTTTTACTTATTTTGAGCGATTGTTTCTTCCGCCGTTTTGTTTTCTGATATTGCGACTATGTAGCTTTAAAATGTGAGGAATTTGCTCTAGATACCGAACATATGCTTTAATGTGGAAAATTAACACTCCTGGTTTCTGCACAAGGGTTTGGGACGTTTTGTTTGTTCGAGCTTATCTGAATTTTGCTTATTTTGGCCGTTGGATAACTTTTTAAAAAGAGTTGGGGAGGTATCACCAACCTGAGGAATTCCAGTTCATTACTCACTGTTTTGAATTTACAAAAACGCCAATCATGCCGAAGAATTTATGCAGTGATAGGCTTAACTGCAGTTTGTTTGCTCGGACAAATCACAGTAGAAGTAGACAAGTAGTCAGTAAATTTATCGTGGTTTTTGTAGACGATGAGGATGATTTGCATTGCATGGAAGAAGGACTGCCTGCATCGCCCACCTTCTCGCCCCCCTCCCAGACCGCCCACGATCCCGATTCCGTCGTGCATCCGGTAGCGATCCCGCATGATTCCGACGACGAGGAGGATCTGTTCGGTCCACGTGATTCGGCTCCCGTTGGGCCGCGCTGCTCCACGCCGGACTCGCAGTACAGCAGTCCATCGTATCCCTGTCAGCCGTTGCAACGCTGGCCGTATGCCGGTGATGTCAGCCTCAATGTCCCTCTGCAACCGTCGATAGTGCCGGCGCACCTCCGCATGCATTATGGCCTGACGGGACTGAATAATCTTGGCAATTCCTGCTACCTCGGCGCGGTGGTGCAGTGTCTGGCTAATACAAAGGAGCTGCGCGATTATTTTCTGCGTAAGATTAAACGGCTTTGGGATGCATTTAATCTCGCAAGTCGATGCAGTACGGTTAATGCGTGACTGGTACGTTCGCAGGAGGTTATTATAAAAAGGAGATCAACCGGAAGAATCCGCTGGGCAGTGAGGGACGCTTTGCTTCGGTGATGGAAGAAACGCTGCGGAACATTTGGAGCGGCAATCGTTCTAGCTATTCCCCACACCGACTGCGGGATGTGATGGCGCGATCGAATGAGCAGTTTAGCGGCTATGGTCAGCAGGATGCACAAGAGGCTATGGCGATGATAATCGACAGCCTTCATGAGGTGGGTGGCGCCAAATGTTCGTTTATATTCGCTGCATATGTCGTGATCGTTTGGTCGTTCGATGTGCTGATTTATAAGCAAAAGTAGAATATGTTTTGATTTTTTCTGGATTACTTAGGATCTTAAACCGAGTGTACGTGAAGCCCTATCTGAACGAAATCAATTCGGATAATCGTCCTAGATGAGGAAGTGGCCAAGCAGACGTGGGAGTATCATTTGAGTCGTGATAACTCTGCCATTCATGATCTCTTTTCCGGGATGTTTAAGTCCACACTCGAGTGTCCAGAATGTGAAAAAGTACGTTTTATTGACTGGCAGGTTTGGAAATTCGTTTGTACGAATGAGTTCATTTGCAGAAAAATATCAAGTTCGATCTATACCAATGCATCTCGGTGCCTGTACCAAAAATCGGTGTGATTATTGACTGCCTTTTCTTTCCACGAGAGTCAGGGAAAACGGATGCCGATCAAAAGATATTAGCGGTCAGTTCGGAAATATAATACAGCGATCATGCGCAGACATGAGATGTAACGATGTAACTCAACAAAATCAACAGATTTTTGAAAATAATCTTTTTGTAGTTCCGCATTAATGTCAACCGAGAACATTCCATCTCGTCTCATTATACGCATATCCAGTCGCATTTGGGTGATGTGACAATGGCGTCCGTGCGGATTCTCGTCATGCGAAGAAGTCGGGACAGGAAATCGTTCGATTTTCTTGGCAGGATTGATAAGGATTTTGAATGTCGGAATTTGGATGAGTCCTATTTGTTCTTGTTGTAAGAATGCATAATTCTATTTTACTTTTACGTGTGTATACCGTAACGTGCGTGTGTATTGTTTCTAGGTACGAAGTTTTGACGGAAAAGACAGCCAAAGAGCCTGTGAAAGAGTTTGTGATAACACAGCACCTAAGAGTGACTAAGGAGCTGCCGCTGGTATCTACTTGCAATAAATGCGGCAAGAGTGGTAACAGTCTCAAGCGGTGCTTGTGGTGCTACCTCGTCGGATACTGTGATAAGTATGCGAAACCGTGATGAAAACGTATAAGTTCGGTTTTCATAATCTCGTGTTTTTGGGTTTTTTATAGAACCTGCCAGACAGGTGATTGGGTTCAGCACAAACCGAAATGCTCCAACAACCATGGCCCGTCGATTGGGTGGCCATTTGTGTTTGCGATGCGCGAATCTCAGCTGAAAGCCACCGCTTTCTACGTCCAGGTGGCCAAAATGGCGTCGTAAGTCAATTTTAATCCATGGTGTTTTTCCTGACTATTAGTCTGTGTTTTTCCTGACTATTTTAATTTGGTTTTATTTGAATTTGAAGCTTTCGAGGAGGGTCACAAAATACGAGTATCTGTAAAAACACACGTAAATACATTACGTGGGATAAACCTTTGCTGTCTTATTTTCCTTATAAAAATCGAAGCCAGTACACTGTTTGAGTGTCAGTTGCAGCAACATTTTCCCTTAATTTCTCCGCCCTTTTTTTTTACTGCAGACGGTATGTCCATTATGCGCGTTATCTCAAAGCTAGTAAACGCGAAGCTTGCCACTCGCCATCGTCCGATATGAGCATCAGTCCGGATAGCCTGCTCGAGACCGAACGAGAACGATCAGTCAGCGTGGATTCCACGACGAGTGGTGCTTTAGACGCTGTCCGACCGGCGTCATCGGATGTAGATTCGGGAATCGGCTCGTCGTGCTCGACAAGGGCTCTTGAGGACGTGGAAGTGTGGGAGTTCCGGAAGAGCATTGAGAAGAGCCTAAGCGGCTTCGATCCCAAACATTTCCCCTTCGTCTTGGTGCCATTGGAAAAAGGCCTTGATGATCCATGGAATATTTACCCTCGAGATTCGCTTATGAAAGATACCAACGGTAAGGCGTTCCTTTCCAATATATCAGTAAATCTTTTTCATTGGGTCTTACTATGCTACACGATTGCTGTTCTTCTACGGATTTATTAAAATAACTATTAAAATATCAACTTTTCATTTCTTGACTGCTCAGCATGCACTTACACCTACAATATGTTCTCACTTAGAACTTATGGTTGGAAGCGCAAATTGTGCTGCTGCATTTAGTTGTTCACATTTGATACAATCCACTAATCCAGGAATTGTTGCGTTGTCTGTGAAAATTAATTAGATACTTATATTGTAATTATTCTGACAGGCGTCGAAGAACAAATCCGTAAACACTCCCTCTTTGTGTTACTATGGAATAATCGACCGGACGATCGCATGACATTCTGCGAGACCAGAGAATTGGATCGTTTCATACAAAGCGATGAATCGTGCTTGACGCTGAAGAAGCAAGATGAGCGTCGATCCTTCACCCAACAAAACTATGAAGAAAGTCTGGAGCACTGCATTGAACTGTTAACACAACCGGAAGTGCTGTCCAAACACAATGCTTGGTTGGTTTTGAATCGCGTTTGATTCGGTGTTCCGATGTTTGATAGCAGTGTTCCGTAGGCTGTGTCCAACCTGTAAACAACCGCGACAGGCTTCCAAGCAGTTCGAGATCTGGAGTTTGCCGACCGTTTTGGTCTTTCAGTTGAAACGTTTCTGCAAACCGACGGGAGAGATGTTTCGCCGAGACAAGATCGACACTATGATAAAATACCCGCTCAATGGGTTGGATATGTCGAAATTCTTAGTTGGTTCGTATTTGGGTCATTTTTTTTTATAGCAAAATAGACAAGAAATACAGTTTGTTGGAACTCTGCTAGGTCGTTAATTATTATTTTTGACTGTATTTGATATTTTAATTTATAATTTGTTTTTAAATTGATTTGTATATCCTAATTAAATTTTGAAAGCGCTATGCATTGTAAAATTTCGAGCGCATAGAAGTGACCTTAATTTTGATAATAATGTTTTAAATTTTGTATTAGGTCCCGGTGATGGTGGACAGTATTTGTACGATCTATATGGTGTGGTACACCATCGGGGCTCGACATGGTACGGGCATTATTACGGTCACACCCGCTGCTACCATGTTCCCGATACCCTCCAGGATGAGGTGGGATGGCGGTGTTTTGACGATGAGAGTGTGGAGCTGTTGAGTGATCAGCAGTTGGAGCGGATTGTTGATCGCGGAGCCTATCTGCTGTTTTATCGCCGACGAAATACCGATAATCCCATAATGCTACCGACGAAAGGCACTGACGAGGAGGACGAGGAGGAGGACTCCCTGCTGCTGGATGAGCATGAAGAGGGCGGCGAGAGTATGGCCTGGAGAGGCTCCTTGCAAGGTGCACTTACGATGAGTGAACACTGAACGCAGACAGACAGAACACACAACAGGTCTTGGCTTTTGTGCTTTTTATTCGTTTGTGCCGTTTTTGTGACGCGAGGTGTCTTCCGTATTTCCCAGTTTATTATAATATACTGAATGTGTTCTACTTTAAACTTTTGTCAACCCTTTTGTACAAACTTTGATCGTGTTTGATATCGAAGTTAATTTATATTTTGAACGCTTAGTCATGATACGCCCGTTAAAGGGCCTGGAAGTTGCTTCTGAACTGACGATATGGAAATTTTATATTATGTTTTAATTTAAATATATTGGAATTTTTACCAAATTTGGTTGGTGGCTTGCAAATATGGGCCAGGCACCTCGCATTGCCTACCGTACGTTGTGTGATACAGTGTAGGTGTACGTAACCGTCATATGGTTATTGTTCATGTTATCGGTGTGGCTTTTGCTTTGTTGCACTTTGTCATAGATGAGCCGTAGATTTCATCCTTTAATGGTAATAATTACCGGATAAATCGTGGATTGCATACTTTTCTTTTGGGGCAGGTTCCCTCGTTCCCCGCCTGGTGGCCTTTGCAGTACGCCCTGCCCGCCGTCTCCGCTCCCTGTATCGATCCCATTGTACGATCACTTAAAATTACCTCAAGACATTTTTTGTTTTACGGACGATTTCTGGTCAGAGGATCATCCAGTTCAGAGGTGACGTCCTCTTGTTGCTTTTTGATATTTCTTTTAGTACGTTGACAATACTTACTGGATGTTGTTGCTGGTTTCCTGATTTGAAGTTATTTGTACGACGCTTGACCGTGCTTTTCATTCGTTGTCGTGATATTGTCAAACTTCTGAACTCTGCATGGATGGCTTTATAAAAGCAGTTTTAAATATTCTTGATGCGATATTAAAGAGAATTGTTATCCGTTGACCGCTACCTAGTATTACAGGGTTTAGGAATACTGAATAAAACTAAAAACCGACGATTTGGTAATCGGTTTTTGCTGTCCGTTTATTGTTTCGTCTCGTCATAAATCTGCCGATACGTTTGGCAGATTCTACAGAAAATACATTTTACAGAAAGCTCGATCAGTTCATTTTGCTGATGCTAGGAAAAAGGTAATCAGCACACGAGGAATATTGAAATAATTTTTGCAGTAAATGCTTCAGTGTTTCTTAATGCTCTTTCTTTATTCATATAAAACCATAGCAAGTGGCACAAAACGGTACTGATCATAAAACCGAGCAACGATAAAACGACAAACGGGTACTGTGTACAAAGAAACCAAGTAAAAAGTCTACGACGAAAATAAAGGAAAATCTCATTTTTAAAAAATCCGTGTACCCCGCCTCATCATAGTCCCTTTCAAACAGCCGCCACAATAAAGCAACGCAAACCGCTTCATTGGATTTATTGCAATAAACAGGAAAGATAATCAAAGTGGAAGAATCAAAAGCTAAAAACAAAATACACCCTATTAGATAGGTTGCACCCCTTCCCCACCCTCGGGCGGTGGCACTGGCGGCAGCGGCGACGGCTGCCTCTCCGTTCCCTCCTGGACCACCACGGGAATGCTGCTGACGTCATGAGCGTCCTCGACGTTCTCCAGAGAACTGCTGTCCTCCGCCGTCAGCCGCTGCAGATCCTCTTCGGACCGCGCCGACACGGAACTGCCGGCCCGCGAGACACTGGGCGAGCGGACGCGCAGCCGTAAATTCTGCACCTCCTCTAACGCCGCCTGCAGATCCTGTCGTAACCGGTGCGTTTCTTCCTCCTTCTGACATATGACATCTAACAAGGCCGTCAGATTCCGATTCAATCCGGTCTGAATCGGCTCCAGCGATTCCGTGGTCACCACGGGGATTGTGCTGATCGTCTGAATACCGCAATCCACGGTCGGGGAATCCAACATTTCACCGGGACATTCCACCGCACCCGCCGCACCCTCCTCATGCACGATCTTCAGGGAATCCTTCAGTAATCTCGTCAAGGATTCTGTATGCTTTAGTACGCGATGCAGGAGCGTTTTCGCATCCGCCTGACCGCTGTCCACTTTCTCCTCGACTTTTTCCGTTTTCTCCTCAATCCCCAAGATCTGTGACACCAAACGCTGCTTCTCCGACAACGACTCCTCTAGCTGTTCATCATGCCGCTTCAGTTCCTCCATCGGCGTCAGGATCCGCTCGGCCGCCTCCACGCGGGCCATGGTCACCACCAACTCCGACGGCGAGGTTAGAAGCGTAGCGCGCGGCAATTCCTCCGTCTGGAACAGACCCTCCGTGGCCAACTCCCCCTCCGACTCCTCTTCCCGGACATGATCCGGCACATCCACATCACCAACAGGCGCGGCTGTGACACTCGGCGTCGCCGTCACCGGGAAATCATCCGGGATGGTCTCGTACACTTTGGACATACGGGCCACGGCGTCGTTGATGTGCTTAATCCACTGCTTCTGCTCGTTGGCCGTATTGGCGATCATTTCGTACATCTGGGCACCGTCGGTCGTATTGCTGATCAGATAGAAAGAGAGAGGATTCGTTGCGTTGTCTTTAACGAATAAACCCTCCAAGCTCAGCACCGGCGCCCAATATTTCCCGGAGAAACTCTCCCCGGTCTTTTTATCCGTGACGTTTAGCAGAGGCGAATGGAATTTCAGGATAAGTTTGTCGTCTTGTTTGGTGACGAGGAGGAGCATCCGGTCCAATAAGATGACATGCAGATCGACCGGCTTCTTGGACAGCTTCCAAGTCAAATCTCCATCCATCAGCATGCGGTACCGTGAAAGATCAAGATTCTGTAACGCATAACCCATCGTTTTCTTAGGATCAAATTAACAGGCTCAAAGATTACAAGTAATGAATGAAACATGTCGCCTCGAGAATTTACATCCTCGCTTGAATCTGTAATTAAAGAAATTACTGACTAAAAAGACTACTGCCATGGTGATTAACGACCGTCAAAACGCACCGGCACAAAGCCGTGACAAGATAAATAGATGATCTAAATTTCAATACTGTAAACAACTTCCGTTGTGTATACCCGCGAGTTAAAAATTACCAAACAGTATCGAAAGCTTACGGCCGGATATCAATATATCTCACCTTGTGCTCTTGCGCCAGCTTATTCTGGGCTTTGTGGAATGATGTCATGTCGATTTTCTCTTGTAGCTCCTTCAAGCGATTACGATTGTTGCTCTCTTTCACGGCTTGATTGACGAAGTCCAAAATTTCCTTGCATTCCCCTAGGGCACGGGTAACCTTTTCATGCTCCACTTTCTCTTCTTCCGTGGAGTCTAATGGGCAAAAATAACTCTTAATTAAGTTTCCAAATGGAATCTGCAATTGTGGTTTCTGGCATGGTTTCTATAACTCACTGTTCCATTACAGTTAGGTATAATCGTTTGATGCTCACCCAGGACCTAGGTTCTAAAATAAGTATGAATCAACTAACGAAAGTGTACCAGTTATTCAAAAAATAGGTAAGATTTATATACTGCAGAGACTCGAAAAATAATTTAAACATTGTTCTAACAACATTGAAACAATTACGTCAGAATTTCAATTTTTCTAGTGGAATATTTAACCGATCAGTTTTTAACGACTATGCACTCCTATTTAAATTTTGGTAATTATGATAGATCGCTTGATTGTAATTTTCGCATACGTCGAAATCAGTTCATTTTTATCTGATTATCGTCATATCAATACAGATCTACACTTTAGTCTGTACTTACTGTTACTATATTTCAGTATCTGCTCCAGCAGTAAAGGATACTTGGTTAACCGTTGCATCCCCGTGGGAATGATATCTTTTAGCTGCAGCCGTCTACACAAGGGATTGCCCGCGCATTCCTGCAGAAACTGTGCCAACTTGGGATCCTTTTTCTGACTGTGCTTCAGCGCCTCTAATCCCGCCGCTTGCTCACGACAGAACGCGGCGGCCGCACGCTTAAACGCCGCGCCATTCTCCCCATCAAAACGCGACAACAATATATCGCCGACTTTCTCCACGATGGGTGACACTTTCTTGGCGATTCGCATATGCCGATTCAGCTCACCGTGCAGCTGTACCATCTCCTCCAGATTGGCGAACACTTGAGTGATGAGGTCAGCTGACAGGAGTTGTGCACGCAACAGCGGCTGATAGAAGAATTTCCCCAGCACTTTCAGATTGCGCACATGAGTCTGCTCGGTGTGGAACAATTCGGCGATGACATCTTGACGTTTCCGTGCCCGATTATCCATCTGATCCAGGATAGTTTGGTCGACATTGACCTGCCAGTTGGGAATCTGGTCAGGGTCAGCTTCAAAATCCGACCCGTCCTCATCGAAGGCGGAAATGCCTTCCGTGGAAATGTTGGAGCTGCCGTTACTCGGTAATGACTGCGACGATACGGAGGAAATTCCCGAAGTGCCCAATGAGCCCACGCCGCTGGTGCTGGCTGAATCTTCTCCTTCATCACGGTAGAAATGCGCCGGATCGGATTTCTTCCGTACACCCGGTTTGGCTGGCTGCTTCTTCTGGGTTTTCAGCGACTCCGACCGTCCGACAACGCTGAGATTTTGTGATTTTTGCGATTTATCCGCTGTGGGATCGGTGGGTGAGGGAATCGTGGGAATGTCCATTTTTCCGCTCTCAAATCGATTGACCACTTGAGAGACGTAGCTTTTCGGTTCAAGCTGTGGCGCTTCAATGGAGGCGTCACCGGCAGTCGCGTCGATGTCCTCTTTATCTTCTTGGGACTTTTTGGCACTGTTGTTCACTAAAGAGCAAGTAGAACAAGAATGAACAGAGCAAAAACTACAAACTTTCTTGTTCTGAACTACAGATAGCTTTCCATTAAATTGTGCATCAATAATTATATTCATTTACTAATGCTGATAAAAAATTACTAACCAAGTGTATTCCTATTAACGGATCATAAAAATGTCATATTAAGATTGTCATAACGCTCAAAATTCAAAACCCGTAAGGCGCGAAGTATAAACCGTATTATTATCGATCATCGCAAACCCAAATTTTCAAAAAAAACGTTAGTAATGTATGTAAACTTACACAGAACAGGAAAGGTATATAACACTAACAACATCTAAGTTTTTTACACATATTTTAGTTCGCCGGTTTTTTTAAAAACCAGTGAACTAATTTAACTGCATAGAGCAACTATCAATGAAAAAACGAAAAACTTACATTTGGCGCCGCTTCAAGAAAAACAATAACAGAGTAACCAGATGCTGTAAACTTACGGGATGTAGGACTGTTGTTACTCCGCCGCCGGCCGAAAAACGAATCCACACCACTGAGACTGATCAGCGATCGTCTGACGTCTTTCTTCTCTCCCACACACGACTCCTCAATACATTTCATGCAATTCCGATGGACAATAAAATCGCAGATCGTGCACTGATATCCTTGCGGAGCTACAAATCATGTGATAACATTTTTTTGGTTAAATCTGGGCACGATAATCAGCCCGTAAAAAACTCCATCCGCAACCACACTTACCTACTCCCCACATACAATTATTGCACACCACGCAATAGTACAATGTGGTTGAGAAGGATACGGGCGCAAACTGATGCCCATGACTCGGGACGGACTTTTTTGACTTGTCTTTCAATTTGAACCTAAAAATAACAAACACAGAGTTGGCGTATGGGAAGAGTAAGTACTTTCTGCCGGCCGGCACACGCGCCACTGCGCCGGGACAAGACGAAGCCGCAGAAACCGTAGACGACACAGTTATCAGGTGTCAAACCGACAACTTAATACGCTCTCTTGGTAATGGTCACAATTTGTGGCGCAACGCATTCTCACTAGCACTCTTTTACAAACTATACAGCTCGCCTATACAAGTTACATATTTTCGTAATTGTATTTTGAGAGTATCACATAGACACGGCGCTGCTTATGTAAACTTCCGTCATTCATGGATGCTGTAGCCAAGAAAATCGAACTTTTTCGGGGATCAGATGTAGATTTCCTTTTGAGATGGTACATTTCCATAACTCAACTGACGCAAACTATCTACAACGCTTGTTGTCCTCAAACTGGATGATAGTCGGTATAAATTGAATAGTGTCCCAAGTGGCTAGCAAAAAGTAAAAGATTGAATCATGAACTAATTCCCCACTATCTTTTGTTAGGCTTTGCGAGCAACGCTCATATGTATCAAACGCTAAACACACTTATACTGCACGGCAAAACACTCGTATCACAAAGAAAAACAAGACCGATTAAAACTTAAATGTCGCTACGATCAACGCCTTGCAGGCATGCAAACATAGAAAAATTATCTTACCAAATTTCTAAAAAATGCGAAAAGCATGTCAAATCAAATCCTATTTTCAAAACCACATTTTACATTGCTCATACTGCCTTTATAGCAGGCTTCCTGTGGTGTGACCGGCATATCTGCTTTTTTGCCCATTTGCACATCGTATTCTTATTTTTACTACGAGTACTGTATCATTATACCATGCATGCAGCGTATAACCCATATACATGGCAAAGAACTCTGGCGATGATAAATTAGCAAATGCTCTCTATGATGTCTTCATAATTGTTTAAAAATAACTGTCTAATGGCTTATGGGTGTCGAATATTAGTTCTTAAGCAATCAATTGCGCATTCCCTGTGGCAGAGCGGAACTGCAGAACTGAAACATCGGCCAACTTAATCAGCATAAGAGCGTTGCTCACAATAATCAAAAGCATGTTTCGGACTAACCCCTAAAGCAGCATCGTACTGAATTTTTCAACACAAAGAGCAAGTTCAAATTATCTTGACAAATCGGAATAAATTATCCATCTTATGTCATATATACAAGTTACCAGGCTATAAACAACTCGGCTAGACTTGTCTGATCATTTATTACCGCAAAAAAATTCTCAGATCTTCCATCTTGCTGTGCTTTCAAAATTTTGTAAACCTAACATAACCAAGCTAAAAATGTGACGCTACTTGTCGTTATCTGATGGTTTTTAAAACAGTTACACTAAATAAACGCTGACACATGTACAAGAACAAATGTACATATTTTTTCACGAAAAGACAAACAAGCCCATGAAAACAATTTATGGATAACAATAATTATGTTGCGATATGCATCAAACGTTTAAAAACATAACGTTTAAAAACGTTGGATAACGTTTAAAAACATTAAAAAGGAAACACTTCTTACCGCTAGTGTATTAATTCCTCAGTACAAACAAAATGAACCGTAATATACTGGCGACTAGCGAAAGACGGTAAAATTGAGAAAGACAGAAATGCTGATTCTCAGTACATCCAACGTCAAACGAAATTAATAGTATGGGATAAAAAAACACGTAGCCTCAATCCAGTACTCTAGACGACTGCCTCTCCAAGAGCAATTACTCCATCGTAAAAAAATCAAGCCCCCATTTGATTATCCTAATGAAACCGGCATTGTCACGCACATACACTCAGTCCCGACCGGGCCCGGTCTCTGTTCATACCAGACTTACTTTGATTTATCCTTCTGCAGGAAGAGAGGCCATTTATCAACCAAATAGGCACCATCCCGCCCCATGGCTTTGACACCGTTCGCCTTCAAAAAAGTGGCCAGCGCACAGCCAATGGCAGCCTGCCGATCCGATCGATTCTCCGGCTCATCGGCACTATCAAATGTGATCCGATCCAGATCCCGTCCCAGGAGACTATCCACTAGCTCACGAGCCCGCTCAGACGATTTGTCTGTGTCAACCAGGGCGACCTCATCGATGTTGTACATACCGGACAGGCCGCGCATGCGCACTTGTTGGAATTGATTCAACCGTTCTTGTATCATGGTCAGAGCGATGGAGCGGGCGCTGGCGAAGACATCACGCAGGGCGTCTTCTTTGTCCGGCCGTGACAAAACTTCGTCGATGGCGGTGACAATTTGGCTGTGGGAAGGATCACCGCCGGGTAAGCTGAGAAAGTCCAGCGGCGCCTGGGGAACGATAAATGTCGAGTGGATCTCGTAGGCCCACCGTTGCAGCTCCTTCTGGCTGCCTTTAGGATATAAATCGGTGGTTAAGTGGAATAATAGCGGTGGTGCTTGGTCAATGGCGATTAGGTAATGGAGAAATGCCGACAAATTGGCGAGACTTTTGTGCACAGTGGCGTAGTTGGAGAACGGCTCTTGTGGAAGGTTTAAGGAAGCAAAGTTGGGATCTTCCATCGTCACGATGTCCAGTTGACGCGCCTAACGTAAAGAAACACGTAGAAACCGTCATCGCAAGTACAATAATACTGATTCGGTAAACTGAGAAAATTGTATAAACGAAGAAAACCAACGCACGGAACATTGTTGCATGTTCTCATGCCACCATGTCTGTGAAAACATCACGTTAACGACACGTGAAGTACAGTAATGCCGCTTTCTGCAGTTTTGACGGCATGAAAAAACATATACAGTCATCTTTAGCAAAGCATGCAGCTTGTTTAACATCATAAAATATCTCATTGCTTCCATGTCTGAATTGGTGATAAACCAGTTAAGCGGAACCGTAGATGAAACGGATATAATTTTGGGATACCGTGAACACCGGAAATGAACGAATACATTATGCACAGTCAATCGAAAGATAGCCATCAAAACACTACAGATACATTTTCTTGTCTCGCCTATTGTATCAAAAAGACGGCTATTCGACCGTAATCGATTGTGTTCGCGGTATCTCCAAAATAAGAGTCAGAAACACTACAGCCTTGATAAATCCTTTTTTCAGATCTCAGAACATACAGGAATGGAGTGCAGTAAACATTAAGCATGTCAGAAATGTACAAAAAATACGAAACTAAACACCGAAATAGAGCGGTCACAAAAACGGATAAGCATCAAAATTTTAGGAATATCCGAATAACGGATAACCCATCAAAGCATAGCCTAAATTTTTTAAAAGTTAGGATTTTATTAAAACTTAAATCAAGTGCGATACGTGTAACATTTACACAAAATTTAATAAACACCACTGAGTACATAAACCTCCACTAAACTTTGGGAACTGCTCTCATAATTAGGTCAACGTCCAATTAGGAGCAATCCGTTTAAAACAAACACTCACTTGACAGAATCTTCCTGTAACCCAATTTAAACTTTACACTGCCAACTTACCGGTTGAAATCGACCAGCGCCGCCGACTGACACGCCGGAGAACGATCCCGATTTCGGCACTTTCCCATTACTGGTCTTAACCACCTCCGGATACGGCGGCGGCGGACTGCCGGCGGGCGTACCCAGATCCACACTGTCCATAGGATGCGGGCGTTTGGAGCGTTTGACCGGCAACGCCGGCGGCTGCTCCTCCCCGGCCCCGCTGCTGTCCACATCGACATGCACCGCGCTGGAACTGCGTCCCAGGACGGTCTGATCCGGGAGACTGGCCGTCAAGGCCATCCGCGCCACGCCCACATGCATGGCTTCGGGGTTGGAGCGGCGCCGGTTGAGATTGGACGCCGAACTACTGCGCGGTGATCCGCCATCCTCCACCGGCCGGGTGGGGATCCGCTCGATGGGGGGCGGGGTGGGGGGCTGCTCCAGGGGGCGGAGGGCGTCGTCCGACCGTCGCGGCGCCCCAATCTCCCCGCGTCCCTTACCCCGCCGGCCGTGTTCAGCAGCATTCAACATATTCTGGAAGTCCTTGATATTCTTACTCACCCGCTCGATGCGCATCTGCACCTGTTCTGACGGACTGGACGCCAGTTCCTCCTGGAGATTTAACAGGACATTTTTCTCCTCGGCCAGTTTCCGCATCAAGTGTTGAATCCGTGCGGCACTGCGTACGGAGCCCTCTTTGGACTGGGGACTGTCGGTGGTCGAATTACCCGTGTCGCCATTGACGTGCTGCTCCTTGTTGGGGGGCGTCCGCACCACCGTCATGGCCACAAAATGCTGCGATTTAATCAAGCGGACCACCTCTGTGTGATTACTGCGCGTCACCAGTTCATTGTTGACTTTGATGATCCGATCGCCCGGCTGCAGTCCAGCACTGCCCGCGGGACCATTTTCCGTTACAACCTGGACGAAAACGGGATTATCCCCCGCCACCGTTAAACCATAGCCGCGCTCATCACGCTGGAACACCACACTGATCTGGTCGGCTTTGGCTTCGCCGTGGTCATCACTTTTACTGTTCTTATGGTCCTTTTTTGACGCTAGACGTCGCGTGACGGCATCCATACTCAAAAGAAACGTCAGGCCAGGAATATCAAGAGGTTATCAATTTTGAGAGCCACATCACGTCAATCGCATGGATCAAACGCCACTTGAAAGCCAATGCATGGGGATGATTAATCCGATGAGTGGTCGATTAAGATAAGGATCAATGGAATGAGTGTTGCATGGGAAAAATAAAAAAAATGATTTGGAAGATATGATAAGGCAAGGAAGTATTGCTGATGTGGAGCATCACATTTTTGCTGGGAATAAAAACAGAGGCAAGAGAAAACTGATAATTCAATTTTCATTCAATAACACTAACAGGGCCATGCGTAGAGAAACAGATTGCAGGTACGGTATAAAGTTTTCGCATAGGAAATCAACGACAAAGCTGGGGCTTGTTTGCACAGTGGCCAGAGTCAGGGCAGAGATGCTGGTAGGCAGAGTGGTGTGAGTAGCTGTGTGTGTACTGTGTGTGAGAAAACGAAAGCAGTCTGTCTTTGAGAGGTACGCTTTCGCACGGCAAACCAGTGAGGACAGCGAAAATGCTGCGGCGTTCGTTGACTTTAGTAGTTCAGTGGGCGAATTATTATTTTTGTAATAACATGCTCCATATCTGTGGTGCGGTAAAAAGAACTTTTCAGATCAACACAAATAATACTGTTTTTATCTTTGCTAATCTACTGAAAGAAATGTGGAAAAGATTGAAACGACTAGGCAGAGTCGCGGGTCTTTTTATTGCTTTTTTAAAGGCGTCTTTACAATGTCGGCAAATCGCAATGGGTGACTCACTATCGAATGTCTGCGCCATACGGTCTGCCAAAGCGTCCGGTCAGCCGTCTGAGTCACCCTTTACGCAGAGCCGCAGACGCACATATGCACCGCGCACAAACGCACACCAGAAAAACCCCAACATACCGCAATAAAACAAAAGTTTGTTTGCCAGAAAATCTGAAAATGTTTTATGAATTATTCGAAGTTTAATTTGTTTTAGAAAACAACAGCATTTAAATACTTTTGCTGCATGTTGAAATTTTAGTTCTAATTGAACTGTTAAAGACAGTAGTGAGTAGCAGTAGCTGACTGCTTACGCAAATGCTTCTAACGTCGTTTTCCAGCACGCATTTTCTTCTGCACCACAAAACCTGGAACGGTTTGGCTGGCCTCAGTGTCAGCTGTCCACCCTTTTCTTTGGCCGACAGACGATTATCTTCCACCGGTAATCGAACCTCCAAACGAGTGGAAAGTAGTTTGCTAAGCTCGAGGCTATTCCCTCAGTCGATTGCCTTCGTGCGATCCGTAAGGAGCGGAGGGGGTGCGAGAAAACGTCTGGAATCTGCTCGAGAGCGATGGAGTGCGTGGACGATCGCTTTGGCCAAAAAGATACCAGTTCCTGGCCGTCAGGCTCTGTTTTGGATTCCCGTTGCGTTTGGAACAGTATTCGCTGCAGGAATTTATTTATCGGTTCATCAGAGTGAGCGCAGAAAAGTATTTATTACCGCCAAAGGATTCCAACGATTTCTAAGGTAATTAAGTAAATTAACCGTAATGATAATTTATCGCAAATATGATAGCTTATAAAATTGGCACATAAACAAAGCGAACGGGTACAACGCTAATGATCTAATCGCTTTGTACCGTTTAGACAAATAATTTACCAAATGTGTTTTTGTTTCAGAACAGCAAACATCGGGACAGCAATTTCCTTCGATTACTTATGGAGCCTTCGCGGACTTCAGGAGGTATCACTACAATCAACGACAGTAGACAATTCTCCCATATTTTACCCTTTGTTGATTAATAATTATTGTTAATTTTGTAATGTTCTTCAAATTTTGCCCGTTATTGCAGTACAACCATATGCAATGGATTGAACCGCGGTTATTCTAAAAATATGCTTATATTCATCTGATTGAACTTTCGGATAATTGCCAGTTAATAGTGAGATAAACTATGTATGAGACTAAAATATTTAATTGAATTATCCGGGAATGGATTAGTGAAATCGTTAAATGCGATAAAGAATTTAGTCCGAAGGCTGTCTGAAATTCCTTTAAACGGTGTGTTGTCTTCCGGTAACTCTTCCCATTTTTCTTGTGTGAAAGGACTCTCCAGAGTACAACCGAGCACTGGACGCCTGCCACCAGAGGAGCGCTGATCGCTTACTAGCAGGATGCCTTTTGAATGTAGGTACGATAAGAATTTCTCTTCCCGAACATATATTTCAGAAATTGTATATGCTTGCTTTGGAAGGGTGGACTGTATGTCAAATTGGGACAAGGCCTGTGTGCGCTAAACCACATTTTGCCGAAGCAATATGTGTCCACACTCAGTGTCCTACAAGATAAAGCGCTATCCCGACCGTACAAGGAAGTGGAACTTCTGTTTCAAGATGAATTTGGCAGTAAACCCGATCAGATGTTTTCGTCTTTCGACAAAGTGCCCATTGCGGCAGCCAGCTTGGCTCAAGTGCATCGCGCTACTACTTTAGACGGTCAGGTACACTTCTGAACTGTAAAAAAGCATAAAACTATGGAGGAATACTCGTATTATTAGAATGGTTAATTTATGGTATCATGCATTCGTCTTTAATTATCTGAGATTTGTTGTGTCAGTAACAAAATACAAATACGAGCGCTAACATAAATCGTTCGGCTTTTATTTGCACGTGTTTCGTATAACTGTAGGAATACCGCTAATCAGTTTTACTTGTAAAACATTCCACTTTTGTTTGTTGCATAGAAAAACTGTCGTTGTTGTTTTTATATTTCATAGTTCGCAGTGCTAGCAGCTGATTAATTACGTAATGCAATTATTGAAAATAAACTAAAATGTTTGTAGGATGTCGCTGTGAAATGTCAGTATGTGGATTTGAAAGACCGTTTCACGGGTGACACGCGCGCTATCGACCTTCTGCTGGCTTTAGTGGAATGGATGCATCCCAAGTTTGGATTTCGGTGGGTGCTACAAGAACTGAAAGATCGCTTAGCGGAGGAACTGAACTTTTTACACGAAGCACAAAACGCCGATCACTGTGCCTACGATCTACAGGAATTACCGTTCGTCTACGTCCCCAAAGTGCGCTACGATCTGACCACTGAGCGCATCCTGACCAACGATTTCGTCGACAACGCGTGTCGGATAACCGAAGTGGCAGCTATTCAGGGCATGGGACTGAACATCCGTGAAGTCAATGAAAAACTGCTCACCGTGTTCGCGTATCAAGCTTTCTTGTCGGGATTTGTCCATGCTGATCCCCATTCGGGGAATGTCTTGGTGCGCAAAGTGAACGGACGAGCGCAGCTGGTCATCTTGGATCACGGACTGTACGAAGTATTACCGGACGGCGATCGGCGAACATTGTGTCGGTTATGGGAAGCGATTGTGCTGCGGGATGAGAAGAAGATGAAAAAGTATTGCGCTATGCTTGGCGTTGAAGGTAAACGTATTAGCGCTTTGCTGTTGATAGATGAATGCAGCTGGATATTTTTCAGATTATAAAATGTTTTGTGAAGTCCTCATCCAGCGCCCGCTACAGATGCCTCTAACAATGAGCGGTGTGTTTCCGACTTCGGGGAAAGCAGAAATGAGTGGTCATCTCACGCCTAATGAATTTTCTTACATGCAGAAAATGGCTCAAGAGCGTTTCGACGAGGTAAATGCATTAGTTGCGGTAATCGGCGAAATATAGCGAAGTTATATTTTGTATTTGCAGATCATGAAACTTTTACGCACTATGCCAAAACCGATGCTGCTCGTATTGCGCAATTTGAATACAATTCGTTCGATTTGCGCTATCCACGGCCACCCGGTAGATCGGTACACTCTGAATGCAAGAATGGCATCTCGTGGGATTTATTATCACCATGATGATGCCGAACGTCCGGTTTTCATGGGAAAGGAGAGGACAACATCCGCCGCGTACCAGTCGGCGGAAGCTCGGAAAAAGGACTCACGCTATGAAGGATTGTTTTGGTGGCTCCGGTGTCAGATTCGGTGGTTGTGGTTTGAGTGGAGATTGTTCGCCGATCGGATGTACATGCGTTTGATGATTTTCTACGTAAAGGTCTTGCAATTTTGTGGTGTGATTCAAGCGGCTAATGCCGATGCGCTTGTTGGTATGCTGAAGTGATCTAAGGAAGATTTGATAATTTTATGGTTTTATTGAAGTATTTCGCGATGTGTTAATATTGTCGGTTGTAGAGTACCATTTCTGTTTTTGTTTATTTGTGTTTATGCCTTTATGGTACATACATAAACTGTTGTGATGGGAAGCATACATTAAAATAAATGGGTACTAGAAAAAAACGTGACAATCATTGATAGTGCCCTGGCGCAACTTTGTAAGGCTGCATCAGCGGCGTAAAACTGCAACGCTTTGAGTCTATAAAGAAAAAGAAATTTTCTCACTGCTGTAAATGATATAAAGTACTTTAAGATGAAATTAAAAAAAAAACGGTGGTGAGTGTCAGTTTCCGTCCTTTGCACGCAAAAATTTTGTAAAATGAATTTCCGGTTTGATCGTCGACCCCCCATGATGACAGTTATCTATAAAGCATAGCAACCCGCAGTGCTGTTTGCACTGTGTCGGCAATCGGCATCTGCGAAAATTTCGTTTTGAGCGTGAAAGTTTGCGGATCATTTTGTGTTCTTGCGAAATTTTATTCCGGCGACACACATTTGTGATTGCTGTCATTATTTTTTGGGCATAGACAGTTTTTCGGAAGGAAACAGCGTGACGTAAAAGTCTACCCTCCGGACGGGTCTTCGGTGGTGGTTCGCTGCATATATCCGGGCTCCTCCAAACGATGGTACTTCAAAGCTGTTTCGCGGTCTTTGAAAAGAGGACGCCTGTATCCATGATTTCTGTGATTTCTGCAGGCTACTACAGGCTATGTTTTATTCGAGCATGCGACGGGCTACTCGCTGTTCCAAGTGTCAGAGTTCGAGGAGATCGGCGAGAACCTGAGCCAGGTGGAGCAGTCTGTCAGCAATCTCAACAAATTCGACGGCATGGTGAAGCTGTTGGCCTTCATGAGCTTCACGGATAACCTTCGCGCTCTGGAGAATGCCAACGCCATATCGGAAGGTGCGTTTTAATGTTAGATTCATTGGAGCATGTCGTAACCAAGTACGAGCCGTAACGGCGTAACCAGCTGGAAACATTTCTGCAATTCAGATACCAGTCATTGGGTTAATTTACGGTTCAATTTTATACCGTAAATGGTTTTAGTTTATAATTTTGCAAGCCCTGTCTAATGTACTTGTAGGTATCCTTCATGAGGATTTGCAGAAATTTCTCGAAGACAATTTGCCCAAGTCTACCAAGAAGAGCAAGATCATTTTGGGTGTCGGTGAAGCGAAGATTGCTGCGGCCATTGCTGAGAGCCGCGGCATTTCTTGCCAGACCACTGGCATTGTCCCCGAAGTCATTCGAGGTACACTACATTCAGTTTTCCAAAAATGTTTATGGGATCAGAAATTCAGAATAGATCAAGTTGCGCCGTAGATTGTGGTAAAATTGCTTCCCATGAAGAAATTGGTATATTTTTTTAATTTCTGAATTTTTCAGTACTTTAACTTACATATGTACCTATGTCTTCAATTTTCCTTTGCCGGATCACATGAATCGTGATATATGGGATGCAACTTGGCGATTGCTTTATTTTATGACATTTTATTTTTATGGGTAGTTGATCTATTCATTAGTTTCGGTTGTTTTCCTTTTGGTTGTTATTTATTTGATATCTGATTTAACAGGTTAGTGTGAATATTTTCATCGTTTTGTTATTATAAATTATTTTTACCGTTTCTTTCTGCCAAAAAAAAATTTATCAATGATGCGGTAAACATTTTTTGTTAACGTTTGGAATAGTGTTTTACTTTGCGGATAGTGATATTTGTGTAGAACTTCCTTTACCTGTATGTTAGGCATTAGACTGCATTTCGCCAAATTGGCGAAGCTGGATGGTCTGACGCCCGAGACGGCAAATAAGGCCCAACTGGGCTTGGGTCACTCGTATTCGCGATCCAAAGTGAAATTCAACGTTAACCGCGTGGACAACATGATCATCCAGAGTATCGCTATTCTGGATCAGCTGGACAAAGACGTCAACACGTTCACGATGCGTATTCGTGAGTGGTACGGCTATCATTTTCCCGAGTTGATCCGCATCGTCCCCGATAATTACCTCTACACCCAGCTGGTCAGTATTATCGGAGAACGACAGACTCTCGAGAAAGATGGCGAGACGAAGATACAGGTCATGAGGGACCTGCTGGAGGATGAGGATAAATTGCAACATGTTTTGGAAGCAGCCAGAACATCGATCGGTACGTCTAAATTCTGAAACTACTTGTGAATGTTTAATTCTACTGCTGCACACATGACTTCGTTTGAATGTATTGTTACCACCATTTTCGTGTTGTTCCCTTCGTTATTTCCTTGAGGATAGTTTTTTAAGATGCCTTGATAACGTTATGGTTTTATAGGCGCAGAAATACCCGAAGTTGATCTGCAAAATGTGCAGACGTTCTGCAGCAAAGTGAACAAGCTAGCGGCCTTCCGTTTAAAGCTGCACGGTTATCTCCGCGATAAAATGGCCCAGTGCTCACCCAGTTTGGCGGCTTTAATTGGGGAACAAGTACGTCAAAATTTATTGTTTGCTGTTTTGTTTTTAGTTGAAGAATTAAGGTTTTTGGATTGTTGGATCATTTGGTTTGGTAATATGTAGTAAGTTTCGGTGTTGCAGGTCGGGGCACGTTTGATTTCGCATGCTGGCAGTTTGACCAACTTGGCCAAGTTCCCCGCATCTACGGTGCAGATTCTTGGCGCGGAGAAAGCATTATTCCGCGCATTGAAGACGAGGGGTAATACGCCTAAATACGGATTGATTTACCATTCCTCATTTATTGGCAAGGCCAAAGCCAAGGATAAAGGGCGCATTTCTCGGTATTTGGCTAATAAATGTTCCATCGCTGCACGCCTGGATTGTTTCAGTGGTAAGTGCTGCTTGCTGAATTGCTGAATTTTATGTTTATATATTTCTGGATAACATGCATAATACTGATCTCAGAAATGCCCAGTGCTGTCGTTGGAGAACATTTGCGGAAACAAGTTGAAGATCGTTTGAAGTATATCGAAGGTGGTGAAAATCCTCCTAAAAACGTTGATGTCATGAAGGAAGCCGTTAAAGAGGTGCGTTGCACGATTTTAAATTATCGGAAGGTCGAAAGGGTTTACTTTCGCTAAAAATGATATTGATCAGAAAAGTATGAGAAAGTTCATCGATACTTTAGATGTATGTATTAGGACATTATGGCATTAGATGTAAGTAAGTGTTTTCGGTGTGTGGAATTTCGGTTTTAAATAATCGGATTGAATATAACGTAATTAAAGGTTTTGTTTAATATTCATAGTTAGCATCTGCACATATTTAGCATTTACGTATGTTGGTGTGGACTGTGGACTGTTGCTTCTGATTAGAATGTGCTCCGCTGCTCGTGATACAAATTACAGATTGGAACAAAATTTAATTTTCATTGCAGGCGGAAGCGGCCAAGCAAGCATATCTGAAGTCCACAGAAAAGAAGAAAAAGAAGAAGCGCGTAAAGACAGAAGAAGCTGAGGAGACGGCTGAGGAAGCTGTTGAAGCTCTTGAGGGAAAGAAGAAGAAGAAAAAGCGGCCTACTGAGGACGTGGAGATGGAACACGAAGTTGAGCAACAGGTGCCTGCTGAAGAAGAACAAGAGACTGAGGAACAGCCGGCCAAGAAGAAGAAGAAAAAGAAGTCAAAGCAAGTAGCAGAGGAGTAAACACAGTTAATCTTGTATTCTTATTAGTTGGGTTTTGTTTTCTTTTTAGTTGGGCTTTGTTGTTGTAAACTTGTAATCATACGTATCCTACGGTATTTTATTAAAAGTCGATGTTATGGTTTTCGTACCTGTTTGTCTGTGTTTGTGTAATGAAGAAAGAAGTTGACGCTCTCGATTTGCGGAGGATCGTTGTAATAAAATGTAGAAGGTATTCAGAATGCGGATCATCATATCAAATAAGTCACACTAATACGCTCTTTTATTATACATCCCAGGTGCACCTCACAAGTCAGCTGCTTGAAATCTGAAAGTCGACATTATCATCACTGGTTATTAATTAGTGGTTATAGAATCTGTATTACTGTTACTCGATGCAAAGTGCAAACTGCAACGATTTGCGTAAGTAACTTCAACCGATTCCTCTACAGTCGCTTTTGTTTTCAATTTTTTTTTTGAATCTCGAAAATTGGATTGCTTTAGTTTATCATGTAACTTGTAAGTACTACGTTGCACAATGTGCACTTGCTGCCATGGTCAGTCAATGGTCATTTACCGGAGGCTACCGCACGGGAAGCGATATTACGTGTACATCAATACCAACCGCATCCGATTGTTTGGCTCTGGTCCGCCAGTTTTTCAAATCAAGCGTACGAGTACCAGAAAAAGTGGTCGGACTCTGTTGTTTTCCATAATTTTCTTACTCCAAGTGGACCAGGCCTATTATTAAATACAAAGTGACGAAGAATCAGCTGAAATTCGTTTTTCATATTTTTTTAATATTTACGTCGTGATTCGTGAGGTACTTTTGACTGACTACGTTATTTGCAGACTGCAGTTACAACTTGTGATTGTTCCAAGTCTCTGCACACTTGCACATCGTTGGGTTTTCGTTCCTTCCCAAGGTTTTGATACTGAAATATCATGGGCATTAAGGATTTGTCGAAATTGGTGGCGGAGCATGCACCTGGAGCTATCCGGGAAAGTGAAATGAAGAATTATTTCGGCCGTAAAGTGGCGATTGATGCCTCCATGGCACTGTATCAGGTACTTAGTGGATCCCCAACTACAGCATCTTTAATTCTTTATGCAGTTTTTGCAGCAGATCTCTCTTCGTTATCTTTCGTTTGCATTATATGAATGTTGTTTCTAATTTCTAAATGCCGATTTCTTGAAAATCGTTCCATGGATTACAGTAGATTTATCAGCAATGATTAAAATTTTCCTGAGACTTTTGTCGTAAAGAACACTTTCAGTTCTGTTTACACTGTTACTGTACTGTTTAGTATTGCTTTTCTCGTGAAATTCGCAGTTTATGATTGCTGTGAGGCAAGAGGGGGATTTATTAACGAACGATGCTGGAGAAGTGACGTCGCATCTTCTCGGACTGTTTCATCGTACCATCCGCATCATAGACAACGGGATCAAACCCATCTGGGTCTTCGACGGTAAGTCTGAAATTAAATTGTATTTTTAATCCGCACCTTCATTTCCACAATATGTCGCCAGGGACATGACTGTATATTGTACCACGCAGAATATTTTTAAAAATTTTATGTGGATTATATTTTATGTGGAATTAAATTTTATGTGGATGGTAATTAAAAATACGTAAAAAAAACAGCAAAAATGTTAAAATAAATTTTGATGATACATTTTCTTCTTTTTTCGCCTACAGGTAAGCCTCCCGAGCTGAAAGCGGGAGTGGCGCTGACCAAGCGCAAAGAGCGTCGGGATGAGGCCAAGGAAGATCTGGAGGAGGCCAAGGAAGTGGGTACAGCGGAAGAAGTGGACAAATTCACCCGTCGCTTGGTGAAAATCACGCGCGAGCACAACGACGAAGCCAAGAAACTGCTGCGCCTGATGGGCGTGCCCTACATGGAAGCCCCCTCGGAAGCTGAAGCGCAGTGCGCGGCGCTGGTGAAGGAGGGCAAAGTCTTCGCCACTGCCACGGAGGACATGGACGCCCTGACGTTCGGCTCGTCGGTGCTGTTGCGGCACATGACGTTCAGTGAGGCCAAGAAAATGCCCATTCAGGAAATTCACCTGCCCAAAGTTCTCCAGGGCTTCGGTAAGCGTGTTAGCCTTTTCGATTTGAAACTGTGCAGTGTCCGTTATTATTGATGTAAGTTGAATTTAAAAACTTCTCTCGGCGTGCTTCTTGAAATCGTTCCTTTAAAAAAGTATCAAATTATTCCTATCCAGATTTGACGTCATTTAAAAATTGCGCTCAATAGTTTCTTGAAAATTTTGCACATCCCGTTTTTCATTTAGCATCACTTCAAGAAATGTTCTAATTGTGTGTCTTAAAAATTGATTGCTATAAATACCCAGAGCCAGTTATTACAATTTTGAATTTAGAAAGAGCTTAGAAAAAGCATACTATACTGTACTTGGCGGTGTTTGTTAGACTATTTCGAAATATAGATATGTGTTTCGAAACTTGAATACGAGTATATGAAATGTTTACCCATACGTGGGTTACTCCATGTTGAAATTTTATACCGGAATGTTATATTGTTTGGTGGCTTATTAATTTATCGCGGTTGACGCATAGCAAATGATGCACGATCGCATCGTGTCTTATGTTTTCCCGATCGTTGTAGGTATGACGCAGGATGAATTCATTGATCTGTGCATTCTACTGGGTTGTGATTACTGTGAGAGTATTCGCGGTATTGGACCCAAGAAGGCTTTTGAACTGATCAAGAAGCATTCGACTTTGGAGGAAGTACTGAAGAATCTGGATAAGAAACGCTATCCCGTCCCCGAAGACTGGCCGTATCAGCAGGTTCGGCAACTCTTCCAGCAGCCAGATGTCCAATCCGGACGTGATTTGACATTCAAGTGGGAGCAGCCCGATGAGGAGGGCTTGGTGCAGTATCTGGTGCAGGTCGGTCGGTGTTTGTTGTTGGTTGTCAGTTGATGAGCGCTTTATGCAAACACATGCCGCCTCTCTTGGTGGGTGAAGTTGCTGCTGGTTACGTCGGTGATTTCCGTAAATGAATAAATTTATGTGTTGTTTATAGGAAAAGGGTTTCGCTGAAGATCGCGTACGCAAAAACTGCCAGAAGCTGAAGAAAAATAAAACCGGGCCTGTGCAGGTTAGTTAATGGACAATTTCCGAGCGTGCGCTCGTTTGTTCGTTCCTTTTTTGGGCTGTGCACGCAAAATTTTGATAAGCGATTTTTAAATATGATCGTAATGTGATGTATCTTTGTATCTTTACGGCGTTATTAAACGTTAAGATACAATGACATTATTGGAGAATGCATTGACATGGGTTGAATTAATGACTTTCGGCAGTAAACTGAGGGAAACGTGATCAGTATGACATGATTATGATAATTATGTATATGTTTCTGTCACAAACTGTCGGTTTTGTGTTGCTTTGCACACGTCATTGATGTGTGATTTTAACGTTTTTTCAGGGTCGTATGGAGGACTTTTTCAAAGTAATCCCATCGGAGCCGACATCCAGTGCCAAGGCTGATAAAAAAGCGGAAACGGCTAAACAGTTGGCAAACAGTAAACGAAAAGCGCCAGCTGGGGGATCGGCCAGCAAGAAGACCAAAGGCAAATAGGGATCATCCTGTTGATAGTTACTTTGCGATTTCTCTGTTGCGATGCGCGCTTTCTGTATGGTACGATAACTTTTTGTATCAATTCTTTTGCAATTTGAACAACATTCATGTACAGTATACTTTGATTTCTTTGGAACTGGTTTGCATCTTTTCGTTTCTAATCGTAAGTTTCTGTTATGCATAAACCTTCAGTTGTTGGATATTTACTGTTCGATTGGCATGCATGGATATCGGTGTAGTATTGTGGATACTACTTTATAGCAACGCTAATAAGTCAGCAACGCTAATATTACGCGTGATGATCGACTTCCATGCTGCTGCCCACAAAAATCATAAGCAAACGCTTAAATATTAATCAATACATTGTGTTGTACATGGTTTATGGACAACATATTATATTATACGTATTACTAAACAATAATTATGTTGTGTTCAAGATTATTACTTTTTGCTTGAAACTGACTGTTCTTTTGCGTTTGAAGGAGAGAGAGAGTGATGTGCTGTGCCAGACTAGCACACTGCACCTAAACTAAAGCGCAAAAGCAAAAAAAAAACCGCTTCTTGATGTGATGTGTCAAATTTCAATTAGTCGTAAAATGCGTTTCGTGTAATGCGGATGATGGCAAATGTGTTCTGTAAATCGTTAGCGTAACGTAAGCCGGAAACAGCATCTATGCTCTTGTTTTCCGTGCTTGATATCTACGAGTATTATTTGCTATTAATTTATGTGGACATTTTCATGCGCTGTTCATCCAAGTCGATATTCATTTCAGCTTTCCGAAACTCCATGGCTCCTAATCAAACCATGTATTCATTGTATTGCGTATGCAGATCTGTGCACAAGTGATAAAAATTGCATATGTGTTCCTCTTTAAACGTAAACAATCGCCTTATTGTTAGAACAAGACACAGGAAGCCCTAAGGTTATAAAAATTAAAACCAAAGCTACTAATATTGCAAAACCGAGGCAATCAAAACACACTAATTTCTTTCGAATTTCGAATATACGCAACGTATAGGTACTGATAACATAAAAACGGATGCAACTGGCAAATTAAAATAAGTAATTTTTTCTAAGCATGCCAGCAATAATCGCCTCTTGGTGTGTACGGCGATAAGGAGCAACCGGCTTTGGAATGGCAAATGAGTTGTAAATTGATTTCCATTCTCACAGCTCGCGTTTACATGAGCAGATCTGCGTGGGAGCCGGTTCGGATAGCTCCGGGTTGCGCGGTTTTAGTAGGCGTCCCGCATAGCTGGAATGATGCATGCTGTTAGCCGGCACCGGAAACAACACATCGTGTGACCGTTTCGCACCAGATTCCTCACCTTCCAGCGATGCCTGCACAGCCGCCGATAAAGGTCGTACACGCCGGTTGTGACCTCGTTGTCGAGCCTACAGTGGAAGTGTAAATTAATGATATAGTTTACACCTTTACTGCCATATTTTTTCGCTTCGATAGGTACGAGCTCGTACATTGTTTCGATTAGCGCAAGCAAAACGTTTTTATTTAAGTAACCAAAGTAAATATTTACTTAGTAACAGTATTAATACTGTTAAGCTAATTAAGTTAAGTTAACCATTAATTTTGATTAACCTAATTGTAAAATAAAATCGAAAGCTATAAAACCATTGCAACGAGCACTACTTAGCCGTTGTCAATTTACAGGCATCCACGTTTCACAGGCTTATTTACGCCGGCAGCACTCCGTAGCGCATTTTAAGCCCTAAAGTAACGATATGCAGTATAAAGAACCATGATCCTTGTTTTAATATTTAATGGACCATGCTATTAATGTTTTCACTCGTGGGGTAAACCATTGCGCATGCATATTAATGGATCCAAGAGTCAATAATCCTTTTACGTTGCAATTAACAAATTGTATCGGTATAATGGCCATCTCTTATAATTGACGAAAAGGGGCAGTTTTGATCAAAATGTTCAAAATTAAAACTGCATGCAGTACGCTAATGCTAAAATACTCGTATAGTGTTTAATTATTTAAATTTAGACATAATATTGTTTGATTATTTAAACAACATAAGAATCAGCAAAGTTTTGTAAATGCAAAGCGCATCGTTTGTAATTGAAGGATTTTAACTTGCTTATTTCGATTGGTCCTCGCATGGGCTTACTGAGAATTGCCCGTACGTGCAAACTGCTTCTGGTAAATCAGTGTTATTTAACATGATCGTTAGGTTTCTGACTAAAACAGTACGTAGATAAAGCGAAGTTTTTTGGAAGCAAGACGAGTGACTTTTAAATAATTCACGTTCACCTTCTACAGAGTAGGTGACCTTTGAATATTGCGCCGCACTACCAGATATGTATCTCGAATACGTGGCTGCAGTCAACCTTAATTTCTGTTTTATTAACATGGCGAGAATGTTATATATTTTAGCTTACACGAAAATCTTTTTACCGTACTAGAGCATTATAATGTGACGTATGTTAAAATCTGATGAAATGCTTACTGGTGGCGGAATGCGGGACAACGGTATATCGGAATCTTCATTGAGGGCGATGATGGGAATGTTCACCGGGCCAGGTGACTGTGGGGTGGCTGCCGACACGATCGGCTTGGCGGGAACAGCAGGAGGAATGTCACCGGGAGTATTTTGCAGCTCACATGTAGTGACCGGGCCTAATGCCGGCAGTATACTGCTCCGAAGAGCGTAACCCTCGCAACATGGTCGTGGACACAGAACCACTCCTCGAACACTCTTCCATCCAGACATGCAGCACATAAACTAACCAAAACAAATAATTCTGTAATATTTCACAACAACCAAAAACTCAACTGATGCAAAATGCATAACTGTGCTTCGAATTTCTTTATTAGTAATGATTATTATTACCGGTAATGTAAATCCTACAAAATAACTGTATGCGGTAAGTGTTTTTCGGCGTAGACGCTACTTTGTATTGTACATTGGTTCACCTAAATCGTTGTTTTTTCTAGGTAATATATATTACTGTATTACATATTTACATTTATTATCAAAGTACAGATAATGGCTAATTTAAAATTAGACACAGATCACGACTTTACCGAGTCGTCAGCAGAAAGATAATTCGACTGAACAATAAAGGCAATCCAAAGGGGAATGATTCTCCATACCCTCTTCACCGACATTGTGAAATATATATACGCAAGGAATACACAATGATTATTCCCGACAATGCTTGTGTCTTGTGACACCTTTGGTATATTGGTGCTATATATATCGCAGTGAAACAGATGATGCTGCAGAAGCAAATAAATAAACCAGAAACCGAACCTTACTGTAGATTAATTGTAATCTGCAGTTTCCATTCACAATTAAGCGCGCACCGGAAAAACGCAAAGGGCCCGGATCTGATAATTTACTCCTAATATGCCACACGCAACCATGTATCAAACAGCTCAAACTAGTAAAGGTTACGGATTATAATTCCGGTTTTTGCCCCAAAGCGAGTAAATACCAATGAACCGTTTACAACTCTTTCATACGTAAACCATTTCAGTAAATAGCCAAAAGCGCAAATCATTTGTTAAATTACAGTAAGAAAGGTCACTGTACTACTACAACGATGTATGTACAAATATACTGAGGGCAACGAGATACTGGATGCAATTGGTGGCATAAATAGAACTATATAGGCATGTTTCCCTACTCGTACGCGTCAAGTACAAGAGGAACAGCCTTCAAACATAGTACTATGGCATCAGTATGAAATCATTCACAAATTCTACTTTTTTATTCTTCACCGCTCCATTCAACCGCAATGTCGAGGTACTTTTCCGTCGACGCCCAAAACCCATACGTTCTAGAGTAGGTCTTTAGGAAAATGTGCGAGCTGAGTATGCGCGTTTCCGTTACAGGATGTGGGACGAAAACATCATAACAGCGAGTGTACAGAAGGTGGCTGTGACTTTGTATAACGTATGACGTATTAAGCTGAAACTGAAGCCAAATTAGGCAGCATTATCCTTAAACTTGGATCCGGGATCATCCGGCGTTGCCGGCATGTATTCCCGCCACAGTCAATACTGGCACAAAGTGCTGAACAACGTACAACTTATATGTACAGCGTTCGCATAGTCCGTAGACATTTAAGTGTCCTTGTGTGTACTTACGAGATATAAAAATTTCAATACAAGTATTGTATGTACTAATGCTTCAACAGTAGTGCAAGAAAAGAATTTCAATCGTTTTTGTTTAGCGGAAAAGGCAGGTCGACATGTGGTAATGACTGCGGTGCATAACCGCACAGATTGATGAATTCACCATCCTGCATTTGTGTATACAGATTACAGATTTGCAAAATATATATGCTGTCGCAGTAGGGAAGATTGTGCGTGCCTTGCCACTTTTATCCTTTTACAAATCTGTTGATGTTCTGGAGAATGTCGTAAAAGGCGGTAAAACTGTACGACGCGACACCCTTCTGTGCGTAAATAGGCATTTGCGTCAGTTAATGCTGGTATTGGTATTCCATTAATAGCCTCCAAATTTGTGATAGGCCCTGCTGGATCCGGAAACGTATCCCGGTATCCTTAGTTTTAGGTTTGTGAAATATGTGGTGCCCTTATGAGCCACAAATTTTGTTAAGAATTTGTACCTGTAGGTTTTATTGTTGCTCAACTGACCATTATACAGTGCATAGACATGTTTAGCAATTTTATATTACTGTGTTCTGGTTGCAGTTCATACAATCTAATTTAGTAAGACAGTACCGGACCTACTCGTATCTGCCGCATTAAGTTTTTAGAATCTGAATAGGTGAACGCCGTTTTTTGTTTGATCCGCTGCTGCGAAATAAATTGTCAAAGCAAAAGCACGCTTTTGAATATTTCAGTTTTTTTGCCGAATAACGTCGATAACCCCTATAACGTTACATAATTATCATTGATGGATATCTCGTACCTGTGGATTATACTTTTATAGCCGAATGCATGCATACAGAAACTAGAATAATAGGTCACAAGAGGTAAAATGTTGAAATATTCATATCCAAATATATTTGCGACATAGGCAAAGCGCAAAGGGGCAAATTATCTCGACAACAGAGAGTAATTTGTGAATAACTAAACGTTTTCGTAAACTGTCGGTAAGCATGACACTGCCCCAATTTAGCTATTCGGGCAAGTATTGCAAGTCTGTAATCAAATCCACAGTTTCTAATTTCCCAAGTGCATTATTACAGCACCAACGTATACCACATTGTACCGGGCAGAACGATTAAACTGTACATTGCTGAAGTGCAGTTTAATCGCTTCCTCATAACCACACAACAAAATATCATCATTTCAGGCATTCGTAAATGGTTTTACATTAGAAAGTAATGTATACATGACACCGCAGGATATTACAGAGCAGAACAATCTTTCCCACTGGAAAACGTTCTTACGCCACGATCGTACAGCGACGCTGCAGAAAACTGCTTAGTCAGACATTTTACTATGGTAGACATCTTTCAGCTTCATCTCATTGACATCCAATCCCTGCTGCCAGACTTCTTCATCGGGATATTCATCCTTTGCTTTGGAAAGAATAGCAATCTGCTTTTTCTGCAGCTGCTGTCGCGCCTTCCTGTTTTTCGCCCATAATTTTAACAAGAAGTCACGTTTGGCGCCTGTCGTCACTTGTTCGTAGCGCCGTTTAAAATGTCTGCAAATCCCAAGTAAAAGTTAAACATTGCTACAGTTAAATTTCACAATGCAGTCAACTTTGTAGAACCAGAATTTGTAAAAAATGTGACGTGAATTCACTGAGGTTAGAAAAAATCATACTCATGAAACAACTTACAATGCATTTTCAAAAAATATCGTCAAACTGACGAAGCCACTGCTACATGAGTATAAAATTTTTCGAAAAGGCCTTCACCGCATGTTTCTCACAATCACAACTATACCAGCACACAAATGTATTGTGTTACTTTGTGTATAACGGTATTGTGACAATACTAACATACTTTTATGACAGAGTACACTTACAGTATCAAATTGGCTACCCACGGTACAGCAAATTATTTCACGCAAAAATATCCCTAGAAACTATAAAAATAACTGCTCACTTTGCATTCCGCCAGTACGGCATCAGATGCTCCGAATAGGTGTATTCGTATCGCCGACCGAGACCGCTGTACACAGTCCGCTTCGGTGCTTCACCGGTAACACCGACTTCCAGCAGTTTCACGGCGCGATTCCTCTCGTCCACCACTGCCTGCAGATTGCTCATACTCTCCTCCACCTGCAAAAAATATCATTATCAAAATCTGTGCACATCAACAACCGCTGGTTATTCAAATATAATAAAAAAAATCCAGTCGGTCACAGAAACCAGTGTGCGCCGAATTGCACACTGCTTACTTTGTCGATACGCTCGGGATTGGGAAAGAGCTCCACTAACCGCTCGTACTCTGCCTGCATCGTGTACAGCATGTTCCGCTCTTTGTACAAGACTAGCCTGTTCAAAATAATAATGATAGCATGATAAGTATCCGTTGCAAATTAGGATAAAAGTATTTTCTGACAATTATTTCCTATCAAGTTGAAATGACACAATTCTGCAGCATATGCACACAAACTAACGCATGCATTTCAAATGATATAATGTGCATTATTTCAATAATTACTCGTTAACGTCCAATGCGCGACTGATCCATTTGCATCAAACAAAATTTACTGCACTTCGAACCAAAGTTTTAAAAAAACTCACCATAATTTATGCAGATCAGTGTTGCTTTTCAACCGCAAATCATCTTTGGTCCACGAGCGGCCTGTTCAAAAATTTATAACAAACATCTGATAATCAATTCCGAAGCCGTGGATAGTACTTTCACCGTGCACCACAAGCTGCATTAAATATTTTACAACATAGGACAAATCGTGGGGCCCTGAATTTTCCCAACTTTCACAAGACTGGAGCCATTTTCATACCCGAACGGACGTCCCTTGCTCCCCAGTTTTTCTGTTCATCAAAAAACTCCATCAAATCCCATCTTTTCGGTGTAGTGTGAAAACTGCAACAGATAAACAAGCAGATTATGGAAGGAGCAGAGTCAGCAGAGATAAAGCAAATCCAGATAAGCTCTCACTGTCGAAGTGGTGCTCGCGGACTTAGCAGCGGTCCTTTTCCGCTTGAGGAGATCGGGAAACTTGAATCTTTTTGCGATAAAACTGCACAGTTTTCCACCGAGCGAAACAAATTGTTCAGCAAACAACTAATGGCTGAGTGAGGCTTCGTAGAGATAAAAAGTCTCGAACTCAGAAGAGTCATGGTTGCAACATGTATGTTGCGACGAGAAATTACGAGCGGTGAAATGAATCTTTTATGAATCCCTTCAGAGCTCTGTGCTTGCAGAAAAAAATGGACGATACGATTATAAATAGATTATTATTCTCGATAACAATTTATTACGTTAAAACTTCATCGCTTGAACAAATTCGAAAGGAAAATTATCAAAAATACATTTAAATACCATCAGAAACTTTGAAACTGCAAAACTCAGCAAAAGTTCAAGCCCATCGAAAAGAGCAGGAGAAAACTCAGAAAACTGAAAAACGCAAGCAGCTTCTTAGGAAATTCAGCCGCAACAGCTGCCCTCCTGAGCAGGCGGTTTCGATCCTGAGCTGTATAGCGTATACGAATCAAAGTCGTTGTACCACCCCTGTGGGTGGGCGCCACTGAGTCCGTTACCTAACGATGGATAAACCAGCAGCAAATTACTTATGAATCCACGATTTCCTGGATTGTCTTTTTGAATTATTCATCTTTATTGTGCAATGATTTCTATCGGTTGATCTTGTCTGTTGGGTTGGTTTCCAGCGGTTCTACCGTTTATCCCCGAATTTCTGATTAATTTTGAGTACATAATTAGAGTTACTTATTCCGCACTTCAGTTCGCACCGCCAGATACCGAGTGGAACAGGAAGGTACGGTGATGATCATGAGACAGAGGGAGCGCATCTTCCACTCATAATCCATCACACGCTGATTAGACCTCACCGTCCCGGTAATACGCCATATTATTCTTCAGGATTTTTGCCGTCGATCGAGGCATACTCCGTCCGTTTTTCTATGTGATCCTGTGCATAACCGCGTTCCGGATTAACTCGCGTTATCCCACGTCTGTGAAAGGCGTGTATCAGAGAAATTGATTTGGACTTGTCATACGAATCCTGGTTGGCAGCGGTTGTCTTTTCTAATTTAGGTGCGGTAGGCGTTTTTCATTTACATCCGATCTGTGCGACTGCGGTTTTTTTTCAAGGCAGCCTGTATTTGCTTCCTTTAGGATTGTAAGGCTGACAATAGTTTCAAACCGCTCATTATCCAATTGCGCGTGGAGTGATGTGACTCATTGTGTTAATTCAGGTAAGCCGAATTCGGTAATTTACGGGTCAAAAACAGGTAAAAATTTCATAAACTAAAGAACTATTAATTTTTATATTTATTTATTATTTATATTTTTATTGTTCTTTAAAATGTTTTTCCTGTTTTTTCATTTTATGTAATGTTTTTATTAATGAGTGAATCGAAACGAAGGTCGATATGGCGGATATGCTAATAAGTTAATAACTAACTCGGAAAAAAAATTTAATTTTGATACACGTTAAAATCGCGTAATATTATGATTTATCGATTGAAACGTCCGATTATGAGGAAACGTGGCGTTCAAGGTCCGGTGGAACGTCGGTTTTGTAAAATCAGTTAAATGAGAATTACTCGGTGTTGTATACACTCACCGCCACGGCCTGACATGGATGCAGTGTGATTGCTCTGATTTCGCTTGTTTGCAGATCGTGATGGACTGTTGAATAGCATTATGATTGCATCGACCTTTTAACTCCCATGGATTGATGCGGTTTTTGTGCTTGACCGAGCGTCTACATTTTGTATTATTATCTGAAAATTGTGTGCGCTGTCTCGGTTCCCGTGTGGTATGCTGGTGAGAAGAATGGGCCGCAGCAGTAGTAAAGCCAGCGATCGACAGGCACGCGATGACACCAATAATTTCCTGAAGAAAGCCGCTCCCAAGATCGTCATTACGGCCAGTTCGGACGACAGTCCCGATCTGCCAGACATTGTCGACCACGCGAAACCGCTGAGTAAGGAGGCCAGTCGGAAAAAGGACGCCAAGGATGTTGTCCAGTCGGCGCCGCCGGAAGGCGACGTTATTGTCAGTGAACGGCAGGCGCATAAAAACTGGCTGCTGGCGTTGTTTCTACTGATGGTGTACATTGGGTTGGTGGTGATGACGGGCCAGTTGACACGCATTGCCTTCTCGAAGAATGTCTTCAAGTATAAAGCGCCGTTCCTCTTTGTCTGGTGTAAAGTGACACTGCGGGTGCTGGCCTTCCCGTCAGTGCTGCTCATTACCATTCTGATTCGCGCCTGTCGTCGCCAGCCGGTCGCTGTGCAGACCATCTGGAGGCACTGCACCAAGACCCTGCGTAATCATCAGGGCAAGATCACCTTGTGGTTGATCTTGCGGAAATACTTCCCCATGTCCATTTCCATGCTGCTGATGCAGATCGGCTGGGTGGTGGGGATGGTGTACGCGCCCACCTCCATCGTGGCGGCGCTGTGCTCCGGTGCGGTGGCATTTTCCTACGTACTGTCCTGGCTGGTGCTCAAAAACAAGATGCTCCTTGTCAAGGTGAGTCGCAGTTGAGGAAGCGCTTCGGGGTGCGCAGACTGCTGACGGGCGGCCTGCTTGATGTTCCCTTATCTTTGTCACGCTATGCCGGGGTTAATTGGCGGCCGCCTGGTCGGCTTGCGCATTTAGCGGACAGGTGCTCCTTTAATTATCGGCTGCTTTTTCCCGGTTGAACCACATATTTTTAACCCCCGATCGATGTGGCGTTTAAACGCCGCTCTGCATGATATTGATTGTGTAGGCTATTGCAGTGTATTGATGCGCATAACTAGAACTACTTACCAGTGAACAACGGGGTGAAAAGGATGTGCAAATGGGATGAATGAGAATTTGCATGCTTAACGACAATTTGGTATGCTTGGCTTCGTAGGGCATTTTCGTGGTGGTCGCCTTTGCCGGCATCGGCCTGATTGCATATGCAACGAGCGCGACTCCCCAATGTGCACCCCCGGCCAATGCCACAGTGCAGTCCAATATGACCGGAAATGCTGATGTAACTCTACCGTCCACTCCAGCGGGAGAGATGTCCGAAGCGGCGACCACGGTCTACAGCGTGGAGCGTTGCGCCGCCACCTCGCAGATGTACTTGGGTGTCCTGTTCGGTATCTGCGCCGCAGTCTTCTATTCCCTGCACCAGTTGGCATTTAAACTCGCCTATCCGGTGGCCGATTTAGTGCAAGTGTCCTTCATTATGTCCTGCATGTCGCTGATGATATCCATCATGTACTTCCCCGTGCCGTTGTCCATGCACCTGACGGGATTTGAGGAGTGGAAATGGCATGAAATGCCGCTGGGCATCAGTGTGGCCGCCTGGTGCGGATCATACGTCAGCTCCATCTCGTATGCCTACGGGCTGGCGCTGTCCACGCCGTTCTTCATGTCGGTATCGGAAGTGCTCATCGTGGCACTCAACACCGGCATCGATACCGTCGTGCACGCGGAGCCGATGGGATTACTGCAGATTCTCGGGACCGGCCTGGTCGTGCTGGCCTTCCTCTTCATGGTGATGCCCGACGGCTGGCTGTCAGTCAAATTGCGCAATGAACCGCGCCAGTCAGTGGATGGTGCGGCGGAGTTACAGGCGCTACGTCCTCTGCCGGAGAAGGATTGAAAAGACTATGTTTTTTAGTTGTTATGACCTGCAAAGAAGATTCAGTTGTTGTTGTTTTGTGTCCTGTTGATTTGTCCCCGCGTGTTGCGATTGGAAGACGGATTCTGATGTGGTTATTGGTCAAAATGGATTCCGGTGGTGGATCAGGGAAAATGGGATGAATAACGGCGTCCTGTTCTCACGTGCGCCTCCACGCGTTCGGTGGGCTGCCTTTGGCTGCAGTGCGCCACTTCCTCTTTCCTTAATGCAGTGAAATATACCGGTATCTTTCCCGGGGTGATGCACCCTTAATTGGCCACGAAATTATCTATCCTCTTTGTAAAATGTTTCTGATCATCTCTTCTCTCGTATTTCTGGACGCTCTTTTCTGTTACTGTTAACTGTTTTTTATGTGTTTCTCTTAATGTATATCAACTAAAATTAACATTTTATTACTAGCTAGTAGCTGGTCATTAGCAAATAAAAGAGTGGTTGAGACGCCTTCCATGCTGCTGCGTACGAGTGTTGTTATTAGTCTGATATGTTGTGCCTTGGGCAACACGCTTACAACGTTGCGGAGCTCTCAAATGGATCAATTTAAAAAGCTGATCTTGTCGTAAATAATCAAACCCGAAGGAGACAACGAGGGATGACAGGAACGGACAAATTTCGATCGATACGGTCTTTCTCAAACGTGGGTGCATCGCGCAGTAATATTGTCGATCGAACAGCGGTAGAACAATTAATATACCGGCAAGTGGTCTGTAATACCATAAATAAACGCGACTATTTCAACTGCTTGTCGTACAGAATTACCCAGAGAGCACTCAGAGGAGTACAACGACATTAAAAACTGTATGTGCTAATAAACACGATAATCTTATCCATTAAATCGTTACAAAACCGATTCATCTAAGCCCTGAATTACTAATGGTGACAAAAGTGGCTTTTCCCTAATATCGTTATCTAAGCAGTAACACTAGGTCTAGAACACTAGCACGACAATTGTGAAATAAACACTGTTTATTTTTATTGAGAATCGAACAAGATCCAGCGCAGTATTACACCAGTAGCACTATCACGAAGAGATACAATTTTTCACAATTTTAAGGGAGCAATTTTTCACCTCACCCAAAAAAAGGGCTATTTATTCGCCCGCTACTGGAGGGTGGGGGAGTAATATCCCTGATGAAGTCGCACGGGAGGTACGCAATCCCACTTGTGGCAGCATAGCGGCGTTCTGACGACTGCAAAACAGTTCAGGTTGGCGACTTACATGATATATATCAGTAGTGCATCTAAATAACCCTGTACTGGTTGCGTTAGCCGACTGGAATATGACGTTGTGGCTATACACGGTGCTTATGTACCGCGCCAGATTTAGGCACAGTAGCACTGCACACTTACATGAAATTAAGCAGGAATGTGCCCAAAACGCCATGGTTTCCCACTTGTGGAGAAATCGTAGAGAAGTAAAAATGGTATGGAACCATCCCTAACATCCAGTGGCACAGTACTGGCTGCAACTGGAATTCCTGCTCGACCGCCGCAACCAGCTGAAGACGAAGTGCTTCGGCTTCGGCGGGCTGGGTGCGGAGGATGCTTGCCTCCTGCTGTTCTGCAATAAAAAAATGTTTTTAATTTGTGGGACAGTCGCCAACGTAAAAATTTAATTATTTAGCCATTATGACCATGCTACAAATGGCAGAAAAACTTACGGAAAATAATAGCAACTTCTTGGTATTCTAGGTTCTGGGCCTGTGCCATTGTCTAGGGCGTCGGTCCCAAGGAAAGCGAATCTGAGCGATACGTATCTACGTGAGCGAAAATCAAGATCGGAAGAATCGAACAAAATGCAATACTTACTTAAAATGGGAGTTAGCATCGACAGATCGAGCGACGTCCGTATTAAGTGTCCTCTATTAACTTTGCTAATAATCCAGGATCAATGAATCACTCTTTACACCAACGAGCTATGCAAAAGCAGCAACTGCAAGCGGAAAGGAAAAACTGACAAAGGGGGTTAAAAAGCGAATACAGCCAAAGGGATACCAAACTGCAGTCCAGTACTCCAGAAAGTTTAGTTACAGTAAATTTCAATTCTCTACCATACTGTGCTATACTTAACCTTTTTAAATAAAACTACAACCACACCAAAAGATTATAGGAAAAAGAAGACAGGAGAATTATGTAGGAGTTCTTCGTTGCAGTCTTGCAGGTTTCCAACTCAAACGATCCCGAAATAAGACGAAGAAACGGCAGAACTGACAAGCAAAAAGCAGGTTTTACCTAGATTAGAACACCCTGTTCGTGTGCACTGTGCACGGTGCACCCATGCGAAAGCTTTTTCACGTAGTCCTCACCTTGTCTGGGTGCAAATATGCCACGCTTGAGCACTCCCACGGGTGCGAAGTTGTGTGCATCGTGCACAATATGCACTTTCTCAACCAATGTGCCCAGATTCGTAGTCTGGAGTTTTTGAAACAGAACATCTCTTTAGCAATTCAACGTGGTAATGCTGCTTCAGTATTAATGGGGACCGTCGAGAATGTTGTTTCGTTTGACCGTTATTAGATCTTGATATTGTTATCACGCTATTGAAATAAAGTACGGGAGAAATGTGCCCAAAAAAACAGGCTTAATATGGTGCAAACTGCAAAGTAAAGACCATATCGGGACGGAAAATCAGCTGTAAATTGAAATATCGAAATTTTTGCTTTTCAGTACCGCTTTTAGTTTTGTTCCTTTTCATCGTATTTCCCACAACTTGAACATCATAGCTTTAAAATCTTTCTTAATCGTGATTTTGAATTCTGATTTGGTTTACTCGACTTCTGGTGTTTGGTTGGACTCGGACAGTCGGACTGTTGTTTCCTCTCTGCCTGCCAGGACAGTTATCACCCACGCTTATCACGCAACTAGGTAGTCGAAATTGTTGGTAGTGGGACCATCTCAAGAAAAATGAGTTCGCGAAAGAAATCTGGTAAGGTTTTATGCTTGTCGGTGTCTGGGTTTCATTTGTGGCATTTGACAAATCATAAGTGCCACTTATCTGGAAATGATGCAGACCAACGTATTGCAGCACGAGCGAAGGCGCTCACGGAAAGCAAACTTTCAACTCTGCAGCAGTTCTTCCCTGACATCGCAGCGGATGTTATTCAGCTGACGCTTGAAGAGTAAGTTTTAAAATAAGATAAACGTCTTGACAGGTGTACCATGGTTCATGATAGATGATATTACTATTTTTAAAAAATTGTTTTATAATTCGTACCAGCCATGCAGCTCTTAGCAGACCGTAACAGGTATAATAACGTAATTGACGATTACAGGTACTGGTAACAGACTGCATACATTTCGTCATTTTTTCCTTTCATTTTGTATTAGCTGCAAAGGCGACATGCAGAAAACGATGATCATCCTGAAGGAAATGGATGAAGAGCTGCGCAGAACTCTGGTGAAAACCCCGGAAGTTTTGTCATCTGAATTGAGCGAAACAGGCACAGACGTGGAGAGAAATCGTCTTTCTGATCCGAACGAAACGATCGTCCTAGGAGATGGATATAATTGTCTGCCTAACATGCCACAGGCACAAGAGATTACATTATTGGTTGATACGACAGTACCCGACGAAATCCGCTCCACATCGAGCGAACGCAGTGCGCAGTCCGTGAAATTCCAGGCACCGTTGTGGCAGTCGGATAGCAGCTCGTGCGGCAAATCGCAGGTAAAATCTTCAGTCTAAAAGAACTATAAACATTTGTAACTTAATAATATTGAGTACTTCTGAAATTATTAGTATTGGCTATTGTTTTGTAGTTTTTGCTGAAGAGAACGGGCTAGATTTAATACTGCTGTAAATGTTTGTTGTTGTTTATAAATTATAAGCTTTTAAAAATTTTGTAATCTCGGTGCTATGCTGATTGATACTCATTTTTGCGTTTATTAACAACCGTGCAAAGGTAATGATTTTCGTGTTATGGAAGTGCTTCGTTTTTTGCTTTAGAGCACGGATATTGATTATTTGGAGTCGACATCATCTTCGGCGCTGGAAGATTCATCTTCCAGTGGAAGTCGTATGATGGACAAGGAGAACCGGTATTCGCCCTTCGCATGGCCGGCCGATGCGAATCCGACCGGCGAGAATGATGGGTTTACGAGCGAAATCAACCAGCTGAACGACACTGTTTTGGGCGACGAGGCTAGCGATAACAATCTTGCCGGAAACGGTGAAAGCGCATTTTACTCAGCGCCCATGAGTCTGCAGCTGGACAAGGATTTGGCTTGTCGATTGATGATGACTTTTGGACTTATGCAGGTGTCTATCGACACGAACGACAGCAGTAAGTTATTTCCACCGATACGTACTGTCTTATTGTTAGCTGGAAGTGGAAAGATAAGATTTGGGTCGCTACTCGAAAGTGATAAGAATGAAATTAATTATTGATATCGGTGCCGCAGTTCAATTCTGAAATTTATATGGGCTTCTAATTTAGACTATTGTTGCATTGAATTGAAATATTAAGTTGTTGTAACGTTTAATTGGGCAGTTTTTGATAATCTGCACTTTGCTGTATCACTTATCAATGGATAATCTGTTTTATCAATAGATAATCTTACAATCAACTTGGGCATGGAAACTGCGTACAGACTGTATCAGGCGTGGAAAAACACCCAAGAAGCTAACGCGATGCAGGCGGAGATCACAGACAATTCGGGTATGGCGAAATTATGGGATACTTAGAGGCTAAGGTTTCACTATTGTGTTTTCGTTTTTAAGATTAACATTTGGCAAAAGCTCTGCAGGTGCGTATCTGATTTCAATCGTAGCCTGTTGCCGTCTGGGCCTTGCTTCATGCAACGTTCTGATTGAATGATTTGCACAATTTTACGGAGCACTAATTAATTTTAGCTGCGCAGTGTCTTCAGTCTGATTTTCAAACGTCCTTATACAATATCATTTTTGTTTCTTTTGATAAACTCGATGTAGTGGCTTTGTTTCTGTAAGTTTTGTTTGCCTGTTTAGATGCAAGTGTGGCTTGGTGCTTTCGAGCACTGTTTTTAATGTTAAAGTTTGAAGATTTGCCGTTTGACTTTCAGACTGATGAAGTTGTCCGTTCTTGTAAAATTTGACTTTCTGTTGACATTGTTGCAAAATCTGTTTTTGCAGGATTTGGAGCACGAGACGTATGCAGACCAAGATTTGAAAAGCAGGAGTATGAAAGAAATCATGGATGAGACGCTGGCGCTGCAGCTAATGGAGAAGGAATCGGTAATGCTATGCCAAAACATTTCCAGAGAAGCCTGTATGTAGACTTATGCGAACAGGAGTACCGGGGACTGGATGTGGCTTCTGCGTTAATGTACCAGTCGGATGATGGACTGCAGTCGAGATATGCCGGTGTTCTGCTCAAATCTTACAAGTTAGTGAATTCCAGTTTCTTATTCGACTGCTTCTTTGACTGAGCTTGTCGGTTGTATTTGATACCTTATCGTCCGACTCCGCCTTTCCACCGCTGAATTCCAAACCAAAGAACGTCTTTGCCAGCAATTTTCCACAGCGCAGTAAAGATTTGGAAGTTTTGCAAGTACTCGTATGTAAAAACTAAGCTGATCATGTCGAGATACGGTTTATGGACGAATGTATGTCTTGTGAAAAACGAAGGAATGTGCAGAAGCAAAACATGAAATGTACATAAATTAAATGTGTTTTTATTGCAGAAATCACTGGATGATCCACCGGATGGATCTCCCACACGATTTCCCCGACCGAGCAGTGCCGGGAAGGTCATTAACGTGAAGCCGATCGGTAGTAACTCAGCGGAAATTGTTACAAATAAAGGTCCCAGAACTGATCCAGTTGATTACTATGGAAAGCGACAAAAAGCGCTGGAACTGCAGCAAAAAGCTCTGGAGTACGGTGCTAGAGCCGGGAATGCTTACAAAGATCAGAAGCTGGGTGGTGGGGCTGCAGCGTACTATCTGCAAAAGGTACCGCAGTTTCTTTGAATTTTGTATATCAAATAGTCGGCGCCGCTTTTCATGTGTCTGATGTGGACCTGGTTTGATTCACTTCGCACGATTTTGTTATATAACATGATGGTGTTTGTGCATGCCACGTCCCGCGATGATCTTCAGTTCTTTGCTTTTATGCTTACGAGCAAAAAAGTCCTCCAGTGCCGTGCCCACTTCATCCATGCGTAATCCGTGCAGATCGATCTCGCCATCGCTAACATTACTGTTCCGGTCCGCTAAAATATCCATTGACGCTTGGAAATGCGCTTTGTGTTCATGCGCTTGTGAAATAGCCGGCATGGTGTGTCGGAAGTGCGACGGGCTGTGGAAATCTGTTTGAAGAAGCATGACTTGACGTAAGTACCTCGTATTATTCTATCCTTCTAAGTTCTGATTACTTACTGTTCGATTAAGATTATAGTATCGTTATGGTGGGCAGGTGCATTTAGATGGTTTCAAATTTTGAAATCTGTTGTACTCATTGTGCTCCAAGGGTGGATGTTAAAAACCCTTCGGCGACGAATTTCAGTACTTTTTATGTATTCATTTCATAAAAATATATTAGTTCGTAAATTAATCTGGAAGATAATCGTGTCATATTGGTAATCGCCTTTCTTTAATTCGAGATATGTCGAAGGACCGCCAATTGGTACGTTCTACGTGGATAAAGTGCAAAAATTACACGCAAGACCACCGTAGCATATTCCGTGGAGCATTGATAGTTTTTCATAACTCAAATAAAAATTTTGGTTAATGTTAAATGTGCTACTTATAGATTACTATCTATCTATTGAATTCTATTCCGCGATCTAAGAGAGCTAGTAGAAGACTATTTTGCTGTACTTCAGTATAAATCTGAATGTCTCATTAGTATTCTACTTTGTGCACACGAGATGCGTTGAGTATTAGTTTCTTACCTCGACAACCGCGTTGTTTTGGTTTGAAGAGAGTTGTTTATTTTTTTGCGAATTGTTAATGACCCTTGTACTTGTACAGAGTACCGTAACCAAAAGTTCGCTGTCAACCTGTACTTTTGTGTTCTTATTAGATTTGGTGTATCTTGGCTGCTGTTTGACACCTCCAGATTAATAAAAATAAATATGCACTACTCGAGTAGGTGAAATGACGGCGATGATTACTTACAGTACCTTATACCATGAAGATACTATCGGGCAGTAGCCGGTTGTAATTGTAAATTTCAATCTCCTTTTAATCCGCATCTGCAGTATTAGAGGGAGAAATTGAGCATGTGTTTTTTAATTTTATTTCTTCAGCTCGTAGCAAATCAGATAGCGCAACATCTTGACAAAGTTATGTTACAGCGTCAGCACTCCGCACCTACCTGCATGATCAAAACAAATTATATTAGTGCTACAAAAAAATAAAATTTGGCTACTTAGGAATGATATTTCCAACAGGAATATACATGTTCTGTGAATTTGTCCGTAAATAAAGATCATCTTGGAAGCTCATCGAAGCGTCTTGGTTGCTTCGAAATTATTAGAGAAAAGTTAGGCGGACAGCCGTATAATCTTCACAAAAATATTTTCTAAGATCTTTGGCAAGAGATTTTTTATATTTCCCAAGGCTTTGTTTTAAATGTGCGAAGGTCTCCGATCATAGGAATAGTCTATGGATTTTCTGTATCCGATGCGTCCTTCATAAGGATTTCCGGCATGGCTGATGCTCAGTCGCGGCGATGAAGTGACGCTTTTTCGATGAATTGACTAGAAAAAAGCAATTATATCATCATTGATTTTCTTTTTTTTTTCAAAATTTAATAGTAAATAAATTTCTGTGGGATAATTTATCACTGCACCAAATAAACCGGTAGGTTTACACAGGCAAGCATCAGTATTACGTTTACCGCAGGCGAATCCTGTACAATTGTAGTAGGTCTGCACACAAAAGTATAAATTATACAACGAGTTGCTACTACTATTTATGTTATGCAGGATATATATTCAAGCAGGTATGCAAGTATCTGCATTTCCACTATAATATCATAATCTTTCTAAATCACCGAGCTTACCCAACGACGTCGCTTATCCTGTTGACCCGGCTTCGTGGCATTCTTGTTCTTAGCCAGTCCCAGCATCGGCTGATTGCCCAGCACTTTCTCCATGACAGCCAACACTGCCGGTGTCAGCTTATCCAGCACCGACAGCGCCAGCAGATGATCCCGCAGCTGCTCCAACGAACTGGGACTGATCAGCACCGACTGCACCAGTTCGGTGCGCAGACACCAGGCAATCGCCAGCTGACTGAGGGAACACCCGATCTGATCGGCGATGGGGCGCAGGTATTTGATTTTATGCAGGTGTAAGGTCACTTCGCTGTTGCGACGTTCCCGCTCGATGATGGAGGTGTCGCGTTCCAGTAAGGCCCAGCGCTGCATGGCCAACGAACTGGATGTAGTGTCGTCCATCTCGTAATCTCCCACAATTAGACCGTTGGCCAATGGGGAATATGTAATACTGCCGCATCCTACAATTATTATTTGCATTTGCTCTAGTATTACCGAACCGTGTTTGTACTTATTTTGCAATAACTTGATTCCTTTGTTAAATTTGTTCCCATCCTCAGTTTGATTACCAATCGTTTATAAGGTCAAATGCAGCGTGACTGTCGATATATCCATGTTATAGAGATAACATGTACGTAAGATGTACAGAGCTACACACATGTGCAACGGTTTTTGCGTGCCGCGATGGCATAGTCAAAGATCAACGAATTACGATCCTAGCTGTGGCAGTGTGGGCACTATCTTCCACTGTTTCTTACCTATTCCGCATAAAAGCTCCGGGATCACCAATTCCACCGGCTCCCGGCGAAACACATTGTATTTACACTGGTCAGCCAGCGGCGGTGTGAGATTAGGCTTCCATGATTTCCGCTTGGCTCCAGTTGGCTGTCGCCCAGTAGAAGGCCCATCCTTTTTCGATCACCCACGAAAAAGCGCGCACAATTTCTGAAAAGATAGCGGCGGTGTCGGTCAGTAAAATCCAAGAAGCGTACAACTGAAATATTAACCATGATTTATCACTGAAACATTGGGGCAAAATAATTTAAATATAGATATAATATATCCGAGCATGTATAGTGTATTGTCAGCGGCAAGCTTGTCCAACTGTGCAATTGCCGTGAGCGACTAAATGCCGTCAATTGTAAAAGATTTACGTATTGTACCGCTTAAACAGAAGTGTCATTATAACAGTAGCTTCACTAAGCCAGTTAGCGTATTTAAATAAATTTTATATTGGAGTACAACTAATACCTTCCATGGGAGTGCAGTTATCGCGACAGCAAGCGAATACGACATCTACATAGGCCAACCCAAGCCGTTCCAGGCTAGCTTGCAAGGATTCCACCACGTGTTTCCGGGAAAGTCATTTCTCGGTTTCGGCCGTTCCCGTGCGGCAGATTTTTGTCGTTATGACGTAATGAGCGTCTGCAAAAAAATGCTAATTGAATTCTTCAGCTAAATACATATATACAAGTACAGCAAAAATTAGGCTGAACCATACTTAACCATCAGTATGTAAAATTATAGATATCTGGACGATGTCGAGTAAGCACGTGTTTGCGTATAATGATTTTCTGAGATACGTAATTCGCTTATTATGCACAATAATATTAATATTACCGTACAATACTACAGAATATTATATTATGCACAGTATCACTAGTAAATCATGGAAATTTTATTTGTATTACTAAAAGCAATTAATACCTCCATTTCTTCTTTTTGAGGACTTTTCCCAAAAGTGTTTCCGTTCTTCAACAGAAAACGTCCAGTGCATTCAGTTTATCATTCCGAGTCGTCTGCGTATACTATAATGATGACAACACTGTGCGCGATACTGAACATACAAATTAGAATTACAATTGAAATCGGTCTCTTAACTCTCAAGGGAATGCGTACAATGTAGCTACAGTTATTTGATACAATCATACAGATACTACTTATATTTCTTATATAATCGGTTTATTTTTGTATTCTTATAAGCAACTACCGCATAATCCGAAGATGACGCATTCGTGCAGAAAACGAATAATTGAGTTAATCCGTAAATAACCACTGAATGCATTTACATGTGCCCTTCAGCAACCACGTATCATGTCCACTGGACTCGAATTACCTGCCAACCGGAAGTGCAGTCGTCACACCCGGCGTTCCATTGGTCTGACTGTCGGCATCGTCAAAATAGTTGACCCCGAACTCATAGGCCAGACTGACGCGATCTGCTCCACAATCTCCTCCGCAGCGGCTGTACAGTGCTTGGATGCCGGTGCGGGTGGTGTTGGCGCGGCTACGGTTATTGTTGTTGTTGTCAGCGGAGTAGCGCTTGATGGAACTCTGGCTGATGGCGTTGACTAATGATACGCTGGTACTGGTGTTGGAAGGGGATTGCGGCTGCGACAGCTGCAGCTGCAGTCCGATCATATTGACCCCGCCGGCAGCGTTGCCGGGCATCGTGATGGTGGAGGATGATGAGCGCGGTACGACCGGCGCCAGGGTTCCGGTCTGTAAGAACTGCATCTGCGCGTACTGCAGCGCCAATCCCAATCCCGGCCCCATGCCCAGGCTGATACGGGAAATCCGTAAACCGGAATTTCCCAGACTCCTGTACAGCGGCTGTAGTCAGCGCGGATGGCAGCTTAAGGGCTTGTTGAGTTGGAGATTGTCATTTAATTACGCTCGAAATAAATCATTAAACTTATTGTTAGTGCCTTGTACGTCAAGGCGTCTTAATTATATAATTCGCAGATACGTATGTATTGCCTTGTAAGCGGACAGTGTCGTCAGAAAATATTTTTTGTAGTAGTATTAAAATTTAATACTGCTCCAGAGTTGCGTCAACATTACGTTTATTTTCTATGTATCCTATGGATGCTTTTCTAAATTAAAGGCGCGGCAGAATTAATGACCTTATCAGTGTGTGTTAGTGGTATATTCTGTATATAGTAAGTTATACACGGTAACGCTAAGGAAATTTATTGTAACGCTAACCCGGAAATTTATTGTTGCGGCGCCGCAGAAGAGTGGCAACAAATGACCAAAGCGGATCTTCCGGCCTTCGAAACCAGAAAACACCAGAAGATTTGGGATGAACCGATCATCCACGGCACGGTGGAAACCCTCCTGGCGGCAGCTCAGTCAGACATGTCAAGTGAAGCCCCTCTTCGAGGTGTGAGCACTAAGGATAATGGCGCATGGCTGGAAGCACTTCCAGCCGCATCCCTCGGTAACTTCCTAAACGACACCACACTTAGAATTGCTGTCGGCCTGCGTCTCGGCGTACCAGTCACCATTCCACACCGTTGCAATTGTGGTGAATGGGCCGATGCGCGAGGATACCATGGCCTGAGTTGTAAAAAAAGCCGGGGCCGGAAGCCCAGGCACAGCTGCATCACTGTCACTTTAAAGCGCGCCTTTGCTTCCGCCGGTATTGAAACGGAACTGGAACCACCGGGTACTTGCCTAACCAATGGCAAGCGCCCCGACGGAGTGACTTTGGTCCCATGGGAAAGAGGAAAGATGTTGACCTGGGACGCCACATGTGTGTGCACGGTAGCTTTGTCGCACATCGCGGCAACATCGAAGCAAGCGGGAGCAGCTGCGGCGCGCGCAGAGCAGGATAAAGTGGCGAAGTATCGGGAACTCACTCGAGATTACCTGTTCCGCGCATTTGGCGTCGAAACACTTGGACCACTCGGACCGGATGCTTCTCGTTTGGTGACCGAAGTCGGGAAGATGATACAACAGGAAACAGGCGAGGTACGGGCGACGGAGTTTTTGCGCCAACGGATCAGCATTGACGTCCAACGCGGGAACGCGGCCTCTGTCATGGGAACAGCACCAGCATCGGCCAATTTAGACGAAATGTTCTGTGTAATTAGGCCGCCCATTTCCGTAGTCGGCTGAGGCTGTGTATTCAGTACAATTCTTTCACTTTTATGGAAACCTGTGACTGTATTGTGCCATAATAATAGTACTGGAGACCAAGGACTATCATGCAAAAATAGAGTACTTACACTATTTGTTCAAATTTTTAGCAAAATTGTTGCGGACAACATGTGCTACTTCGAATATACGCTAAGGAGATGTACAAATAAATACATATGACTGCAAATAACGACAGAAACCCCTTTGCAGACATAACTAAAAGAGGTATTACCAGTATGGCTATATAGGAAGAAAAGTGCGAAGAAAAGTAAGTAATTAAATATATATATAAGTAATGGCACATAAAGTTAGAAAGATTCGGGCAGCATCAACGCTAGCAGCGCTAGCTGCACAAAGTCATAGGTACGCATACATCATCACATTTCATAATAATTAGAGACATACAATGTTTCAAGTTTTGTATGGCGATAAAAAACAGACTGGCTTTTCGGATTGCGACTATGGAACACACTAGTCAGGTCATGGTCATTTAATCAATATAATTCCTGTCTGCTGGGTGGATTTTGCCAAGCTGCACGGCTGTTTCTGGGATCCAGCGTAAAGCTCTACATGTGAAAGTTTCAAGTGAACAGTGGGATAAAACTTACGCTAACCAAGTGGAAGCGGAAGTTAGATCCTTTTAATAGAAATAAAATCGATAGACTTTTTAAGTGTGCTGTGTGCGTAAGAAAATGTTTACGGAATCCAACATCCTTTTGTAGGCGGCCTATATGTGTCGGCAGCGCGATCAGTAGTTATAAAAGTTTCCCTTTACAGTCGCCGAGCGCCGTCATTTACATAAGCTTATAAATTGCTTGGGTAATTTTTCACTAATAACGACAATTAAAAACAAAGGCATCAGAGCAGATTTAGACGTTACACTTATATAACTGGATTAAAACTGCACTTTCAAAGTAGGTCAAATTTTGTATTCACTGGCGGAAGTCCCAAAAGACAGCTACGGATGCATGACACAAAGATCCAAAGCGCGATACGTGCATGCAAATTGATGTAATACATACTCGTGCACCACTTCGAAAATCGGTTTATTTGCATACGAGCACTAGCAGTATGTAGAGTATCGAACAATGTCATATGTATGGTTACACGGCAAATAAAGACACGTTTACAGTACTTAATACTGTAAGTCATGAATTCATGTAAATAAGCTGATATTCAAATCCGTTGCATCAAACTTAGATACTTAGTTAGTTAGGCATAAAGAATTAAACGATGAATTAAAAGGTTATAATCAGCGCTCTCGTAACGTTACTAGTACTGTGATTAAAATAATTTGACACAGTTAACAATGATTGGTCGAGTGGATTTGGACTGGTGCGTTAAAAAATCTTCAAGTAAATCTGCATCTTGTTATGATACTAATAATTTTGCGGTTACTTCGCAAACTGGATAGGAGAATCGGTGAGACATTTATTTTCTTGTGTAATTAATCAACATGCGGGTTAATAAATGCGCCGGATAGCGTACATATAAATGCAATAATTCGACAGTAACCAAAATATTTTAAAATTGCTCTTGCAGTTCACAATTAAAAAATTGTAGTGGTTTTTTAAAACACAGTGCCCGCAGTTTTCACAAGCTATAGTTGCACCAAACACATGTGCTTGTACTAGTATTTGCGTTTTGATAAAATCCGATTTGAAATTTGAATAAACTGGAGAACAAAATACTAGTTTATACAAATAATTTTATACTTTATCAGTCAGTAGAATTAACGCACAGCTGGTAGCAGTTTTTAGAAAAATAAACGTTTTATTACTCGTAAGATCCAGCCTAAATTTTAGCATATATTAGTGATATATGTTCAAATATATTTTAGCATTTGCGGTACAAACTTACCGGTGTTGCATGGACTGCTTTTCCAGCATGGATCTAGAGAGAAACGCCCGTGAAACCGATCCCGATGAATTTTGCCGCGTTGGGTGCAGCGTAGCCAGACGGAGACGGGAACGGGCGCGCCGCCACCGATTCGCGGATACAGTCGAAGGTGCAGGCAACTGCGAAAACGTACGGAGAATTAGGTAAAAAGAAATAAAATCTACACACGGGACAAGAAAAGAGACCGGGCATATATATTGAGCTTAAACAAGGATAACATCCGACACCAGCACATCCCACAAGCACTCTGTCTAATTGCGATCATTTAACCCAACAACATCCCATCCATCCGGCTGCGCATATATGTATACAATAATAATACAAACACGATCCCATGGACCGCTTGTCGCGGTTGACACATGAGAGAGTGTATATACCAAATGGTCACTCATTCCCGGGTTAGGAATACATATGCTACATAAGCGCACGACCCTATTTAAACAACACTTTATCACAGTAAAAATCCATGACAAATACCAATGTTTTCCCACTGTGCCATTTATACATTACACGCTATTTGTATCATTCATAATATAATAAAAACGCTAGATAATTGTACGAGGTACATCCTAGTATCCTACGCATCTCTCTGTAATCACACTGCCGGTTGTGTGCGAGTGTGTGTAGAATGTAGATCACGCACGCGCTTACACATGACAAACAAATCTGCCCGCCGCAACGGGAAGCAAGCATTCATAAATACCTACAGCCGGCAAGTTTTTTCTGTGAAGCGGGCGCGACAGCGTTCCGATGTAAAGGGTGGATCCGAATGAACTCTACGAGAGATTTGATAGGTATGGGAGGGGTCAGGGACTCTGCGCGTCATCAAGATGGGTTGTACTTGTTACAGGCTGTGATTGGTTGTTTGTCTAGAATATTCCACTCGATTTTTCCCCACCTTATTTTATTATTTCATTATTTTATTTTTTTTATTTTTTTATTTTTTTTATTTTTTAATTTTCTTTATTTTTTTATTTTCTCATTTTTCTATTTTTTTTAATTTTTTTAATTTAATTTTTTTTATTTTTTTCTTATTTTATCCTTTTTTCTTCTGTTATTTGTTTTTATTTGAACAGCCTGCTTCGCAAATTGCCAACTTGGTTGGCAAAGCTCCTCTGGATTTATTATCTATTTCAAGATCAACATCCACACAATTTATATGTATGCATGTATATATGGGGGGGGGGAGGGGAAAATCGATCGCGAGAGCGTAGCCGGCAACTGACAAATCACCGTCTAGCGATTGTTTTTGAGGGTTATGTGTATACGCACTGTCGTCAGGGATTATTTTGTCAGCTTCCTCCTTTTCGTTGGAGTGGGATGTTTGTATTCCCAACGTTAAACGTGACCGTGGAGCCATGGTTAATCATCCGACAGTGTACACACGCGCTCAGCAGTAGTGATCCGATTTACGAAGATTCTACACTTCATCCGCGGCTCTACATGCAAATTATATCAGGCACTAGCTACCCCGTTCATGAGCCACGAACAAGCATATTCTGGATGGTTTTACAGGCAGCTTCCGATCGGGATGCATGTTGTATTGCAACTGCAAGCATTTGTGAATACTATAATATGATGTACCCAAAGTCTCGAATGGACGATGGTGTGAATTTGTGAACACATTGAGCCGGCTTGTTTTGTACGCTTTCGGCATCGCTCTTATGAGATGGTGCAATGTGTTGGAAGAAATGTACAGTATCTGCACATATATAGATATAGAAGTATAATCAAGCGAGCGAGCGAAGCGTTTTTAAGTTAAAGTGTGTAACGGGGCGAACCGGAGAACCGGGTTCCCGGGGTCCAGGGGCGAAGCCCCTGGCCGGGGTTTGGGGCGGAGCCCCAATTAGCAGGGGGTGCGGGGGGCTGCGCCCCCCGCTGAAGCAATTGAAAAGGTAGTTTAAAATCAAAAACCTAACCGGGTTATAATTGACGGACCCAATGGGGGAATGTGTGTGAAAACGTAAATTTGGACCCCGTACAAACGCTTAGACCGGTCCGTGTGGTGGCTTTTTGGGGAACCGTAACGTAAATTATAACCCGGTCATTATTGACAAACCCGCCGTAGTAACATACGGAATGTCCGGAAATTTGGACCCGGTCCGGATTTCTTTAGCGACCCCGGGTGGTTTTGGGAAATACTTTTGCATTTTTTAAGACGCCGTACAATTGTAGAGGTAGCCCGTTTTATGGATGCGGTCCGATAATTTTGCCCGGTGTAGGTGGTGAGGTTTTTAAGTTTACGCGTCCCGTAACAGGTTACTTTTACCGTGGAAAGTTCTTGCAATCATTTCTAGAAACTATCAACAAAATTGCCATACCTCCAATACGTTTCCTTGGATGGGGATTACGTTACCAGAACGGATTACGTTTTATTCACTGGGTGATCATTACTGAATATCTTTAATAATTAATCCTTAGCGTAACGAGTTACCCTTACTGCAACGAGTTTTGTAACGGAGCACTATGGCGGAAGAATGTTACCGCTACCGTTACCGTAACGGATTGTCAAACTTGAATTGGATGTAGAATACTTACACCGGCATTCATCAAAGATGATCTACAGAAATTCGCGCTCACGAGGATTGCGAGGTATAGCTTTATTTGAAGGGGTACGCTTGGGAAGCGCACATTCAAAAATCTGTAAAATTTTGAACAAGAACCAAAGGATTCCTAAGCTTTTGAGCAATTTTCGGAATTACGTTCTGAAACGGTGCCATAGCGAGAAATTCATTTAGAAAAGTCAGCGAAGTCAGGAGCCATTACTACCGTTACTAACGTTAATACTGTTACCTGCATTGCCACTGTTGTTATTATGATGGTTCATCGTTACGCGTTACGCGCTACCAGCGTTACCACTGAAACTAAGCGTAATCAGTAATAAGTGTTACGCTCTCCTACCTTTAACAAGGTACCGTAACTGTGTCAATTTGTTTTGGTAGTGTATCATGATTGTCTCTTAACTGTTGAAACTAAAGGCGCAACCGAAGGCGACGCCAAAATGTGGCGCCAGCGATTGCAGCAAAACGAACGGTGCTGAGAGTAAAACAAAGCAGTTCTACTGTTCTGAAAAGATTCTTCATGGAGTTCTGCTTAAACTTTTCGATACCGTAGTGATACGGTAGGGGAAGCCGAAGGCCACGCCGAGCTGCGGCGCGAGCAAGCGCAGCAAACGAGCGGAGCAGCAAGTAAAACGAGGGGATTCTATTGTCTTATTAATCTGAAGAGATTCTCCTTACAGTTCCGGTTGAACTTTTCATTACCGTCATGATAGGGTAGTGGGAACCAAGGGCGGAGCCGAAAGCGACGCCGAGCTGCGGCGCGAGCAAGCGCAGCGCAGCGAGCTGAAAAGCAAGTAAAGCGAGAGAATTCTATCGTCTTATTAATCTGAAAAGATTTTTCTTAGTTGTGCTTGAACTTTTCGTTAATGTGATGATACGTTAGCGATATACCGTTTCCATAAAAACCGATGACGGAGCCGAAGGCGACGCAAAGCTGCGGCGAGCAAAGCAGCAAGTAAAACAACACCATTCTACTGTCCCTTTTATTAAAGTGACAATTAAACAAATTACATTTTCGTTATCGTTATGAAATGCTTTAGCGAACTATCATATCGAAAAACCTGGACGCAAAGCCGAGCGACAGCGCAATTTAAGCATAAAGTAGAACGAAACATTCATTTTTTTACTTCAAACTTTTATTTCAATAAATATAACAAAATGTAAATAAAATCTGCATGAAACTTTAGATACCAATTTTGTAAACGGAAAATGAATTATTTGAGTGCTTGATCGAAGTTTCTCGCCTTGAGCCACGGCTAACCTATTTTAAACTTTAAAACAGGCTTGTTTGTAAATGTTTACAAATAAATTTGAATACAATAGCACAAAAAAATAAACCTCAGCAATTAACGCTTTAGTTTCTGTGCGGAGAAAAAGTAAAGAGATCTATGTCAAAAATCTTTACTACAACATATAACAGGATTCACAGAAATTTAATCACGTGGCCTTGCTCTCACAAGCATTGCGTATAATGTGTAACTTTCAACATACAAAGTAGTAAGTAGAGTGGTGATATTGTCCATTTTCGAAACGACTTTTAACAAAGTTCACAACTTTTTAAGACTTTCGAGGAAACTGTTGCGAACGTATGTTGAAGAAAATCACGCGACTCAAGAACTCTATTGTAGACAGAAGGTTCTACAAGCTTAGTCAAATCAACACCAAAACAATAAAAAACTTTCGCCTCCTGTCGAGTTTAGTACGTCAAGAACGAAAACGACCGAGGACTACCAGCCATAGTTATATGACGAAAACGGTCACCAGGTCTTCAAAACCATGGTAAATAAGGGTTGCTCGACCGTTTTTCTGCTTTAAAATAAAATCAACCAAATTAAACTGAAAACCACAGAAAAAAAACATGGTAACCTTTTCTCAAGAAAGTCATCCAGTTAAGGGATTTGGCCCGGTACATAGCGCTATAATCGTGTACATTGACGGGAATATTCGCTTTCGCGCACTTTCAAACACTTTTTTGGGTTGCTTTTTGACATTGGGTAGCCAAATGATTGGTGTACATAGGCGTAAAATCCGTTTTCGCGCGCAACATCCGGTTGCGGAGTTATGAGGGTAACAAAATTCCAAAAAGTTTAAATGCATTCAGGTGTACCAAAAGTCTCATTATGGACCGATCTCTTTCGAACTTTGCACGTAAATGCACATAACCATGAAGATCGTTTTGACACGGATCCACTGTTCTAACATGTTTTTCAAATTTTAAAATGAATTTCAAAAATTTTAAAATTCATTTTAAAATTTGAAAAAAATCGTAGAAGTCTGGATTCGTGTCAAAACGATCTTCATGGTTATGTGCATTTACGTGCAAAGTTCGAAAGGGATCGGTTCATAATGAGACTTTTGGTACACCTGAATGCATTTAAACTTTTTGGAATTTTGATACCCTCATAACTTCGCAACCGGATGTTGCGAGCGCAAACGGTTTTCTCACCTAGGTAAACAATTCTTCTGGCTACAAAATACCATAAAGCAATGCAAAAAAGGTTTTGGGAGCGCGCACCAGCGAAACTTCCCCTGGATGTTCACGAACTTGGTGCTATGTACCGGGCCAAATCCCTTAAGAGCCGTTACTGCGTTATTGTTACCTACGTTGCCACTGCCACCAGACACTAAATAAGATGTTGAAACAATAAATCGTTTGCGCAATAAATTAGGCCCAACCAGTTTTTACAAAAAACATTGGACTCTAAAACAGGAACTTGCGTCGGCTGCGCCGACGCAGATTGTGAGAAGCGCGGACTCGGCGCTTCTCACATCCTGTGTGATTACATCGGCATACGCGGTCTGTGTAAATCAGTGTGCCAATTCATTCGCAGAAAAGACAATCTTCCCGTGAATTTAAAAATACTTGGGAAAAAAATGGCTAAAACTTCTATGCGTCTAACAACCAACTGGAAAAACTAAAACAAAGCTTTTTGGATTGCTGACTACCAGCGAAAAATCGATTATTCAGTTCAAAAATCAGAAGGCGAAAAATTTTCGGAATATTGACAGCATGGCTAACCATTTTGCATATTTCGCTCTTATTTGCTTTTGCGTTGGGATATCTCTTCAGTATGTTATGTTTCGTTTTTTTGTTTGCAAGCGTTAGGTGTGGAAATTCTTTTTGTGCAGACGATTTTACTTGACGGATAATGGCCCGAGGTGTATTCTTGAACAGGCTCTGTCTGATCCAATGTGAACGTATAAGCCGAACCTACCCACTTAACTAGCTCTGTCGGCGATCCGCATAAAAGTTTAGTTTTAACATACTGAGAGCAACGACTAGCATACTAAAATAAAGGTTTTGGTGTGAAATGGACGGGTATGTGCGATAGGGTATTATATTAGTAGTGCTCGCGTCGCAGTTGCTTGCGTGGTCACATCTGATCGTGTAACAGTCCCTTTGTGTCACGCGCGGGGTGGGTATTGTCATTTATCTCAGTATTATCATTTAATTGTGATAGGTGATAGGTTTGCGCCTCAATTGTGATAAGTTTGCGTTTGTTCGGGAGTTTATAACGAGCGCGTTGTACTCCTGATAGCGCTTGCCCGATCATAAAATGGTTAAGATTGGGAGAATCGAAGTTATTAATTTCGTGAAACGAAGTCAAAGAGAAAACATAATTTAAAATTGTACTATATTCAAGTTTACGGGAGAGATACGCAACAAATAAGGCAACAGTTTGTTCGGTAGCAGGAAGATATTCCAGTTTATATTCCTTACAAAACTGTATAAAGCGATCCCATTGATACTGCCTAGTTTCAATTGTGCTTTTGGCCATTGCACCAAGGCGTAAATTCTTCAACTCGTTTTCCAGATTCCGCAGCTGGGTATCTGGAAAACGCATAGGGAGGTAATGTTTGTCCGGGAAAGGTAAAGTCAATGTATTCACACAATTTCTTCGCAAAAGCCTCGCTTTCTGTTAACCGGCTCAACGCATCTGCTGCTACGTTTTGTACCCCGGCTGAGTAAACTGCGACCAAACGGAAATCGTATTTTAAACTGAGAAAACAAATAAGCTTTAGCCACTCAATCGCCGGGATACTTTTCGTAGTGCCTCTGTTCAGAAAGGCTACTGTTTGCGTATTATCCGATTTGACAATTACCTTGCACCCTTTCAAGGCTGGTGCTAAAACAACAACGCAAATACATGCAGCTATAAGCTCCAAAAAATTAATGTTCCCAATAAACGATTTATCGAGCACGGGTGGCGGCACCCAGTTCTGTTCAAACCCTGCCGGTGGCTTAGGTATATAGCACCAACTACCGGCAAGCCATATACCCTGGGATACTCCACCAAAACCCGAAAATGACGCATCTGTGCATATTGTTCGTACAGGGCGGTAACTTGCAAAACGACTTTCGCATAACCCATTTAACGTTGGCGCAACAACCGTCCACCATTCTAGCACATTTTGCAGTACCTTTGATGGTCTGAGGCGATCAGTAGGCCGTTTAAGGGAAGCGATTTTGTCGAAAAAGATCCGCGAAAACGTTCTCGCACCGTAAACTGCACGGGCTGCAAAGGATGCTTTGCCGGCAAAAACCTGTAACTCACGCTTCGTTACTCGTGTCTGCAGTTAGACTTAATGCCGATTGTTTGATATCGGCAATTTTGTCCTCTGGCAGTTCGATGCGCTGCGCAACGGAATCAAGTATTAACCCAAGAAAAACAATTCTCGTAGCAGGGCCTTGCATTTTTTCCCAGTTTACTACAAACCCCAGTTGCTGCAGTAAATTTACCAGTTCAGTTTTAACCAGTTCGCACTCCTCTAAGGAATTTGTTTTAACAAGAAAATCATCTAAATAAACAACAATTTTACGTCCACGCCGACGCAGTATACGTGCAACGGCTGTGGATATCCGCTGAAAAATAGATGGTGCGTTGGCGAGACCGAAACACAAAAAACAATCAACATAATAAAGCGAAACATCATTGTTGAATGACCAACGAAAACCCTGCAGTTGTCTATGATCGGGCCGTACCGGTACTGACCGATAGGCGGATTTGTTTTCAACGAAAAGTTGTGCTTAAATAAAATGGCCGCACACCGTCTTACGGGCTGCGAGAAAGCTTATTTCAAATTGAAGCAACAGCTAACAAACTTGCGACCAGGATACGCATTTTCCACAGCTGAATCGATTTTTGAAGCGACGTTAGGTGGTATCAGCTGTTTCGGTGCTGAACTGATAGGTCCCGACCCATCCATCGACAAGTTTCGCCTGAAGTTTTGGAAAAGTCATTTCGAACTGAAGACGAATGCACCCCACGACGCACTGTACTACCTTACAGGATCTTATCCGTTACATTTCCGTGCGATCAAAATGCAGTTACAGTTCATTAAAAAACTTCTGCGCTATCCGAATGATTCGCTTTTAAAAGCAGCGCTGGTTGATAGTGTAATGAATGGAGTAAAAAGGAAAAAGGTTTGGCTGCGCCGAGCATTAAAACACTTGGCGGTTGTAAAAAACTTTTCGTGGAAGTCATCAGATATTTTGTTTGATGAACTGAAAAACTTAAACGTTACAAAAACTATGTCCTTAATTGAAGTAAAATTTCAGGAAACACTCGCAGAGCGACTGCGAGCTAACACCGCTCGAAGCGGTCGGTTGTTCTTTTTGTTCCAGGTGTATCCAAAAAGACCATTAACTGCGACTCGACTTCCCCTTCCTCCATACCTTTTGAAGGCTCTGTTCACCCTGCTTACTTCGGGTCATCATTTCCGGATAGAAACTGGACGATGGAATGGAACTGCGCATGATGAGCGACTATGCCCCTACTGTGATGTGGTGGATACGGAGGAGCACAGTTTTTTCGTGTGTCCGGCGTTCGAACCTCGTCGACAGCTAATCTGGTCCAAGATCGAAAACCTAAGACCGGAATGGGCGACGCTGAAAAGTTCTTTTTTTAATGTTTTGAGACAGGGTGTGTTTTTCACTGACACTGATAAAGAATTGTTGTTTTGGATTACCAAATTTATATATTTCGTTCTTAAAGATGCTCGCGATGTACACAACGGTACCTTATGTTTGTTACCTTACCTTTACTAAAACGCTCCGAAGTTATTTAAATAACTAAAGTTTTTTTTTTCTCTTCATAATATTTTTTATCCTTTTTCTGACATGCGACATCATAACAATGGTGTCTCTACCAGACTATGTGTCCTGGGGAAAATAAATTCATTCATTCATTCATTTATATCACGGAATAAGAGGCCCAAAGGGGCCTACACATTTGGTCGGAATGGAATATGGAATCGGAATGCAATAGTTGGAACGGAATACAAATATTCGGAATTAAATTTCCGGAATAGGAATCGGAATGCTGAATTATTATCGGAACGGAATATGTTCAATTAATCGGAACGGAATTCGGTTTTCTCGGAACGGAATAAGAATATTTTTATCCATAACAATTTATCTAAAAGTGTCTGAAGCAATATCTGTACTTACACAGCCTTGTGAAAAAGTAGGATACTCAGTACTTGTACTTTTACAAATGACGCTCTCTGCCTGTCTGCCATATGCAGACAGCCAGACACCGCATTACCATGTTACATAATATACCGCTGTCTGAAACACTCCCTTTGAAATTGACTCACAGTCACTTCCCTCTCCTTCCTTTCGCCGTCTGATATTACACTGCCGTTACTGCGTATGTCTAACACGCCGATTTATTACCCAAAAGCGAAAACATCTTTTGTTTTAAAACAATAACAACTGAACACCGCCTCGGCTTCCCTCAACTGACAGTATTCACGCTAGCGATGAGAACAAATTAACAGCTGATTGCGAATAGTTGAAAGCTTAATCAAACTTCGGAAAGACGAGAAGACGGCAAACCTACGGAAAGACGAGAAGACGGCAAACCTACGGAAAGGCCAGAAGACGGCAAACAGCAGTTAGGAAATGAATCTTCGATCACATTACACAATCAGCAGTCTGCAGAAGTGTCTTCTTAATAAAAATCACGCCGGCTCTGAATAAAGTTTCGATTTATGCAGTGCATTGCGTTGTAGCGACTGTCTTTTGACTTGCACTTATCTCATGGATCTGTTTTGTAATACATACTCCTGAAAAGTTGGTGTATCTACTATCTACTGTACATACAGTATAATCTGTGTTATTATTGTTACTTCAAGTCTTCCACCCAGTACCGGTCGGGTGGTGCGTGGCCGTCAGATACTTCCGCCGAGTTGCTGCACAGTTAACGTAATGCCACATGCCTATTTTAACTGTACAGTATACATTAACATAGTGTGCACAGTGTGCATACAAGACGCTTTTTGGCTATGTACCGGAAAACGACCCACTGCAGCATTTGATTCGTTCTGGAGAGAAATCTGGACAATTAGACTTTCCAATCAAATTTGCTGATTCAAAACTTTCTGTGAGCCTGCGCAGCGTCTGGAATTCGGCTATAATGATTTTGCGAACGCAAACCGTTGTGCGCGATGAAACGGAATCCACATGTGCTAACAGTGTTAGCATTACTATTCACGACAAAAAGAGCCGCTGAACACAAGGAGTTTCATGGAATGCAACCACGAAAACTGCCAGTTGTGGGTGCAGCGAATTCAATCGGCTGGAAATCTGTAGCCATGCCTTGGTAGCTTCACATTCTGCCGGCCAGTTAGCTGTTCACTTGAATGAATTTAATAACCGTGAAGTCGGCTTCCTGGCAGCTGTGAGAGCGACCGAAAAGGGAGGAGGACGTAAAGGTCCAGCTGTCAGACGTTGGGGTGATCGAAAACGAACGGCCGGTGGAACGTCTCGTGAAGGCAAACATGAGCGCAAAAGACTTCGAACAAGCGGACCGGAAATACAACAGCCGGTGGCAGTAGCCAGCTCTCAGCCAGTTCCAGTTTCATCGGTAAGTTACTGTATGTAGACTTTACTGTATGTGGATTATAAGTGCTGAACTAGTACGTCACAAAACTTGCTGGCTCCTGGTCAAACGGGTGTTCGTTTATTCGAAATGGCTGCGCCATTTCAATTAGTTAAATAAATAAAAGAAGCCACATAAAACCCTTCGGAAAAACAACAAATCGCCGATTTTCCTGCGACCGGAAATTAGGGCGTATAAATGTCGGAGATTTTTAAAAACCTGTGATAATTATGTTGTGTGAACGCTCTCAACCCCGTGCAGCCTAAAGTCTAGAACTGCGATGGTATACAATGCAAGTTACCAACTGTAATTTCATTGGCTGTGTGCCTCGAATCTCTGAAAGTAAAAATTAGAATGCATTAAAAAATTGTGAAGGCCCCGCATACCACCTTTCCTGATACCACCTTTTGCACACCAGGTGTGACTTCCCATACCACCATAAATTTTTTTAAACTTTTATTAAAATTTTCATAAAACATCAAGTGCTCTTATGATGTTTTAATGGAAGGGGAAGTCAGTGGATTATTCCCCCGGCACAAATGCACGACCGGAACTTGCGTTAAGCTGTGATGCAGAAGTACAGGTTGTAGTACTGTATAACAGCTTGGGCTATTGGCTAACTGACCAGTCCCAACTGGAACTTTGGAAGTTGCACGTCCGTGATGAGCCGGAAGAGCAGCTGCGGTTCCGGTACGAGAACGTCAAAAATAAAAAAAATGGTTCTGACTGGAGACCATTTGCTGTGGTATTCGCAAGTGACCATTTCAACAATGCCTGTCAGAGACATTATATACCGGCAAAGGTATCGGAAAATGAATTTTAGAACGGTTCAAGAAAAAAGAACTGCTTTCATTAAAAAGACGCGCCGGACGACAGGCCGAGAGATTTTATAAACCCAAAGGTGGTGAAAGGCGGTGTGCGGAGCTTTCACCTTAAAAAAGTCAATTGTAACCTGCACTTTTGTAAACAGCTTTTCTTTCCTTATATATCTGTAACTTACAAACAGTAACATATGTAATCAGTGCAATAATCTTCCAAATATGAGAATGTTTTTAAAGGGCAATGTGCGTTGGATTAATAAATGTGCACTAGTCGTAACAATTTGCGGCAATGAGTTTCCGGGCGCATTTCACACCAACCACGCGCCATAAATAAGTTTATGTAAAATAAACTCCTGAGCGTTACCCGGTTAATCAGGAAATATATGAACGTGAAAAATTTTAAGTTGCGCGGATCGTTGCAGATTTATACTTTAATTATAAGTGTTCGACTGTACTGTAGGTTGCCCGAAATCACACAGATTCAGCACAGCATTGGGGTGAAAGTGGATCCTTGGCTTGAAACACCTGGTCCTTTTCGGGTTGAGACCTGTGAGCCAGATCATACAGGATCCAAGTGCTACGGATGCGGCAAAAAACTGTGTTTGAATGGGATTCCCAAGTTAGTTCTCGTGCGTAATGAACCGCATTACATGTCCGGCTTGACCGGCTCGGCAAGAGCAGCCACGCCGGCTCGTCCTACCACGTACCACTTCAGCCGGATGTGTGTCCGTAAGCGGCACGGCGATTTTGTGCTGAACATCGTATCGCGTTTTACCGAAACCATTATCGAAAACTGTGACTTGGATGCTGACGATCAAGAGGCATTGCAGAAATTCATTGAGTCTTGCCGAAAATAAGGTAACAACCACCAGAAAGCACTGACTGTTTGTTCTGCTTACGTGGAATGGTTCTATTAGCTTGAAACGATAGTATGCTTAGGAATAATGATGAGGTGTTCAACTATTTGATTTGTCTTGGCTTTGTGCAGGGCAGCAAATTGATAAATTGGAATTCTCAGAACGAAACGTTTGTTTTTTAACCCAGACTGAATATTTAAACAAATTATAACACATATTCTTTTATTAATGATTAACGATTTCTTTCCTGCGAGCCCGTCTTTAAGGGCGGGGCGCACTGGTGCCCCCTTCCCGAAGGAAGAAAAAGGAAAATGATGCGCCGTTAGCTGGCGCAAATGGCTACCGCGAGAAAATGGAACTAGCGCGGCCGCACCAAAAATTACGATAGAAAAGTGGAAAAGCTGCTATTTTATGCAAGTTTTATGCCCCCCCTTCCCTTCCAAAATGTTCTCTGGTGACAAGTGCAAAGAAGGCGAAAATAATAGGGAGAAACAGTTAAGGGAGATGGCAACGATGCATGCATGCTTCAGGAAAAGCGGAGTCATCCCGCATTTCACTTCCGTTATGAAAACACTACAATAGCGCAGTTTTTGGTAGTTAGCATATGTGCATAAAATAAACAAAAGAAAATTGCCAACTTTGCGGATCCAGGTAGACGGTATTACGTATAAATGCGGTTTCGCTGAGTAGAACTACTTTCTAACAGTTTAATTTAAATTTGTTGATATACAGTCTGGGTTGTTAGACTAGGGATACGGATCGTAACAACGCGGGAATGGGTTTCATTGTTTTAGTGACCGGAGTGGAAAAGTTTCTGTATGGCAGACAATACAAATATTTTGTTATATACTCGCTAGTACGAGTAATAATTGCTTCGCGTATTTGCACGTTTTAAAATGGTTGCATCTCAACTTTTTGTTCGTTACTAGCTTTAAATACTTTCCAGTGTGTGCTCATGTACTCGCCTGTTCTGCGTTTTAAAATGGTTGTTTTTGTTTTGCGTTCCTTACTGGGTTTTAGCGCGTTTTTATGTTACAAGGCATTAGCGGACTTATTGATGCGCGCTTGCAGTACTTAATGCAATTAAAGGAAAGCCATTATTCTACAAGTTTAATGTTATTATTAACGTATGCGGTACGAGTACCGTGTCAATTCGCCATGTACAGTCGATAATACTAATAATACGTAATACAAAAGCAGTTCATATTCCGTTCCGAGCAAACATGATTCCGTTCCGATTAATTTAATATATTCCGTTCCGTTAAAAAATTAGTATTCCGATTCCTATTCCGGAAATTTAATTCCGAATATTTGTATTCCGTTCCAGCTATTGCATTCCGATTCCATATTCCATTCCGACCAAATGTGTAGGCCATCCAAAGGTGGCGGCACGCTCTTATCGCGTTGCGCCGCTTGCGGGAATATGGAGAGGCCTAGACAGACTGTGGGATAGCGGTAAACTCTCCGCATTCAACTATTATAACTAGTATAGAAGGTCGTAAACGCCCTTAGTGCAAGCGAGCGAGCATGTAAATTTTTTTGTTGAAAAGACTTGGCAGGGTGAAACAACAACCTAACCAAGTAGCCGGGA